AAAAAAAAAAAAAAAATGGTAAATAAAAAATCCAGTATATAAACTTTGAAAATTGTTGACCTATTTAGAAAGTAAACTTGAATTTGTCAAAATATTTTTTTTCACTTTAGAATGGGACATTAATAAGATTAATATTTTATAAATTTTGAAATACTTATATTAAATTCATCATTTTTATTATTCCTTGCAGTAATTTAGCAACTCATTAGCTGTTTCTTTCAGTTTTTCTATATTCTTAATAGACCAAGGTAATCTTTTAACATTGTATGCCTAAAATTAATTGTATTGGAACATGATACTTTTCTATTTGATGAGATAAATTCCCAAGATTTTTCGGCTAAGGCTTTAATTTTTTTATTCCTGTCATTCTCTATGATTGTATCAAGATTATCTAAAAGTAGGTTGGAATAATACCTAAAAAGGTCTTGTACTAATCTTAAAATTATTTAGATTAGAATAATTCATGCAAAAAATGGTTATTCATGGTTTTAATTTTGCTATTTTTTCTAAAAGGTAAGGATATCTATTTTAGTTTTTCTGCCTGATAAGATTGCTAAAAGAGCTTTGAAGCAGCTTTGAGATTCAGTTCTAATAAAGTGTAAAAGATAGAATTACTTGATTTTGTATTTTTTTCTTAGATTTAATGGAAGATCTCTCTAAAGGCTTTTCTTAGACAAAATTTGATTAATTCTTCTCTACTCTTCTATTAGGATCTAATTTTCTTGTTCAAAGTATCCAAAATCTTAATGACTTTCACACATTTTTTTTCTTTCAGTTTCTACATAATTTTTTTAAATTTGGATGAATTTGCAAATATCAAATGTATCATTTGCTCTAGATTTTCAAGTGTTATATCATCATAGTTCATTTCTTCAATTTATTACTGTATAGTTTAAATTTGACTAAAGTATTGTTATGGTTGTTTGGGTTGTGGTGTTTCCTTGACAATTTAGGCTAGATATACATTGTAAAGCCTTACATTAATCACATTTGATATCAAAATTGATAGGTGGCTGAGGAAAATTTATGTTGGAAGTTAAAATTGGTGAACCTAAATTATGAATTGGACTCATCAATGGATTCTAAAAATTCATCATTAAAAGAAATTGTGAATTTGTTGCCCAATATGGTAGAGGATACATACCAAATAAGGGAGGGGATTAAGCACCGTCTGAATGATTCATATATTAATTTAAAATTCTTTGATATCGTCACAATAAAAGATGAAATGGAATTAATATGAATAAATAAGAATATTAGTCCAATCTAAGAAAATATTTTGAGATTTAGGATGTGATAAACTATGATTTATCATACCGTTAATATCACATTAATTATTTTTATTTATGCAAAAGAAACTACAATGGAAAATATTATGTATTATTCAGATTTTCATACAACTGAGAGTCATACCCAAAAATAGCATTCCAAGAAGTCATTTTGAATTGCTATATAATTGAAAGAATTGAGATCTTTTAACATATTCCTGTATCTCTAATATCTTGATGGAAAGAATATTGACACTGTAAATAATTTCTAGATGTTGTAATGAAGAAATTGTGATCATTTTAACAGCATACAGTTTGGTGCATCTATAAACTATGAATCAACTACAATAACTGTGGTAGTTTTAGATTATGTTGCTTACATTTTAGAGTAGATGACCAATGAATAACAGTTTATATTCCAATTGTACTGAGACCTATAATATTGAATTGTCTAATTAACCTTAATTTTCTGTTAAGTTAAAATTAGTACTTGTGGGCATGTTATGATAAGACTGATTAATTGTGTAAGATTATATTTTAAATAATGAAAATATATATATAAATACTTTTGTAATATTGTTATATCACTAGTATTAAGAACAGATAATGAGAGGTTTACAGATAAGAATAATTATGTAATTGCTTTGCTTTATATTATTAAATAGTATTAAAATTCATTTATTTCTTATTTTACATCTATTGATTATGCTATTGTAAGGTTGTTGGTGAGATTAATCTAAATCACTTTCTGAATTCTTTGATTATTAACGAAATATCGAAACTTTATTTCCTCTGATCTCCAAGTTCTTACAAGAATAGAGGGATTAGGCTTTTGATCTTGGTTGACTGGATGGTCTTTATATTTCAATCCTCCTATTCCAAATAGGTGACCTCTCTTTCAATTCATTACCTGGATTATTATGAATATCATTTATTCCTAAGAAGGGGATTTTCTCAAAAACATTTAGACCATTTTTCTAAAATGTTGAGAATTTCAATTCACAAATTTACGAATTAAAAGAGTGGCCAGATTTCTTTTATTCGCTTAAACTAAATTATTATGATTGCTTATATACTCTTAGTATGAACTGATCAAACTTGGGTACGAAAGCTCATTCAAATATTCATTAAAGAAATCATGTCTTAATATTTGAGAAGCGGATGGTCTTAATTTTGGATTTAATCTTAGCATTTAAGATATTAAATCTTTGCAGCTCTAAGGTACTTTAATTGAATCATCGAATTTATAATCAACTGCCAAGTTCTTCTTTAAGATTCCAGATTTCTAAGGGTCTTTAAAAGGATGTGTATTATAAATTCTTAAATTAAAGGTTTATAATATATATACAGTTAATAATATATGACTCCAAGACTGAATATATCACATTTTTCATTGTACATCTTAGCGCCTTCTTTATACATCAATATTTCAGGAGCAATATACCCAGTAGTTCCACATCTGTAATATAATTATTTTTAATCCTTAATATAGGTTGCTAAACCAAAGTCAGCAATTAAAACATCAGTAGTATTAGTTTTGCATAATATATTATGGGGCTTCAAATCTCTATGCATAATTCCTTTTTAGTGCATATAATCTACACATAAAGCCAGTTGCCTAGCAATAATCCTGGCATCTCTAATACTTTTGTATTATCCTTATTTTAGTAATTCCCCTCCTTAAATTAATTCCAAAACAAGATTTATGTGCTCTTTTTAAATTTATAAATAATTTACTGTTGGTCTCGAAAACTTGGTGGAAAGATATTATGTTGGGGTGATTCAATTCCTTCATTATCTAAATCTCATTTTTTAGTGCTTGCTCTTATTCCTATTTCTTTTATTTAATTGAATAATTCTTCTAAATTCTCTTAATAGCATAGTATTGCTTATTGTAATTACTTCTGGCTATATAGACCTGAATGTGTTAACATAAAATACTTACTTTTGCATTTGAGCCAAAGCCAATTTGTTTTAATATACTATATTAAGTATGAAAATCAGTTAAAATGCAATGCTATTAGAGTAGTTCTTTAAAATAATCATAATCTGTCTTTTTATCAGTATAGAGGTCAAGAATAAATCCACAATATATCAGTTGTAAATGATATCTATATGTAGTGTCTAGTAGGCTGCAATGCAAATAAACGCAATCTAATTTCCTGAACCCTTTCATTTTCTGAATAATAATATATTTTACTTCGTCTCCATACAATAAATAATTTCCTTATACGGAATATCGTCTTGGTATCCACTTTTTAAATAATTTGCCCTTTTTATATAAAGTAGTGCAATTATCACCTGAGGTTTCGAAATTTTCATGCCTATAAAGCAATAAATCAAAATTTCTATCCCAAAAGCCTTTTTGTTATTTTTAGGGAGAATTAAAAAAATAATTGGAAGCCTATTCCATTGTTTAAATTATTATTAATGGGTAAAATAAACTATTATAAAATATTGGTAAAGATCATTCATCTTCATCTTTTTTTATAGATCTTTTTCTCCTTGTGCTTGTTTATTTCTTAATTACTAATGATTCTTGACTCATATCATCCGAATCTGATTCTAGTTCCATGAAATCATCTTCTCTTCTCTTCTTAGTTTTCTTTTTCTATTACTATTATGATTATTATTATTTTAATTTATTTCCTCCTTTATTTTCCTTTTACTCCTTATCAACACCACCTTCATTCTATACTTATTTCACATTCTTTTTCTTTGTGACCTTCTCCCTCCTCCTATTTTCAAATGTTTCTTTGTCATGATGTTCTACCTTCATCTCATAATCTTCAATTAAAGGTTTGGCATCTTAAGGCAAAGTTCTTTTCAACTAGATTATAGATTTCACTGAATACTACCTTTTTAATTAAAATGATAAATTAATTGTATACGAATTGGTCTCTCAATTATTCTCTGTATTCTTCCCAACCATCCAATAGTTTCTATAGAGAATTTTAGGATAAATTTATGTGATTAAACAGTATAGATATATTCTTAACTTCGTATTAATCTAAAGGTACATAAAGTGGAATAAATACTTGTGCTGGTTCCTAAGATAGTAATTAATTTATCAACAATGGATTCAATCTGAGATTTGTCTATATATTAAGAGATTTATGAAAGGATGGTCTCATTTTGATCTTACACATTTGAGATGATATCAGGAATAGCATTAGTAATGGCTCTTTGTTCCTTTTTCTGTAACTCATTCAAAAAGTATCTTGCCATGGCTGGTATTTGAGGATGAGGATCAGTCAATAAAATAGGAATATGGGACAATGATGTTTTACTCTTGACCATATCATTCAAAATCAAATGGGTCAATACAAGGAGTGTCACTCTTCGAACTGCAGCACTAGTATCAGATAAATTTGAGTATATTTATTTATGGAACTTTTAAATTGTGTTAGGCCATCTATGTAACAAGTCTCCGATACTAATAATTACGTTATTCTTCATAACCTAATCAATAAGAGGGGATCTAAATACTAATACATTTTTACTTCATTATATTGAACAACATCTGAATATTCTCTCTACAATAAGATTCTGATAGACACATAAATTTACACATTGCAATTAAGCTCACTTGCACAATAGGCGGTTGTTATTTGGTGGCATTTTCTTCAGTCTCCATTTAATTTAGACAATCCTATAATATTTACTTTACCATTGGAGAAAAAACTGATAGTAAATTCGATTAAATCAATTTTAGATCTTGAATTTTGTCTACAATACCATGCAATTTTTCAAATTCTCCTTCTATTCCTCCTTGAATTTTATCTATTTCTTACTCTTTTCCAATTTGTTTTTCTCTTTCATTTTTCAAATTCTTTAAAGAATTGTGTGTTGCATCAATGAAAATGAGTAATTATAAAGACACAGAACCAGCTATATAGATGGCATGAGCCAAGTGAATTTCTTCCATTTACTTGATCTCTTCAGCTTCTAAATCCATTTTAGTAGATTAAAATCCCAAATCCTATAAAAGTGTTTCGAAAATCAATTCAGGATTCTCTGCATTTGGTACTAATTAAATAATTGAATCACAGGCACAAAAATAGTTCATATCAGATGAATTTTAATATTTAATCAATAAAATAATCAATAGATCTATGGATTTATTAAAATTAATTTAATTCTTACCATGAGTTCTATCTAATTTAGACAATATGGTTGCAAGTTCTTTAATAATGATCCAATCAGGATCTTTCTTACTGTATTTTTACAACTGATTATAAATTTAGGCTACCTTTTCTAAACTAAGTAATGAAGAACTTCTAGTCAACAAAATTCTAACAAAAATGAGCATAGAACGTTAATCAATTTCTTAGTTACCAAAATACTCCCAAAGAGTATGAAAGATTTTTGATGGAAACTTGTAGTTAGGAGCCAATTCAGTTTCATATGATAATATTATTTTTTCTAATGAAATAAGTTCCTTTAGATTTGATTTACTAATTAGATCAATGATCTATAGAATAATTTGTCTAGTTTTTTTTGTATCTCTTAGGAATAATTTCCAAAACTTCTTAATTACTTCTTATTATATAGATTTATCTTAGGACCATACAAGTAACATCATTCTTCGTAATCCTGAATTTGCTGACTCATATTTGTACTTCTAAAGATAAGAAAATAATTTGATAGAATGAATGACATCTGCTTAATTTTTACTTTAGCACAATTATAAAACCTGAGTAATCACTGTTTTCATTCCATCCAAAAACTTTTGATACTCTTCTAAATATTCTTGGATCTTGATCTTTTCTTATGCCTTCTTCTTAATAAACTTAATGGATTCATTAACATCTTCTTATGAGATTTCTCCTTTTTAAAATTGTTTATCTATATCTTCGAAATCTTTATGAATGTTTTGTAATTCTTCTTTATTTCTATCTATTTGATCTTCAATCTCAGCAGAAGACCAGAAATTTTGTCTTCCTTAACTCTGGACATACAAGAATCTATAATAGCGTACTATGGATTTCAATAATTATAAAGAGGACTTTCTAACATAGCCAGATATATCCCTCAATCTGGATGATGAAATTGCAAAAATAGTCTGTAGATGTTGTTTTGGCACACAATTTGAATTCAACAGTTGAGACAAGCATTAAAGCACATTGGATCTACATAAGGCGGTCTTATCCATATGACGATCCAAGAGCTACTTAATTAGGTTGTTGGCATTTGACAACTAGAATTCATCGCTATCTTGATCTTTGGATTCCTTGATCAGATATTCGATGACATTTGTTATTAATTCTGACAATCCATTTCTTATATGGTAGTTCTCATTATCATATAAGCCAATGAAAGCAGAGAGCTATTGATAATACACCTTAGGCATGTCCTTGGAGGTTTGAGACAGAAGTTCTTTGAGGTTTTTAACAGCCAGACTCTCAGTTTGATTAGTTGATTTCTCAGTGATGTAATTGACTAGTAGAATAATTTGATCTAGGGTGTACTACTTCAATTTGTCATTCTTGCTGCATCCTAATAGGAATTTGGAGATGTTCAGGACAACACTCTCTTATTCATACATCAAATGAACTATTCTGTTTTTGAGGTTTAGGTCATAGGTCTGCCACATTGCAATTGCTTACACCAAAACATCGATCCACAATTCTCTTATTTGAGTGTCCTTGATTTCCACAGCCATCTTAACTAGATCAAATACGTATCTGCTGCCTTCTCTACCGAAATCGTGGAAAGCGTTCAAATTGAATAATGATTACAATGTCTTTAATGCCCTTCTCACTTATTAACCTTATAGTTGCTTCTGTTGCAATAGATTGAGCAGTAGGAAGAGAGTCATCTTAAATGCCTGAGCATGATCAGGGTATAATTTTTGAATTTGAAATGAAAAGATCTCAACCAATTATAATTATACTTTTTGATTTGGATGTGCATCCAGATGTCTAGGGTTAGTGCAAATGATTACTCGACTAAATAGTAGAGGAAATCAAAATATTAAGGGTCTTCAATTAGGGTTGGGAGTTGATTGAAACCATCTTCAAATTAATTGAGGCGCATCAAAATTAGTCGCTCATCCATATGGCCCACTTGATTTTTAGATTTCACTCTATAATTTCCTGAAAAGTGATTGTCCCGCAATTCCGCATAGGTCCCAGGGAAATGAAAATTCATTTAATTTAAATATACAATATGGGGGGGAAACTTAGAATAATAATAATAAACATATAAAAAAGATGTCAAATGAATTAACAAATAATAAGTCGATAGGCCAATATATTTTTAGTATTTCATATATCTGATAGTATTCAGGTAAGACTTTGGGACAAGGCACCTTTGGAAAAGTGAAATTGGCCACCCACATCTTGACAGGAGAGAAAGTTGCAATTAAAATCCTGGAAAAGTAGAAGATCAGCGATTAATCTGACATTGAACGCGTAACCAGAGAAATTCAAATCCTTAAGAAAGTTCGCCATCCAAATTTAGTCTAATTGTATGAGGTAAGATTTTTGAGTTCTAACCAGATAATAGAGACACCCAAACAGTTATTTTTAGTTATGGAATACGTTAACGGGGGGGAACTCTTTGATTATATCGTCCAAAACCAACGCATTAAAGATGTCGAAGCAATCAGATTTTACAGTTAATTAATTTCAGGCATCGAATATCTCCACAAATTGCAAATAGTTCATAGGGATCTCAAGCCTGAAAATCTTATTCTTGAAGGGAGAGGCAAAATTAAAATAATAGATTTCGGCTTATCTAACTTTTATCATCAAGATGAATTATTAAAGACAGCATGCGGATCGCCTTGTTATGCAGCTCCGGAAATGATTGCAGGTAAGAAATATAATGGACTCCATATTGATATCTGGAGCTCCGGTGTGATCCTATTTGCTATGATGGCAGGCTACCTTCCTTTTGAAGATCCCAATACTTCCTAGTTATACAAGAAAATAATGGCAGGAGAATTTAAATTCCCCAAGTACATATCTGGAGAGGCAAAGGATTTAATTAAGAACATACTAAATGTTGATCCTTAAAAAAGGTATACAATTGCAGACATTCGTAAACATAGTTGGTTTAGTTTTTGTATAAATTCAATTTTATAAAGTTTTATTAAGACAATTAAAAAATACCAACTGGCCTTATTGTTGGTTAACATAGAATACCAATAGATCCTGAAATAGTTAAATAGATGGTTTCTTTGGGCATTTCTAGTGAATATGCTGAAAAATGTATCGAAACAAACCGACACAATCATGTAACAACTACATATTATCTGTTATTAAAGAAATATATCATAGGTGGAAATAAATCAATAGCAGGTAATTATGTCATCTATTAAATCCCCCTAGATATAAGCTCTGAATAGTTTGAAGCTCAAAAAATATCTATTAGACAATCTACTAATACTGATAGAAAACTAATTAATTAAATGAATCCTTTGCCATTAATATAGCGCAAGTGTACAAATATTCATTAATAATCATCCTAGCAAGACATACCTAGTAAAGGGAAGATTCACCTGTTGATACAAAGCCAAGATTAAACAATTCTCTCAACACTCAAAATACAATATTATAATAGTAATCCCCTACAGTTTTAATGAATCAATCTGTGGATGTGAAGAGGAAAGTGACTTTAGATTTTTAGAAGACTACGCTTTTGGAATCTAGTTTATTATAATAATCTAATGATGTTAAGGTTTTGAAATTGAAGACTCCTGCTTGTAGGAATTATATATTGGCTGAGTATTATGGTAGATATCCAAGGCGTTCTAGAAATTCAGACAGGTAAAAGTCAATGGATTAAGAGTAAACATGCTTTAGAACATTTTACAAAGGAAGCCCTATTCCAAAAAGATGAGTTGTTATTCTGTTAATTCTATTTTTTTCTTATTATATATAAAATGGCATTATTAGGTAAAACCTTGAAAGGTCGTACTACAAAGCCTGGAGGTACAGAGTAGAAGAGAAATATAAAAATAAGACAGATAACTAAGTCTTAGCAAGAGTTTGAAGAGAGTCAAAAGTAGGCTTAAGTAATATTGGGTCATATTGGTAGTTTAAAAAAGAGTAACTGCGAAGTAAAATTAGAGAGGAGCAGAAGATTGTTAATTTCAATACGAAGAAGCTTATGGCTTATTGGAGAAGAACAATGAGGGCTGTTAAAACGGAATAATTGAAGCAAGATATCGAATTATACTCGTAAAACAATAAAAGAGAATTAGATTCAAAAGAAGCATTCATTCAAATGCTTGATAAGAATTTAGATGAGGCTGAGGATCAATATCAAATTGCATTAAGGAACCATCTTATTCATTTGGAAAATTTCCATTTATTATAGGAGAGTAGAAATAGGGCTTTATTGGAGGAGTTTGAAAGAGATATCAAAATACTTTAAGAAGAATTTTAAATTGAATTTGATGACATGACCAAGACTCACAAATAGCAAGTTAAGGAGTTGGAAGACATGATTAAAACAGTGGAAGAGGAGGAGAAGAGAAAGGCAGAGTTGGCTAAGAATTAACATTAAACAAATAGAGAAGAGACAAAGAATAAGGATGTCGAAGACACAAGTCAGATGAAATAATAATTAGAAGATAAACAAACTAAATTTTATAATGATTTAGAGTAGATGCATTAAAAATATCAATCTGATACTGCAAAGAAAACTGAGGATCATACTAAATATTATGATGCCAATAAAGATATGTCAAAAAAGATCGAGAGATTGGTTAGATCAATAGCTAGTAAGAAAGCAAAGATTGATCTAACCAAATATAAAATCTTATAACATACAAAGGAATGCAATGCTAGGAATTAGGCTTTGAAAAAGGAGAAAGAAAACATTGCCAAGAATTACTAAGATTTAAAATTGAAAATGAACAAATTTAGAGAGGAATAGTAAAGATTGTTGAAAGAGTTAGTAAATAATAGTCGAAATGCTGTTTTGAAGTTGACAGAATATAAGGAATTGGGAGAGAAGATTTTAAAAACAGCCGAGTTGTGTAGGAGATTGGAAACAGAAAGGGAGAAGGTACTGCCATTTTATGAGGATACAGTTGATATGGATTAAATCCCAGAGAATTTAAAGAATGATTTTGAAGTCATAGAAAAGGAGTAATATGAAGAATTTGCTTATCTAAACAATTTCTATAAGAGATACAACAAGGTATGTAAACAGCATTAAATTTAAGGTTTTGTTGGATATATTGGCAATTCAGAAACAAAAGGAGGCCTTGTAAAATGAGAGCAATCAACTACAATCATTACTAAAATAATACTTGGATGGGTTGTCATGCAATGATGATGTGCTATCAAATCCAAATCCATTATTTGTTAAGAACTTCAATATAGACTTAGGAGAGAAGCAGGTCACAGGAGATTTGCAACAAACAGTAATAGAGGGTGTGTTTAATGTAAGGAGCACTTAAATGCAATTATAAGGATAAAGGGTGGGACCATTTTAATGATATTATAATTATTAATAATATATATGAATTAAAAATTAGACATCTTAAAATAAGTCAAAATTCCCCGTTCCATAAGTACAACTAACTAGAAGGCTACAATGAAGAAATTGAACAATTAATCAATGCAAACAATTGTTGATAAATTGCCTCCAATTCACCCTGAACCTTTACAACGTATACAGACAGAGTTGTAAGAGGAACATTAATGTGTGAAATACATAACTGCCAAGTTTGATTAATTATCAAATATTATAGAACTCTAGCAGGGTAGACGAATAGAAAGAGATTGAAGATAAATTAAGACAGTCTAATAATTAAAAAGTACTTATGTAATTAGATTGATTGGCATTTGTTTGGAGTGTTTGATGGCCATGGATAAAATGGGCATTTTATTTCTAAATTAATATCTTAATTGATGCCTAAAGTATTAGAAAATAAATTACTTGAAAATAGAACCAGCAATGCTAATGATATAAAATAAATTTTAATTAATACATTTCAACATATCGAAAATGAATTAGTAAAAATGTAATTTAATTTAGGTAGATAATTCAAATATCGCTTGTAATTTTAGTGGATCGACAGCAATAGTAACATATTTTATGGGTTCAAAAATATTCTGTGCCAACGTGGGTGATTCAAGAGCAGTCTTCTTTTATAGATCAGGAGATGCATGGTTCAATAGAGCCTTATCATTTGATCATAAGCCTAATAAATCAATAGAACTCAAGAGAATTCTGGGTTAAGGAGGAAGAGTGGAATAAAGTTTTTTTGACGGTAAAAGATAGGGAGCTTATCGAGTTTGGTTGCCTCATGAAGATGTCCCAGGTTTGGCAATGTCAAGATCAATTGGAGACTTGGTAGCAAAACAAGTAGGAGTGATAGCAGAACCTGAAATATTAAGGTATAAAATTCCAAATAACGGATTCGTATTGATTGGCAGTGATGGTTTATGGGACAAAATGGATTATGAAAGTATTTAAAAGATACTTCATAATTATTATCCTCCATTAAATTAAATTGACGTTGAGTCTGCGATTTAGAGACTACTCGGAGAAACTTATACAAAGTGGGATCAATTAGATGCAGCAAGAGATGATATTACAATTATACTCATTTATGTAGAAACTTGATTATTTTTATAAATATATTTATATTTTATGAAAGCCAATCTGCCAAAAGAGTTTAGGGTGCAAATAGTTTTTAATAATGACATCTTAAATGAATTAGAAGCTGAAAGACCTTCCGAAGAAATGATCGATAGATATCGTAATCTATTTGAAAGCAACAAAATTAAATTAAAGGCATCTATGGTTATGGAAAAAAGGGGTCGTGGCAGACCTCCCAAATAGAAATCACCTATTATAGACGAATCAATTGAAGATGAAATTTCTAATGGCGAAGATGATGTGCCTGATGATGAATTTGAAGAGGAAATGGACCTTGAAAATGATGTTAATTTATCTGTCTCTTCAAAAGAAAGGAAATTTACTAAAAGACAAATGCTTATGTATAGTTTGGGCAATTTGGATGGAAGTGAATTCCAATAATTACCTTCAAAAAAGTCGAAATCAAAGAAAGACTTGGCTTTTACAGAGGAAGAGATGATATCCAAAAGTTAGAAAGAACTACAAAGAAAAGAAAAATTGCAAAAGCAACAAGAAGAACAAAAGTAAATGACTGTTGATAAAATCTTGAATGAAATAGGAAGAAAATAAAAGCAAAGACAATAATAAGAAGACAAAAAAACAGAGGACACCCACAAATATAGATCTCTACCTCCAAATGATATCATCATCAAATACAAATCTAATAGTGAAGGTACATTTATCATAATGCCAAAATATATGAACTCATCTTTACATAATCCCTCAAAAATGATTGTTGAGGATGATAAATATTGCTCAAATTGTTCTAATCTAGCTAGATATCGTATTCCAAAAATGTAATAGAAAGCATGCAGTCTTGAATGTTATAAATTAATAAAACAATAATGATCAACCTTTTTTGTGTATCAATCTCCTTTTACTTTGTTGTTTCTCTATTCGTTCTCTTTCAACTCAACCCCTGCCTTTTCCTTCTCTTCTTTCTTTTAAATTGTTCTAAACTTCAACATTTCTCTCACTCCTTCAGACACCAAAATTACATAAAACACGTATGACACAAACACTTAAAAGAATGTAAAATTCGGATTTCCTGTAAAAGAATGTGTCCATGTTAGTTGTAAGCCACCTCCTAAAAATAATATTAAGCATCCTGCATGAATAATAACTATTGTTGGTAATGAATTGAATAGCCAATCATATCTTTAGAATAAAAGTATAAATATTATGATAAGATCCGATATGGCTATGTACTGAAAGTATAAGAAACTACACTAAATATTAAGTATCAATAATTACAAACAAAGAAACTCCAATCATAAATCCAAGATATTCCTTCTCTCTCTTAGCATACTTCACAAATAAATTATACAAGGGTAGAATGTAACAAACTGGTAACAACATAAAAAATGCATGATATAAAGATTTATACTTTGAGAATAACTAAAATTTAATTTCAAACATACTCCTGAAAATAATGCCCATAAAAATCCTATTGTTGGCCTATGATCTTTAGGAAAATAATAATCAATATAGGCTTTTTCTATAAATTACCAATTTCCAGTAATTAAAAATGAGATGTATAACAATAAGCAAATAGTTGCAATGCTTGCTAATAAAAATATTATCAATTTAAAAGCAAATTTTGAGGTTGTTGATGTTTCTCTTCTAAAGATTACAGAAATTGCAGCTAACACAATAAAATATTATGGGTTTATATATAATAAAACTCCAAATAAAAGAGGGGATAAAATTTTAATTTTAAGTGCTGATAATATGGTCAACAACAAAAATATGTGATCAAATACATTTGTATTCTTTAAGATAATATTCGCAAACTACAATATAGATCATTTTTACTGTGATTGGATTCAAATGATAAAATAGCAAAATCGATTTCCTATATCCCTACTTCGCCCCAAATAATTATACAATTAAAAAGCACACTAAAATGTCAGCTATTAGAAATATGACATCATTATCAATCATAACTAATCCATAAACAATCAAAGGTTTCTAAAATATTCCATCCGTATTATATGGATTGTAGTTATTAGCTAATAGATATTTTGCTTCCCTAATATTATTATATTATGTATATGGATTTGAGAAATAAGGTAGCCAAGTCAAATCTACATCCCACTTTCCCAAATACCAAAGCAAACACTTTAATATTAAAATAATTCTATACATTAAATAAAGTAATAATTAATCATTTATTTTATTAACACTTCTGATTACCTTCTTAAAGCGAATTTCACAATTTTATTGGCTTCAATTGAGCTGATTCTGATTTAGAACTTTAATTGTAAAATTTCGGCTAACAATTTAGAGAGATCAATTTAAGTTTATAATATAAAAATATAGTATATTTTTTAGTATAATAAATAATATGTCTATTAGATGTGCCCTTTGAATGATATAGAGATCTTTTTAATTTTCTCAATGTCTGGGCTTAATTAATTATTTACTTGAACTTTTTTTGTTAACTAAATTGAATTTGCAATAAACTAATTTGCTTAATCTCCACATCATTAAACTTTATTCAAACAATTTCAGCAAGCATCAATCTAAATGACATATCAAAATTTGTGTTAAATTACAAGGTTAATAAGCTAAGAATTTATTCATATTTATCATAAAGAATTTATTAAAAAAATCTAAAATTTTAAAATTAATTCTATACATTTTTAGGTTTTTGTTAAATTTTTACTAATTTTATTCCTATCAACATATGAAGCATAGAAAATGCTATCATTTATAGTTCTTTCCCCTATTCTACCAAATCACACATAAAAAATTATTATTTTATTAAGCTTCTTAAAATGGATTTATTTATAATGGTCTGCTCTTCTACTTAGCTTAATTTTAATATTTGAAGTTGAATCTTATTTTATTCAAATAGAGTTGTGGTTGGAACTAAAGAACCATGATTAAGCAAAGATTGATCATTTTTAAATCCTTATTAAAGCTATAGCATGCCTCTCTAATTCTTAATTAATTATAAACTTGTGTTATATAATCAAATCTGCTCCAAAGATTCGTTTCAAATATCTACAAAAATAGATAAAGCAATCTTATATCTCATATATTTATGATTATTTAACATGATAGATCAATAAGAAAACATTAATAATATTAAATAAATAAAGAATCATTATAAAAATTTAACTCTCCTTCCAAAACTTGATGATTTCTTTTGCCGAGTTATTAATCTTCTTAATTCCGTGAATTGGTCGTCGACATTATATTCCTATTTTTGATTTAATTTTACCATAATCTATTTATAACGCTCCTAAATGCTAGGCTTCTTGTTTTTTAACATAAAAGTGCGATTGGGATTTTGTGAAATGAGTGGTCGAATAGTAAGAGTCTGTAAACTCTTTTAATTTATTGGTTCAGTTTATTATTAGGCAATGATTTAAGATCTGATCCTACACGAGATAGTATGAACTATTTCTCTCTTAGGAGATTGTTATTTTGGTAAAAGCTTGTAATAAGTTAATTTAGGTTTCAAGGGTTTCAAGTAATATTCAAGAGAATTCTCAGTGAATTCCAAATCAGAATAATCAATATTTACTCTCCTTAATTTTTGACCAACACTCTCTGAGACTCTCATTTTATAAATTATTATATAAATTATGTTAACTCAAAGCTAATAGCATTAGTTTGATTTTAAAACTAGATAAACTTCACACATAGGTACTTATACTCTACTCCTCAATTAATTCATAAATCTTTATAATTCAACCAAATTATAGATTATTGTTATTTAGATTTTAATTCGTTAAAACCACCGAGACATCCTTAAGGAGAAAATTAACTAGAATAGCATAGGTATATAAATTAAAATAGTAAAAGAACCTAGAAGCCTCTCTTATAAAAAAGATATAAAATGACTGCAGATGAGACAGAATAAAGAAATCATAAAATTTCATTACCGTCATTAGCTAAAATAAGAAAGGCAGAATTTAATTCTATGGAGAATAGTAATTATGGAATTAAATTAGTCGAATAACCGATCTCAATACTTGATTAAGGAAATGGATAACGAATTCAAAATCGGTTACCTAAACTGGAAAATAGAAATGAAATTTCTAAATCTAAATATGAAATTTAATTGAACCAAACTCCAAGAGATGAGGAGTAGAAGAAACAAAAGTAGAAATAGAAGAAAACATCGTTTACACCTGAATAAAGAATATCTGAAAGTCCTGAAAAGAATGTTTCATATCATAAAAAGAAAGGAGGAGTAAAATAATGGCAAGGATTTAAATTTGTTCATAAAACCAAAGCTGGTTGCTAGGTCAATAAATAAACAAAGACAAATTAGGATTCAGCAATCGTCTTCCCATTGAATATTGAGAGGTACAAATGAGCAGTAATTTAGAAAAGTTAAAATTGTGGATTAATTGGAATTTGTGATGGCCACGGAGTAAATGGACATTTTGTCTCAGACATTATCAAATAAAGATTACCAAGTATATGAAGTGACTCAAATTAGTCTATTTGGAGTTCTAATTATAGTCATAAAATCCAGATATGGAAGAATGCTTTAAAAATGCCTTTGAATTAACAAATTCAGAGATTCTTTAGAGTTCATTTGATACAGCACTATCTGGGTCAACTACAGTCATAGCTATGATTCAATAAAACCAATTATGGACAGCCAATGTCGGAGATTCCAGAGCTATATTGTGTAGAAATTGCAATGGTTGGAGATCAATACCATTAACCAGAGATCATAAACCATCAGATGAATCCGAAAAGCAAAGAATTCTTTAAGCTGGTGGAAGAATTCAAACTTCAAGAGGTGATTTACAAATAATGAGATATTATAGATTTCTTTGGAAATAATGTGGGTCCGGAAAGAGTTTGGCTCTCTTATATTGATGCTCCTGGTTTGGCCATGACTCGAAGTATGGGAGATAAAATAGGAGCTTAAGCTGGAGTCAGTAGTGTTCCTGAAGTGTTTCAATTCACCTTGTCATAAAATGATAAGTTCCTTGTTATTGCTTCTGATGGAGTGTGGGAGTATTTATCAAATGAGGAAGTAAGGATTGAATTATCTACTCGCAATAGGTCATGGATATCGTGGTTCCTTATTATGAAAAGGGAGAACTCGAGTAGGCAGGGGAGAAATTAATGATGGAAGCAATAAACTCTTGGAAGTTGAACAGTCCTGGAAGAGATGATATAACTTTTATTATTGTATAATTAAATAATTGAATTTAGTAATTATGTGTGGTAAAATTAATTTATTAATTGTTTATTGACATGTCATTACATTTCCAATACCTAGGCTAAGGATTGAGCAGCCAAAAAACTATGGAATTATTACAAAAGCATTGTTCATCTAAGTACAATTGTGAATTCTAACTCAAGTGATCATAACAAAATTGCTGATTTCGGTGCTGTTTTTGATGATTTATTGGAGTAACACAAATACAAAGATTTAATTGTATCAACTCTTGAGATTATCAATTTATCACCAGATAAAACTTGTATTCAGCAGATCATATTTTAGTATTACAACCAATCTATTCTGCAATTCAATATTGGATGACTAAACTTGAGTCAAAGGAATAATAAGTCATAGTTGATCTCTTTCTATAGCACATCGAATAGATTAATGAAGAAGCCATTTTTAAAACGAAAATGTAACTCTGCATCACTATTCAAAAGTGTAGCACAATTGTTCAATGCATTGAGTTCATCCCCATTGTCATAGAATCTATTTTTGAAATTACTTGAATGTGCAAAGAAATGGAATACTTAGTAATTAATCATATCTCCCATAATTTCAAACATTAAGGAATTCTTGAATTTATGGACTCTCAATGGCCCTGAAGTCTTGAAAATATTAAATGCAATCTCCGATTTAATCGATCCTCAAGAGTATATTACTTAATTATTACTTGTAGTTAACAATACGTTTTACAAATTTCTGAATACATTTTGAGAAACATCAGTACTTCATAAGAATAATACATTAAGACATTTATTAGCTTCCAAAATATCAATGTACTTTGCTAATTTTAAATATTTTAAGCAATCCTTCTTAAAGTTATGCGAAATCACATAATGCTCTAATTTTTAGGTTATTGAAAAAACACAATTGGGTTAGCTTATAAAATTAGTGCTTGCAGGTGATTTGTCAGGAGCATCAGCCTTTTTGGTGAAGGAAGAAGGTTATTTTAAATCAATAAGTATGAATATAAGGTGAGATTAGATCTAAATGTTGAGCAATATTTGAATTAGACAAGGATAGCCAAATTTATTTAATTATCAAGTTAGAAGTAGAGTTACTCATATTAAGAAATAGCTGGTGCTTTGAATGTATGAAATGAAAATTTATTGATTGTAGATAAAATTAGAAGAAGTGGAGATTTGGGTTATTCATGCAATTCAATCTTAAAATGTTTCAGCTTAAATTGATTAATCTTAATAAAGAATTTTCATCTTGTAATGAAATATAATATGTTAGAGATAACTTTAAAAAATTGCTAACCAAAGATGATTGGTAAAACTTGCATAAAAAATTATCAGCTTTGTTAACTAAGCTTAAAAATGTTCAAACATAATGAGAATGGTATATTATAAGTTTTATTAAAATAATTTAATCATTTTCAAGATTTCTTTTTCTACACTTCCTTCACCATTTTAAGTTGTTTTCTATTTTAAAACATTCCTTAATCAATCTATTACATTTATTAACCTAAATCATCAAATTAGGCATTCAATCCTTCTTACTAATAATTGTTCACTTCCATCTAAAACATTTATTTCTTTCCGAAATTTAAGTAATTTGATCTTTTACTTGCATTTTTAGCCTAATCAATATCAAGAATGGCTTAAGCAGATACTTTTGCCAGTTTTTAATCAGTTAGAATATTTTACTTCATCTTTTCTAGCATATCTTCAGCTTCTTCGTTTTTGGATAAATCACATTTCATTCTAGCTTATTCAATGGCTTCTGTGGCTTAAACACGTAAGAATTCTCTGGTGACATCTGCATTAGGATCATTTTCACCAATTTATTCCTCTTCATTATATAATTTGAGCTATAAGGTTGAAACCTTTTAGAATGTTTGTTTTGAAAATGTGTTGTTGAATTATAAATAAACATGAACAACTTAAGGAGCTCTTTATTCGTCTAGGATTTAGTCTGTAAAAGGAGGGAGTGCGATTTCAAAAACAAAATCTTTTCTAGAATCTGAAGCTATCGAAGGAACATTAATCTAATAAAATCTGCCTTATTCAAAAGATTTCCACATGTCACCATATGTTTTTTGGATTTATACATCTTGATAGGGTATTTGAGGAGAACATTTAATGTCAATTTAAACCTTCTCTGCCAATGCTGAAGATAATCTACCCAAAGCATCTGCAAAGAATTCATCTAACAATTTCACATTTTCAATATAGTAAAAACTTCCTTGTCCTACTTTGCAAATTTTGGACATCAAATCAGCGTCATGATCACTTCCATACCCGAATGAATGGATAGTTACTACATCAATAATCCTATCCTTTTATTTTTGAATACTCTAAGCTGCTCCAGAGTCTTAACCATCAGACAATAAAAATATGGATGTCACTTAATTCTTCATTTTTCTTTGTTGGATTTGCTGAAATGCGATATCAGTACCTGCTGCTATATTAGTTGATCCTCCAGCAGTGATAGCAGCTATAGCAGCTTTAAAATATTTTTTATTTCCTTCTGTCAAGGTCTTTAATGGAGTGTGTCTTTATGCACTTCCATTGAATACTATTAGACATAATCTATCCTTTTCACTAAGGAAATTCAACAATTATACAAGAGATTATTGAACACTTTGAATTTTCTATCCACTCATACTACCACTCTTATCAATAACACATATTAAATCAATGCCAGCCTCAATTGAGGAATTGTTTTTGGCATATTATTCAATATCCTTAGTAATGATGCTTACCATGGCAGGTATACTTTATTTTTCTGACTTTTTTAGTTTACAAAAATCATATTATGCTTGAACTTTCACCTCAATCAAATCTTCAATATTCACTGGCAATCCCCCTTGTTTTTAATATTGCTACAAGATATCATCATCATCATCATAAACTTACTTAGGTTCATACTTGTATTAATACTGAGGATCACCTCCAAATAAATTACTAAAATAATCCTTAACTTATCCAAATATCCCTTATTGCTATTATTAGCTAGGCACTTGTTATTTAGCATTATTTTTGGAATTGCTTACCCTATTAACATTGTTTGCATTTTATTGGGTTTGTTAGATGAACTATTACTATTGTTGTTATTATTAAATTTATTATTATTATTAAACAGGGACCTATTGTCCAAATAGAGATGCTTCATATTATTGATAAGAGCCTTATAATTATGCTCTCTATTAATCCTTAAGTTCTGCTCTTAAGGCATTTGACATTAAATTTGGCTTCATAGCTTTGGGCTCTTTAGGGACATATACTTCTTTTACCCCTCCTTACACATATTAGTTCATGTAAGTATCTTATTAAAATCTAAATATTGTATTTTTTCATACTAATCTGCAACATTCATCTGATTTACAGGGTCTTATGTTCTGGTTTCAACTCCTTCATTGGAACTAATATTAAATTAATCGTTCTAGTTATCCATAGTTATTTAAATTATTTAATTTATCTAATGAGCATGATTTATTTTTTTTCAATTTAAACTCAAGATCTTTTATTTATCTGAGAAATTCTGTTATAAACAACTATGATAATGTATTATTTAAATATAGAAAGATATTTCATTTATGAATTAAATTTGATAAGTTTATAATGCAAATAAATACATAATAAGTAATAAAAAATGAAAATTGCATTTACTCCATACATAATCAGATTTCAGTGTTCAAATGAAGTGAACACTTATCCCCATTAAATAAATATAGCAAAATTTGAAAAACATATACTTTATCTATATAACTACCTTCTAAATAGTTGTCAATGCTATCTAATATCAATCTATAGAACACTGACATCTTCTTCAATAAGTAAACAATTTATTAAGTTTCTTATCACTTTGCCAGTTGTCCTAACTACTGTCATTTTGTTATGATAATTAAGATTTCGTTTTAACATCCTATTGTTTCTTTGGTTTCATATTTTAATTATTTTTTTATGATTTTAATTACACTTCTAGAAGCCATTGTCTTGATAAGTAATGGTTTTGCCATTCTTAATGAGAAGCGAGTCTTATCGAAATGTATTCAATCTAAAATCCTTTAGATGGTTTCGATAAAGTTGATTACACAAGAGCACATGAAGGAGGGTCTTAACACATGAAAGGAATTATAGTAAATTGGTTAATGTTTGCAAGATCGATGAAGAGTATAAATCCCTTTTATATGTAATAGTTTTCCTTATTATGGGTAATCTCATTGTTATTTTAATTGAGATCCTTTCATTTTGAATATTAAATGTGCAGAAATATTCCTTTTATAGATTATATCAAATATATATAATTAATATATAATTTGATATAAATGTACTCTTTCATATTTTGTTCATTATTAATCTTCAAACAATTTTTACAAATTGTTAATTTCATACTCTTAAAATTTACAATACTTATTATAATACTCTTGTTGAAGATAATCAGAATGTTGCCCATTCCATTTTACCTCAGAGAATTACATACATTCAAGAATGCCCTCCTAATTTATTACAGACAGGGATTTCTTTTAGCAATATCCCTATAATTGATGCTTTATGAAAGTTTTAACAGTTTCAATTACTTAGTCATCGAAAATTAATTTATAATTTTGTAACAAATTTTTTAAAATGCTCCTAACTTAGGCTTAAGGAGCCTTTAAATCAGGCTCATATACGAATTCTCTATTTCATTTATAAATATTACATACTTTTCAGAATAATCCTCAACTAGGTATCTAGCTAATAAATTACTGTTTTTAATATTAAAAGGATCTTCTTTGAGCTTTTTTTCAATTTCATTAATAGATATTTCACTGTCATTAGAAAATAAGATCTAAAAACTATAAATTTATGATACATTTTCGGCATCTTCTAAAGAGACTCTGTTTTTTCTCAAAGTTAATTTTAGTTCCAGTACTGTTTGTTCGATTTGTGATTTCCTAACTTATTTAACAATTAATTGATCATTAGGAGTTGCTGTTGGAGAGAGCGGGAGTTATGTTGTGGATTGAAAAAGTGAATCCTCACCATAAATAAAAGGGGATGTTTGTATTTTTTTTTTCTAAAATTAAGACAAATACCTAATAGATTTTATGTTATATTTACTTATCCATTTATTTTTGCTTATCCAATATGGTATTATAATCTAATTATAGTCTATCTAATCTTTCAAATAAAATCCTTTTTTCATTTTCTAATAATGATATTTTGTGTATTGATTCTTGATTTAATTGGGATAAAGCATTTTAAGTTTCTTAAATTATTGTTTGACTTTGATCCAACTTATATGTTAAAAGTTAGATTTCGTCTTTTTTAACATTAAGTTCATTCATCAATAGAATTTCAGTTTTTGTTGGATTTCTTTAAAGGTTCATTTCTGACAGTGGATCTCTATCTCTGAATCTTTAAATTTATTATTCTTTTAATTTTAAAACTGATTATAATTAATTAAATTTGGCTTTAATGAGAATGTATTCAGATCTAGTTTTCTCTAGGTCTAGAATATAACGTTTTTGAGATTCTAATTTTTGTAATAAAGTAACATTATCTTAGATCAATTCAATTTAGTCTCCTTCAAACTTAGAGGATTATTAATATTTGAGCAGCTAAGTTTACAAATCTTAGATTTATCTTTTCAGTTCTACTTGCACTTTATATTGAATACTTTCCTTGAGTGTTTGAATTTCTTAATCCTGTTACTTTATTTTTAGAAAACTTTATGAGAGCATCTTTCTTTAATCATTTGAACTCATAACACTAATATTACTTTCGAGTTAAGTAAGTGCTCCTATTAATGATTGATTCTCAATTGATAATTTTTTTGATCTAAGCTTTTCATGATAAAGTTGTTCATATAATGTCTCCTTGTCAAGGCAAATATTTTTTGGAATTATAACTTTCTTAATTTTAGTCGAATTTGAATCATTGATTGAATTGAGAGTCTTAATCCTTCTTTAAGAATCATTTTTTAAGAGGTGCTAGAAATTATTATTAGTTACATGCGAACTCATATAATTAATTTAATATTAAAATGAATTTTAATTAACAATAACGATTTCATAAGAAACCATATTCTTAATTTGATCTCCATACTGATAGGCCTTCCAAGATGCCCTCCTTTATGAAGTCATCTGAAATTGTTTCAAACTTTAAGGAGAATTAGGATCCCATTCAATATTCAAATATTTCTATAATTAAGGAAATTCAGGACATTGAAAAAATGTATTAAGACAAAATTGATTCCTTGAAAAAACTAAATGCAAAGTTGATGTCCACTATTGAATTTATGGAAAAAACACTTGAACAATAAAAGAGTATGTTATAAGAAAAATAACAAATTGTAAATATATGATATCTATAGAATTAAGATTATGAAACAGCAAAATGAACTCTCTTAATATCGCTAGATCCTTTCACAAAATACTCAAGTCAATATTAAAAACTTAAAAACAGAAATCGAAGATGAAAAAATTAAAACAGAAAGATTACACTATGAATTAAAGGATTTTAAATATAAGTTTGAAAAAGAAAAACCATTGGTGCATTTGTTCAAAAAGATTGAATAAACTTAAGAAGAATATAATGAATAAAATAAACTATTCATGAGAGAAGTCCTGCAGCTACTAGATAAACCTCGAAGTCAATCATTTTATCGATAACCCTCAAAGTAGCATGTAAAGAAATCCTCATTTTATAATTGATTCTATTTTATAATAATTAATTAATTTTTATATTAAATGAAATAGATATAAAAGAGAAAAAATAACTCCAAAAAATAAGAAAGGATTAAACTTGATTCCTCTCAATTAATCAAGCTGATGACAGCCTAAAAATAATAATAATAAAAAGGCTCTAAAAATGTTAACGCTCTCATTGGAATGAGCTTTTATAAAATTCCAATATATAAATTCTCACCAGAAATAAATCAGTATCTTTAAAAATACAATAAGGAGTGTAAGAATATCCATAATTTTCATAGAAACTGTAAGCTTTATTTAATGCAATCTCTCTTCTCTGGAAGGATTGAAATTTGATGGCAAATAAGTTAAACATTTGAGAGCAGATTACAACAGTTTGAAAGGAGATTCACTATAATTTATAGCATAAAATTTCCCCAATTTGCTTACTTTGAATCTGAAGCATAACTAAATAGCAAATTTAGAAGTATACTATTTTATATTTTAGGATTTAGTGCATTTAAAACAATTGAAAAATTTAGAATAACTAAATCTATCATTTAACCCAGTTAAAAAATTTTAAGAATATAAATCAACTATTTTTTAATATTTACCTTAATTGTATATTTTAGATCATGATGCAGATATTGATGATTCTATGTAAGACACAAGCGATGACTTTATGGTAAGTTTCAGTCTAATTGTAGCTCCATAGCTCAGAAGAGGAAAGTGATTCCAGTTTTGATGATTATGAGGAAAGCAGCGAAGAAGATAAAAAAAAATAAAATAAACGAAAAAAGGTCAAGAAATGATATATCTAGTGTAATCAAGTTTAATTTGCATATAAAAATTAAATGAAGCCTCCATAGAGTTCTTAGTCATAAAATAACTTACCTATGTTATTTATGTACACAAAAAACCTTGAATCTCAAAAAGCAAAATGATTTAAAATAAAATAGGAATTCTTAATATTTCTTCTTGAAAATTCTATGATTTTTTTTTTCTTTTTCGCAAATTATATTTCCTTACATATAAATCAAATATGTTACAAAAATGTGCTAAATTTTCTGGATGATTTTCATTAGCCATAGAAATATTGGAGTATGTTAGTTTGATTCTGAGGATTCTTTGCATGATCGATTCTTCTTGATTTTTAAGAATCTCTATATATTTTGAATATAAACGGCATAAAGGGACAATTTAATTGTAAAGAGAGTTAAATTGTAATTGTTATTCTTCAACAATTAACAAGAGGGCTTCTGAGCATTAGTTGAGATATGTATAGCAAAAAATAAGCCTTTCGGGAATAATAATATAATTATAAATTAATTTTACAAGGTATTGTTAATGGGAATATGTGGAGGATAAGGGAATAAGAGACTAACTAAACTAAGTCTCGAATAAACAAAGGATTAGACTGGAACTACTTCAAATAATGAGAACCCAGGGTCTTCAAAGTAGTCTAAGTTCGTAAAGCAACTAACAGATTTCAAAGTCGATCCATCTATATTTGTTACATTAAAGAAAGGAGATTTGTTGAACAATTACAAAATAGATTAGGTTTTAGGGGAAGGTATCAAAATCATATAAGTCTTATAAAGGAACTTATGGGAAAGTAAGTCTGGTGACTTAGAAAGCAACAGGACTTTAAAGAGCAATGAAATAGATCAGGAAGGATAAAATAGTTATTGAATAGAAGGATAACATGATCTAGGAAGTGTCTATACTAAAGGAATTGGATCATCCTAATATTGTAAACATTTATGAGTTGTATGAGGATGAAAGTTTTTTTTATATTATTACAGAGTAAGCATTATTATTTCAATAGATTTTAAGATATTTGAGTGGAGGCGAATTATTCGAGAAAATAAATGAGATTGATCATTTCAATGAGACCATTGCTGCAGGATATATGAGAAAGATACTCGAAGCTGTAAATTATTGTCATACTCGCAATATTGTACATAGGTATTATTCTTACAATAATAACCCCAAGAGATCTTAAGCCTGAAAACATTTTATTTGAATCTAAGAAGGCACATTCTAGTCTAAAGATAATTGATTTTGGAACTGCAAAGTAAATTGATGATTAAAGCAAATTGTCTTAAAGAATAGGAACTGTAATTTTATAAACTATCAAATATAGCCATATTATATTGCTCCAGAGGTAATAAACAAAAGATATGATTAAAAATGTGATGTATGGTCTTGCGGTGTAATTTTATTTATCATGCTTTGTGGGTATCCACCCTTCAATGGATAAAATTAACAAGAATTATATTAAAGAATATAGAGTGGTATTTTTTCATTTGATGGTAACATAATTTATTAAATTAAAAAGAACCTGAATGGGAAGATATTTCTGCAGATGCAAAAAATCTAATTAAGAAAATGTTGGTACCAGATCCTGAGAAAAGAATATCTGCTTCTGAAGCTTTGAGACATGACTGGATGGTTATCAATTAGAAGGATAAAAAACTTAATTCAAAATCCCTGGAAAAACTGGCTAAATTTCATGTAATTTAGACTATTTATCTAAGAGTCAAAGCAAATTAAAAGCAGCAATAATGCAACTAATTACAACTTAAGTTATGTCTAATCAAGAGAAAAAGAAAATTTAAACTTAATTTAAAAAAATTGATGTTAACAAAGATGGTACTTTGAGTCGAGAGGAACTACTTAAATGTTACAGGGATATATATGATGATGAAATGAAGTGCTAAGAAATTGTTGATAATCTATTTTAATAGGCTGATGTTAATGGATCTAATTAAATTGATTATACTGAATTCATAGTTGCCTTTGCAAAAAAAGAATAATTAACAGCTTAGAATAAATTAGAAAAAGCATTCAGACTTTTTGATAAGGATGGAAATGGATCAATCAGCAAATAGGAGTTATAAGAAATAATGGGAGGAGCATAATTAAGTGAAGTTGAATGGAACAATGTTTTTAATGAATTAGATCTAAATGGAGATGGGATTGTGAATTTCTAAGAATTTACAGAAATGCTTATCAAAAATGCTAATGAATAAGAATGATATATTTTATTTTCCTATATTGATATACTCATTTGTATTAGTATTTAGACTTTTTGCCATATTAATTAAGTAGGTTATCTAATTTTTACTATGAATTATTTGGAAACATTTAATCATTTGTTGAAGTTGAATCTCTTGTTGTTGCCGACTAAAACTTGCTTAAAAATTCTAGTTTTTTGGGTATTTATGTAGTTGTCTCAATTTATATTCCTCTATTAACGGTTGAATTTTTAGTCAGGATGTTGACTAATATAAATATTTCTAAAGATTACCGGCATCTGCCAATGCTCTCTTTTTTTACTGATTCTCAAGATTAGTGGCTTATCGAGATTCAATAGAATTCAGCATTGTTTTACCATCAGAATACTATTATAATCTTTTGATCTGTTGATTTATTCCATGATTTAATATATCAAAATTAGTTTTCCTTTATTATTATAATGCATATTATTTAGATTTCTCCAATATATCTTATGACTTTTCATTATCAATATATTTCTTTCTTATTTTTTAATACTCATTCGATAAGTATTCACTATCATTGCACTTATTTGTTTTAGTAACTGATGTTTCCGAGACATTGGTTTTACTTAAAATTAAAATTTATAATTTATACACTCTTCTGCCATTCCAGTCACTTGGTATTTCTTCTTATTGATGATTTAATTCCTTTTCATATTGAAGTAGTTATTTGACAAATCCGTCATTAGGGTAAATTTACCATCTTTTTCTTTACAACTATTGCAAGGCCTATTTAAAAGTAATATTATGTTTCTTCATTAAATAAGCAGCAATTATTGAAGCACTCCTGGAAATACCTGCCATGCAATGAACTAATACATTCCCTGTTTGTCTAGCTTTTTCAATAAATTAAAATGATGGATTAAAATATCTATAAATATTCTCGTTTTCACAATCGTCCAAAATATAATGTTCATATTGTTTCATTCTTGAACTAACAATGTATGGTATTTTAGAGACACAAACTGATAAAATAGCTGTGATTCTATGTTTCTTGAGGAGACTAATGTCATCTTATTTATTATGTCTCGTTACTTGCACTGTCGATATTTCCCAAGAATAGAGAACCCACGTACCCGCAATCAATAATGCATGTGATATCTTCCATTATTCTTCCTTAAGTCTGCATTTATTTCCGTTTTTCAGGTGATGATTGATACATCAAATAGTTGTTAACAATAATTAATAAATTCAACTAAAATTAATACTAAAGGTGTTGTTTAATTTTGATCAATTATTTATTATGAATAATTTAATTTAGAAATTATCACATTAAAGCCTTCCTTTCAAGATTTCAGATAAATTTGCCACAATTATAATAGCAATTAAATTCTTTTAAGTTTTGGCTATAATACAACCAACGTATGATCGACTTTAGGAACCTTCTCTACTATTTACTACAAATATCTTAAAATCAATATTAATCATCCCTTACGCATCTAATTTTACTTTAATACTTTTATGTCTTATCCTATTAGTACTCAAAGAGGTCACTCTTGCAATATTCTGTACAATTGAGAACTCCACATAAAAAATAGTTAATAAGTATGGATTGAAACTTATCTTTTATGAAATAATATTCTTCCAATAGACAACTGCTATACCAGAATTATATCTTTTAATTGGATTGCTTAATTAAAGTAATAGGAAGGTTGCCTTCCAATCATTTAAATTTGCATATGTTGCACCTATTTGCATCTTTGTAATTATAATTGTTTCCATAATTGCATTCTTTAGAGTGTACTTTTTAAGAGCCTAAAATATCATTTCCGATACTAAAATATTTCCTAAATTTACATATTTCACTATTTTAAGATTCGTTCTTAAAATATGTGTCATAATAATTTCATTTGAATCAACATATGCTGCTAATCTACTCAAACTATGTTTAGGAATGGGAGTATTTATTGTTTGTTTAATTGAATTGTATATAGAAACAACATTTGAACCCTCGATTAATAGATAATTAACTATTATTATTGGTTGTTTGAAGTTGGCTACGTTTGTGTAATTAATGTGTTACATATTTTCACCTAATAAAGAAGATTAAATGCAATTATTTTATATTTTATTTGGAATTCCTATTATCTTTGTTATCATTAGGATTATCAATCATAGAAAGAAATTGAATATTTTGATTTATTAGTCCTATAAATATCCCATAATTATTTAAATTGAGGAACTTTATGAATTTATGTTTCGATTCAATTCTAATAAGGCATCTGTTTAACTGATGATAGAATAATACCAAATATATAGCAGACATGGTCAGTAATGCAAGTCTTGTAACACAGAATACAATTATTCCATCCCTAAACTGATTTAATGTCTTATTTAAAACAAATTCAGGAAAAACAAATAATCAAAAGAATCTGAAAATTTGATGATCTTGTATGTGAATTTCTTATCAAACACTATGAATCAACCTTTAGTGGCATATGTTGAAGTAAAGAAATTTGAATTCAGAAAAAAACGCTTCTCAATTTATTACAAATTTATTAGAAATCAATTCGCCTTGAAATTAAAGGAGAAAATAGAAGACAAGCAATCTCATTCAACTGTGAAGTCTAATTAAACCTCTTTTTAATAAATAGAAATTAAAGAGATCATCCAAAGTTTCCATTTAGAAGAAGAATACCTTAGAAAATACATATTACTTTTAAATTAGAAAATAAAGATTTGGTAATTGTAAATCAAGGGTGTTGAGAATATAGGAGAACTCATTTAGGTTGTTGGCAATTATGGATCAATGTTATAAAGTGTAATGAATGAATTCTTTTAGGATTTTCATCAAAGCTTAAACTTGAAGAAGAGTGAATAGAAAAATGTTATCCACTTAAAACTAATGGCTATATTGTATTCTTTGATATTAAACAATACAGAGCAAGCACAAGTATATGAATAATAAATTGTGACTATTTGTGCAAATGAAAGTAATCTCCCTCTTGATACAATATGCAATGCTAGTCTACTCGATGATAAAGTGTGCTTATTAACTATCAGTATGGTCAAGAACAAAGGCAAGATCTTGAATGCAAATAAAAAGCAATTAGCCAAGCACTTTGGTTTTTCGTATGATGATTATCATTTGATCTCACATATAAATGATTTAATGCCTCCCTTTTTAATTGATGTACATAATCATTTATTAGAACTTTATTTAGAGAGTGCGTAATCCTAACTTTTTCGATAATTCATCTATATCACCACTGTTTAATAGGATGGATTACTATAGGCTAAATAGTTGAAATTAGACAATAATTTTAGCTATGAAGACGACTATGTAATTACAGGGTGCATCTCAAAAGTAAAGGAGGGGTCTGAATTCATCATTTTTGATTCCAGTGGTAAAATCCTGAGTGCCACTGAATCTATCTATCATTTAATGATTTAAGGGATTGATCAAGAGGCCACTCATGCAATTTAAACATTAAATTAATGTTACATCTTTTTCTTCTTTCCTGAAATTTTGAAAATCTTTACAAATCACAAAATAACAAACAAAAGTTATCATAATCTTGAAATTGAAGATCAAACTACATTGATAACAAGATTCAACATATCAGATTTCATCCTTAAATACCAAAAAATCTATAGTTCAACATCTCATTATAAATATTTGTAATATGAACACAGAGGTAGTTAGCATTTTTAGAAATCAAAGACTAGTGGTCTTCAATCAGAATGTTAAAGTTCATTCAATAGAAATGTGCCTAAAGTAGCATAGAAACAAGAATTATAGATTCTAACCATAACCTATTAAAAACAAATAGAAGATGTCATGAAAAAACTCAATGAAGGTGGTGAAGCCACATATTCAGTTAAATTTATCCTCACTTTCAAAGTTGTGGGTCCAGAATCCTTTCATAAGTCATTTTTTCTTATGGAGATAGTCGATTTTAGAAGTAAGGAATAACTATTGTCAAAACGAAGGAAAGTAAGTGTGATGAAATTACATTAAAACTATATTCCAAAGACATCTTCCAGATTTAAATAAGATTCATTTCGTGATGACTCCAAGAGACTAGATTAATCATCTGAACAATTCATACAGTCGTTTGCATAGGTTCATAATTAGGAGGATCTTTTAGATCATGAAGATTATTCTTGGAAATAAAAAGATCTGAGTGTGGATGAAAATTAATAATCTGAAGGATCCAAGACATCTCTTGATTCCTCGAAATCAAATACTAATAAAGAGTGTCATATCTTTATTAATTCTAGTAAAATAATAAAGCCATTAAAAGTAGTAATAGCTTTGAGTGCCTTAATAGTTGCTGTTTAATTGATTTATACGATTGCAAGTTTAATCATCATCTAAGATAGCACCAATTAAATTGTCTAAAGCAATAAAAACATTAATGCTCCACTTATATTTAATAGGTAATTTTTCCAAATATTCTCACTTCAATGGATACTTCTCCTATAGAAATTACAGATCATTGATTGTAGTGCTTATCTTCTAAACCAGACTAATTACAAGCTATAAAGTATCTCAGAATCTACTTTCGAAGAACTTAATAAATTGTATTCCTCTTTTATTGAAGTAGAAGACTCTGGTTTATTAGAAAACATTAATTATAGATCTGTCGGAGAAGATAGACAAATTGTAGGATATACATACTTTATATTAAATTTAGAAAGGACCATGAAAGAGTTATTTCATTCAAGCAAAGAGTTCGAAATTGAATATCAACATATTACAACTTTGATGACCTTAAGGATTAATTTATATAATGTTTTTTACATGAGTAAAACACTAATTTCATCGTATGAAGAGTTATATGGTAACACTTTGGATAATCAAAGTTTAAAAATTGTTGTAATTACTTTAACTATTATTATAATACTTCTCTTTCAAATTATAATACAGTTTTGCTTCTGGAAATCCTGTTCAATCTACTAAAGATAACTTATTTTAATGATAGGAAGATTAAAAGAGAAGGAGGCTAGATAGTAAATTTTGAAATCATAGGGAATTAAGGAAATATTAGAAAATAAAGAAAACATCTATAATTGGAGACAGATAAATTACTCATCCTATGATTTTAATAATAATCAAAACAACGAATTGAGATCACAAAGGGGATCTCAGTAAACAACAAAGATATTAAATAGATAACCGATTGTGTTAAATACAAGAATTTAGGACACATCAATGAACAGAAAATTAATTATTTTAGTTCTACTTTTAACCTTTATCATTTTAATTGTTTTTATTATTTGTGGATATATCTTATTTAGAAAAGAAATATAATAAATGATCCCTTTTTAAAGAATGACTCTGCAATTTATTACTTTTTCAACCAATTTGGATGCCATGATTGGATCTGGTATGATAACTAAATCGTTGCCTTCGATATATAAAAGATTGATTTATTAAAGCATAATTACTGAGGAAATGATTGCCAAACTCTAGGATGCAAATAATTAAGTATTTCAGTTATTCGAAGAAAGCGAAGTCAATTTTGATGCAAACCTAATTAGTATTTTCGAATAAATTACTCTTTCAAATTAAATTAGTGATAGTGATAAGACTACTTTAGAGAGCATATACAAATATGATATCTGTTTAAAATTAATAGATGATGTGCCATTTTGTAGATACCACGAGGTAAATTAAACTTTTATTAATTTATACTCCATTCCTAGTTAGACGGATGATATTTCTAATTTCTATGAAAATGGTATCAAGGGAATAGCTAGTCAGATAAGTTCAATAATTAAACAATATTTCGATTTTGAGATAAGTTAACAGCAACATATGAGTGACATAAATGGGAATGAATAATTTATGAATTCAAAAGAATTTAACACAGCCTTTTTGTAACACTTTCTATTCACAACAAAGACAATTGACATTTTTATAAATATCATCCAATACAGCAACCAACACTTTGCTGAAGATAATTTAGTTACAATCTAATTGTACTATTGCATAACCGGATCAATAATAATGTTATTGTATATAATAGTTTACACAAAATGGATTTAGATAAATTATTATTAATTTAGATTCTTGAAGTTTGGATTGTCCCTTTTACCATCAACTATTTTGAATGACCCTTACATTATGAATTCTATAAAATAGCTTAATTGATTTTATTTATATTTAATCCATTTTTGTAAATCAAGATTCTATATAATATATTATTCATAATTATCGGAGTAGTTAGAATTTCTCTATGTATATAGAATTAGTTGTCGCACTCATTATTTTCATGATCTATTACACCACATCAGTAGTCACTTAATCAGATATGATATATTAATTGAATAAATAAAATAAATTTGAATTTCAACCATAGAATATTGAATGAATTTGATATGTCTATGAACCATAATAATTATACTGAATATATACTATAAACTGATCATTTTTTACCCGCAGCCTCTTTAGCAGCAGCATCCTTTGCTTCCTTTGCTGCAGCCACTTCTTTTTATAATTCTTGATTTGCTTATTTGACTTTCTTTTTAAGAGACTTTTCCTTTCTCTTTTTTTATGTTTTCTCCACGGTTACTTTTTTCTTTTAATACAACATTTCTCCTTCTAGTGTTTCCTCACCTTCATCATCTGGTTTTCTATAGATCAATAAATCATCATCTTTCTTTGATCTTTAGAATTCAGCTTCTTCAAAGAATTTCTATTATAGATAACTATGATATTCTTACATCATCTTCATCTCTTGCCAGAGTTGCAACATTCCAATGGATGAGTTTTTTGTATCTTTCATGCAATAATATTCCTTATGGGAATGTATTTTATAAGTCTCCTAATTTATATGGTCTATAGGTCTTAATATTCTTAGCATCAACAAAGAATTTAGTAGGATAGGTGGCATTATATGAATTTATCCAAACTCCTTCAATATGTACATCATAATCTGTTCCTCTTACTAATGCTGGATTGGAGTTATTAGGCAATATAGCGATTGGTACGTACAATAGATTTGGTCTGCCTACTATGTATCTTCTCAAAGTTACTTTGAAAGGCCAACCACTTTCTATCAATTAAACTTATCAATGTTACTAGGATCTTTAATGATTTCACCCAAAGTGCAACGAATGTCTCCATCATGTCCAGGAATTCTGATGTAAATGGGAGCTACATTTGCACAAATCCTTCTCTTTACTGCAGCCACTTAATAATAATCTAAAACTATATCAATATCCTCAAATTCATCTCTTCCTTCAATCACAACTGCCACTTCATGTTATTTCCATAGACCAATTATATGATCATCCAACGATCTAACTCTCTTTGCAGGTAGGACCACCTTAAAATATTTTATTGATGATAACTTTTTTAAAGTCCAATAAAAATTTGTCTGTGTATGCTTTCTTAAATCCTTTGACCATCTGATCTAAAAGGACATCATCAAGATGTTTATTAGCTTATGGACCTTTGCTTGATGTGAAAATTGGTATATTATATTAGGCTTTGGAGCAAAATGCACTCACTATTCTTCGCCCCAAAAACATTTAATTTAATTATGAATTTAGACCCTCTTAATGGAATTGAGTATTTAGATGCACATTAAAATGCAATATTATAGATTGACTACTACTAGGCTATAGAGAGTAGGCTGATGATTTGGAAAAGAGGTGTATTAGCATTAGTTGAACCATATTAAAGATCATCTGATCTTGAAGACACAAAAGATAATAATAAAGCAGTTTAAAACATTGACACTTAAATAATTAAATTTCCCTTAGTTATCTGGTTTAATTCAAGCAAAATACTTTTGATGCTCAAGGAGATAGAATATTTAGAAAAATATTTGGTTGTCTTAGTCTGGAGATTCTTTGTTTTAACATGCAGGAGTATTTAATACTTATTGTATATAAATTGATTCATGTTGTCTCACTCAAATATTTGTAGATGTAGATGGTTCTATTGAATTAAAATTGAAAGGATTTAAGATTAATTTAATATAAGCTTTAAAACCAATTTTTTTTAATGGATGGTTTAGCACTTATATCATATATGGATATGAATTCCTATATGATTAGAGTAGTAATAAAGAGGGATATTAAATTGGAATTGGAAAACATAGAAATGAATAGATTTGTAATCAAATAATTTAATATAAATTAGAATGCTTGAATCAATGAAAATAATAATACATTAAAGTACATATTAAACTTAATTTAAAAATTTGTATATTTATTATTTAGTGTTTTGTTATTAAGTTACTTATCAACATTCTTACTTATTAGAATTTTTGTATTTTATTTTTTGAACATAAATATGAATATTTAATAAGCAAGAAATTAAATTTAATAATAATTAGGTGTGTACTTGAATGAGACATCGTTAAAAACTGTCAAAGAGTTCCAAGAGGCGAAGAAGAATAAAAAGCAAACAGATCCAGTCATTTAAATGAAGAAATAAACTCCAGAGTATTTTCCAATATAATCTTTACCATAATAAGATGAAGTAGTAATTAATTTGGACGAGTTCAAATTTGAACCTCAAGTAAAATAAAAGAGTTGGCAAACCCAATTGTTGGAAGCATAATAAAAATAATAACCCATTTATCATCAGATATATGGATACTGTTTAGAATAATTTAAATTTGATTCAATTATGGAAAGATTATAACTTTTAAGAAAATCGCTTTTTAAAAAGAAAATGCCGAATGGTGACATACAAAAAATAGAAGAATTCATTCCATTTTATACTCTTAGAAGGATGGCAATGTAACTACCTACTGAGACTTCTGAGATGAATAGTATGTTGCAAGATCACTTTGTTACGGAGGCTTTCTTGAAGGAAATTAGATACTTTTTGAAATAAGTAATAATTATTAATAATTCGAGTAAAACATAGACAAAAGTTTAATATTTTATCATCCAAAAATGTATGAATAGAATGATGACTAGTTAGAATAGTTGTTAGCTGAATTTGTTGAATTAGACAAATAAGGATCGAGTGGATTGGAGGAGGAATTAAAGGTGTTTCCTTCTACATAATTAAAATGCTGATTAAATAATAAAATTTATAATAGTTTCATTCTTATTTAAATTAATTATTAATTTATTTATAAATTGTCAGCGTCTACTGCAACTAATTGTTTCTAGTCTTACAATCTTCTATTTATTTCAAGAGGTTCTGGCACAACTGTACATTATCATCTAACAGTAAGCTTTTAAGCTTTCTTTATTAACAAATCTCGCCTTGAGTTAATTAAATTTCTTTTAGTTTTCCAATACGTCCCTCTTGTTTAAATAGCTTCAGAATTACTTTTGCCGTAGAGAATTTAATATTATTCTTCTTCGCAGCCTCTTTAATCGATAGTCCTTCCACTAAAATATCAACTAGGAGTGATACTCTTTAGTCAATATTAATACATTAGTATTTCCTATCGATAAGGTCGACAGTATTCTAATTCATTATTTTAAATATTGTGATTATTTTTGGTGCGATTCACCATCTTATATCAATATAATTATTGGGGAATTAATTAATACTCTTCTTTATTTTAACTGAGATATGTAAGTTAAATGCTAAGATTTGAAAATATAAATATTGTGTTTATAAAATGATAATATAGACAAATTGTTGAAGGATTCTTTTACCAATAGTTGGTTAAACTTGTCAAATCAAAATTACAATAAAAATCAACATCAATAATTGAAGATGGATAATTGCTAAATTGGACTACTTTGATGACTTTACTAACATTGCTTAAAATATATGGATACGGAAATCACAACTAAGGAATTGGGCTGGCATATCTTTATTCTATTTTATTTAGGACTATTTTAACAAGCTAGCTATAACAATGACAATTAACTTAGAATACATTATTTTACAAAATATCCAACCCTTTAAGATCTTAAAAAGCTGTTAATCTCTTCCTTTATTTATTAAAAAAGTATTCAAAAATAGATACACAAAGTTTATTGTTCTAGAAAACTTTTTTACTTTGAACAAATCCTAATTTTTTAATTAAAATTAATTAAGATTAAAACATTCAATATATCAAATAATAGTGATTATAAATTTACATTATAAATCTATCTGAAACACTTTAATTCTAAGTTGTGACAGGTTCCTATAAGGGGATTCTCAAAAATTGTGATTGTAATTAAATAATTTTTATAAACATTTAACTTAAATGTTGACAAACGAGTAACATTAGAAATGAATAATTTTATAAATGAATTAATATTATTTTGAATTGTTCAATATTTTCATAATAAAAGTATTTGAGAATTATCAATAGTAATTTATGAATCAAATTAGATATATATGCTATCATTATGGCTCTTACTACATTGCATCTGGAGATGGATTTATCATTCTGAATAATTAGTTTACAGGAATCTGATTGTTGATATCGAAGTATGAATCAGGCTCGAATTCAATTGTTGGTTCTTAAGCAACTTGAATTGATCTTCTAGTGTTTTTGGGAGCCTATTTTTAAATTTGAATTTCAAACTTAATATATTGCCTATGCTTGCTATTACTGTGACCAAGTAAACATCTCTTTCTTTTATTGCATTTAGCTTTTCTTCTATTCTTCTTATCTTTTCTTAAAATCCTCGTATTCTTAATAATCATCCTCTGGTTTCAAAGTGATAGTTGTTGGTTTACGTATAATCATTAAATTTAAATAATGAAATTTTTATTTTCATCAATGACTATTGCTTAATTTCAAGTAGGATGAAGAAAAAGATTTAGAATAACTAGAAATTGTTATTTAATTCAGATATATATAGACTATTAATATTGCAGAAGGAAATAAATAATTTGAAAGAAGTTCCTACTTTATTTATACTATTCATTTATATAATCCAATAATGAGATACACATCCATCCCCAAAAAGAATGATCATATAAAGGCAATGCTTTAGAGTTAGGATTTTGCAACTTATCTTAGTTGATGATTAAACAAGCTATTAAATTGCCTAATTAGTGTAAATAATAATAAATGTTAGTCATTATTGATAATCACTCAAAATTTCAAGGCTTTTTACTTCCTAAACTATTTCTTCTTATTGATTGCTTTCTAAATATGCCATATCATTAATGTTATCCTCATCCTATGGTTTAGAACTTAGCATATCCTCTTCATTCACTTCTTGAATCTCATTCTATTGTTAGTACTTTGAAGTCAATTTATCTTGAGGACAACTACTAATGATCTCGAACTATTTATCTTCTTCATCAGCAGGGAAAAATTAATTAATTAAGACTTCATCATTTGGGTTAAAGTTCTCAATGACCTATTAATTACTCTATTACTCATTCAGATCTCTAATAAAGCTATCCTATTGTTAGACTTCATTTGAGCTTTTATGATGTGATTATCTTGAAAAAGGGTTTGTTATGAAGTCTATAGATACTCTCATACTTTGAGAATTCTATTCACTATTATCAGTAACATTATTATTTGACATAGTATTTTAAAATATCTAAATAAACATACTGAATACTTCTAATAGAAAATAGGATGTTGTCTATTAATCCCAATTAAAGTTCATGGCCTAAATAAATTTTATAATATCGTCCCTTCCAACCTTTTTGTGTTTGTATTAAATCCAATACTATCGTACACGGTCTTTTTTAGTTTAAAGAGACTATACGCTACTTATTGGAATACCTTATTGATTAATTATTGTGCCTTTTACTCATCCAAACCTTCTAAGGAGTGATAACTTAATTAAGTAATGAATTGTTAAGATAATGTCTATGTCCCTGTTAGCTTATCCACCACTTATTGTGATTAGCTTTCGCTTAATTAAAATGGATCTCTATTTTATGATAACCAGTATTCTTACTATTGCAACAGCGAAATAAGCTCTTGTTTGGTTTTTGCCTTTTTTAATGTCTCAATGGCATCATAAAATTGATTCATGGTGACTCTCTTCTAATGCAATTTCAATATAATCAGATCTTTCGGGAATTTCGTAACAGTATCCTTTGGCTGAGTATTATTATTGTTGTTCCCTTTGATGGATTGATAGAGCAATTACAAATTATCATACTTTTATTAGATTGTTTACTATTTTTAAACTAGTTGTTATTATTTAAGAGAGTTATTTTTTAATTGAATTTTCATTTCTTTAATAGTTTAATCCCTTTTTGAGATGAGTTCTAGTGACTCATTGTTTTATTATTATAATTTGAATAGTTATTCGTGACAAACATCTAATTGAGATTCTAATTGTTACACTTATTCTAATTTGCTTTTTTGGTATTAAATTTGATCTTAGGCCAATTATAACATATGCTTCATCATAAGGGTTTATTCGAAATACACTTTTTTTTCAACCTATAATAAATTCAACATAAGAACCTCCAATTCTTATAATTTGCAAACTTTACTATTTCTCTTTAACATTTCCAATTCCTTCGTTTTATCCTCCAATTCTGAGCTTTTATCCTTGACTTGCTTTCTGAGTGAAATAATCTGAAGATCTTAATTGTTCGATTTCTTTTGAGTGGTTAAATCTTCTATCAAGTTCTCATACTTTTAGAATTCTCTCTAAATTATAGACAATAAAACATACTTCATTGTGTTGGACTTTGGTTCTCAGTCGGGTGTTCTCATCTTTAAGATTGTTAACTTATTGCTTCGATTGTTACAAATCTTAATACAATTATTCATAGGAATTCGGACGCTTGGACTCCTCATGAGCCAAAAATGATAACATATTCTTCTAACTTGTGGGAATAATAAAAGAGCAGATTACCTTAATGGCATAGAGGTAGACACCTAAGAAACATCAAAGTTTTATGGGTTTCTTTTACTACTATTATTTAACTTGCCTAATCCAGATGTTTACAATTTGAGAATTCTGAATGATTGATTTTTGCTAAGCTCTTCCATAGTATTTATGGTTTATTTCGATTTACGATTATCAGACGTATACGATTGATATTCATTCATTATTTGGATGTCTATTTATCAATTTTGATTTCTCAATAAAAAAATAATCAAAACTTATAAATGTAATGTTATTAAACTCTTAAAATAAATTGTCAAATCTCATCTCATTAATTTCTTCATTCCTCTCAGAGTTTCAATCATTAGATTAATATATATATATACGAATGATGAAATACTTTATGTTCTTGGCTAATAAGTGATATAGATGATGTGATTAATTAAATGCCTGGCATGAATGAATGTAATTCAATAAATAAATGGGAACATTGTGACAATTATACATAGGAAATAATCAACTATCCATAGAAGCATTTATATATATAATTGATCAATATAAAAAATAATGTAATATTAGATTTAAATCATTGACATATAGTCCTATGAAAATAAATAGTATTACAATGTTAGAATTACGAATAACTATTATACTTGCTATCGTGATGTGAGAGTACGCTTTTCAGATCTCTAATAGCTGTCTCGAAACCTTCAGGCTGACAATTATCAACTTCATGTAAGAGATTTAAAATGTAAAATTATAAGTTGCCTTTATTTCCAGAGAAATCCATTTTCAGTTCATGGTTTCAGAGCAGTGAGAGTAAGGAAGAATTGCAAGAGTACCTGAAATCTATTTAGACATACTTGTCTCATATCAATAAGTACGAAAAAGATATTTATATTTAAAGAATTTTAATCTACAAGCCTGATGCTATAAATAATTTTGTGTGCAACACCTTTGACCCTGAAAGACTGAAGTGTTTGACTTTTGGCAAATTAACCAAAGAGATTCTTTATAGCAATTACATAAAATCTGCCAAAATCAAAAAGAGCTAATTCAATAAGGTGTTTCGAGTGAGCGTTAGTTAAGTGGTTTTAACGGTGCATCAGTATTTGATTCCGCAATGCGAATTTGCTAAAGTTGAATACGAGCATTTTAAGAGATCCCAATTGCTCATTTCAGATTTCAGCTACATTGTCAAGTGTTTGGAAATAGGCCACATCCTCAAGAATAAGTCCTTCTTCAATAAGAAGATCAAGAAAACGATCTACAATAAGTTTATCAAAATAGAGGACTTACAGTACGATACGATATATGCAGTTGAAGAATGGGTGGAATAACCAATGAATGAGTTAATTTAGTTGAGAGCTTAAACTCATAATTTGTTTCAGTTAGAAGTTATTGTGGAAGCCATTATAACTTTGGTGACAGTGGCTTAATATTTATAATTCTTATAGATATTCTAGAAACAGTTCTCTGTAAGTTATTTGTTTTATGATGAAAAAAAAGGATTTAAAGTTGGTGGATTATCTCCTATTCTAGCCTACAAAAAGAAATACCGTATTTAATATGATAGAGAGAAGAATGATTATTAAGCTTTGCAAGCACCTGAAAATAATCCCTAAGCAAATTAATACGGTTTCAAAAACAATTTCAATCTTTCAGCTAAGACTGATGTTTGGTAAATTGGGATAGTAATTTTGTCAATGGCTTCACTCACATTACCAGTTGATTTGATTTCACAAGATGCTATTGAAAATAAATTGAAATTTGTTTCATTACAATATGGGTATGTAATTTTTAAAATTAGGGAAATGTTAGGGAGTCTAATCAGGAATATGTTGTTGCGTAATCCCATAGAGAGATGTTCTCTTGTTGATATCGGTTGTGCTGCCCCAAATCTGTTACCCATGAAATTGGAATACTTAAAATATGAAGAGAAAACTGAAAGAATCTAAGTTTTAATGTTAATTTAAATAGATTACTTCGCTTTCACAACAACAACTTGAAGAATTGGACAAGTCTTTCAAAGAGAAAAAAAGAAGGAAATATATCATTCAAATGAGTGTCAGCTAACCTATTGTCTAATAAATGTTCCTATTTTATTTGGAAAGAATAAAAAGAGAAAATGTCACTCAATTATACATCAGTCTGTCTCATTAACAGATTCCTGATGATTTGATTGATAAAATGATGTTAATAATCATTGAATATAAGTATCTATAGTAACTTATATTCAATACGAAAGAATGCTCTATTAATGATGTTGCTTGTTTAAATATTATTAATCAAGCTAATCTAATAACTCAATTAAAACAATTAACACTAGGAATAAGCGGAATTTCAATTAATTAGATTCCTTTAACAAAATTTCGAGTGGTTGTGTATAACCAATGAAAATATAAATAAATATTAATTTATTAAATGAGGGCCATCTTGTTCAGATTCAGCACTTATTCAAAATTTGCAGAAAAACTATAAAATACCAAATTTGCTACCATTTACAATTACGAAACTCAAGTTAAGCCTGCTCTAAGTATCTATGAATCCATGGGATTTAATGAATAAATGATATTCAGAATTTTCAAGAACAGAGGTCTTTCTCTTGTCAAGGGCAATACTGCTAATGACATTGAATAATTGAATGAGCTATTCAAATCCAGACTTAATGCAGAAGCAAAGTAATTCTTTCTCCCATTAATTAAGATAAATGCGAACCATCCTCTTTAAAGATCCATAAATATTGAGTCATCCCATTGACAAAATGAGTAATTACCTAGACCTTTTTGAAAAGCAACTACAAATAAGCAAAGAAGACATATTATCCATGTTGACAGCATATCCTCTTTTAATGAGAAATTTTGAAGTTAATTATGAAAATTTCAGAAATGTCTTCAACACCTATGCTCATGTTAGTGACAAACAATTTGGATAAGTATTGGTCAATACTCCATTCCTATTCTCATTCAATCTTGAAAGAATACCACCTAATTTTAGAGTTATGTATAATAGAGAATATAAGACTAAGGAAATCTAGGAATTGGTAATTATTATTCAGTATGATTTGTTAGATTCAAAAAACTGCTGAGTTTCTAGCCCTTAAAAATCATGATTTTGATCGATTACTTAATCATTATGATATTCTAATTCCAAACAAAGAAGTCTAACATCAATTGCTTATTAATAATCATAAATTATTACTCTTAACACCAGCTTATATGTTGAGTCCAAAGATCAATTTATTCAAGGAAATTGGGTTATCAATTAATTAGATAGGACAGATCTTATAGATATGTCCAAATTTATTCTTGAAGAGTGTTTAAACATTGAAATTGAAATTGAAGTTCTTTGAAAAGCATTTGAATGTTAAAATCAAGGATTCTCCACATTTTCCTCAGATTTTAGAGTTCGATTATTGGACAGTGTTACGTCCTAGGTAAACATTCAATTCCTAATAGGATTGGTGATTTTGAATAATCTTGAGAATGTAATGGATAATCTAAAATTGAGTCAAGAAGATTTCATTAAGAAGTATGATTGCGAATAGAAATACCAAGAATTATTGAATGAAGCACCAACTAAAAAGAAGGTTGATGCAGACTTCATGATGAGGAAATACCATAGATATTGTCATGATAGAATATAATTATTACATTGAGGTATCATATCTAATTATATATAATTGACTATTCTATTGAGGATTCAATCATTTATAATGTGTTGTCTTTCGTCTACTTTAATTAATATTTATTTTTATTTATGGACAAATAATTACTTCTTATACCTTCTGAGAAAGTTGCTCATGATGCTGCTGGTCATAAATGCTAAACTCAATTAGATGCTTATAATATTTGTATATAAAAAAATAAACATAATAATGCTTTGAAACAGTGTATAGAATTGATGGATCAATTTAGATATTGCACTCTTCTGAATGCGAAGTTGGCCCAATCAGAATAGAAGGCTAAAGAAGTGTGATTTATTTGAACGATTAATTCTGTTAATTATTGATATTTAATGTTTTCAATATAAATAGGCTTAATAACAGCACTATTCTTATAGAATTCAATCTAAACTAATAGAATCCGCAGTCATCCAAATTAAACCTTTACGGTAAATGAGGAATCTCTGGAATTCTAATTTTCTACTTAAGAGGCTCATGTGAAATTACTAAGGTTAATTAGAAATTGAATTTCATAGCAATCCTGCAATATATGACATTATTGTTTATAGAAATGATTCAAATTCATTAGGTGCTTACATTGAAACACCCTTCCTTAGTTTGGACAATCAATACTTGGATGATTAATAATTAGACAATGGTAAAATCTACATTTCTATTCTTAGATTGCATAGGTTTGCCTAAACATCCTAAGTTGACTGAGATATTTAGTGTTAATTTATTAGATAATACTGAAGATATTTACTATACAGACATTTTGATTTTGGGATAACAATAAAAGTACTAGTATTCTGTGATTTAGAATATTTTTATTGACAGATGAACTAGAATTAAAGCAGGCCATACTATTGTTTAATTAATCCCAATCCCCCCAATGGAATATACAAATTAAAAATATTTCTTACAATCTTTAAACCTTGATTTCTGAGCAAGTCAATTACACAAATGCCTTTTTTGCACACTTCCAGAGTGATTCAGATCGCTGTCTGATTCTATCTAACTATGGAGGATTTTGGTTAAATACTAATTCTGAAATAGAGAAGCCCAATTTAAATTTAGAACCTGTGATAAACTAAAGATAAGATCTAAATAAAGTAAGTCTTTTCGAGGAATACCTTGCTATTGCCAATGGCATTGCTGGAGTCGATCTCTATTAATATATCAATAAGCAGCTAATCTTTTTACTCACAATTACAGCAGAGCAACTAAATTAAACAGCAGTCAACATCATTTCTGTAAAACTATCTTAAGAAAGGATAAGCATATTAGATGAACATACAGGGTTGTACATTTTTAAACTAGAAAATGGATAACTATCCTTAGATCTCACAATATCTTAATCAAGATGTGTTGCCTTTGATCATTATTAGAACACTTACTTGGTTGTAGCTGAAACTCCAAATAATATAGAGTACATGATGGAGATCTTCCTCCTACCAGACTCGAAGGAATACTATATAAATAGAATATATGTTGATGATTTCTCTTTTAGAGATATTTAAATTGATGAAGATTACGCCATCATTATTGGTGAAGATGTCCATTTGGTACTTAGACATTCCATTTTCAATGGTTTCATGAGGAACAACACAGACTTAGTAAAAACATTCTTTGAAGATGAATTAATTAGATTCCAATATTTTGATATGAATGAATCCATTAAGACCTAATTTATGGAAACATCATATTATATTGGTCTCTCTAAAGGATCTTTGCATATTTGGAAATTTAATGATTACAACCCAGTTATTATTTGTAAATTCTAATATGGAAGAGAGTAAAATTATACCCTCAAAGCCAATACTTCAAGATGTGAAGGACATCAGACTACAGATTTATTTGAATAATGTCAGATTACACAATAATTATCAATCTAAGCATCAGGACCCCTTTTAGAATCAGATTCAAATTACCTGATTATTGGGGTTTGTGTTTCAGTCGCAGTATTTAGTATCATTAATATTTTAGGTAATTCTCGTAATCATCGTCTTCATTTTGTGTAGAAAAGGTAGAGCATTAGCTAAAAGAATATAAGAATTAAAGTAACAAGCTGAAGAAATGAAAAAATATGGGGCATTTTAAGAATAAGAACAGCAATCTGCTGAACATTGAACATTTAATTGTTAGCAATTATAGATTTTATGTTTTTTAAGAATTTTATTAGATTTATTTATAAGTTATTAAAGTTAATTTGATCTAATCATTTTATATCAATGAACAAGATTTTTCAAAGCCCAATCAAATTGTAAATATTCAGGAAAATATTAATATAATTATTTTCATATTTATTTATTTTAGATGTATAAAGTTATTTTAGTTTATAAAAGAATTATATAAATCTTGAAATATCCATTTATTGAATACTCTTTAAAGATACCTTGCTTTAAATATAAGTTAAAATTTTAATTCAATTTAATCTACCAATTATAATTTGAGTAAAATCTTACCTTAGTGTTTTAATTATATTAAATTCTCTATTAGTAACTCCCCTCTCTAAATTATAGATACAAATACTTGTAGCAGTGCTCTAAATTGATTGCAATTATGAAAACATCTATTCATATAAGATTAATTATGTTAATTTAAATGTGGAGTGATTTAATTATTTCATATTATGAAAATACAATTGTAAAGAATTTTGGATAAATGTGAAACGAAATTTATAGATTTTTATAAAATTGATTAGTTAGCACGTATAAGTAAAATAAATTATCTGATCATTCCATTAAAGATTTTAATATGCTTAATAAACTATTTTATTTTTCCAATAATAACTTTAATAAAATTAATAATTACATCATCGGAATCGGAAATAGTATGACATTTAACTGCTTAATTAAATGACCGCATTCTTGTAAATTCTGCCTAAAATAAATTTTATTTGCTGCTGTGTCCTTCATTAGTAACAATGATGAATGCATTGAATAAAGGATAGTATAATTCTAAATTAAACATAATAAACACCTCTAAAAATTTCTAAAGGGTTTAAGTGGTTGAGTATCCATATGTGGAATTTATGAATTATATTTCCAAAAGTAAGAGTGTGAACATAGCAATCTTATTTAAAAACTAATTAGCCTGAGTATGTTTACTCTTCTGTAGTGCTCTCAGTGAGATTATCTAACATTTCTGCTAAATTTAATCATATTAAACTTACAGGAATCTAAAATAGACTACAACCTTTTTATATTCATAGAAAAATCTTCACAAATCAACAATAGAAAGTGAGATTTATATATAGTGATCTTTTCAAGAAGAATGATGGGCTCGGGATGAAATGGATCAAATGAAAAATCTTAGTTTATAATGAATCCTTCAAGTTATTGGAAAGGCTACTAGTGTTCCAAAGACATTTATCGACTTTGGTCTTCTTTGGCCAATTTCTATAGGATAATCATAACTTATATTAAACTTAAAGGTATTCTTGCTCATTTTCAGCATGAACTCCATTCCTTCTTTATCTTCTCCTACTTTCACATAATATCATTTATTTTAAATTTTTTTAACTTTAATACCTCAAAAATATTGTCTGTAGATGTAAATTGAAGTACCGGTTGTGTATCAATTTGAATGTTTTCGTAAAGGGAAGAATGGAAATAAGAAATACTTGGGATTATTAAGACCAGATAGGTTGGATTTATGTAAGGTATGGTTTGTTGAAGACATTGATATTTTAGGATAATCATCCAAATTTCAAGTATTCTTTGCCAATTTAACTCTAAACCCACATAAAGTGGGAAGTGGAGGAGGACAATTTAGAAGGGAAGAAACATTACAAAATAGTCTCATTCAAATTTCAATAAGTGCTCAAATTTATTCTAACATTCATTAGGTTAAAAAAATAAATGAAAACCAAGTTGCCAAAGTAACAACATTTTGCAGCGATGAGAAAACTCTAGCCGTTTTAAAAGAGCACTTGAGAAATAAGATCATCTTCTAAAGAATTCAAGATTTTTATACTCCCCTCCAAACTTTAGGGAAGGGAGCATCCTCCCGAGTCTTATTGGTGAGACACAAGAATACAGAAAATTATTATGCAGCAAAGTGCGTTGACAAATCCTACATAAACGAAACAGAAAATGGACTTGTATTAGTTTAAACATAAAATAGGAATCAATGTTCTAAGAGATAGCCATTAACAATGATCTAGATCATCCTTCCTTTATAAAATTGCATGCAGTTTATGAAGGAGATAACACATTCTATATGGTTATGGATTTATTGGAAGGTAAAAGCTTGCATGAAGAATTAAACAATCATAAAAATGGATTCCCAGAAGATACAGTAAGGAACATTATGTGGGTAATAAATCCAATATGTCGTATAGTAAATCCTGACTGGAATAGAATACATGCATGAAAAATAAATTATGCATAGAGATTTGAAACCAGAAAACATTATGTTATTGAGAAAAGATGACTTGAATTCTCTTAAAATTGTTGATTTTGGCTTAGCTACATACTGCAATGCAAATAAGTAGAAAAACTAATTACTTGATTAGATATTTTTTTCCGAAATGTGGCACTCCAGGATACGTCGCACCAGAGATAGCCAATCTTGTTGATAAAACTTTAAAATATGATAAAGTTTGTGATGTATTTAGTGCTGGAGTGATATTTTTTAAATTGTAAGTTTAATCTTTATTTCAGAATAACTGGAAAGGACCTCTTCCCAGGAGTGGGATTCAATTTAGTATTGAAATTAAATAAGTAATGTAAAATTGATTTAACTCCCTTGCAAATGAAAAAAATTGACCCATAACTCACAGTATTTATAAATAAAATTTTAGAATTTAATCCAGAAAATGCTTGAAAAGGAGCCAACTCAAAGAATAACTGCCTCTCAATGTTTATAGGATCCATTCTTTATTCCTTGTTATCAAGAGAGTGGAATCCAAGGACCAGCTAAATTAACAACCTTTCAAAAGAAGTAAATGTTTTCAACTTGCGGAAAAGCCTTCACTACTGAGTTTTAAAACGAAAATCAAAAGGGAAGTCCCTAAGATAGAATTGAAAATAAAGGATCCTTTGTTACATAAGATAATACTTATAGACCAATTTAATAAAACTAATAGAAAATTATCTAAAAATTTAATACTACTGAATTTGATCACATTGACCCCACTTAAAGTCCATCTATGGATAATGTAAAAAAACGATTTTAAAAAGGGGATCCTATAGAAGAAGAAGATGAAAAATGAAAATAAAAACAATTTTTTCATCATTATATTGTATAATTCAATCTCGTTAAATAGCATTATAAAAATTTAATACTACCTCAAATTTTACAATAATATTAAAATTTATTTGATTTTTTTTCACATAAATAGATTCAATTCATCAATTTCTTTAACAAATACAAACTGGTTTTATCATTCAAAAGATCCTCTGATAACGTAACTAGGCCTAGAATACACCTTTTATATCTTCTTTATGAGTATTTAATTTGAATACTAGATATTATCATGTAAGCAACCAGGATTGATATACCAAAACAAATGTAAAATATGATTAAACTATCCATAGTCTTTGTTATTAGACCTGATGATATGTAGTTTACTTCTTCATAAAATAAATTGAAACCTTCAGAAATATTAAGTGGAAACTACACTACAAGATTGTTATAGTCTTTAAAGTAGTAAAAAGGGCTAGATTGATTTTAATCGTAAATAGATTTTGAGATTTCCAAATCAAAATTATTTTTCAATAATGAATCCAATTTGCTAATAAAACCGATGATTCCGGTTCTCAAAACATCAGAATTATTTTCATATATATAAAATTGTCCATATTCCTTTTCAAATATTGATTAAGTTAGATTTGTATTACAAAACTTTATTGATTCTTGCAAATAATTGCAAAAATCACCTTAGTAAAGATCATAAAGAATTTCTTTATCTTTTTAATCTATTTGATTTGTCAAGATGATAGTAGAAAATAAGGTTATAACTTTTTTAGAATATGTTTGAGATAAATTGTGAAAACTCTATGGAACTTAATCATCTTAAAATAATGTATTTATATCTCCTAATTCAGCATCATGTATGTTTTGAATAATATTTAGCAGTTCTTGTTATCCTTTCATTATAGATGCAAAAGAAATTAAATAACTTAATTGGGCTTGAAATTTAACATACGTTTTAATCAACTATTCTATCGGTTAGTAAGTTTAGTCACTTAATTTTGTTTGTAAATATCCAAAACTCACTAAGAATGCTATTAATAAATAGCAAAAAATGGTCACACTCAATTTAAGTATAATACTTATTTATTTATTGGAGATCTTTTCATAAAGCGTTTATGTCTATCTTTGTCTGATTGAATTTTAAGATTGGGGTACAAAGTCCTTTAAATTAGAAGTTCTAACTGATAATAGACATTATTTGGGAGTATTCATCATGGTTCCTTTTTCTTATATGGCTGACTTTATAAAACACTGCTTCTAATCAATTAATTGATATGCTTAGTCTTCATTTATTTTAGTTAATATTTATATAATACACTTATGTCTTTTTTCAAATTTATACCAATTTTTTATATTTATTAAGAAAGGGATAATAAATAAGATAAGTTAAACAGCAAGTATGCTATTCCAAAATTCCATAATATTAGATTAATAAGTTGCCAATTAGATACTAAATGTTTCTAATATATCGATGCTGATACTGTATGCCTATACAATGTTCAGTCTAAAGAAGAGTAGAGACTTTATAAACTGAATTTGATCTGCTGAATATGTAACTAAAGGTATCATATTTTCTCTAATTTTTTCTGAAAAAGTAGCAATACTAGTAAGTTGTATTCTGCTTTATAATATATTTAAAGTATATGAGATTTCATGTTTTGTTCCATCAATCTTGATTAATTCAGTGTGTAAAAAATCATAGTCCTCTCTAATCTTAGATAACTTATAATCTAATTAAGTTATAAAAGCATTTTGTAAAAATTATGAAGTCTGCAAATTTTAAAAAATTAATTTATTAAATCCCAATTAGAATGCATCATTGTACACCTTAACCATTAATTAAGGAGCATAAATGTATTGTGTTAATTTAATTTTAGTCTAGCCATCATTTTGACTTTAATAGATTTGCAAAATTAAAAATATAATGATCAGCAAAATTACAATAAATTTGTAAAAGTATATTTTTTTAAATGGCACACTACTAGTTTATTTTAATAATACATGATGAAGGAGGAAAGCAGCTTTTAATTCTGTTCCAACCTCACTTCCTTCATTTAATGATTTAGTTTTTTCTGGTTCCACCTTTCTCTTGGAATCTTTGATGGTTTCAACTTTTTCATTTTTAGATGATATCTCATTAAAGTGTAGTTCTAATTGATATTAGACTATTTTATCTTTCAATTGAACTTTCTTTATCAATCCTTTAGCAGGAAAGATTCTATCACTTTCTGTCTAAAAATTAAGATCAAATAAATACTGCATGAATATTCATTATTGAATTTAATTAGTTTTGATAAAGTACATCTAATATATTGAAGCTTAATGTATCATATTCAATATTCTAATATTTCGAATTCAGTAACTGCATTTAATCAGATCTCTCAGAATAAATATTGTCAACGTAGTAAGAGGATTTTAATAAATTTGTTTCTTATCTGATAAAGCTTTTGAATGACATATCTATTTTTTATATTTTACATCTTTTTATAAAATTTATATCAAATATCTGAGAAGAGTTCTAATTTGAAAGCAATTCAAATAATTAAGGACAATAATACTATATCAAATTATAGAACTACATTTATTCGAAGATTTCTGGCCAATAATTCTTTAAATGCTAACTGATACCTGTAATTTATCCAGAATTATCAAATGCGATAAAAACTTTATCTTTATTAACTTTTTTTATTAAAGATAATAAAATAAAATCTGAGAAATCATTACTTAATATAAAGTGAATTTATAGACATTGTATATATTCGTTTTCTTATTTTTATAGTACTTATAATTAAGATTTTTAGTTATTTGGCTAGTTATGCTCTCTATTAAGAAAACTTTCCAAAAATTAATTATGAATAGACTTAATCGCTTTTGGCATTAGCTATTCAATAGTTTCTAATTTAGTATTCTTACTGGAAAAGCCAAAAAATTAGTTTATTTGACTGTTAGAATTTAAAATAGAACCTCTTTTATTAATTATACTTACTGGTACTATAATAGAGTCTTCTTTAGAAATTTCTGTGTAACTAATGGTTTTGCTGTCTGAAGTCATTAATTAATTCAAAATTTTATTTAATTTAATCCCTGATATAAGATTTTACATAATTTAAATATTGAAGTTAATGGAAATCTTTAGAAACAGAAAATTATCTCTGTTTTTATAAATGCCGTTTTTCTTTAACCATAATTTTATTCCTTAAATGGTTTCAGATATGCCGATAATATGTTTCTCAATTTCATTAAAAGATTAAGCACCTGATATTAAATACTTAAGAAATTCTATTTATTTGTAAAAAACTTCTAAAGTCTTTTTTTCATATTCTGCTTCAATTAGTTTATTGTTATTTAAATTTTCAATTGTTTTTGTAAATTGATTGAATTGCACCATTTCTTTTTAAACTTTATGTTTGAATAATGCACTGATCTACTTATAAAAATATGATTAATTAGTTTGCATGCTCTCAAACTTATAAAGAAGATTTAACGCTAAGTATTATTTTTATGAATGTTTGACTAAAAAGTCAAATAATATTAATATATTGTCCTCCTTTTAAAATATAGATTAATATTAAGGTGAGGTAACGTTGGATGTATAATTATTAATCTCATCTTGTAAACTGATTTCAATTAGGTTCTACATATAATTGTTATCAAGATTGCAATTTAATGTACATACAAATATTTTTTTTTCGACCATTTTTTGATAAATTAAGTATTATAAACTACCGGATTAAATTATCTAAGCGAAGTTAATTTAAGTGAATAAATGGTAAATGAGAGTGGATGAATAAAGCAATATATTAAAAATAGATGATTCATTTATTTATGTGCTTATTCCAACAAGGAGAAATATAGAAATAAATAAATTGCATAATATTAGGCTTTAATTAGATTTATCTTGATCATTTTATTCAAATAAATTTTGATGTTGTTTCAATATCATTCTCATTATGGTTAACAATTAAAACACGATTTATCCAGTGTTTGTATTTAATATTGTAAATACTAAAACTCTAAATATATCGAGAATATGTATGATAAATAAAACAGGAGAATAAAAATGATAAATTGGAACATTCAATCTGTTAAAATTGCATTAAATGTCTCTCTGAAAATATGTAATTAATCCTAACAACACCAAAAATAATGCAAAAGTAAAACATCCTATCACAAAAAACCCTACATTTTCTGAGTGGCTATACAAAAATTCAATATAAATAGCTATAAGGGGAAGCTTAAGTATTTTATTAAAAATGGTTAAAGTATAGTTTATACAGTATCTAATAGCATCTTTCTAATGAAACATTAAAGTAAAAAGCAAAGCTATGTATAATAAAAAGGAAAGGAAAATGATAAATACATCAAATGAATATTAACTGTCAGCCTAATCTAAAAATAGAGTATAGTTAGTAAATTATGAAATTGCCTTAAGCATTTTGTCCTCATATTATAATTATCCCCAGCCATGTTTTGGTAAAGATAGAGCAATATTTTAAGTAAATTCAATACCCACTAATAGCTTCACAAATTTCATATTACTTCTCATCTAAAGTGAAAGAAACTAAACCAAATTTAAAAAAGTAAATCTCATTATTTTACAATTTTGATAATAATTCTTCATAACTTTAAATCAAATATAGATATAAAGATTTGCTAATGTAAACATAAAAATATCATAAATATTTATATTAGAATTACTTAATTTCCATAAAATTTGACATATATATGGTGTTATATTATTAATGATTACATTATCGATATATAAAATCAATATCATTTATTTTTGAGTTTAGGCAATTCAAATACTATACTTATTATGTATTTATATTCCTAAATTTTTTATTAAAATAGTGAATGATTAAATTTGATGAAAATAATGACATATTCTAAATAAATTAATTGTAAATTACAGGGTTAAACAAATTTAAATTAATGAGGTCTTATTTATATAAATCTCATTTAAATATGAAATCATACTCAGTCGAACGACTTCCAATTGATACTAAAGAATTTCATCCTATAATTTGAAAATTATAATTTTGAGTAAAGAGCAAGTGGGTCAAATTTACACATTAGTATTCTTAAAACTCATATCTAAGAAACACAAGTAGATATATTTTTAAAATGAAAGCTAGAAAATTAATTTTTTTATTGAGTTAAGCTAAATTCTTCTTATTTAAATTCACCCACACTTATTAGGAAATTTAGATTAGTGATTAAATTAATTTTTATAGTTTTCATGGTATTGAGATAAAATTTTATCAATATATCTGAATCATATTAATTAAAAATATTCAATTTTACTTAATTTCCTTTTTGTATTGTTAAAATTGAATTTTTTTATAAGTCTAAATAACATGATTTGATGAATTAAAATATACATATAATATTGGGTGGATCTAAGAAACTTTTAGGAATATATTAAAATTACATTAAATTTGGAAGTATGGCTCAGTTGTGAGAGCGTAGGATTGAAACTCTTTAGGCCAAGCTCCCAATTTTTATATTTTACATTTTAATCTATATAATTCTTTAAATTAGTCGAATTTAAAAATATTAATAACTTAATAAATGAGTAATTATACTATCACAAAGCCTTTTAAATATCATTATTTATATTATTTAGAATAATGTCATTCAATTTATTCAAATTTGCGCTATTTTTAATAGACTTATGATAGGGAATATATTAAACTATAAATTTGGAAAATTTATCTGTTTAACTTCAATTAAATCATTTAATAATCTAAAAATATGGGAAGATACAAAAGAGAATATTAATCCTATAAGAAATTAAAAAGAATTTATTATTTTTATGTTAATCAATCTTAATTCAATCCATTTCTTCGATATCTTCATAATAATCAAACTCTTCTAATGCAGCAGAATCAATAGTCATGTCAATTCCTTATGATTGTGATTATTACATGTATTCATCCGATTCTTAAAATTAATCTTATTACAATTAAGAATCTCTTAGATCCTTTGATAATATAATATTGATACGTCTCCCTCTAATTATTCTTCCATATCATCGTTATCAAACTTTTCATCCTCATAATTTCTATGTTCAAATTTCTTTGCTTAACCTTTTCTTTGTTCTGCCTCTTGTTTCTCTCTTTCTTATTATTATTTAAGTAATTCCTATTATTTTTATTACTCTTTCATCTTTTCTTATTCTTTTCTTTATTAATCTTACTTTTATTATTCTAGTCTTTGCTATTCTTACTTCTATTATTCTAATTTTTATTGTTCTTATTATTTCTTAAGTTCTTCCATTTTTCTTTGGTCCTCCTATTGCTTTCTTTATTATTCTTTTTTTTATTCTTCAAGTTTTTTCTACTCTTCTTATTATTATTGTTATCTTCTTAATTCATCTTATTTTCTATTTTCTTCATGCTTTCTTTGTTCTTCTTACTTTTTTAATTCCTCTTATTTTTTTATTTCATCTTATCTTTTTTATTCCTGAACCTTTTGATCTTGCAATTTTTATTATTATTATTATTGCTATAATTAAATATCTTTAGGTGATGGTTGTGCAATTTTTTATTGTTATTACTTTTCCTCTCTAAAATAAAATAAATTTAAAATTACGATTTTTTTTCAGGTTATCTATTTTTTAACAAAAAGTATAGCAATGGTTTTGTAGAATCAGTAGCATCTATATTCAACTTCTTAGCAATCTAATCACGATTTATATCTTCTCTTAAATTGCTTTCGCTATTATTGTATAGATTAGATAATACCTTGAAAAAATAGAGTTGGTGTAGTGCATTTCAAAAAATAACAAAAACTCTTTTATTAATTCTAGCATGTCTCTTCCACATCCTAATTCATAAATTGTTTAAGCCTTGTTATTTTCCCAAAAAAATGGAGATGGTTTTTTATTATTGCCTTCCTGTTAATCAACTACATTAAAGACTGAAGCTCTTATCTAAGCTCTAATCTTGGCCAGAGATCCATTAGCCTCCAGAGATTATATAACTAAGTTCTTAAGTTCTGTTAACTCCTACATTATTAAAATTTGAAAATATATATATATTTATAGTAAAACTAGTTTTTTAATTTAAATACTTATAACATGGAAAACAATCCCATTATTCTCCTAAAGATATTGCAAGAATCCCTATTTTTACATATCTAATTATGGTATTTATAAAAAAAATTGAAATATAATAAATATAAAAAATGTTCATCGTTTAGTTAAAGGGCTGACTGCTCTGAATTAATTGATAATGTTTTATTTTAGTGAACTAATATTGTTGTTTGCATTACTAAAAACCTTAGTTTATTCCTAATCTGGTTTATCTGGCCTAAGTTTCTGATTTTAAACAAGTTTTTAAAGCTCATTAAATTGAACAGTTTTTTAAATATTGCCAACATTAGTGTTTAAGGGTTAGTTGCTTGTATGCTACTATATCTTAGAGAAAATAAAGTTCTTAATGTTTTGAACATTTGAATTGGGATTTGTGTTTTCATTGTTGAAATTTGCTAAATTTCCTTATGTTATTAGATTCTATTATTAATTGTTAGTGTGGAAACTTTCATTTTATTCTGTTTGAAGTCTATTATTTAAGAAAGATTTTTGAAAATTTTGGTTTTTGCTTAAAGGCATAGGAGAGACAGTTTATTATTTTGTAAAGGGGGATTAGGTAGCACTTACTGTTTTAATCTATTAGGTTAAAGGAGTTTTGTTATTTAATTGGCTCTTAAATTATAAATTGGGACTTTAGAAAGGAGAATTTGTTGTTTTTGTATTTCCTCTAGAATTAGATGGTCTTGATAACTCTAATTCTTCTAGGGCCTTATAAATTGGTCTCTTTTCTTCAAAGTCTTCTTGTTTATAAGTATAACCAACGAAAGTCATCTCTTTTTTGACACTCTTCTATCCCTTATTTATCCATGGCTCCTCCTCTTCATATTTATCAAAATTGCTAGTATCCAATTCACTTCGAATAGTTGGAATGTAAGGAGCCTTCATGTCTCTTATTTTTAAAATAGACACCCCACCAAACCAAGGATGTCTTATAATTTAATCATATGTTAAACGAGTACTTGCATCACAAACTAACTTACTAATTAAATCTTTGGCTAATTAAGACACTTTTGGTTCTTCTGGAAATGTAAAGCATTACTGAAATCGAATGATATTTTAGCATGTTGTTGAAGGATTATCCGTATAAAATGGAGGATATCCAACAAGCATTTCATATAAAATGACTCCAACACTCCACCAATCAACTGACCCATCATACCCTTATTACAAAAACACTTCGGGAGCTATGTAATCAGGAGTCCCAACTGTTGAAAATGCTTTCTAAAATATATTTAATTTTTTTACTTCTCTTCTTGTCTGTTTAGACTTAAATTTTTAAGAGAACACTGGTTTATCAAAATGAAGATCGGCATCTTTGCATAAACCAAAGTCGGATAGTTTTATGTGTCCATTGTTATCTAATAAAATATTGTCTGGTTTTAAATCTCTATGTATAAATCCTAATTTATGAACAGATGCAACTGCTTAAACTAATTCTGCCATATAAAAACGAGCTTCTGCCTCTGAAAGTATATCCTTTTTCATGAGCAATGTCATCAAATCTCCTCCAGGTAAATATTCCATCACTAAATATAAATTTTTTTCATCTTAAAATGAACATTTCATCTCAACAATCCAATTATTTCCTTTTGCTTCTTCTAAAACTTTTCTTTCATTAGTCACATGACCAATTTAGTTCTTAAATATCATTTCATGCTTTTTCATTTTCTTTACTGCAACTATTTACTAAGAGGTCACATGTCTACACAATCTAACTTCACCAAAAGCTCCTCTACCTATAATGGCCAGAGGTTGAAAATCTTCAATGCTCAATTTAGTCCGCCTATTAAATTTGAAATTTGAATACTTTTTTCTCATTTATTCTGCTTCTTTTTTTAGAATTTCTTTTTTAATAATTTCTTACTCTTTTGGATTCATATGCAAAGCATCCATTAATTTAGATAATTACTGCCATCCTTCAGATTATTATTTTTCTTCTTATATTTATTTTGCGTATTTGCCTTGAAAATATAATGAGGAATGAATACGTTCTATGTATAATCTACAAGCTTCAACTCTATCTCTAGTGGCATTAGAAATTTATATTTCTTTTTTTCCAATCATTAACGATTTTTATATTAATTTTTATTTTATTTTGAATTTATATAAAAAAAATAACAAAAATGATGAAGTATTTTACTTTCATAAATGTGTGTATATATATATATAACATTTTCAATATAGCTGATTTACAAATTCTCTGATTTTGATTAAATCTGAAATTAATTATGTGTAAATTGTACTTGTTTGTCCTGATTAAACAAGATTATCTACTTCCTTATTAAAATTATTGCTATTCAGAATTTTCCTTATTTACAAACTAATTAATTCTTTTTGCTCATTCACTAAACGTGCCTACTTTGCTAGTAACTGAGTCCAACTACCCAAAGTCTAGGAATCAGTTTTCTTAACATAATCTGAATAGGGTTCATTAATAATTTTATCGATTCTCTCTTAAGAAGTTCCAGAACTTATATCAATTTTGTATTCATCATGCATAAATTTCATAAATACAGCATCCATCACTAAAAAGTCTAATGATTATTAATTAATTGTTGCTCTAATATTGAATCTCTTCCATTCCATTATTCCTAAGATGAAAGGATAAGGTTAATTTCCAGAATTCAAGGTTTGGATAAAGTATTTTAATAGATACGAGATCTTTCTTCTTTGATTAGCAAGCATTAATGTCATAGTTCTATACTTTTAATTAATTTTATCTAAATCTTTTTTATCTTTGATTTCTCTTTTCTGATATGGTTTTTTCTTTTTTATTGGTTCATCCAATATTATATCTCCATTTTGTTTATTAAGTTTTGCATTTATAGCTGCCTTGATCTTTAATAATTGATAAGCAATCAGTAAAAATTCCTTAGTTTCCTCATCATAATCGTCTATAATCACTTTTTTATCTACCAAATAATTTAACCTTTGTTCAACCTGTATAAACATTTTGGCTACTGTACTAAATCTGGATAGTTTTCTTAGTTCCTCAGAGTGGACGTGTATATTTTCATAGATTTCTTAAAGCTAAAAGGATAAAATTTCATTTTCTGTTTGATTCTCCTATTCCTTAAAATTGGTAGCTATAATTTAAAAGTAGTAATTTTTAATCGCTCTCCAAGTTGTGCATCTCTGCAAATAAGGGAAATTAAAGATCTCTATGAAGTCTTTAACTTCAGGCATGGTTAGTATTTAATCTAAGAAATCATGAGTAAATCTTATTTCAAAGGCTCTTTTTTATCCAAAATTACTTTACTCATTATCATGTAGTAATGAAATTTAAGTTAATATTTTTGGCAAGGCTATTTGATTTTTAACTAATTCAGACAAAACTATTTTACCAATTTTCCTTAAAATTATGTTCTTTAATGGTCCAACGACTCTGAAGAAGTCTTCATTGTCAAATCCAGTTACAATTTAATTCAATTTATTAACAAACTTACCATAGGTAATGTAGATTTCCTCATAATTTTTATTTGATTTCAAATCAATACTGCCCATTTTTTGATATGTATCTTTAATTTATGCAACTTCTNCTTGTTTGTCCTGATTAAACAAGATTATCTACTTCCTTATTAAAATTATTGCTATTCAGAATTTTCCTTATTTACAAACTAATTAATTCTTTTTGCTCATTCACTAAACGTGCCTACTTTGCTAGTAACTGAGTCCAACTACCCAAAGTCTAGGAATCAGTTTTCTTAACATAATCTGAATAGGGTTCATTAATAATTTTATCGATTCTCTCTTAAGAAGTTCCAGAACTTATATCAATTTTGTATTCATCATGCATAAATTTCATAAATACAGCATCCATCACTAAAAAGTCTAATGATTATTAATTAATTGTTGCTCTAATATTGAATCTCTTCCATTCCATTATTCCTAAGATGAAAGGATAAGGTTAATTTCCAGAATTCAAGGTTTGGATAAAGTATTTTAATAGATACGAGATCTTTCTTCTTTGATTAGCAAGCATTAATGTCATAGTTCTATACTTTTAATTAATTTTATCTAAATCTTTTTTATCTTTGATTTCTCTTTTCTGATATGGTTTTTTCTTTTTTATTGGTTCATCCAATATTATATCTCCATTTTGTTTATTAAGTTTTGCATTTATAGCTGCCTTGATCTTTAATAATTGATAAGCAATCAGTAAAAATTCCTTAGTTTCCTCATCATAATCGTCTATAATCACTTTTTTATCTACCAAATAATTTAACCTTTGTTCAACCTGTATAAACATTTTGGCTACTGTACTAAATCTGGATAGTTTTCTTAGTTCCTCAGAGTGGACGTGTATATTTTCATAGATTTCTTAAAGCTAAAAGGATAAAATTTCATTTTCTGTTTGATTCTCCTATTCCTTAAAATTGGTAGCTATAATTTAAAAGTAGTAATTTTTAATCGCTCTCCAAGTTGTGCATCTCTGCAAATAAGGGAAATTAAAGATCTCTATGAAGTCTTTAACTTCAGGCATGGTTAGTATTTAATCTAAGAAATCATGAGTAAATCTTATTTCAAAGGCTCTTTTTTATCCAAAATTACTTTACTCATTATCATGTAGTAATGAAATTTAAGTTAATATTTTTGGCAAGGCTATTTGATTTTTAACTAATTCAGACAAAACTATTTTACCAATTTTCCTTAAAATTATGTTCTTTAATGGTCCAACGACTCTGAAGAAGTCTTCATTGTCAAATCCAGTTACAATTTAATTCAATTTATTAACAAACTTACCATAGGTAATGTAGATTTCCTCATAATTTTTATTTGATTTCAAATCAATACTGCCCATTTTTTGATATGTATCTTTAATTTATGCAACTTCTTGATAGCAAAGGAAATTTGGGCTACAATATTTATCAATGTTTTATTCTAATTTTTTTAAGGATAACAAAATCAATTTATCTATTGGTAGATCTTCAAAATCCTTCTCTTGCATATCTTAATTGATTTCATCTAAGATATAATCATCATTTTCATAGGCTTTATGAATATCATCAAGTAAAGGGGGATTGCGATTTTTTAATTTAATGGAATTATCTTTTACTTTGATTGAAGTCAAAATTTTGGGAACCACTCTATTGGATTTTAGGAGCTAGATGAGTTTATCTTAAAAATATTGGATTTTGGTTTCTCTTTTAATAATTTTTTAATCATGCACTTCTTTAAAGTAATTTAGTTGTTATTAAAATGGGTTTCTTTTGATAATTTGCTGAATCGATGGACACAACTCATAATTGCGAGTTGAAAAACAAAATTCTTTTAATTTATTAAAAAAAAACTCTTCAAATACTTGATTATTTAATTCTTCGATATTAGTATACTTGATTTTAAGCTTTATTAAAATATCCTCTCTTTTCCTTATTTCTTTGGTTTTCATTATGTCTATAAATTATTATATAATTAGTTTCATAATTTTTGGTTTTATGTGTATGAATATATCATGGTAATAAATTGATTCTAAATCTTCTAGATTTCATAATCATTGAAACATTGCTAATGAGTGTATGTTCATTAATTAACATTTCTCTTCATTTTAAAGTTAATGAAAATAATATAATATGTAAAAAATAAAAAATAATCTTAGCAAACTATTAAACGATGAAAGCGTTTGCTTTGATTAATCATACTCCTTCATATTGTTTGTTCGGATGCTTTAATTTCTATAATATCTTGCAATCACCTTACAAGAAATCAATAACAATGGTCAAAAGAAGGATGGCCACTTTTCAATTTTTTTTCAAATTCTTAAGTTATCGATTTTAGATATCGACTTGCTGCCTGATTACATTGGATATATTACTACTTTCTTTAACTTCATAGTATTTCTGTTATTCATGCTTTAAATAGTTTATTTGAAAAGAACATTACGAAATTTGATGAAGATTTTAAATGGGTATTTAGCACTATTACCTTAAATAATGTGTTTTATATTTGTTTCATCCACTTTTCGTTCCTTTCTATTGAACTCCAAAACACATATTGTGATTTACATTTGGGCTATCTTTGATGTGAGTTTAATATTTTCCCTATCTTTGATGTCCTGTATTTTGTTTAGAAATATTAACTTTAATTAATCAACATATACAAGAGATTAAAGTATTATGAAGATTGTGTCACAAATATTTTAATTTGCAACTCAAATCCTATATTTCTATCATGACTAGGAAGAAATACTAATATTAAAACAGCTCTCTGCCTTAATGTGGATAGGTTTAGAATAGATTGATATATATTTATATATGCCTTACAGTTTGTATGATAGCAAGTTGATTTTTACATTAAATTAAATCAAATTTGGATGCAATTTGATTAATTTGATTTTGAATAATTTATCACTAATAATAGAAACGACATATTCTTAGTATATTTATTACTTCATATTTTCATCCATATGTTTTTATTTGGGAGAGACTTGCTATTAAAGATTGTTTTATGCGAAGGGATTGGATACATTTACTAAATCAAGTGAAAAGGATCAACATTTGTAGATAAAAGTACTGAGGCAATTCTAAGTTTAGGCTGAGTCCTAATTAACGCAAACTGAATAGCTTCTTTAGATTGGAATGGTTAATTAGCATATAATCCATTGTGGTCGCAAATGTTAAGTATATACAATTACTATTTAATAGTCATTGGATAGCTCAGACGTCATTCGATGTATTGTCAACTATCAAGTATAAACCAAGGAAGATGAGCATTTATTTTTATTTAAAGTAAGATATCTAGGGTTCCAAAATAAACAATACTCATAAAGTTTAGCAAGACTTAAACACTATTAAATAAAATACAAACCAGAATTGTCATGGTATTTTAATTTAATATAAATTGACATCTCTAATAAATTAAGATAGGAAATAATGAAATAATAATAATCCTAAAAAGTGTTCACACAAGATACTTAAAGTGCCAATTTAACATCTGAAAATTTAGTTCATTTGGATATTCAATCAGATAAATTGATTCTCAATCTAAGAAAGACTTTATCAGCAAAATTAGATATATGGAGAAAATAACTCAAAGGGTTTAAGACAATAAGATAACTTTAATTAGAATTGATCAAGTTAGCAGATGAATTAGAAAAACTAAGAAGAAAATTTAAACTCATTATAAATAGAGATGTTTATGAAGTTAATATTTCTTAAATTAACAACTTATATCACTTGAGAATGCTGTCATTATATTATTCAATCATAATGAATGATTAGCTTCATTCATTTTTATGTGAGAAATAATATTACCTAATATATTGTTATGAATAAACCCTTTAATAAGACTAATTAAATTCAATTGCTCTTGTACATGATAAAGTAGCTATTGTTACAGTTAGTTTAGTTAAAAGTTTAGGAACCATTTTGAATTCGAATAAGTAGTAATTGGGTTAGATTTTCAATTACAAAAAAGTGGAGGAATTTCAAAATATATTTCATCTAAATTAACTTATGCCTGATTTTATAGCCTCCAAACATAATTAAATGCTCTCAAACTTTTTAATTAAAGGTGATTCTCCTTTCTTTCAAGAATTCAGAATGATTTTTGGAAAATCAAGAGAAAATTTTATCTTCCCCTTATAATTAAAACTTGCAAATGATTTCAGCTATGAAGATGATTATGTAATTAAAGGGATTTTCTTTTCAGGAGGAAAAAGATATGATTATATTTTATTTGATCAAAATGGAAGAGTATTAGGGATAACCAAGTAAATTTACTATGATTTATTTACAGATCGTGAAGAATCATAAATGGATTTAAAATCTTTATATGGTTTCTGTTTTTTGTATTACTTTATTCCAGATTTATTTGAAATCGCTAAGAAGTGTTACCAAAGACAAAAAGATTAATCAGAAAATGTTAATTTATAAGAGGATGTTATATTTGTAACCTAAACAGATATAAAGGAATTTCATGAAAATTTTTAGCAACAGTTGAAATATCATCTTAGAGATTTGTATTGTATTTGGAATCTCAAAAAAAAATAGTCTTTGTCAAGTAATAGTATATTTAATCATTAAAGATAGATAAAGTACAACATCAAATACTAAAGAGATGAATTAATCAATAGAAATTAACTTATTAAATGAAGAGTATGCTAAATTTGCATCTGAATTTGTCAATCAAAATGTATAAAATTAAATTTATGCTAAGATCACATAATAAAAAACATGTTTTTTAAGATTTACTTTATATTATTAAAAAGGCAACACAGATGGATTTTTTATTATGTAAATATCTGATTATAGAAAACACGATTTAGGCGAAATAGCAACTGAATTATTTGCTTAATAAGATGTTGATTCAACAATGAAAAAATCAACTTTGAGACATCTCAAAGGTAATATTGAATTTCATATTAGACTTCATTGTTTCCAAAAGGAGATATGGAGATTAACGAGCTCTGTAAAGTGTTTTCACTAAGAGGAAGATGTATTCAAAATAATTGGTTTCTATGAATTAATCTGAAATCCTAATGACTCAATAATTATCATCCACAAATTTTACTCCAAAGGCATGCTTTATTAAACCCGAGATTGCATTGAATTCTGAGATGGAATCAGTTTAGGAAGTCAGAAATTCAAGTTCTGAAGAATCGCAGTTTCTAGATGAATTTATGTCTGAAGAGGAATCAAAAAAATAAAATTAAAGACGTGAGAAAAAGATAAAATCCTTCAGTAAAACTAATAATTTCTCAGATCCTGAATAAAACCCCAACAAATCTCAAAATTCAAGTAGTCTTTCTAAAGTATCTAATAATTAATCCTATTTCTTTCAAATTGTATTTAAGCAAAAATCTTAACTTCCAAAGAACATCCTAATTCTATGGTGTATAGTTTATAGCATAAACTTGATAAGTATAGGAGGATTTGGATTTACAAACTATCATCTAGTTACAAATTATCATGAATCTCAATTATTAGCTTAACAATTTATGGGACCATTAAGATTTAATAGATATTTTTGTAAAACATTATCATTGAGTTGGATATTCATATTAAATGATTACGATATCCTAAATAATAGTTAATACTCAATCTCCTAAAGCTTATATCAAACTTCGCTGTTGAATCAATTTGTTTTTGCCAATTTAACTTAGTTGTATCCAATATTCATTCAAATGGAGTCTGACGGAACTTTATCCAATATAACCTTAAAATACTCAGCTGATAATTTTGAGCAAGTGGAATTCACCAGATTACTTTATTTTATGGAAGAAGTCGTTCATTATTTAGTTTAGATAAATACATATGATTACAGCAATTACAAGGAGTACATTGATCGACAATATATTGATAAAATGTTTTTGATAGAGTAAAATCTACCAGAGATTATAGATATTGACTCTAATCTTCTTATCTAATTAAAAGAGAATTCAACATCCCTCTAGTAATTTGAAAGTACAATCTTTGTTATTGAACATCTGATTCACACTGCAATTATCTTTCTTATAATGTTGGTGCAATTGATTTAATGGAATAATATTGAATAATAAAATAGAAATTTAGCATTGCTTGTAGGAAGAATTAAAGATAGTGAAATAGAAACTGAAATTTGTAAATATATATCAAATATTTTCAAGTAAGAGCTCATACAGTTTATATTGCACTTAGTGTATAAGGGGGAGAGAATTCTTGGAAGCGTTTTAACTATTATAACTTTGGATTTCAATAGGATGTCACTTACTATTAGCCAAAAGAAAAAATCACTATTAGTTAAAAACTCTAATTAATGCAAACCAGCTAAAAAAATACAAGAAACTTTTAGACAAAAATAAATCTGTTTTCCCATCTTTTGAAAATATTGGTATTTGTTTCAATATACTAAATTTACTTATGGGGAGGCTATGCAATTTTTAATGATTAATAAAATAGACTTTTACCTTTGAGTAATCTTTTAAATGATTTTGCATTGTTTAGTTCAAAATTGGACAATTTGGCTAGTGCTGCTTTGATTATTAAAACTAAACCAATATTATTTGAAAAGCTAAAGTCTTTAAATATTTATTAAGAAACTGAATTGATAGATGAGGGAAAGATTTTACAGCTTTTTGATGAATTTTATGCTGATATTAATTTGTCATTTGTTAAATTGTATGAAAATATCATAAAAGATTTATCTTTGGAATATTCCCAAGAGGAAGTTCAAGGTTTGTTGAGTTCTGATATCTGCATATATTTGAGTGATTATCTTCCATTTTGCTAATTAAAAGCAACTTAAAACACTGCAGAGTTTATTTAAAAGTATGGCAATTATGTAGATCAGGATGATAATTCTGAATATTTTGCTCACGGCATACTTACTTTAGTAACAACCATTTAATAGTTTTATTAATAGAATTTTGCCATTGAAATATCAAATGGATAATATGTAAACAATACATAAGAGATAAATTAACTGATCAATAGTTCTGAGTTTAATGCAATAGTTTTGTCTCACTTTAGAGACACTTACTATTGCTTTATACGATTTTTAGAATTAGTTGACGGTAACATTGCTCTTATTAAGGAAAAGCATCTTGATGTGTTGCTCTTATATTATGACATAATAATAGTGGTTTATTTGATATTTTTTCACATATTCTACTCATTTTGGATAAATCGGAATGTCAAAGAAATGAGAAACATTAAGCTTGCCTTAATTGCGATCCCCCATTTTTAATTGACAAGTGATCCTGTAATTAACATTTTGAAAAGATATCAATGATAATGTTCTCATGATACTGAATCTAATTAAAAATATTTGATTTTCTAATACATTTTGTTAGTATTGAAATTTCAATTATCGTTAATAATTTTTATAATGCAGTGTCGTAAAGTAGAGCCGAATGTTATTATGAATTCTGCTAGACTTATGTAACGACCCATTGAGAGCAATAAATTGGAAGAAGAGATAGTCAATGTAATGAAAAGCCCTGAAAAAAAGAGTCCCCATAATGGAAAATGTCTCAAACGAACAACGTCCGGCCCAATAATTAATTTACAACAACAAATAATCATTTAGTAAGGCGGGCCCATAAAGGAAACCTAAGTAGAATTGAAGTCTAAGAGTTAAATAAAGAAGAAAAAAAAGAAGAAGAAAACTCAAAAGAAAAAGAAAGTTTAACTATAAGATAAGCAGGAATCAGAATAGAGGGTTTAACAATTATTAAAATAAAACCTGCGTAAGCATTAAAGTAATTTAATTCAATATCACAAAAGAGGATAAACATGAGTAGTAAGTACAAGAAGAGATATAAAAATAAAGAGTGGCTAGTTTGAATGAAATGAGAAAAATAATGGATCAACAAATTCGATAAGTCAATCAACAACGATTTTCAAGGGTATTTAAATACTTTAACATTATGTTTAGCAAAAATCTCCTCCCTCATCACTATTACCTTGGGGGATCGATTAAAACAAGTTAAAATAGTATTGGACAAAAATGTTGGAAATCCATGATAAACTAGAAAAGCCTATTGTTTAAAGCAAGACTTCTACTGAATAAGCAATAAAGGAGAAAATAAGAAGACATAAATTAGGATTGGATTTTTTGAATTCCAAACCTGAAAAAGATATTTAAAAGATGATTTAAAGTATATTTATAGATATTCCAAGAATAAAAATCAAAACAAGTATTAGAATCGATATCCTCTCCTCTAAAAAATAAAAATAATTTTGAACATAAGGAGGTAGAATAGGATGTGAAATTGTATATGATGTATAAAAGAGAACTCTGGCGATAATAAAAGATAGAAGAGTATAAATTTTATTTACATTAGAAAATAACTCTAAAAATTAAAAAAAGAAAAAGTTCATCAAAACCTATAGATCTTAAATTAAGAGGCAAAGCAATTTGCTAAATCAAGAAATGCATCAATTAAATCCAATTTAACCGTATAAGTAAGCTCTTAACATGTCGAACATCAATCACAGCATTATCGGACATCAGAACCCCCAAATTTCAATAAATTAGAAAAAGAGTATAAGGAATTAATGAGGTCGCTTAGATAATCAAGTTATAGCAGCACTTAATCTCATACAAGGAAAAATAGCTAATTGACATTTATTGAATGGCTATCTAACCTACCTGAATCATATTTACAAGAATAATTAATGTAGATGTAAGTCATAAATGAGCAGATGAATAGTTAAGGTTTTCAATATAAATTAAGTGAACAAGAATTATATTAATTTTTAGAATAATTTTTGAAAGAGAAGTTTGAATAATAATCGAAATAAACTATAAAGGAGAGATTTTAGGAACTTCAAGGTAGATTTTAATTGGTTACTAATTAATAATCCTAAAGTTAATAATAGTAATATTAATAATAGCCGCAATAATAATAATAATAATAAAATTATACCCATCATAGTATTTCTAGTTCTAAAAGTAAGAAACAAATATAAGAACAACCAGATACTGAACCATAAGATGAATTATTTAATAAAATAAGCGAAGAGCAATTGGAATAAATTTATAACATAGCTGCAACTATGATCTAAAAAGTATGGAGAGGATTTAAAACTAGATAATTAGTATTTGATTATCTAAATTATTTAATTTAATAACAGGAGGAAGCTTAGTAAGAAGACAAAAGAGAGAAAATTTAAGAATAAGCATTATTTGGAGATTTATTACAACAAGATGATCAGCAATCTATTAATTAGGCCACAGAATCAAATAGGAAGCAGAATCATTTTGAATATTTATAAAATGACTCTGCCATATCCCATTAACAAGGGTATGCTCCTCCTCCTTCTGAATCTATCCAATAGTCATCTCCCCATTAATCAAGTCCAAAAGGAAATAATAATATACCTCATCTCAACTTAGATTAATTCTCTCAATAATTGCAGTCAAGTGCATAAAAATCTATTAAAAATAATTAAATAGTAGCCTAATCATAATCAGCTTGTTAATCATAATCTGAAAATCTAGAATCAGAAATTGAACAAATCTAAGATTCTACTCCTAAAAAAATAAGGCTAAATTAACATGGATCCAATCAAGACCCTGATTATTATATTTAAGTCTTGAAATCCCGGGAAGAAGCTCTATAACAGAAGTTCGATAAATAAGTTGCCTTGTTGGATAAAATGTTAGAAAAGAAGAAAGTAACTAATGAAATGTTTTCTGAGAATAAAGAGAAACTAGAAAGAAAATATAAAAGAGAGAGAGCAAAGTTATAATAGTCGAAAAATGAAGTTGAAAGACTTTAATAGATGTTTAAGGAAACTATAAAATCTACTTAGAAAGATTAATAATTCATGGAAAAGATTAAGATGTAGTGTGATGAAGAAAATCTTTCAATAAGGTAAATCTTTTCATTAAGATCTGAAACAGAGTAATCTGATTGTGATATTGAAAAGAAAGCAATCCCTCACTATGGTCTATTATAAAAAATAAGTATTCTTATATTAATAATGTAGAAAATGATCATTTTAGAAAATATCAAAAAAACAGAAAGTAAGTTCGCAGCTTTGATTAGTAAATGAGTTTGGATGAGATTTCAATGAAAAATGAAGAAATATAGACTAGCACATTATTTAATATTCATACAGAATCTATGTCGCATTCAATTCATAAATCTTAACAAATAACTTCCAATAACTAATAATCAATACCTTCATAAGAGATAGTCTAAGTGGAAACTATCGAAATTCTAGAAAATAGAGACCCTTAACCTAATTATAGAAAGTCAATAATACCTTTTGATGATCGTAAAATTGACAGTGTTACTGAAAACATTGTTTAAAATATAATTGTTGAATTTGCTGAAGAATTAAATAATTTCCCTCTTTAGTCTTTGGGGGTGCTAATGGAATGGGATGAAGAATCATAGATTGAGTATTAATTTCCTCCTGGTTTCCCAACTACTCTTAATTTCATTAAAGATTATCTAGTATCTTTTGGAGAATTCATTTAAAGTAACTAAAAATTGTATTATAGAACATCATTTGAATGCTTTTATACAGTAAATTAACACACCTTTAGGAATAAGTCCATAAGATTTATTAAAGACAATCTCTTTAAGTGACATGTAATAAAATAACTTGGATGATTCAGCATCTGGTCCATTATATCCATTAATTAAATACATTCATTAAATGGAACCTCTCATCGATGAAGATATTTGGACTAAATTTAATTAATCTTACTCGCTAAAATTGAAATATTATAATGACATAAATATTAGCGATTAATTTAAGGAATTGGAAATGTTCCATTTAAGAATGGTTTATGAAGCATTTAATGAGGCTATTAATTATGTAAGGCCATTTGGAATTAGAGGATAACCTTACCCTTGGAAATCAAATCCTTTGAAAGTTTATCAAAATTTGACCACTCCTGAAACCATTGATAGAGCAATGGGATTTGCAATTGCCAAAATGCTTAAATGGGGCTCTTTTCTCTGTGGATTCATACCTGAAAAAATTGAAACCCCTTAAGGAGAAATCATAGTAATAGAGGATGATTACTTGAACCAGATTAAAGAAGATCGATTGTAATAGATGTTAGAGTACGAAGTAAAGCAATTATTTTATTCTAAAGATTTAAGAATCTGAGGAGAAATGGCTTAATTATGACGAGGAACAAGCAGAAGTTGCAGTAGAATTAGCAGATATTGTATTTGAAGCCATGTTAGATGAAGTAGCTGAGGAAATATTCAGAGCTAGTTCAAGACAAGCCATATCGAAAAAATAATTTCAATATTGATATAATATATACTTATTTAATATTTATTTCAAAGATACTCTTTTTGGTTAATAAGTTCTGGTTCATAAACCTAAAGGTTGTTTTACAAGCTATTTTATAATAAACTTATACTCTTAATAGATACGAACGACATATAAATGTATGCTCTGTTCATTTTTGAAGCTGACAAAGAATTTATAGTTGAATCCGGCAACGATTTATCTCTCTATTGATTCTACCTTTAAAAATTGAAAATCTTAGGGGATAGTTTAATCCAACTTTAATCTGGCTGCTGCATAAATTTCATCATTCCTTTATTCTGAAAAATATTCATCAACATCAATTGCTTCGTAACTTCCTGTGCAAATAACAGATGTAAATGCGATAGTTAATATTAATACTTTTAACATAATTTTATTATTAATAATAAAATCAAATTAGGATATGCATAAATATGCAAATGGATATACACGTCATTACTTAATTTTACTAGCAGAGCCAAAAAATTATTAGATGCATGAATTAAAATATATTAATAGAGTGTGATCATTTAATCTAAGCAGATAACGAAATATATATGAAAGGAACTTCAAAATTATGAAGAAAGCCAAATGCAATAAAAAATACTAAGGTATTTCTTATAAAAATTCAAAATGATTTGAATTTTTCTTAATCTTCGTTGTTTATTTACATATAGTCTTCGATAATAGTTTTTAAACATCAATAGATAAGAGCTTCTTAATTTAGATGGCTATTTTTAATTATAGTATGTGTTGTGCTTTTAAAAAAATTATATTATATTTTTGTTTTTAACTAATATAACCAAGCTTTCTGCAAATTATTCTAAAAATCAACCACTGCTTGCTTATTTTATAGAAAAATTTGAAAAATTCCTTTATAAAAAACTATTATAAAATCATTTAAATCATAATTATAATTTATCAACAAAGTTACTCACCTTAGAGATGATCATGATTTTTTACTTGAGTCTAATAAAAAGGAAAGGTATTTTAAGATCATTCTAATAGTGATTAATAATTTTCGCAATAAATGTTATAAAATCTATTTATTATATAAAGTTAGTAGTTAAATTTATTAACAATAATATTATTAGCCTTAGGGTATAATTCTATAAGAATAATAATTATAAAATATTTTTAAGGGGAACTGAGACTAATAAAATTATTTTATATATAAAGATTTAAATTCTAATTCATCAGATTTCATATAGATATACATTTGATATACCCTTCAAGTATATGAACACAACAACTGGAGGGAATGTTGATTCAACAATATTCTTTATAGAAGGAAATGCGAAAGAATTTAATTGAGAGTTATTATTTTATAAAAATAATTTAATATTTATGGGATAATCATCGATCACAGTCATTGATCCAAATTAAAATTACAATTACTCTAGATAAAATACTACTTAGGAAGTGGAAGAGTAAATAAAGCGAGCCTTCAAACAAGCTTCTCCATAAGGAAGATTGACCAGAGACAAGTTTAATGAAGCACTGGGAATATTTGAAAGTATTCAACTGAAAAGGCTAAGAGACACTCCTTTGGCTGATAGACTATTTTCATTATTGGATAAGGTATGATGTAAATATAGGTTTTAGGGTGAAGAAGGATACATAACAGAAAGAGAATATTTGGAAGGCATTACAACATTGATTAATAATAAAGATAAAAGGATTACTTGTAATTTATATGATATAAAGTAGATTCCTTTTAAATGATTGACAAAAACAAGGATAACAAGATAGATTTTTAAGAGTTTTACGATTTTGTAAAGGACAGTTGGTTGAGTGCTTTTAGATTATTGGGTGAAAAGGTTTGTTCAGGACAGAATCAATATCAATTAACCTAATCAAAAATAAATGCTTGGGCTTAAGGATAATTGAACAAACTCTACACCTAAGTTTAGGAGATATTCATGAAGTTTGCTTAATAGAGTGTATTCTATAAATTAAAAATAAGAATTCGATGGACCCGCTAGTGTTTAAACAATGGGTTTTAAGCAATGAATTTGGATTTATCAAGGCAGAATTGGGTAATGAATCGGTTTAGATTCCACTTCATTTATACAGGTTAGAAGAAAAGTGAAATTATAAATAATTAATCTATAAACATTATGTATTGTGCAGATAATTAAATAAGTTGCACAATTATATATGCTTTGAACATATTTGGCTTGCTTCTTGTTTTGGGAATATTGTTCAAAAGCCGAGAATTCTATTTAAGGGAATGGAGAAGAATAAGACAAGTCATCAAAGATTATACAATGTAAGAATAAATAATTAGTTTATCGTAGAGATTATCGAAGTGGTGGAAATTTTCCAATATTCGCAAAGTTTTTAGGCGTGTTATTAGGATTTTGTATCTTAATATTGGCAAGCATAGTTTCTGTATATATTTTCATATATCAAAGATAATTCTGTGGGACACTAGTTTCGGGTTCATGGAGATATCCAATGTGTTTTTGTGGACAACCTGTGCTTTCCTATTTTACATTGATTATCGCTCTATTTTCAAGTTTTCAAAGTATGAAATCCTCTTTATATAAAGATAATTACGACTAGCTTTAGCTATTATTCTCATTATTTAATTTACATCAGGTTTAGTATTTGGAATAGAGAGAAATTTGGAAAAAGAAAATAAAGGACTTGATGATTTAACTGTAGAGGCATCAGTCTATTTGTGTAATTTCATAATCGTGCTTTTTATTAATATAATAAGCTTATTCTTTCCAAAGTTTGAATATCAAAAATTAAACAAGAATAGCGATGATAATAATTTTATTAGCATCAATACTCTTTCACATCATTTGATTAGTGATGAATCAATCTCTCTTTAAACGTAAAAATAGAACTATATCACCAATTCATCAAGTTAAAGACAATCAATATCTAAGAATCCAAAAAGGAATCAATCATTTATAGATTAAATAGAGGAGGGCAAAAAGGATGATTAAAATTCTTTGGGATCTTCAAGCATATAAAAATTAAAATAGGAACAGTCAGGATTGATTGATCTAACTTATGGATTAAAGAAGGAAGAAGAGGCTATTTAAAAGGAGAAGGAACAAAAGGAATTGATGAGTTAAATTTAGGACATGCATAAATAGTTAGATGAAAAATTAAACAGATTTAAATAAGATAGTGAAATCAATCAATAGGAATAAGAGTAATCTCCTGTTAAGGATAAGGTGCAAAAGAAAAATACTTAAGAGTTAACCGAGCTTTCAGACTAATTAAATACATAAAAATAACCAGAGGCTAATGCAAATTAAAAATATGAAATTCAGAGCATAAAGATTGAAGGATTTGAAGAGATTAAGAAACAAGGAAAAAGATTCATATATTTTAAGATATTCTACTTTTCAAATTCTAAATAAAGACAAGTCAGAACTGAACATAATTTGAAAGAATTTCAATAATTAAGATATGACTTATCATAAATATATGTTAATCACTCATTCCCAGAAATACCTGAGAAAAAACCCAATGAAAGGTTAACAGGGAAAGATGTTGCAAGTAGAGGAGAGGCTCTTGAAAAGTTCTTATAATTTATAGTTTAAAATTAGATGTCATGCCCAAAATTAGATAAATTTTTAGAGGAAACCTCAGGACCTGTTCTTATTGAAGACGAAAGTAAATTGTTTTCTTAAATTTTAGAAGAAACAAATATAGATCAAGTATTGAAAGATAAGTCATTTGATGACTTCCTAGAAATTAGAAAGGGAAGCATAACTTCTAAGTAAAGTTATCTAGATAAAGACTTTAATGAAGAGAGTTTTGAACCAAAAAGTAGTTTCAGTTCATCCTAGTATGACTAAACATCATATTTCTCAAAAAATCCTGATCGATTTTAATCTAATACATCATCAGGGATGGGAAATGGTCATAAATTTATTATTAAGGAAGTTAAAACCGCTTAATAAATTACTGTATTAAATAATAATAATAAAATAGTATTATAAAATTGAGGGATCAATAAATGGTCAAACTGTTGCAACTGTTTAAAGAAGGTATAATGATTTTAAAGATTTGTATAAAAAGGTTAGATTATTATTAATTTTAGCTTTAAGAAAGACAATATTAAATCCCTATTTTACCAAATGAACCCGTTTAAAAATAGTAAGATGTTATAGCTTATAGATAAGAAGCTTTAGCATAATTTTTAAATGCCTTGTATTAAAATAAATCAGTAAAAACTAATATGGTTTTTAAAGAATTTGTGGGTATTTGATCATGTTTTTGATAATAAATAAATAAAAAAATATTTTTCATAAACCAATACCTTTTTATTTTTATCTTTACATTGCCCTCTTGTATTATAATTCTAATTCTTTATTTCTCTTTTCAATTTCTTCCTTTTACTTCTCCTACTCATCATCATCTGATTCATTTTTTGCCCCCATCAATTTCTTAAGTTTATCCTAATTTTCTTTGCTCAATCCACCCATATTCCAAATTTTTTATTTTTTCTACAATTCTAGATTAGCCTTGCTTTATTGAGTTTTTTTATTTGAATTCGATCTGCTTCTTGATCTTGAAAGTTCTATATCACTATCAATAGTTTCGAATTAAATTTCAAGCTATTATTCATATTCCCCCAATTTAATTTTCATGCCTTCTCTTAACAATACCAACTAATTCTATTTAATGGCTCTATTATTAATTTCTGTTCCATTAACAGATCCTAAGTCTTGAATTGTGATGCTAGATTTGCCCACAATCAATTTCGCATGCTGTCTGCTGATAGATTCGTTTTTAATTACTATTGAAGCTTAAGCCTTACTCCTCCCAAGTATGTATTCTTTTCTTTTCAACTTTATTTTTTTATCAGAAAAAATTAAGTAAAACTATTTAGCCATTTATTAATTTTATAATTATTGTCCTTGACAATAAGTATTTCTCATTTAATTTTCATACTTTCTAATTAGATTTTCAATTCATATAAGGGTTTCTTAAGCAAGAATCATAAAACTACATGTAAAATAATAAGTTTAAAAAAGTGAGGAATTTATTCGTTATATTATTAAAATCAATTTAGAATCAAATTTAAAATATTATGAGTAAAGAAGTATTGGAGCTATAAGAAGCATTAGAATATTAAGTGGATGTGGTATTACGACTAGAAGATGAGCGACTGTTACTATAAAAGGAGAATAATTTATAGAAGTAATATGAATATTTAAATCTTAGGGAAAAGTTGAAAGAATTGAATACTATGTTGCAAAAGTATCTTGGATAACAATTTCTATAAATTGAAAAACATACCCAAACTGAATTACAAGAAAGATAAAATTTTGAGGTACAAACGCAAGAGGATGAAATCATTTCTGATTATTCATTAAGTAATTCCACTGTTTCAGTTGTTAATTAATAATCTTTTACTTAATAACAGGATTAATCAAATTCTTCAAAATTATTGGATCAAGCAAAATCCTTAGTGAAGTAGTCTGCTTCAAGGCTTCCTGTAAAAAAATTAAAATTTTGTGGAGATAACTATAAAGAGAATAAGGAAAAGGACAATTAAGAAAAAAAAGAAGCAAAACCAACAAATACAAAATAATTAGATTCATAAAGTGAAGCATTAACTAGAGAAATTGTTAATTTAACTAAGTAATTACAATAATTAAAGGTATATAAATATATCTAGATCTAGTTGCAATAAAGAAGTTCATAAGAAACAATTAAGAAATATGAGAAGGAAACTGGTGAAGTAGTGAAATTATTGGAAGTGAAAAATGAAATGTTAAATAAATTAAGAAATGAAAATGCTGAAATGGCAATTATTATAAATTAAGATAAATTTAAGAGTGTTCGCTAATTAGATTTGGAATTGAAAAAAGAGAGAGACGATAAAATTAAATATTAGGCTATGGTTTCTTAAAAAACGGAGGAAAATTAGCGTTTAGTAGAAGAGCTTAAATAATTCAGGGAGGTTCTATCAAAATTAACAGACGAATTTGAAAGATATAGAAACACGTAATTGTTTAATCTAATGTAGGCATAATCAAAGCAACGTGAGTTAATCTAAAATAGAACCAGTTGACACTTCATTTTATTAAGAAGAAATAAAAATAAAAGTTTCGACTATCAATGAATTAAAGTTATAAAATGAGTAATTGCAGGAAGAAGTAGATTATTTCAGGAACTTAAGTTTATAATAAAAAAAGATTACTGAAAAACAAGAGGAAGACTTAGACTTTTACAGAGAGATACTAATTAAACATAAGATCATTAAATAATGAAAATATTTAATTAACATTATTATAATTGTATATCATCCACCTCAAGAGTATATATTCTAATCATTTGTATATATTATTTTTGTGTTTTCTAAATTAATTAAACTATACTATATAATTATAATTATGCTCAATAAATATTTTACTTTTTATAAGGTATGCAGAGAAAAAACAAAGCTCTATAAGTTCATAAAGAGTGTCTATGTCTCAAAAATTAAATAGGTTGAAGAGAGTTTGCTATATGCCAATGATCTTTAATATACAATATCAACTTTAGAAAATATCAAATTTATCTAATCTGCGAATACTAATTAAATAGTAAATATTTCTAGATAAATATTTCACAATTATAACATATCTAAATTGGAAACTCCTTAAAATGCAGTAGATTTATTATAGGTGTTAACTAAAAACATCTCAGTCAAGGATGTAAGATTGTATAGAGAAATATATAAATTTTATAAAAAGCATGCTTAGTATTTTACTCATCAACAAGTAGAGACACTCTAAAAGTGTTATTATCATTTGGCCAGGTAAATTGAATTTAATGATTTAATTTAAATTGATGAAAAAACTTCAGTTGCCAAACATACTGAAAACTTTAACCACATTCAATCAGATATATATTAACTTAAATAATAAGAAGATTGGAATATCATGTTTAAAGAGGATCCTCAATCATTGACCAGTGCTGCAATATTAACTCATAAGAATGGCATTGTCTTAAGAATCTAAGGAGTATTTTAAAATAATTATGAAAGTATTATCGATACTTAAAAATTGATATCAGAGAAGAAACCTGATATTATTATATTAAATATGGCTCCAATAGCTATAAATGAAATTAAGAAGGATAATGAATTAGATATCCAAAAAACTGTGGATTCCTTTAATGAGCCAGAAAAAGATAAAGGAGAAGAAGAAGATGAAGATGAGGAAGAAACAAAAAAAATAGAGTAAGTTTTTGTTACTAATTTTGATCCTCTTATTGAAGAATTAACAAAGAAGTTTTAAGTAAATGATTAAAAGAAGATTATAACTGGATATTAATAAGGATTCTAAGTTCCATTTACTATGGAGTCTTTGCTTTATCAATTTTCATAACAAAAAAGAGACTAAAAATAGCCAATTATTTTATTGGGAGGGTTAAGTTTCGAAGATTAAATCAAATTGTACATCCAAGGCATCCCTCCTGGTAAAATTGCTTAAGAATTATCTAGTCTTAGATTTCAATGGTTGAATCAATTGTTAGCTAATTTCTCTGATATTTAATAAACTGGATGCATCTTATGTAATTCATAACCAAATGGTGTAATACCTCCTTCTAAAATCCTAAATGAATCACCAAAAATGAAAAAGATATAGGCTGACTTTCTTGGAGAATTAACAAATAAATACATTGGCAGTAGTGGTAAAAAGCAATTTCTAGTAATTGTGCAATAATAATTATTTTTGGAAACTCTCAGAAGTGTTGCCTAAAGAAATATTGAAAAGAATGATGTGGATATAGATATTTATAGATAAGAATATTTGGAAAAAAAGTAAGGAAAAAAAGTGTAAAATAAAAAGCATTATAAAGTGTTTTAATAATTTTATGAAGAGTAATTATTATGAAATATAATTAGTGCTTTAAATTTTGATAAAACCTATAAGTATTGTTCACAAGAAATGCTAGATTTAAATAAATTTTCAAGTGTGAAATATACAAAAGGATTAGACTTGCGTTGTGGAATCAGAGATATTTTATTTTGATAATTTTGTGTAAATTAAAATAATTAATTATAACAATCAAATAAAAATAGAGTGATAACAAATAGATTCTTATTGCCAGTAATAAAGTCTTAGCTTTAAGTAATTATTTTATTTATATATACAATTTAATATATATGTTTCTTATATTGGGCAAATGAAATCATTCTTTTTTTTCTTCAGCTCTTACTTTACCTTTGCCATTTGTCAATTTTACATTGAGTTCAGCAGCTCTTCTAACAAGAGTTGCTCTTTTTCTGGCAGAGAGATTATGAGCCAACTCACCTGCAAATGTTCTGTTATTAGTAAGCAATAATTCAAGATCCTTTTCGTTAGTGATTAATAATTTTCTGAAACCAGATTAGTCTAAATATCTATATTGATTTTATTTTTATATACCTTGTTTTTTTATCGCTTCTATATCCTGATTTTGGCATAGGTCTATTACCTCTGAATCTTCTTCTGACTCTGTTATCAATACCTCTTGGTCTTCTCCAACTAGGTCTCAATTTGTGTGGATAGTCCTCTGATTCAAATCTAACAAATCTCTTTGTTCTCTTATGTACAATTTTTTTGTGAGCAAGTGATTTGACAACCATTTTTAATTAAATAAAGATTTTAATTCAAATATTCATCTTCATTCTCAGTAATAATAAAAAATGATCATTATATGCTTTTGCATGAAGAAAGAGGCTCCAAACCAAAAAATAGTAACCGACATGGTACAATACATTTGCACTAGCCTATTATTTTATTGATATATTTATTACTGTCAATTCAAACAATTCTTTCCTCTACACCTTCAAGACAATATTCAAGGCATCACTTAGAAAAAGAAACACTGCCCCTACCAAAAGTAAAGTAAATGATTTTTTGCTCGTCTTACCATATCGATGGAAGGTATAAGAACTAAATAGAGCTGAACATAGCAATAGTCCAAAGGCTACAAATTAATTGTAAAAATCATCCATTTTTTGAATAGCATATCTTGACATCACAATTGATAACACTATCAATCCTCCTTATAACACCCTTATCTAAAGCATCAACTCTCTATTGTATTCTGATTGATATCTACTTTCAAAGTGGCGATTTGATAAAAATATGAATAAACAAAGCAATGAATAACATGCGAAATCCAGGGGATTCTTATAAATTTATAACATTAAATTACTTTATAAGTTAAGACTCCTGAATAGGCTATATATAATGCTAGAATCTGAAAGATGAAAGTAAAAATAAAAAGTTAGAAATATGCTTATGTATTTCTTTAAATGGAATTGAACTTTTTGATTTCCACTTAAACTCTAGGTTCTGTATCCATTATTTTACTCACTATATCCTGCATCTCAGATTTATAATATTTCAACATATCTCTTTTTGATTTCTCTAAATAATAAATCCATAATCCAGATGTCAACAAATTTGTAACCACTACTATGTTATACTCAAATATCATAGATAAAATAGTTAAACTAGCTCCAACAATAGGAATATGATGCATATAATCATCCCAAGGTAGTTTCTCAATAAATTCCTGGTGCTATCTTTTTTAATTCATAAATAAATTTCTATTTTAAAGCCAATCCCACTTTGTAATTATTTATATTATCATATGTATAACTATGCATTAGTTATAGAAGCAATTTTCTCATAATCTGAGCTCCATTCATTTAAATATTATATTGATTACTATAATTTTGATTTTCAGTATTTTTATATGATTTATATATCAAAATGATAACTTAGACTATAAACAAATAATTAATTATTCATCTTTAAAATCAATTCTATGAATTGTAATTTTTATATTTAATATTTAATAATATGGATAATGCTGAGGGTATAATTACAGAAATCTTCAAAAACGAAATACAAGTCAAAAGAATTAAGAAAGGTAATCAAATTTAACACAATAGAAATTCAATCTTTGACTTAATTGAAGAAAGAAGATTTTAAAATAACACTAAAAACATTAAGTCCTAATTTATAAATAATTGTAAACTGTCTCACTAAAGTAGGTTGAAATGCCTCCTATTAAACAATTAAATTCAAATAAACCCATAATTTTTGCATTATACTTAGATAGTAGATTTCCATTTGTTTTTCCAAAAGTTCATATATTAAGCTAAGTAGCTTTAAAAATAAATCTAAGGTTACTAAACCAACCTTGTCTGATGGTCGAGATTATATAGAAAACATTATTTCTGGGCCATGGAGTCCTTCAATCTTGCTTTATGAAATAGTTAAAATGTTCCCACAATTTCTAGTAACTTTGTTTATTGTAATACTAGGAAACAATTGAGAAGAACCAAAATAATAAAGATTATCTGCTAAAATTAGGAAAATATTAAGAGAATTAAGAATTTGATTTAAATATTGGCTTAGAGAATGTCGAATATTTGCAATGTAAATAAATAATAAATGGGAAATAATTTCCAAGAACTATCTTGATTAGTGATAGTTATTTGCTAAATCTTGAATACCAAAACAAAGAATCCTTGTTGTTAAATTATTATAGCATTGCAAATCTGTAAAAAATAGAGAGAGTTTAAAAAAACTTATTATTAAATTGGCTGATGAATGATGGTAGCTTAATTATCCAAACACTGACTTCCGCAAACATAGATTAACTTTAAAATACAATTAATTCATATAAATTAGGCTAAAATGTAAAAAAAATTAATTAAGATGATGTTACGTTATAAAAATTTGAAACCATTTAAATTTATGATCTTTTGCAATAATTGAGTTTAAATGAAATAGAGCTATCTAAGAATCTCAATAAAAACTCTTTAAACAATCTAATGACTTCATATTAATAAGTAACTAAGTTTTATAATGCATAGATTATTGAGTATTATTCAGCATTCTCAGATGAAGATTATAAATAGTATGTCACTCTTCTTTAAGCCTTGCTTAGCAGAGAAGATGTACAAACCATCTTAGCTAGTCCTGCTAAATGATTTTATTTTGATATAGGTTTGATTATTTAGATGTGATTATTAAATAAGATCAAAATTTGTTCTAAATTCTTCATAAATTATATAGATCTTCAATGTTGAATTGATAAAAAAAGAAAATATTATATAATGGAATCAAATCTTATCTTAATTTATAATCATGAATCTGCATTGCAAAAACTATTATTGACAGCATTTTAATTTTACTCCCTTTTGTTCAAAATACAAAATAATTATTTCTTTTATCGTTTTCTACTAATTTAAAACATCATTTTTTTCCTTTTTTTAGTGAATAGATCTTTGATAATATTGCTTAGATTAAATCTTATATCATAAAATTCAAACTCTTTTTAAGAATCTATTTAATGTTCATGATTCTCAAAAATATTTTTAACAATCTCCATTTCTATTAATTAAATTTGGGTAGGTTCAAGGTTTATACCTTTATTGGGTTTTTATTATTAATCAAATAATTATCTACTGCTATTTTATCTCTTTAAAATGAATTTGTGATCTTAAGTAGGTTCCTTTAAATCTTCACCATCAGAGACAATTTTTTAGTTTGACGTATTAACAGTTTATTTTTTAATGCTTTTGGTAATTTTGACACGCATAGAAGAAATTCCAGGCTCTTATTGAATTCTATTCAAATTCTTTTATATTGATTGAGCCATGTAATTACCCTATTACGATTAGGATGAAAATTGATGTTTAAATTAAGTTCCTGAGTTATCAGGTGAAACCAATGACTCTTCAGATATGGATTAACCATCACCATAACAATTAATTTCATCATTTTTATTAATTTAAAAGAAATCGCAATCAGGTAGAAGATCAGAATACAGGAATGTAGTATTTCCATATTCTAAGACACTCTTTTAAAGTAGTCTTAAATTAATCATAGATTTATGAGTAAATAACTTTTAGGATATTCTTCTTTATTAAAATAATCGATTCTATTAATCCTGATTATGCTTTTTTTTGTATAATCTCATATTGTTGGGAGTGTAGAAGACAAAAGGACACTTTGTAAAAATGTGATTTTGATAACAAAGTTCACATCCACTAAATTTAATTCTTCCTCCAAATTGAATTTGATGTTTAATTCGGTAATATTTTTCCAAATCCTCCTTATTTAATTATAGCAAACTTAACACATCTTCGAAGGTCACATAAGCAAGTTTGGAGAATTTAACTGCTCTTGAAGTAAATTAAGCACAATTTTAAGATATGAATCCTTTCTCATCAATTGCTTGTCTTCTTTTATAAATCTTGACTAATTTATTATGTCTAACATTGGCTTCAACCTCCCCTTTTAGAATAAAATACATCCGATCTACTTATTGGCCTTCTTGAAAAATCACTTCTTCGGGTACAAAACTTTATTCCTTGACCAAAAGACATAGATTTGAAATAAATTCATCTGAAAAATTTTATCTGAATAACTTTGATTAAAAGAACAAGGACTTGTAAAAGTCAATTTTAACTTCTCTGATTAAAGTTCCTGATAGATGTTCCATAAGTTTTTCACATTCAAAATCTGTATTCTTTTGGGTTTTTAAATAGTATTCAAAGAATTTCTTTACTCTTACTTAGAGTTCCTTATTTAATCCTCTTCTTTTGATAAAGGAGTCAATCATGGTCATTTTATCTCTCAGATAGTTTTTATTCTCAGAGATTTATGTGAATATCGCCCCAATACTAGAGATTGTATAACCAAAAATTATTGAACTGAGGAGAGTTACAAAAATCACAAACAATTTTTCTACTTGAGTGACCTAATAAATAGTTATGATTATTACTGGGGTTATGTCACCATAACCAATTGTTAAGGTAGTTATACAAGCCCAATAAAATGAGGTGATATATCTACTAACCCAATCAGAATCTAATTGAGCCTTGTCTGCCCAAGTGTATATTGAATTGTGATAAAGGTGTTCTTGAATAGCAATGAAATGCCAAACACAAGCTATTAGATGAGACGCAAACAAAAAGGTTGCAAGCAAAGATATCAAGTCAATGGCAGCAGCAAAATTGACTCTCAAATTTAAGGTTTCAACCAAATTTTCAAAAATGAACATAATCTAAAATTTTAATAAGTTGTGAAGTTACTCTTGAAACTCTCAATAATAAGACGAATTCTATGTAAGGAACATTGGATCTCCCAATCAAAAAAGGGATCAAAACTATAAAATCAGTTATGAATTTCCCTTTTAAATAATGTTTTATTATCTGAACTTAATTTAACACCAAAATTCCTCTGCTATAATAAGCAACATTAAAATTCAATAGAATCTCACAAATAAATACATATTGTGGCAAGGTTTCAAGGAAAAAGTCAATGCCCTCGTTTGATCCCTGAATATCAAAGGAAATTTTCAGTGGAATGTATATAATGTTGATAATTAGTATTGTAAACACGAACAGATCCCAAAGCAATTTCAAAGTGTGATCTGGAGTAATAGGCGAGATACTAATTCCAAATCGGCGAAAGACGTAAACAATCTTCTTAAAGAAGAGCTTAAGATGAAACTCATAAAATACTAAGCCATACTTACACATAAATGCTATTTGGATTTAGCTCTAATTAATCTTCTTGTCAAATAAAAATTATAATCAGATGCCTAATCTCCAATAACTTTGAATTGTCTTAATTCCAAGTATCGGAGTTTGAATTTGTCTGAATTCGTCAACAAGTAAGTAACAAATCTGGCTACTAACACGATGACATTCAAAGCTCGTTCTTTCCAAATCTGATTTTTGAATCCCTATTCAAATCTTTGGGGCATATCTTGAGACTCATTCGATTGTCCACTTTCACTTGGTTCATGTGAGACTTGAACTTTCTCTAATTTAGTAAATAATATTGAGGGTTTCCGAGAGGTATCCTCAAGTAACTACTCATCTAAATTTCGCATCAATACTTACTAGGCTAACTACTACGACTAGATAAGATTTTGGGCGTAACAGAGAGGAAATCAGATTATTTCTAATTCATTTATATTTTTATATATTTATCATTCTGAACAAATCCTTAGATTATTATTAATTATTATAAATGATTACAAAAATCGCAATTCTAGTTTCTGCCTTGCTTATTGCATATAATTAATTGTAATCAACAAGCCAATAGCTTCAAGAATAGCCAGTAATTGGAATTTTCACACAACCTTCCACATTCGCTGAATATGCTAGTCAAAACTATACTTACATAGCTGCGTCATATGTCAAATTTTTGGAATCAGGAGGTGCAAGAGTGATCCCCATTCCCTATGAAGCAAATCACACAACATTGGACGAGATATTTAAAAACATCAATGGGATTCTGATACCAGGAGGGTCCACAGGACTGAAAGGACCTTCTCTATATACCCAGAGAGTGGCCTATCTTGTAAACAAAGCTTTGAAAATAAACAAGGAAGGGGGATGGTTTCCAATCATAGGAATCTGTCTAGGACATGAAGTGATGCATTACATCTTGTCAAACTATTCTGAAGTACATTTTATAGATATTGATTATAGAATTTTTTGATTGACGTGAAGGGCAACGACAAAGTAACCAGACCAATTAATATCCATTATAGACAGGCTTACTTTTACTCTTAGATGAAGGAGGAATTATATTAAGCTACATTAAACGAGAACTTAGCCTATTATCATCACATTCATGCAGTATCTCCAAGTTTATATGAAATTGCTCCTGTTTTACAGCAATATCTGAGAATCACTTCAACTCAGACTGATGAGGAAGGATAACTATTCATTACTTCTACAGAGGGTATTAACATGCCATTCTACTCATTTTAATATCACCCAGAGAAAAATCCCTTTGAATGGACTATCCCTGCCAATCATTCAGTTCATGCCATTCAATTTAGTAGAATCCACAGTTATTAATTTATTCAATCTTGCAGAATGAATTCAAATAAATTTAGTCTAGATCTAAACAAACTAATTTTTAACTATAATCCTATTCAACCAATTAATTAGAACTACAATCAAGTATATATATTTCAAAGACTCTAAGCGATGGAGGATGCTGAGTATTAAGAATAGTCATGATTTATTTATAAATTAATTTATGAAAATAATCTTCATTTTATTGCAAATTGGATTATTGACCAATGTAATTTAAACTAAGTCAGTTGCAAAAATGAAAGAAGTATCATAACTCTAATTATAATTTAGTGTTTGACATATGTTCTAGGGTACAATTAATAATGCTATCAACAATATCAGGATTGCCTATTAAAAGACATTTGTTTAGGATTGTATGTTCAGGGCAAGACTCTTTGTTTAGACGATTTCAAATATGATACTGATCAATATTTGGGAGAATGTGTTAGTACTTAATATGCAAAATTATAAAATGATGATGCTAAACTTTTGGTCGATTGTTTATAAGAGTAATGTGATATTTTGAATAATGATGCCACACTCCAGCATCTTTCAAGCATATTGATATTGATTTACATATTTACTTAATGAATATTGAATACAAAATATAAATTATGAAACATATATTATTCAAATTTATTCTTGTTATACCTATGTTTTAGATTTATTTCTTTTTAACATGAACAACATAAGAGAAGATAGCGCACTCAATCCACTACCTCCAAGAAGCACTAAACCTATAGTTAACCCTTTGGTTCCCAATTCCGATGCACTCTAAAGTATGAGTGTCTTCTCTCCTCCAAAAATTGATATTGGGTACTAATTGTTTACGTAGAATTTATAACTTCCTTAATTTAAATTACCATTTATTATGCCATATAGAATAAATCTACTAGAATGCACTTAGGGTATGAACCAACTTTCAACTTGCTCTAATTAATTAATTAGAGTTCTTACCATTCTCTACATCCAACCACTGCTTGAAATAATATTCATGTCTTTTGAACTGCTTCTTATACATGGGCAACAAAAGATTGGTTACATTGATTGTCAATTTTTCTGTGTTCATTATATAGAAAGTGTCTTTTGAATATCATCACAATTAACATTACCATTGAAAATGTACTTGGCTGCCAAACCACAGGGATTTGCATTATCTAAATACAGGTGGTGTCCACTGGCACTGATATTTTATCTAATCATCTGAGATTGCAAGTAAGCATTTGGACAATACTTTTCCTAATCAATATCATAACCCATTAACTAATCCTTATTGATAGACTTAACGAAACTTAAAAGTAAGAATATATAGAAACTTCAGATCATTAGAATAGAAATTGGAGAGCTCGTAATACACATAAACAGGTGTGGCCATCAGTTCATCTACAAAGAATGTAATGTTGCAAAAGCTTTATTAATCACATGCTTCACCGTAAGGAATCCTAATTTCCACTATATTTGTTGAGACTCCAAACAAAATTAAGCCAAACAAACCCATATAAAATGATATCAGGAACAAAGTAAACACAGCACATTTAGTAGTTGGTATTAATGAGATCGAATCTAATCTTCCTGCTAGTAATCGATCCCAGTAGGAAGATGCTTCTTCTACAACTGGATACTAGTAGGATAATTTCTTGGATGCCTTTGGTTCTCTTAAAAAATTAACAACCTTAAAATAAAAACAATCTATACATCTTCCTATCTGGACTAATCAAATTAAGAGGACTCATTAAATATATTTGCTATTGATCACTAATATAATTACATGATGTATTATTAATTTTATTATAATCCATTTCTTTATAAATTAATAAATAATAAATTTCCATCCCAAATAAGACTACAAAATCTATAAAATTGAACTAAGAGATTTCTGTTTCTATAATGTAATATATATTGTGTAATCCTTTTTCTGTAAATTTAAAATATCATATCATTCAGACCGCGTCAGCCATGAATTTGAATTTTGGAAAAGATTTTATAATGTTTTTATCTTAATCATAGAGGAACTATGTAAAATTAAAACACAAAATATCATTATTACTATTTAAATTGAATAATACTAATACATATGGCATTCTTTTTTATCAGACCTCTTTAAAGTTTGATATACAAGATAAAAATTAATTAAAAATATTGACTCTATATTAATCTTAAGCTTATTTTATTTCAAAACTTATATGATGTTTAGAGTTAAAATATCTTATCTATAAAATATGAATAAAATCAAGTTTGAGATTATTAATTGTTCTTTGATTATACCAACTATGGCTTAATAGTTCCTGTTCAACCCATTTAGTGGCTTATAATGTAATTATAAAATTGAATGCCTTAAAATTAAAGGTCTTCTTTAACCTAAAGTAAATATTAATTCATTTATAAAATTTGATTTCATAATTTAAATTTATTAAGATATATATTAAAATAATAAGATGAAAAAAATAACAAGGAAGTAATTGTGAAGAAGAATTACACTATAGTAGAAATAATAATGAAGTTATAATTGAATTATATTAAGATTTATAAAATTATCATTATTAAATTAAATTTATGAGCAAACATCTCTAAAAATTCTCTTCATTTTAAAGTTTTCAGAAGGAACAATAAGCTTCAAATAGGTAACATAAATTATTATAAAAGATGTAATAAGATTGCTCTATGTGTATCGCAACTCAGTTTATGATTTGACAGATTTTGCTGATCGACATCCTGGGGGTAGGGGAGCTCTTAATATTTACAAAGGGAGAGATCTTGAGAATGTAAAATTCAATCATATCTTTTAGGTATTCTTCAATCCTTCCATACATAAGCATAGTACAAATGCTCTACAAGTTCTAGAGTAATATAAGTGCGGTATTATAGAAATTAAGTAACAGTCATCCATCTTCAATTCTAAATCAACCAATTTCACCACTTCTTAAATGTCCAAAAAACCATAAGCATCAAATGACACAAAAACACAACCAAACAAAAAAACACCTTTAAAGTCGTAATCTGTAAAACCTAAACCATCTCATAATGAAGACAGACTTAATTAATCAATGAATAATTTGAACCAATCAATGACCAGCAGTGTTAAATCTCATTTTTTACATATTCCAAGTCAAATGGAAATCATACAATTATAGAAATAAAAACAAAAATAATTGATCTAATCTTGGAAATAAACAGAAATTGATGAACTCAAAAGACAATAAGCTGAAGTATTGAAATTATAATAAGAAAAAAACTAAACTAAAGATGATAGGAGAGTTTAAAGTGAAATTATATCGACATAAAAAAAATCATTTAGTCCTTATTATTAAGCCTGGTTAGATAAGAAAAAAAATTAATTAAATGAAACAAGTACTAACAATATCTTACCATCATATTTAACTTAAAGTAATAGGCAAGATGATGAAAGTACTATCTAAAATGATACTTAAAATTATGAATAAAAATTAACTTAATCTGTAATAGTTTAAAAATAACAAAAAAAAGTAAATCCTTATTATGAAGAGTGGAAACGAAGGCAGGCTTAGAAAGAACATCAAAATATTTAGGAGCAACTGCAATAATCTATAATTATGGAGGAAAATGAATCATAGCTTTCAGGTTAACCATCCTCAGTCAATAATAGTTTTTAAAGATCATTTTCACTTATTAGTCAAAGGACCATAGTATAAGAAGATCCCCATTTATATGTGCCTGTTTTTTCTCCAAAATTTATCTCCCCTTTGAAAGCCAAGTTTTACCACCCAATATCAAAACTAAATGTATGAATTAATATTATATTAAATTTTTGTTAACAAATTAAAATAAATTTTATCAAAATAATAATCTAATGAATAATCCGATTTTTAATGCTGCCAAAGTAGCTTTATCCAAATAGTTGAAAATTGCTGACCCTACTGAAATGTATAAGCACTTCTTAAAATTTCCATCTTTGTGCTCAAACGAAATGTTGAAGAAGGAAACTCATTAAGAAATATTTAATAAAATAATATTTTTAGGAGGATTCCACGAAAGAAGAAATTGTGGAATCACCATAAAAGAAATGGTTGCTAATTGCTTAAGATAATATCGAAATCTTGAACCTGAGTTAGATATTCCACATTTAGTTTAACTATTCCTAACACTAAGCAATGTTCTACTATACGATGATAAGTTAATTCGCAATATTCTGAATCAATTGAAGAATAAATAAGATCAAATTCAAATTAAGCAATTGTAGTCAATTTCTCATTGTCTATATAAATTAGGAATAAAAGATTAATTTTGGCCAGATCTTATGCATAAAAATGTCATTATCTACACATAAGTTTTTGGGATCTAAGATTTAGTATAGCATATTCACATTGTTAGTAATCAAGTCTTATTGAATGAATTTTAAGAGGAGAAACTATATCAATTATTAGAACTATTGCAATATAAGTTTGTGAGTTAGAAAAAACATATTTATTTATCGAAATTTCAATTTTAGTATACACAACTAATGTTTAATTTATACCCAGAACTCATTAAGCAGAAGTATAATAATCCTTACTGTGATAAGGACAATAAATATAGCATCTTCTTTGATCACTTTTGCAAAGACTATTAAGTCTGTAGGATGTTATTAGATAGAAAGGATAATAACATGACGATAGATTATTTCGAGAATGACAATTTCCCTAATTTAATTAGAACCAAAGATGATGTTATTGAAAAAAGGATCTCTTCTTTCGAATTGAATATTGAACAACTTTTGAAGAAATTGAATTTAAATTATAAACATCAGTAGAAACTATCCATTTATGAAATCGACTTTTGTGTTGAAGACAAATTTTTAATAAATTGCAATGGGCCAACTCATTTTATATAGAATTTAGATAAGGAAGTCATAAGAAAATCTCCAAATTGTTTAATGTAGCAAAGGTAAAAGATAATACTTAACAAAAAGACATCTGAAACAATTAGATAATTATCAAATAATAGACTTAGATTTTCATATTTGGGACAAATACGATACATAAGATAAATACACCAAAGAGTTCAAAAAATTGTTAAATTTAATGTGAATAATCGTATTATTCAATTTAAAATCTTAGATTATATTTCTACAAGTTTTTCCTTTGCTTCTCTCAACTGCAATTTCAGTTCTTAGACTGTAAATCTATTTGTAGATGTAGAGACAATCTCTTTTTCTAGTCTTTAAATTTCCTAATATAAATACTAATATTGAAGTTTGTAATCTATCTTAATTGACAATCACAATACCCTCATTTTTACCAACACTTTTACTTCTATTATCCTATCTAAAGGTGAGACTCCTTTTAGGCAGATGAGTTTAATGAATTTCCTCTTTATAAAGACCTGAATCGATTTATTATTAGATTTATCTTTAATTATAGATACAAGCCTTGAAATTGCAACACTTAATGTCAAATATCTAGGCTTCAACCATCTTAATAAAATGAGGATTCAAAAAGAATCTAAATTAATTGATTGAATTTGGTATACCTTTCGGTGAGAGTCTTGATATCCAGTTTTGAAAATTAGATGTCATTTGATTCTTATGTCAATAAAAACTAACCTTAATGGTCTCTATTGCAATTTTATTTATTTTGTTTCTAGAAGTTCCCCTTGATCTTGTTTTCTCTATATAATTAGGCAACACATTGATCAAATAGTTCCTTTAAATTCTTGGGTGCTTGGCTTTCCATCAAAGGAGTTCTAATGTTTTTGATTTCTATTGTTAAATGTGGAGCCAATTGGGATTACTTTTGAGTGATAGGTAAAATCGGTTATCGAGACATGGTAGTAAATTCTATATAAATATAATAAAAAAACATTCTTTATTTAAACGAGAGGATAATCTTTGTGTTTCCAATTTATGAGTTTAAGTTTATGTTTGAGTATTGGTGTTTGTTTCAGTTTTCAAATTGCTTTGAAGTTATTACTTTTTTTATTATTTTAGAATCTCAATAAGACGTGCATTTGTTTCTTTTACTTCAAATAATTGGGTTTGTAATTGCTTGCTAATTTATATTGATAAATACTTTGACCTACAATTGTAAGGAAGTCCGTAATTGTGACTAGTATTAGCATTCACTTTTATAAAATTTCAATTCTTTGCTAATCACTTCTTCCTTTAATGAATTACAAAATATACATATGTATCAATGGGTGATTAAGTACTTTCTAATAAATCAAGTGTATAATTAATTAACTCGTAAATCTTCAGAGATTCTATCTTTTCTTCCTTAACTATAGTTGCTAATTTTAAACAAAAGTCAGTGTATGTTAACATAATTAAATTTATATTTCTTAAAATACTAATCTCATTTATGACCAAATTGAGTGCTTGCAATACGAGGACCTTATTTTAATCTAGCCTAAGCAGTAACTGGTAACTTGAAAGGTTTGTCACTATCTTTAATTATTCTTTCAAATATTCTATTGACTCCATGTCTTGAACGTGTTTTATGCATGATCCAGGATTTCAAATAATAACTTAAATAGTTTGATATTCATACCCTTTATTTCCTTCTCCTTAGAATTTCTCTGTTACAATATCGTATTTCTTAGATTTCTTTTCCTCAAACAATTTCTTTATCCTTTCTTATTCTTTCTCTGATAACTTGGCAATATCAACATTCCTATCAGGAGTCTTGAAACTATCATAAAATATATATTAATTAATTACTTAGTCTACAAATATCCTGACTCTGCTTTTTTCATTTGCTATAAATCAACACCGTAATCAACAGCTCCAAATTATTTCTCAAAATATAATTCAATTGCAATCAAATCTCTTACATACTCAAAAGGGAGATGAGGGAAGACTTCATCAAAAAAGTATCGTTTTTAATATATGATAGCCTTTACCCTATATGGCATTATTCCATATTTAATTGATAAATCTCTAACTGTCCAACCCTCATTAAATAATCCAAACAATTCAAATTTTGCTCTGAATGATAATTTTGGAGCAGTAGCTCTTCTACGTCTTCTTTTAGAAAAATTACTCTTATTTAATAACCATCTTTAATTGTCTTTTATTTTCCTAGAAATTAGCTCTTTTGCTCTAATTGATCTTTTTGCCCTTCGATTTCTGAATGCAACTCTTATCTTTCTTCTTTATGGCATCTTCCTAGCAACTTTCTTATTTTCAGGATTTTAATAAATAAAACTATATATGTTTTCCTTTTGTTGTCTTTCATATACATTTTCATCTAAGTCACCATAAAAATTTAATTTGTTTTTATATTTAGAATCTCGAGGATCAAAGTCTTTATGACTATATTTAATTGCTAGAAGATTTTTATCAAAAAGTGAGTAATCCTAATAGTCTCTATTCTCCTTCAGAAATGTATCCCAGTCTTTTTTCAATACATCAGACCTTATAAGATCTTTACTTCTTTTCAATTACTCTTCTGGACTCAAACTTTAATAATATTAAGCAAAACTAATCATATTTTCAATCTAACATACCTATAGTTAAGAATATTCATATATTAAGCAATCACAGCTTTTTCACTTGGAGACCCTTTATACTCTTACTTTTCTTCTTCTTAATCCTTCTTAAATAAATTAAGCACGGATTCCTCGCCTAAATTATTATAGTAATAGCCTACTTTATAAATTATCTGCCAAAGACTTATAAGTGTTTTTAAGCTCATTAACAAACTGCTCTTATTATTTTGTTAGCACTCTTTATTTTGCTTTTGCTGTTGAACTTGAGAAATTTATTCGATGAATAAAGGGATTTCTCAAATGAAATAAACCAAATTTAATCATTAAATAATTTAAATTCACTTTTCTCAACTCATAAGCATTAATTTTTATATTTCAATGAACTTTGTAAACCTCTAAAATCATAAATTTGTATTGAAAAATTTATTTGAATCTTTTCAATATAGTTATTTTAAATCTCTCTATAAAGTTAAATTAAATAAATAAATTCAAATTTGTAGTGAATTCAGAGCTTAATCTATTTCAGAATCTTCTTTAACCTTTATATTTTACTTCAAATTCAATAAAAATGAATGAAGAATCACATTAAATGATTATATTTGCTAATCAAAATTAAAACTAAATAATTGTATTCATAAATTTCAAAAATTATTGCATATATTCAAAATTTCAATAATTATCTTATTATCAACTGTTGTGAATTATTAAATGTTAAGTACAAAAAATCAAATTCATAGAAAAACTGTATCAAATGCGAAAAGCAATGAAACCCATAAAAAAAGTTGTAACTAATATTAATTAAGACAATCTAATATTCAAATAGCATAATAATTATCATGTTTGTAAATGCTAAAAATATTAGTATCAGGATCTTCTAAATCACTCAATAAGAACACTTTAAAGACAAGAATACGCACAGAAGGGAATGAAAAGCAATTTAAAGTTCATACTTCTGCATCTCCAACAAAAGATAAAGATTAAGAATAATCGGCATCTCCTCCCTAAAGAAATACTAATTCTTAAGTTGATGTGATCACAAACTTGCTAAATTCAAATATGACTCATACGGAATACAAACGAATATCTAGAGATTAAAGAAATCAAAGCGCGGATTTTCAACAGTTGTTAGTATAATAACAAAAAAAATAGGAAAATCGACTCCTGAAAAATAATGTCAAGAAGAAGTTCAATTCTTATGGCAATCTAAATGATCAAGTTTATTTTTCTTAAAGAGGAGGATTGACTGAATGTTAATCAGCAGATCAACTTGTATAAAATAACCCTTAGTAGAAACTGATGAATTCGAAAGGCTCATACTCAATGAAGCACTTCCCATCTCCCATGAACATTTATTCACAGTAAATCACATTGTAGGAATTTAAAAACAAATTAAGCAATTTAAGTAAGGATATAAAATAGAACAAAAATCAAGTTGAAGAAGAACTGTAGAAAACTCTAAAAAAGAAGTAACGTCTTTATGATTAATACGATCAAGATGATAGTCAAAAACAATTCAGATAAGAAATTTCTTAAAGAAGCAAATCAGTTGATTCCTCTTCATCTAGATCTCGATTGGAGAATTCAAAATATTCTAAGGATTTTTAGAATTAGCATAAAGTGAATCATCAGCAAAACAACGTTTAGGGAGATTTTATAATAAAAACTTAGAGTTATCTAAATTAGAAAAAATTGGAAAGCAAAATTGATTAACTGGTATTTCAAGTGTAGATACTTAAGAAAAAGTCTGAGGAATTAGAACAATAGAATAGATTTCTATTTGATAATTTAACAAAATTTTAGAAGGAATCAGATTGCAATGTGGATGTATTTAGATATCATTAAATTTAATAGGAACGTAACTTACTTATGAATAAATTGGATTAAATGATAGGAATGTAAAAGAGATAAGAAGAGAATCTTAATTTTTTTAAATAGATATTTGCTAAAGGTTATGATTAATCTCGAAGAATAAAGACTGAATAATAATAGTAATAAAAAGATGAGGATAATTAAAAAATAAATTAAAAAACAGAGATATTGTCAAAGCAAAGACCATTTGTCAAGTCAGCTTATCAAGGACTTGATTTTAATGTCTGATTTCAATGTAAGGAAGAGTGACGGAGTTTTTGATTTATATTTTTAATTAAACATAAATGAATTTCTTTTAGGTATGTCTGGACTATTGAAAGTTGTTTTGATTTGTTAAAACATACACATGGTTTGATTACCATTATATAATAACAATAAAGTAAATGATCATTAGTTTGAGTGAATAAATAAAAAATTAATTATTTTAACAACCTAGAAAATGAAATCTAAGTGTAATCCTCAAGATAAAAAACTGACGGTAATAATCAATGACAATAATTAGAATATTTCTTTTGATTTGAATTCAAATAACAAACCAAAATATTATATATCGAACACAACATGTCACAAAGATAATTAAAAGTTTTTTAATTGCAGCAATATGTCACCTATGGTTGTTGAAACATCTACTCCGAGAAAAAGACTTGTCTCTGGCAAAAGAGTTAGTATTCTTAATTCTAATTTAGACTCAGCAAAAGGCAAACTGTTCTCATAATAACTCAAACAATAAAATTTAAAATAGATAGAAAAAATCATCATCCAATTAGAGAACTAATTTAACTGTTAAGACTGGATCATCAATTGAAGCACTGAAAGAATTAATGGGAAAAAGTAAATGTTTAAAATAAGTAGGTTACTTCAAATAACTATTACAAATAAATACAGATAAATTTAAGAATGCAAAAGAAATATAATTCATAGAAACAAAAAAGAGTAACTCAAGTGAATTTGGATTTGACAATAGATTCAATAAGCATCTCTAGTAATTAAATCAATAGGGTGTTAAAACAACTACTAATAAATCAGTATCCAAAGACAGAACCTCATTATAAGTAACAACAAATCATTGATCAATAGAAAGTGTTCTCAAAGATAATGGATTAAGAAAAATCTACGTCACCTATCAAAAAGGTTGATTGGTCCAAAATCAAATTGCCCTTAACTCCTAAAGACTGCATATAACAATTTGGATAATACTTGAGTGAATTTGAGAAACAAGAGATTCATGGATTTAGTAGAGTATGTATATATTTATGAATTTTAGATTTATTGTATAGGATTGAAGGCTAAAAAAATAGATTAGAAATAATCAAACTACAACGATGGTTTTGATGATTCAAAAGGTGAGTATTTGTATTCTCTTAATGATCATATTGGATACAGATATGAGATATTGGAAATAGTTGGAAAAGGTAGTTTTGGATAGGCATTCAAAGTTTTTGATCATAAAAGATAATAAGTGCAATGCTTAAAAATTATAAGAAATAAGAAGAAATTCACAAACTAAGCTTTAGTAGAATTAAATATATTAACCTATGTAAAAGAGAAAGATGAAGAGAACGTAACAAATATTGTAAAAATAAAAGATTTTGTAATTTTTAGAAATCACGTGGTATGTATATTCACAATTATGTTTAGTGCATTTCTTTTGAATTCTTATCTATAAATTTGTATCAATTGATAAAGAACAATAACTTTTAGAGTTTATCTTTAGAACTCATAAGAAGATTTGCAATTTAAATTCTGAATGCATTGAACTTCTTAAGCAAGCATAAAATCATCCATTGTGACTTAAAGCCTGAGAACATTTTATTAAAGCAATCAAACAAAAGTGGGATTAAAATCATAGACTTTGGAAGTAGTTGCTTCGAAAACTAAAAGATTTACTCCTATATTTAGTCCAGGTATTATAGAGCACCTGAAGTAATGTTTGGTATCCCCTATGATACAAGCATAGATATGTGGAGTTTTGGATGCATAATGGCAGAACTATATTTGGGATTCCCAATATTTCCAGGAGATGATGAATAAGAATAAATTGCATACATACTAGAAATCCTGGGTATGCCAGATATTGAATTGCTATAAGTAAATAGATTTGAATATTTGAGATTGCGTAAAGAAGAAAAGTTTTCTTTGCTGACTCTCCGCCTTTTTAGCCTTTGAGTATGTAAAATAAAAGTGGGAAATTGAAGATACCTGGGAGTAAGACATTGTAAGAGGTGTTAAAATGCAACGACCATAATTTTATTGATTTCTTAAAATAATGTCTAGTGTGGAATCCCAAAAACAGAATCAGTCCTATTGATGCCCTTATGCATGTGTGGATCCTTGAAGGACTACCTAGTCAAATAAGAGCGTAGCATGTGTAATATTTAGAAAGTTAATAACAATATCTTGAGTTTAATGATGGAAAATAGGAAACCAATTTAAAATAGGGTCAATAGGGACAATAAAAATTACAGAACCATCACATTTCAGAACCAGAAATGAATTAAGAGAATAAAGTAGTAAAAACTTATAATACATTCTTTAGAAACCCAATCAGATTAGATCATTTTCAAGGGAGAAAGAACTATTGATCAATGTTTCATAGAATCCTACTCCGAATAATAAGAAAATCTCTTAATCTTTTCATTCTAGTAAAAACAGCAATAAACAGCAAATGAATTTCATTTAGCAATTACCAGGAACTACAAAATATGCTAACAAGAAAACTCATTATTTTTATTGATCCTTAATTAATTTTGATATCACTTTTATATATTATGTTTATATATTAAGATTCACAATATTAATATTAAAAATTTGAAAATAAATATGTCATAATACGATAATCCCAATAATTGTTTAGATGGGTTTATTGAATAACTCAATAAATGCAAACCGTTGACAGAGATGGATGTCAAATGGCTTTGCGAAAAGGCTAAGGAAATCTTGTAAGATGAGAGCAATGTTCAACCAGTTAGAGCCCCAGTTACTATTTGCGGTGATGTTCATGGATAATATCATGATTTAATGGAATTATTTAAAATTGGAGGTAAAATTTAAGAAATAATTATAAAGGTAATGTGCCTGATACAAATTATCTTTTCTTGGGGGATTACGTTGATCGTGGCTATTACAGTGTAGAAACTGTATCACTTCTGTTGGCTTTGAAGGTCAGATATAAAGTAAGAATAACTTAAACTCCAATTAGGATAGAATAACTATTTTAAGGGGCAATCATGAATCCAGATAAATCACCTAAGTCTATGGGTTCTATGAAGAATGCGTAAGAAAGTACGGCAATGCTAATCCATGGAAGTATTTCACTGATTTATTTGATTATCTCCCAATCACTGCGGTAGTTGAGAACTCAGTAAAGTTTTGATTATTACAAAAGATCTTTGGTTTACATGGAGGATTATCTCCTGATGTTACTACTCTCGACGAAATAAGGAGGTTGGATAGAATACAGGAAGTGCCTCATGAAGGTCCTTTATGTGATTTATTATGGAGTGATCCTGATGGTAAATAACAATCATACTATCTAAGATCGAAATGGATTCAATACTTCGCCTAGGGGAGCTGGGTTTACTTTTGGAGCAGATATTTCTGAAAAATACAATCATACTAATGGATTAACTATGATTGCCAGAGCACATCAATTAGTTATGGAAGGATTTTAAGAAACCCATGATAAAAATTGCGTTACTTTATTCTCTGCTCCAAATTATTGTTATAGATGCGGGAATTAGGCTGCCATCTTAGAGGTGGATGAACATATGAATCAAAATTATTTGTAATTTGATCCTGCTCCAAGAAGAGGAGAACCCCATTTGACCAAAAAAACACCAGATTATTTTTTATGAAATTATCGATTTTGGTTGTTTCAATTTAACATTAATTAATTAACTATTTATGAGTAAAACTATTAGATCTAAGAATATTGCACCTAACACCGAGTTCTGTAATGAAATTGCCAATAATTAAAAATTGCTTAAAGCCAAACAAAAAACACTTTCTAAATTGAAAGCAGAGTTGGGAAACATGAATATGATCATGCCAATGGCTAATCAAAGAATAGTACAAAAAAAGATCGAAAGTATTCAATATCTAGATAGTTCATATTAGATTTGAAGACACAACTAGAAAAATAACAGGAGAATAAATTAGGTCTAACTCAATATGGAAATCTAACGAATTAGAATTTCTAAAAGTAATCACCCTTAGTAAGATTGGAAAATATATAATAAATGAGAATCAAAAGTGGAAATCGAACAACAAGCGAAGGAGATGCAGTAAACGTTAAACAACTATTAAAAAATTAAAATTTTTTAATCTCTAAATATTGATATAAAACTAAGAAATATTATATTTATTGATAACTGCTTTAATTTTATTACACATTTCTTCTTTTTTATTATAAAATTAAGTTGGTTAACTAATAATTTCTTATTTAATGCTTACAAAAACCTTAAAAATTTAATATTATCTAAATCCTTTTTTCAGATGTAAGTAAAATTATCATGTTCATAATTTTATTGGATAAAATTTAGTTACTTTAAAGAGTATCTAAATATTAAGAAATAAATTAATTAAAAAACAATTATGTCTGCTTCTAAATTAATGTATTCTTCTCCAGGACCAAAAAATTAGTCTGCAATATCATTTGCAGGTGATAGAGATCGAGCTCTTTCACCTAGTAGGGCAAAGATATCTCAATATTTGAAAAGCTCTCAAATCTCCAACATTCAATTGATGAAGACTAGGCAGTATTCAATCTATTCATACTGAATAGTTTAAAAAAGAAATTTTTGAATAAAAGCTTAAAGTTTTAGAAGATAAAGCCACAAAGCAGCAATAAGGAGATGAATCTAAATTTAAGTTGTTAAAAGAATAATTATAAAAAGTGGAGAAAGGAGCTTAAAAAAGAAGATTATTAGAGAGGTAAAATGGAATGTAATTATTCATTAGAGTGGAGATTAAAAATTAAGAAATAAAGATTTGAAACTCTTGGAAACCAATTAAGGAAAAGAACTATAATCAGAAAAAGTCAATAGAAAAGATTATTAATAAAAAATAACTAAGACTACAGATGATAGGGTCTATAGTCTGAGAGTGGATATAGCAAGATAAAAAAATATAGAGAAGAAACAGAAGAAAAGAATGCTGAAGAAATTGGAGATAGAATTTTATAATTATAGGAGGAAGTTGAAGAAGAAAGGAGATTGAGGTAATTGTTTAACTGTATTGTAGGAAAGAGGGAAATCAATAGGTTATCAAACGATTGGGAGATTCAATACTGAAATTGCAAGAAATATTAACAACAGAGAAAAACTAGAGAGAAGCAGCATAGACTCAGATGTTCAAAATGCTAGATGAAGTGATTTCATATTTGAATGGAGAATTGAATGCGGAAAAAATGAAAGGGAAGCGACAGAGGAGAGCCTTAAAAATCTTATTGATTAAACATGCAATTGAGTTGGAAATTCATTGAGGAAATGATCTCATAAGCATAGTATGTATAAATATCAAAATTTATTTTTTTAATAATTATTAAAAAAATGTCTTAAATGGAAGAGGAATACTGTAATTTAGAGGACGAAGTTGCATTACTTACTTGTAGCAGATCTCCTAAGTCTAAAAAAATAAAAAAAAGTGATTCTCTTTCTCCAAGAAAGAATAATGGTCATTGGACAAAGGAAGAGCATGAAAAATACTTGCAGTTTTTGGAAGATCATGCTCATCTAAAGAAAAACAACAAAATTTTCAAACCAATGTCGGAAATCATTGGAACTCGTTCTCCTAGTTAATGCAGGTGATTTTTCAATACATTAATAGATCTCATCATCAAAAGTTTAACCCTTTATCACCATAAGTGCAAAGGAAATCGGTTAAATTGATCAAAATCAGCTCAGATCTGAAAGTGCAAACTTAATAGTAGGAGGAAACCAATGAAACCATTGATGATGAAAAATAAATAAAAAATAGGGTTCGATTATTTTTGTATGATGAAGAATTTGCTTAAGAAGACAATGAGTTTAATTTAGATGACTTAATCTGATAGAATGATAATTTTTATTATTTAAATCCTATTCTATAGTATTTCCAATCAACTGTGCTAAAAAGAGAAATTTTTAGACCAGTGAAAGGAAAACATGATTATAAATATTAATTATGTCTTCAATACCTTCAGATTAAAATATTATAAATATATTTCTAAATATGAACACAAAGGAAGTAGTAGAAAATGAATTATTATTAATTAAGGATAATAGTCGGAAATATCCTTAATTGTGTAAGGTAAACAATCCTATTCTATATATATAAAGGTGTTAGAAGCAAATATATTGGAATTAGATACTCACACCTTATTATAACAATTATTGCCTTCGATTGTAAGCTCAAAAAATACCAAATTAATTTCATAAGGAATAGGACTAATCCAAAAATTGCAGCATTTACTCTTGTTAACAATAGTATTATTAGTTTATCATTAGAACGATCTTGATATCATAATTGAATATTTTAATAATTCAAAATCGCAGTAAGATGAAACGATAGACATTCGACTAGTTTCAACCTTAATACACATTATTGGTCCTGATGTCATTGATTTTTCTAATCTAAATCACATTCTGAAGGTCTTAAATTTGTTAATATACTTTTCATCATCAGACAACCCAATAATAGCATAATCATCAATTTAAGGCATTCTGACACTTAGTAATGTTTTGGAGGAGCTATTATAGAGCTAATAGAAGAATGTAATATTGCAATCCTATTTTGAATTATTGGACCTATTCTTTAACATATTTCAAGATAAGGAGCAATCGTTAATTTATGTGTCAAGCAACCTAATATTATGTATTTATCATATCTCATTTCAATCAACATAGGCAAAGACATTTTCATCATACTTCTGAAATGTGGAAAATATTTACAGTCAATCGAGTAATTTCATTCTTTCTATTATGAAACTCTATATGCATACCTAACGAGTATAGATCTGGCATAGGAGTCGAACATTATGAATAGTAAATCTACTTAAATATCCATCTTAGAAATCAACATAATTAGATTAATATTCAATTACATCTTGACCATAGAGGACAAATTTGAATTGATCACCCAATTGATGAATGTATATAGCAAATTACAACCACTTGATTAAAGTAAGATAGCTATACATGACGGCATTTTGTGTCTCTATTCAAATCTCTCAATATTCAAAAATCTACTAATAAGACAGCCAGCTGGTAATGTTTACAATGGTATCAATTAACTTTCATCATAATTAGACTATAATGATTTAATATTGAAGTCAATCTACCAATATTGTCTATTCGGTATACGAGAATTCCAGACCCAACAATCCCCAAAACAAAATATTCTAATAAACAAACTAACAGCTTCCTACATTGATTGCAACATACAAATGCTTCCTAATATTTTCATATAATAGATAAGTAATATAAAATACATTAAAAGTTAGAAACTTTAATTTAACTAATTACTGATAATATCCTTAAGTTTCTATAGTAAGATGAATTTTAGAAGGAAGGGAGTGGGTTATTGCAGGAAATCAAAAACCAAAGTCGTCTTCTTCAGTCTTAACTATTTAATGGGGAAATTGATGATTAAATTACAGAAATACAAGAAACTGAAAGTGATGATATAAAATTCAGAACTTTATTTGATAAACTATGGAGACCTCTTTTAAGAATTATGAAGCAGATTCTAAAAATAGCTAATAATTAATAATATACAAATTTGTTAGAATATCTATAATCTTGGATCTAATGCAGTTTATAATAAGATTAAATTAGTAGTTTTTAATTGTTAATCAGGTTTTTGGCTGCTTAATCTGCACCATTATCCTTGAAGTATATTGAAACAGATAAATGGTTAATTGCTTGTAAAGTATTTGAAGAAATCCTTTATAATAATGTAAATTTATTAACTGCAAAAACATGGAATCTTATATTTTAAACTTTACAAAGAATCGAATAGGTAGTCACAAAGTCAACAGAAATCAAGATGACTACTGAGATCTTTAATCGCAGTTCTTAATATCATGATTCAACTGTTTTTTAAATGGTCGATGGCTTGAATTAGTTAGCTCTTTAGGTTTCAGAGCGCCTTCAAATAAGTTAAAAGAAGAATTTTGATTCCATTTATAAATCATTTGCGATTGACAAACTATTGCTCATAATCAATAATAACTGGTAAAGGATAGATATGTTATGGACCATTGTAGATGCTTTATATTTATGTCTTTGTAGTTCTAAAGTAATGGAAATGAGACTAAATGCTATAAATACATATAAGGACACAATATTTTCAGGCATTGAGTATAGTAAGAATAATAAGTTCAAATGGGGTGACAAATGGATCTAATATTTATTAAATCCTCTTGCTGAATTAATACTTCTCCCTTACGAAGATGTTACTGAAAATATTTTATCATTATTAACCATTCTAATTAAAGAACATGCTAAGTATTTGCCTCATTAAGCTTTTGCAGTCTTTGTTTCATTTATTGATATTGTGTTACATGATTTTTTAAGTAAAGACTTGATTCAATAAGAAGTAAACTAATAAGAACATAAATCTTTGATTTTCAGAACATAATTATCAATTGAATGTATGTCTGATATCATATTCAATCACATTGATAATTTAGACAATTAATCAATCTGCAAATTAGTCAAACTATTAGTGTCTTTAAATAAGCAGGACGAATGTAAATATATAATAATTATAATAGTTAATTATGAAATAACAAATAAGATCATCTGTATGACTTGGCGAGTTCAGGAGAAACTTGTAAAACTAGAAATGAAGGACTATGAGTTTTGGCAAATAACCTTAAAGCTATTTAAAAATTGCTTAGACAATCAAGATGACCTTAAATATGCATCCATTCATATTTCTAGTTAAATTTGCTCTATTGCTAAGGATGATTAATTTACAGACTTGTTTGCATTATTAGAAGAGTTAATATAACATTCGATGGAATATTATCTCAAAGTAGAATAGCATCAGTTATCTCTCATTTAATAGACACCTAGATTTACGTAGTTACCAATGGAAACTCCTAAATTCTAAGGATCAATTAAATAGATGATTTTTGACAAATCCACTTCGTTGTAATTGTTTAAGCAACAATTTGAATTAGTAAAGTTGTGCATTTCAAAAATAGTAGATGTGATCATTAGCAAATAATAATATCCTAAATTCTACTATTACTTACAATTATTTAATTAAGCATAATGTGTTTATGTGAAGCATGAAATAGTATTGGCTTGTCAAAGAATTATATAGTCAAATTAAGAGAAGCAATTACTTATTGGATCTATTGATTTTTTGGTAACATTAATTAATCATGAATAAACTTTGGATATGGAAGATATCTAATACTATTTAGAAAATAGAACATTCCAAATATTTTGTGATGTGATTAAGTTGACCATACCGATAAATCATAAGAAAGGATTGCATGCATTATAATTGCTATTCAATTTTTTATCTCAAGATCAAGTAATATAACTGTTAAATGATGATAATAATATATTCAGATACTATTATAAATAATGCTTTTCAATTGATAAACTTGAAGAAGAAGTAATTGCTGAATGGTTGCACTTTATAAATTAACAAATTTCCTAATTAGGAATTATTGTAAAGCATCACTACTTCATAGAGTTCTTAATAAATAGTTTTGAAGGGATAATTAGTAAGAGATAATTAAATCAAAATGATTTGAATGAAGCAAATAAATTTGTGGGTGTTTTGAATGGTTTTTTGAATGTAAACATTAATTTATTTAATAGAAATGTTAAAGATTTATGAATGACAATTCTGAAAAATTACAATTAATTCTGATTACAAAACTAAAAAATATCATAACCATAATGATTCCCTTTTTAGATTAAAATTCAATTCAATAGTTGTTTGAACCTCTTATTTCATCCTAATTAACTGGTACAATATTATAACCATTTTGTAGTATCTAATAAAAGAACACAAGATTGGATTTCGTTTTTCATAAATGATGCCCAATATTTAAATATTGAATAATAACATGTGGTCGTTTAACTCTTTACTAATTATTACATAAACAAATTAAGTGTATCAGAGATGGAGACTAAAGAAATGATAATTATAAGTTTAGTTGGATTTTTAGAGATGGATAATCCAATCGTAGAAAAATTTTCATTATCCATTCGGGTTTCTCTTTTAAATAGCATTCATGAAAATTTAAAAGTATTTTTGAATGAAGAGAATGCTTCACGTGAAAAACAATTTAATATTGAGCTTATGTTGGATTATTTAAGTAGACTAGACAAAAATGATTTGAAAGAATTTTATTTAACATTTGTGGACATGATAAAATGTGAGTAATTAGAAATCAGAACTAAACTAATCACACTTCTTGGTAAATATTTTTGATTTTATGTTTATCTACCTATATATATTATATATAATTTGAATCTTTATAGTTAAATGTCAACTCTTATAAATAATCAATATTAAATCTATCTACATATATTCACGTATTTTTAAACTGCTTGAGAAAACTCGGCAAAGCTTATTTTATCATCTCCATTCTGATCAAATTGATTGAAGATCTCCTTACAATCATTATCATAGTCCTCTCTCCCAATAAATTTAAATAATTCATCTAGAGTTATACACCCATCTTTATTCTTGTCCAATACATCAAATGCAACTCTAATTTTTTCTGCGTCGTTTTATATATTAAGATATACCTTCTACATCCGATAATTTACATGTTGCTGCTACAAATTCACTAAAATCTAAGGAGCCACTTTAGTTAACATCCAAGAAATCGAATATTTTATCAACTTTTTCGTCCAATTGATTTTTTGAATATATTTATTGTAAAGCGCATTTCAGTTCCTCTTTTGAGATTGTTCCTAATTTTCTCATATAATCATTAATACCATTATTGTCCTTATCAATTTTACGGAAGATGCGATTCAACACTTTTTTATCATCTTTATGCACTAATTCAGTGGCAATGAATAACACTATTGCCTATAAAAACCTGCTTTATTTTAAATTATTGTCCTGATCTTCAGTGTAACCATTAAATTATATCATGCTCTCCTTGAAATCTTGAGATGGTATTTATTCAGATGAATGACTAATTGCTAATTAAGAATTCTACCTTTCAAACCATGGATCATCAAGAACCTATTGAGCATTTGGTCTCTATTCTGGATTCTTCTCCAACATTCTTTTCAATAGATCCTTAACGAGAGAACTGTATTATTTCCAAGATTAATATCTTCATTCAAATTGATTAATTACCTGAATTCTATGCTTTGATTTTTGATGTTAAATAAGATTTCATTAGAATCTGTCCCTTGGAATGGAGGATCATTGCATAATAATATATAGAGGACAACTCCACAAGACCAGATGTCACACTTTTAGTCGTATGATTCCTCCATCACTTCAGGAGCCACAAAGTGAATTGTGCCACATTTTAGACTTAATTTTTCCTATTATTAAATCATCCCTGAGAACCCCCAATCAATTAGTTTAATGGATGTTGTAACTTCATCGTCAATCAAGATATTTTCAGGCTTTATGTCTCTATGAACTATATTCTTCTTATGAGCAAAATTAATGGAACTGATTAATTACTTCATAATTTTAAGCACTTCACCTTCCTTAAGAGGATAATGATCATCGATATATTGAGATAAGGTCCCTCCTTCGCATAGTTCCGAAATTATGTAAAATCTCTGGTCATCTTCAAAACTATGGTAAAGCTTTAATATATTTGGATGATCTAATCTAAATTAGGATAATGAGATACAGCTTAAGGTTTTGGAATTCTTTTCGAAAATTGTCATTTTTATCCTCGTTAATTTTCTTAATCACTTTCATAGCCCGAATCTCATTATTCAATTTGCATTTCACTTTAATTACACAACCCTATCCCCCTGCTCCTATGCATTATTTATCTATCGGTTCATAAAGCTAATGGTAAGGTCCTTCCATTTACTATATGAAATTGGAATAATCTATTCCAATTTTCTCATCTTGTTCACTAAATGAATAGGGATTTTTCGATTCTTAAACACAAACCCTTTTATAAGGTTACATATAATATTAATTAATATATTCTCATTTTTCTCCACAAATTGATTTCACTTTAATACCTAGACTCATTTTGGTTCCATCTAATTATTTGCATAGAAAATATTAAGCTGTGTAAATTAGTTTCAGATTCATCCATTTTTTGATTTGATAAAGTATTCTTTTTTATTCTAAGCAACAAATATTATTAAATCATTACCTCTCTTTGAAGGAAAGCAAAATTATATAAAGTTAGAGGATAATTCATTTTCAAAAATAAATTAGGCTATTTTTAATTTCAATACTGGATTAAGGTTCAGTGTTCTTCATAAGGAATGTTGATTCTCTTTTGGAAACAATCTTGAAATTAGAATACTAAAAACAGCTATAAATTTTTTTGGCATTATTCTTGACTCTATTTCTGTATTCTCTACAATTTATGTTTTACCTGCCGATTAAGTTGCTTAACATTTATAATAATGTTATAACCAAATGCCATAAAATAAATCTTCTTATCCCTAAGAATTCTATGGCTTACTATTTTATGAGATTTGATATTCATAAAATTATTTCTATGGAATTTCCAATTTTAACAGATATCTTTGCTATCTCTTATTTTCTCTTAAATTAGGTAATTCAAAATATTCTTAACAATATTAAACAGCTCCCAAATATCATAATCAACTTTAATTTAATTTTATTCTAATTATTATTTCTAGAATTATATCATCTATGCTCTGATTAGAACATATGTTAATAGATGTAGAACATTTTTAATTGCTTGGGATAAGTGATATTTTGTGGATTTATTCCTGTAATATAAATTTAAGGCTATCCCTTAAAAGTCTCAATTAAGTATGAATTATAGATAATTGATAATGTATTTTAATGTAATATTTGTAAACTTACAATTGTGTTTCTGTTTCAAATTATAAACATAAATATTATTATATTGACTTTTTAAAGAGATGAATTGCTCAACAAATTACCTAATCGGTCTATAGATCTGATATAAGAAAATTTAACAATAATTTGTTTAGAGTTCCATATTTAAAATTATGAAATGTGTAGTTCTTTTATGTATCATTCTAGTTTATTTTATTTTATATCATTAATAAATATTTCTAAATTTTGATCAGAATTTGGTTTACACAGACAATCCCTATTTGAGAATTAGAATTTAATAATTTATAGAGTAATTAACTCTTTATGAGGATGTTGTTCAAATGTTTGAATTCAAATAAAATAATTCAATATTAATTTATCACATAATTTGTTTGAATTCATAATTTATTGTAGATTCGTGCTTCAGGATTGTTTTCAAGTACATCAACATATAATAAGCTAAAAGTGCTTTGATTAAGTTAATAATCAAGTATAATTTGATTACTAGTTATTATTTGACTTTTTATTTAAATTTTTAAAAAAATACATTTTTTATGAAGGGTGGAAAACAATCAAAGAATAAGACAATTTGGGATTAAGTTAGGAATGAAGAAAAAGACTTCTATTTCAACTTCCTCACCAAAAAATATAGAAATCTCCAAAAAAAACTTAAAGACATTGCTGATTTAGAAGAATTGTAAAAAACAAAAGAATTGAGACCTGAATAAGTTTAGAAGATCCAAAGCAAGGATGAGAATAATGAAAGAATTAAAGAATTAGAAGCCTAAGTCTCAAATTGGTTGTAAGCTAAGAAGGAAGCAGAATAAAGTGGTTCTATCATCACCCAAGAAGCCTTCATCCTCATATTGGAACATCTATCTGAGAATTAAGACACCCTAGAACTGCTCTCTTAAGATCATTAATCTTTATATGAATTGGCTAAATAGCTTCAAAATAGAGTCAATAATCAATAGAAGAAGAAGGATCAATTATGGAAGGGTTTGAAAGTATTTATTAATTAATATTAAATTTAGTTAAAACATTAATAATAATAACAAGAAGTTCATCACCACCACCACCACCATCACCATGAAGAACCTACCTAATAAATCTAATAGCAACATTAAGAGACCACTTAATAACCAGAAACAATTGAAACTCATAAGGAACATCCAGTCTAATAAGAATAATATGTTTTGATTAAAGCCAGTCCAAAGAAAACATTCTAAGAAGAAAATCATCAATAAGTTCATTAACCTATAGATTAGCTTACAAATTAACATAATGAATAATAATAAGAATAGAATCACCCTCAATAAGAAGTTCCACAATAATAGCAATAATAATAATAAACACCGGAAGGAAAAGAAGAATAATAACATGATTAAAGAGGTAATCATCAACATCCAAGAGATGGACATAAACACCATCATAACGATGATCAAAGAAAAGGATACAAAAAGAATTATCATAACGACAGAAGAAATAACAATAATGGAGATAACAACAAATAATACAGAGGAAACAGATACCATAATAAAGAAAGACCCTAGAGAGAGGAATGGTTAGAGAAGAAGGAAGTTTAAGAACATGATTAAAATAATGATAACTAAGATCAAAATAGCTCAGATGAAGAATACATCACAATCGAACGTAGGTTAAGATATTGTGTATATTTTTAGAAACAAAAAACCCTAATAGAAACCAAGTCGAGGATCTAATAGACATCATGATAACAAGAATAGATAACAAAGAAATCCCACTGACAATCAAGGGACTGTAAATGTCTAATAATGAGATTATATTTAAAAATGTATAAAATAAAAAATATTCAACATAATTGTTTTTACAACTCTATTCTTTAATTAATAATATTATTTATCACTTTTGTGTATTCAGTACAAAGAATTTAAATTACATGTTAAATGGTTTCTTAACTATTATTAAAACAATCCATAGTAGTCTCTTAAAATTCTTTTTAATTTGTAATTTATTTCAAGACTTCTTCTTCATTCAACCTTAACTACACAATGTATTCTTATAAAGTTCCTGCAACATTTAATTAAAATACTGTAGAATTAATATATTATTATAATATTGTTGCAGCAATATAAATGAGGTGCTGTTATTATTTCATTTGATTGTAACCTATTTTAACTAATTGTTGATTTGTAGCTATCTAATCAGATAATCTTAACTACTCCAATTCTTAATTTAATTGTTAATAATTCCTCTCTTATTGTTATATCGCATTATTAAGTGTCATAATCTAAAACTCTAACATTTTCTTTTCTGTTCCTAACCTATTCTTACTTAATTGATTATCATTTTCAAGACGCTATATCATGATTTGATTATTTTGCTAAGTCATTTATAATTACTTAGTCAAACCTTGGACTTATTGTTATTAAGTCATAACATATTCCATAATTTTTGTTTTTGCATCTTCAATGTTATCAATTTCAATTTTATCTCCTTGAAAGAAACCTACCAATTACAAAATAAACTATTCTGAATTTGATTCTGATTATTAAGCCTCAAGTTATTGTTTTTAGTCTTAGATTATTTGTTCTAATTTTTTAATCTTTAATGTAGATTTGCAACACATTTCTTAGTAATTATTAACTTAGTCTTGTAACTCTGAGTAACTTTTACTTAATTTGCTATCCTCACTTAAGACATCTTCTTTGAATAAAGGAATTTCTCTTTGTAACTTCTATCCAACAACTTTTTTCATTTCTGTCAAACTATTTTTTTACTTTATTTGTTCTTATTGATTTTTCCTAAATGAAAGTATGTGATTTATATTCACATCATCAAATTTACGAGATTTTTTGAGAGATATTGAATTTAATGGTGATCCTGAAAATTTTGAGTTATATTAATCAAACTCTTTACAAAACTCATCATCATTTTTATCTAAATAATTCTAATTAGGTTACTTTTAAATTCACGTTCTTTCTTATTTACTTGTTAGGTTATTTCACTACAAGTTTCATTAAAATATTTACCATGTTCAACTGTTTTTGGAGATTAGCATACTTAATTTTATATTTCCTCCGATACACACATAACACGATCATTCATTATTTAAAGTATGTCTTATTTGTAATTAGAATAAACACTGTTCTCATCATTATATTATTATTTTGGAGTATAATTAAATTATTTTTAACTTGATGTTTAGTCACTCGAATGTAGGACATCATTCATTTAATGCATCATCAAAATCAGATCAGGATCTAAATCGAATTCAAACATACCATCGTTATATTTTTTAAGCTATTCCACCCACATTAAAATAAATTCTTAAATTTGATGCATTTAATATGGAGAAGTTTAATTTTTCTTGGTTTGATTCAATTTTTATTGCTACTATGATTTAATTGGTGTGTTTAATTCAACATTACCCTAATATCTAAATTGTTTGTTACAGGTTTTAGAAGGTCCTCCTTTGAAATCTCGATATCCATCATTTTATAATAAAAAATAGATATATTATTAATATTAATAACATGAAATATTTTCATTAATACCTTCTATTTGTTATTTCAGCTATGAAATTTTTATATTCATTGAAAGAATCATCAAATAATGCCTTTAGTTCCCTTTCTTAATTTGTGTAAAATTATTAAATTTATTGTAGATCTGTTAATTTGAAATATTCTTTTTTTTGGTAGGTTTCATGAAATTTAATTAGTTTGTCTGTTTGTGATTTTATTTTTTAGCTATTTTAATTATGAGATTTGTAATATTATTGAAATATTTTAAGACCCAATTATATATATAAGAGAGATCGATCCTACAATTTAAAAGATCCTTCGAGCCACGTCTAAATCGCTTTCTTTTTTTCTTCTTCATACTTATTTTTTAATTTATCTTAATCACCTTGAATAATGGAATTGAGTACTCGCAATTCTTCTCGTATTTCTTCTATTTTCCTAGTTTTCTAGTAAATTTAATCTGTTTGATTGAATTATTAATTGTATTTTGATTAAAATTCTTCAATTTTCTTTTCTAAAATAGCCGAATGATTGTTATTATTTATTAGATTTTCATAGTTTTATTTTTAAGCTTCTAATAATTCTATTTTCTATTAGCTTTCAAATAATTGTCTTTTTAATTTCTCGATATCATTTTTGGTTTCTCCTGTAAAAGTTTGATTAATTTGTTTAATTTAGGATATCATTTCCTCTAGATTATTATAATCCAATTTCTAAGTAGTTTAGTTAATACTTTGGGATGTTTATTCTAATAGTCTATTAATTTGAGTTATCTTTGAGCAAATATTGTTATCATTAAATGCAGTAAGGTTTAAATACTCTTAAGATTCGTTTAACTTTTTATTTAAATTTATTATTTCTTATTCTTTTTACTTTATTTCAATTTAATGATTCTATTTTAACTATTCTATTTGTTTATTTTTTTCTGTGCTCGTTGTTTTAGATTATGATAGAAGTAACTTTTAAGCAGCCTCAAAAAATGCATTAAATTAATTTTCCACGAATTTTTAAACTTTTTCTTTCACTCCTTTCGCTTCTAAATTTATATTTAAAAAATAATCCTTTATCTTATTTAAATATTAAGTTAAAAGCTAATTGAGTTTACTGTCATCTTTAACTATTGATTCAGTTTATTAGAATTATTCTAATTCTTAAATTTCTCTTTATTGTAATTCATATTTTTTTTCTTAATATTTATCAATTAATGTATCAAAATATTAGGCGGTTTATTAGATTTAATCGGAAAAAATCTACTTGTAGTCTTGTCTAAACTTATCTTTTAATTCTTTGAGTTCTGAGTTGAAATTCTAGATTTATTTTGCGATAGCTCTATATTTTACTAATTTTGATTCTGGCAATTCTTCATTCATTCTAAAAATTTAAATACAGGTTTACCTATGTGAAATAGGAGATTGTTGATCATCCTCTTAACTCATGATTTATTGTATTTATTTTTATTATTATTAATGATTATGCATTTAATAATAATCTGAATATTATTCAGAGTGTCTAAACTATTCGGATCCTCTTTATAATTCATATTACTCTTCTTCCTCTAATATCTATTAAGAATATAATACAAGGAGACTGCAGGATTGCCTAACTAACGAATGCTATTTATTTGTTCAAATCACTAACATAATTAATATTTGTTAAAAAATTGTCTTAATTAGATATTGAGGTCCCTTGATTAAAATAGGATTCTTAAGAAACTGAATTACTGCTAATATCATTTTCTAAATTAATTTTAGATGTTTTTATTCTTTCTAATGAATTTTCAATTATTTGCATTATATTCTTTAAGTGTGTTTCTTCATTTTTGCTCTAAGATTATAATCTAAAACTACATTTTCTTTCATTAACTCAGAACAATGCATTTTTGCTTGATTCAATTAAATAATCAGGCATTATATCAAATCTTCATTCACTTTAGCTTTTAGCATTAACTCAGGAAACTCATTTTTCTAGCTGCCCTCTTAATAATTATTCAACTCTAATTTTTATGGACTATTTAGAATCTATTCTTAACCTAAATTTTCATTCATATTTAGTACCCTATTATTAATCCATTTTTTAATTTTTTTTAGGTTATGCCTAAATAACTTAGCCAAATTCAATCAACCAAATACTCTAAAATCAAAAATACTCACTTATATTTGCTAGCTTTTTCCTATCCAGCCCATGAAAACGTTTTGATACGAAACAAAAAAAATCAACATTTCTTTATAGAATATTGAATTATTTATTCTATTTATTTGTTCTATAATTAAATTTGTTGGAGCTACTAATACTCATTCTAAATGAAAATTCGTTGAAAATATCATTTTATAATTATTATTGAAAAAAGTAGGTGTACTTTAATCTAATGAATCAAATTGGTATTGTTATAAAACGATGCAATTCAAAAATTACTTTTTTCAATGCATAAATGAAAGCAATATCATACTAAAGTTTCTACTTAGTTAATAATTTTATATAGTCTTCATCCGATTTTATCAATGCTCAATAACAGTTTAGGTAAATAAGAAACATTTAAGGAAATGAATTTAATTTTTTTGTTTAAATAAATTCTTTGCTCTCAAATTTCTGAAAATGAAAATTCAGTTATTTCGAGAACCAATTAAGGAGATTTATTTCTAATTAATTTAAAGTTACTGAAATTTCTCATTATTGAGTATTTTAAATTATTGAATTTTTTATAAATGCTCATTTTGATTATATTTTGCCTATTGGATGCATGTTTAAGTTAAAAAAGAGATTAAAAATACTTTGAAGTGATGGGATTACAAAATTTTGACTTTAAAGACATTATCCCTCAGAATCTTTCTGATAAATAAAAACTTACGCTTTCCCTTACTTATAAAGATGGAGAAGTTCCAATTTTAATTATTTGTGAGGATTAGCCACAAAATAATACATTGACTAATTACGAGACCATTTAAGAGTATTGTTATTACTATTTTAGTTATAATTGTATAAGTGATACAAATGCTTATGAATAAAAGTCTGAAATATAATCAATTTCTTTAACAAAGAATGTAAAATCCTTAGCATTTTAAAAACATTTTAATATTTATTAAATTGAAAATTAGAACATGTTTGTCGGAGCATACTCAAAATCCTAATCAACGTATTTAATGTCTGCTATAATATAATAATTATATAATTGTGGAAAGTATTTATAATAATTAAATTAGAGATTGTAAAAATGGAGGAAGTTGTTTTTATGGAATATGTGAATGCGTAGAAGGAACCTTTGGCGATGATTGTAGTATAACAGCTATAGACATTAATGATTAAGTGAAATTGTCACCAGATAAATTATATTATTTAAGCTTGTCATCAATAGGAACAACATTCTAAAGAATTTTATCAAATCAGATACCTTTAAAACAAAAATGTTATGCAGAAAAGCCTTTTATAGAAGAAGGCTCCCTATTGATAACTAATCTACTTTAATTAAACTATGATTAAATTTATAATTGTCGAAATCTAACTAAAGCCTTATAAAATGAAGTTAAAATCAAATAAGATGCTTACTTCACTTTTAAAATCTATAGCCAATATGATGTGAACATACTTATAAACAATAACTAGGATGATGGATTATAAAATATAATGATGATGATATTTATTCCACTTAGCGTGATATTCTTTCTGCTCTTTGTTTGTTGTTGTGTGAAAATTTACAGAAAAAAACTAGAATTGCATTAAATTAATAAAAAGATAGACAAAGATGCTGAAACCAGCTTTTTAAATATATATCTTCCAACTCTTAAATACTCTTAAGCTAAGGATATATTGTAAGAGGATATTAATGAATAAGAGTCATACTGTTCAATATGTTTAGAAATATTCACTTTAGAGAATGATGTTAAGATGGCTTATTGCAAACATATATATCATTCTCAATGTTTGTAATTGTGGATGAAGAAAATCAAAGTATCATTTGATCAATATTTAGATATGTCCATTGTGTAGAGCACCTTTAGATGAGAAAACTCTGGCTTCAATGATTCCTCTTAAATCTTAAACATTAATAGATTAAATCTCTAGTAAATCATAATTAGGTAACAATAAATAGAATATAATATCTTTAAATTCATTATCTCGTCTAAATGGACCCAATACTTAAAATGCATTTTAACATTTAAATTATCAAAGAAGTTTGGTGTTGGTAGAATGATAAATAAAATTTTGTTAGACTTTTATAATTAAAATTTTTAAATTTAATCTTAGTTTTGCTAAATAACATTTATAGCCATTTCTAATTTTACAATATTATAAAACGAGTTATATAAAGAATTCATATTAAATGAAGTCCAACTTCGGCAATATATTATTATGAGTATCGATCGACATTATTTCTCAAATCTTTGACTATTTAATTAAGTACCATAGAGTTTTCAATCTAAAATTAATAAATTTAGGCAAAAGACTCTTTTGCAATAGGGAATGGATTAGATTGAAAATGCTGTTGTTTAACCTACTATTTTCTATTTCTAAATTCAGTTTCTTATTGCTATTCATGTTACAATTGTTTAGACTGGTTGTTCATGAAAACCAAGAAATCTAAAGGGGGTGTTTGTTTATTCAATAAATATTAAGCAATTTAGGATAATTGTGCTGAGAAATGCTTGGTGTCTTATATTTTCTGTTTGATTTCAATCATTTTGGTATGAACTAAGTCGAATTATTCCTGTAATTCAAAGAGCCATTTATTTTGTTCTTGTAATTTAGATTTGAGTTCATTATTTTCAATGATAATTTATTATAGACTTGCTTCTAAATCTAAGCTTTTTGTTTTATACTGCTTGTAAGTACTTAGTTCATTTTATAATTGAATTATTTACTGTTATAATGTCTATTCAGATTTCTGGTATTGTCTTTTATTATTTTCAATTTCTCTTGACATTTATGATATTAATAATTGATGTTGTTATTAGATGATCTCCTTTTCTCTTTTTAATTAATTAAGAATTGATGAATTCATTGGTGAGCTATCCATATTATCACTAATATTCATTTAAGAGTGCTAGATCTATTGCACATATTCTTGGATATGAGTATTTTGAATATCTTCTGGTTAGTATACTTAAAAAGCCTATGAATCCAAATATTGTGATGTGGCGACAGATTTTGGAACAAAAAAGCTTTATTTGGTTGACTTTCTAGTTGGAACACAACTGAAATAACTCCTATCTATACTGCTGCTTTTATTGTTTGACTTCATAAACATTTAGGACTAAGATGGAATATTAATTTACTAATTATTGAGAATCTCGAACTTGAGGAGTCTGAGGGAATTTAATCATCATTCTATTTTGATGTTATTCAATTTTGAGGTTATTCTTTTAGATCAAAGCTTTTAGTTGATCGTCAGACATTGAATAAAATATATAATATTGTAATCAAATATAATTAATGTAGTGTTAATTTAATAGTTCGTAGAAGTGACTATGATCACGTTTAATAACAAATTTTATCACTCTATAAAATTAATTTAATTATGTTCTTTAAGGAAAGGAGGGCATCATCTAATAAAAAATCATATCAAGGCTATGAGGATACCAAAATTCAACTTGACTTAATTGATAAATTCATTAATCCTTCATTTGAAAATCCCATTAATCATCAACCTAGTAAAAAAAGTGGAATAAGACAAATAAATAAAATCGATAAATCTCTTCACATTCCTAAAGTAGTCGTATTTCCTGAAGATAAACTAAATGAAGAAGTGGCTCAAATGTAATAAGCATTAGATCAATAAAGCCAAACTCTCAAACAACTCTTGAAAGAACAATAAGAAGTAACATTATAAATGGATAATCAAGATCAATAAAAATCAAGCTCTAAAGTAAAAACTTGATTGCCTCAAAACTCAAGTGCAAAACCTCCATCTTAAATTGCCAAAGCTTCCCCAATATGACTAATTGTATGAAATCAAACATGAACTCAACTCATTAAGATATTCCTTTTTTCAGCATTCCCCATAAAAATCCTTTTTCTAACCCCCTTAGATCATCTATTAACAACTGCCCTAACCTATTTCGTAACAATAATTTTTATAAGCATACCCTCCTTAAAGAGGCTATCATCCCTTACAGCATTTAATGAATCCCTATTAAAATCCCTATAACCCCCATTCACATAGGGTTAAATCCTACACCAAAGACAAATACGCAAACTTAAAAGGTAAAAAGAAAAATAAAAATTAAAACAAAACTTAACATTCTGTCTCATTAGTTTCTGATTCAGGGGAAAGTAGTTGTTAATCCATCCCATATGTTTCAAAAAAAGTACATTAAAAACCCAAATAAAAGTTTTTCACCAAAGTATTCTTACATTATAGTTTTATAGGATCCAGAAAGTCAAGAATAAAAGAAAGTTGAAAAATCTAAATTGAAAAATATATTCAATGCAGTGAGATTTGCAATGAGATGGAAAATCTACTGTAGACCCAATAAAATCTTATGGAGAAAGCTAATTAAACGTTCAGTTGAATGCAAATCTATTATCTAAAAGACATCATCTCCAGTAATAATGAAACGAATTAGAGATTGGTGTAAAATGGTATTGGCAAAAGTGGATAATTATTTGAGCAAAATCAAAGAAATCGATTTTATTGTAATTACTATGTCATATCCTTAGAATCCAGAAAAATTACTGACAGAAAAAGAAATTGATTAATCATTTATGTAACTTACTATTTCAACTAAATATTTAATGACAAGTTTACTAACATATTGTACAAATGATTTTCTGATCCCAGAAATTAAATATTTATCCTACTTACAGTTCTTCGAAGAACCCAATATCGACAGAGGCCTATTTATATCCAAGCGAGTATAGTTTTGGAAGGAAAATCAACTAGACATGACTAAAATTCAATAATAAATGATCATAGGCGATCTTGTTATTATAGTACATATTTTACCTGCTTTATTGGATATTTAAGGATCTTATTTTCTTATTAAATGCATGGTATCATTAGTTTAAATTCATTTTATGAAATATTTTGACCTAAAAATTGTAAATCCCAATCCAGATTATAGACTTATATAATTAAATGTAAAAGATATCAATGGAAAATTCTAAGCGAGATTATAAAAAGTTGAAAACCTTGAGGATGATAGATACATCATTGGAATGTATGAAGAATAGAAGTTTCAATAATTTTTTCAAAAAAGGCCTTATTTTCAAGATGATATGCAAAATGCTCTTTCTGAAATACATACTAACTTACTATAAGCATTAAATGGTAAATGAATAATATTTTGTTTTTTCCATACTTTAAAATTTAAATTCAGCTAAATCTAATTACTATCTATAAAAAATTTAATACTATATTATGCTTCTTTGCAATAAAATATTAAAATTAAAAGAAACAGTTTATATTCAATCAATAAAATTATTTTTCATTGGTAAAACTTCATCAAAAATTATTCTAGCAATAAAAATTTTCACTTTTTTAATTCATATGAATCAATAAATATATATTTAGAGGTACTTATATTTATATCAATAATGTATTTGTAAATTTATTATATTTATAATAATCTGATCGAATGAATAAAAAGTTTACTTATGATTGTGGTGAATATATGCATTCCTTTAAAATGATTATGTTTATTTACAGATAATGATATCAAAAAAATTATAAATCAATAAAATTAAAATTTCATCTAAAAATGACTTAACCAACTTTAATGATAATTGTTGTAAAGTATGCTATAAGAAATTAAAATGATGAAATACTTTTAGATTAATCTTAATAAAAGCCATATACGTTAAAATATCAAGGATAATTAAATCTTTTTACAGATCAGACAAAATAATAACGCCACTGATAAGATTTTAAAGGAGAATTTCAGGGAGAGTGTATATAAAGATTAATTTGAAATAATTGTAATCTTTAAAGGCAATAATTTTTGAGATGAGACTAATTATTTAAGATTTTAAAAACTATAATTTGTTAAATATATATATTTTAATGAATAATATATTGCTTAATTCATTTTGGTGGGCTTACTGGTTGACGATAAATGCGATTATATTGTTCTTTTGGTAGAGTATGGTAATCCAAAATTTATTTCTTAATTAAGGAGGAATTTAAATTTTATGACACATAAGATGCATCGATTGAAGACATTTATATTGAATTATTGGCTTTTTGTTTTCTCTTTTAAAATTCATTATCATTTCGCTTTTTTATTTTTTCTTCCTTCTCAACTTATGTCATCCTAATGCAATAAATGTGCAATTTTACTCTTTTTTTTCTTTTACAACGATTAATGCCCTTTAGGTTGCTTATTCCAATTTTTATTTTTCCTATTTTTTTTATTCTGCTAATTCTTTTTTGACTTGCTCCATCTCCAATTCTCTTTACTTTTTCTTTAAGTAATTCTCTTTTTAAATCAATAAAAGTCGCTCATCTTCGATGGGCTTCAACCCATTTTAACCCTTTTAATTCTTAATTAGGAGTTATCTTTTTGGCTTCTATACATTCTTCTGGGGATCTTCTACAATTTTATCTTTCTTTAATTCTTCAGGCAAAAACCTATTATCAGGAGGAGGATTGGGGGGTTATAGTTTTTACATTCTATCAACTAATTTTTGCATTCTTGTAAAATCGTACATTTATATATTTAATATATTTTATTTATTAATCTAATATTGCAAATAAAATTATAAATATAAACCAGAATTATTCTAACAATCTAAAATTTTCATAATTAAGTTTAAACTTGCATAGAGAGTTTGTAAATAAACAACCAAATTTTTTATAATATTATTGATTAATATATAAATCGAATATGGCATCAGCATCTAAAGAAAAGAGAATAAAGAAAAAAGAGAAGGAGGAGCAAATATAAAGCAAATCATTAGGAAATTTTCACAATTTAGAATTATTATGTAAAGCAGATGACAGATAAAAAAAAACACTGTAGAAAATAATCAAATAAAAACCTGATCTTGCAAAAAGTTTAAATATTTATGCTGATGGAGTCAAATACTACTTAGCACGTTAGCAATAGCGAGACAAATTACTGGCTGGAAAAGAGTCTCCCTTAGCTGACGTAACGGAGGAGCAAGTCTAAATCCCTGTTTTACCCTCTATCTCAAATCGTTAAATAGTTAGATAATTTAAGCAAGACCCATTGAACGCAAAAAAACTATCAGAAAGCTTAGAAAAAGCAAACAAAAGGTAGTATCATACTAACAATTACACACCTTTTGCAAATCGATAAAAAGTTAACATCATTTAAACTTAAAATCCTCCTTTAAAAATAAACAGAGAAAAAGAGTTGCCAAAACTTAAAGTAAAGAAATAAAATCTTACATAGTTTAATTATTATATAGGACCTGGAAATAATGGCGAATTGGTAAAACGTATTTTATAAAAAAGAGAATAATATTGGAGTGCTGTGCCTTAATAATTTCAATATAAGCATTTTATATGGCAGCAATCCTACTTCGGTATGGATTTTAATAGACTCTCAGCTTCAGACAGCCTATTTACAAGGGTGATGTATAACTTTTTTGAATTCCATAAAAATATCACATCTAAATCTGGTACTAAATTTGTCAAATAAGATAGGGTTGTCAATATCTTTACTACAGTACTATAACAATATAGAGAAAACATTTGACGTCATTCCCTTGGTGTTCATCATAAATTTTAAGAACTCAGATTGGATGAAAGACGTGTAATAATTTACTGAATTTTATTGTAATAATAATCCACTAACTTAAACTTCCATGAAAACTAATTTAGATTTTGACTTTTATGTATCCAATCTTCCTGCAAACAAAGTAAATTATAATGGAATAAAAACATATAAAATGCAAGAAACATTAACAAACAAGACTCAATATCTATGGCTACTTAAGCCTGCAGATTGGAATAGAGGAGAAGGAGTCCATGTATTCAATACATTGGAGGAAGTTGAAACACTCATAAAATCGTACTATTATGGCAAGGGTAATTATGAATGCAAAGAATTTGTGATTTAGAAATACATTGAAAGGCCATTGCTATTGGGAGGAAGGAAATTCGATATAAGATGTTGGGTATTGATTACTCAAGAGATGCACTACTATTTATTTAGGGAAGCCTATATAAGGACAAGTGGAACAACATTTTCTTTAGAGAATGTAAATATATATATTGATTAAACCATATTAGAAAGATAGATACATTCATTTGACGAATAATGCAGTTCAAAAAAATGCTTAGAACTATGGATAATTTGAAGATGGAAATTAATTATCCTTAAAACGATTTCAGAAGCAATTGGAGTAAGATCTCATTGATATTCGATAGTTAATAAGAAACTAAATACGATTTTCGAAAGGAAGGGTGGCCAAAAATAAAGGAGGTTGTGAAACTTACTTTGAGTTCAACTAGACTGAATAAGAGGAATAGAAAGTATGGGATGCAAGTATTGGGTTACGATTTTATGATTGATGAAAATCTTAAGTTGTGGCTCATCGAAGTTAATGCTAATCCTTGTATTGAGGAGAGCTCGAATCTATTGAAAATGCTGATCCCAAGGATGTTAGACGATGCTTTCAAACTTACTGTTGATAAGGTTTTTACTCCAGATGTAGATTTTGGGATGCAGTAACCGAAATTTAAAGTAGATGAGTATGATGACTCAGAGAATATGTGGGAACAATTGGGAGTGTGTGGATGAATAAATTAGCTAAAATAAGTATATTTATATGATTATAATATATATAAAGATTTAAATAAATATTTAAATTAATTATGGATTAATAAACAGAGTAAGACAAACTTGAATCGATAGCTACTCCAGGAGTGTTGGATAAATATTAAAACGCTGGTAAGATCGCAAATGGTAAATTTTTAAATTGATTATTAAATAGTTGTACTTGAAAAAGTGATCACTAAATTAAAGCCAGAAGCTGATATTGCTTCTATTTGTGCTTTCGGTGACTCAGAAATCAATGGAGAACTACAAAAGGTGTATAACAAGAAAGGAATTGAAAAAGGCTTAGCATTCCCAACAACGATTTCTGTAAATTAAATTTGCGGTCATTATTCTCCATTAAAGAGTGAATCCAGCTAGCTTGCCAAGGGTGATGTGGCCAAAATGTAAATGTTAATAATAATGTCATAGTGAATTGGGAGTTCATATTGACGGATATATTGCCATTGCAGCACACACAGTTGTCGTAGGTGAAGATTAGGTGGAAGGCTAAAAGGCAGATGTCATATTGGCAGCCTATGAATCAGTCTAAGCTTTATTCAGATCAATAAAGCCAGGAGTCACTAATACAGCTTTGACTAAAATTATCTAATAAATAGCAGATGATCACAAAGTCTCACCATTAGAAGGTGTTTTGAGTCACGAGGTTAAGAGACACTTCATTGATGGAAACAAAGTCATAATCAATAGAGAAACACAAGAATAAAGAGTCGATGAGGAAGAAATCCAAGTCAACGATGTTTTTGTATTAGATGTATATATCACAACAGGGGATGGAAAGACCAAAGAAGTATTTACTCATTTCATTATTTTTAGTCTGACGTAAGAACCACAGTTTACAAAAGAGCTTTGGATAGACAATATCAATTGAAGACTAAACATGGAAGAGCATTCATGTAGGAAGTTTACGACAAATACCCATCTTTATGCTTCTCATTGAGAGCATTTGAAGATGAAATCACAGCTAAGTTAGCTGTCTAAGAATGTGCTAAACACGAGTTATTAAATCCATATCCAGTCTTAATCAGTCCAAATAGCTTTGTAGCATAATTCACAATAACTGTTGCTGTCTTGGCCAACAGCACTCTTTAAGTTTCTGGACTCAAATTAGATGAAACCAAATTCAAACCTGCTCATGATCTTAATGATCCAGCACTTAAGGAATTATTGAAAGTATATAATGCGGTTTCTAATATTTTAGTTACCTATGGACAAGGAATCACAAAAAAAAAGACAATTAGAGTAAAAACAAAAAGCTTGATGATATATATATCAATAGTAACAATAGGTATATTAGTATAATATTATCTCATATTTAATTCGAATATATTATTCAAAATCCTATCTCTTCGTTTACTTTTTTTAAAATCTCGTGTTCATAGTTGCAATAAAAGTCATATTGATATATTAAATGAGGAATCGATGGTTTATATTGCTGTGGCACAACCTTTATCAACTCATATAGCATTTTAGCATTTTCCTTTATTGAACAACATAAAATCTTAGCATCCTCCTTCTTAATGTAATTTATTGTCTGAGCATATTTACTCCACACTTCCTCTGTTATAAATGGAGGATCAATCAAAATTATATCAAAAGTGTTCTTCAATTATTCTAATCCTTCTATAGGCTTATTGAAATCATAAAACACAAACCCTTTCTCTTTATTCAGTTTAAGATCAAATTCAAAAAGTGCTGAATTCTACTTTACTTCCTGATTCTTTAAACTGCAATAAATAGATGGAGTTGATAGGAATGCTATCTTCTACCCATTCTAATAAATTGACTCAATATGATCAACCAAGAATTCAATTGTTTATTCTGAAAACCAATACTAGTTCAAAGTACTATCTTCTGCTTTCTTTGCAAGAAATAAATTTTTCTTTTTCATATTAATATATATATTATTAATAAAACACAAAAAAGTATTTATCATCAAGAATTCAAACTCTCATTACTAATCATTATCATTCTCAATATCTTAATTATTTTCATCCTCTATTTCTTCATTACCTTAATCCTGATTATCTTAAATCTAATCTTTATTATCATCAATCTCTTCCTCTTTTTATTCATCTTCATTATTTTCAAAATTTTATATTTCCCGCATTTCTTCATGTTCTTCTCCCTAATCCAACACATTCTCTTATTAAATGCCGTTTTCTTAAGAAGATTGCAATAAATGAAGATCTAATTACGATCAGTTATTTCATACTTTGTATAGATTCAGCTATGTCCTAAAAATCAATTGCTTTTAAAGTCATTAAAATATCGTCTTTTGTTATTTGCATTCTCTTTTTCTCATTCTTTTTCTTTCTATTTTCCTCTTTAATGACTGTTACCCTGGAATTATTAATTTTTCATACATATGACTCAAATAAAATACGAAAAGACTTAGACATCTATTAAATTTATCTCGAAATGCTTTTTATGCTGTTATATTATCACCAAGTATCTTTTTAATAAATTCACCAATTTGTTTTTATTAAAATAAAGGAAAATTAGAAGTTTCATTATCATCTTCTACTGCTTATAAATTATCTAAAACTTCTTCATCCATTAGAATAAAAAATTAAATAAAATAAATTAGATTATTCAATAATTAATATAATTAAGTTGTTATTTGATTGGCTCGCTTATCTAAGTTAAGTTATTAACATCATATCCATTAAATTATGCTTCATATTAGTAAATTAATACTCTCTATTGAGTTTCTTCTAACCAATTGAGAATTCTATTCGATCAACTCCCCTTTTTTTTCATTTACAATAGATATATATTTAGAATCAAATAATCTTAAGATTGCTATAAACTCAATTATTATTTCATAGCTAATAAGGGATTTCAAAGTAATCAACAGATAAATCAATGATTATATCTACACCTCACTTAAGATGTCATACCATAAGATATACTGTTTTATATCTTGAACATTATCATATCAATATACCTAGTTATATCTGAATCAGTAATTTAAGACAGTTAACTTTTTTAATGAACTTTTTTCCTTTTATTGACTCCAAAATATTAATGCTTATTTTTTAATGAAGATTTTAGAGATGCATGTATTATAATCCAAAATCATTCAGGTCTTAAAAATCCTCTCCATATACTAAATGAAATACTAGTTTGATCCTCACTAAATCTATGCATTCTTTCTACATGATATCTTATGCCCCTTGCCGGAATTTAATCTAAAGACAAAAAATATTATCTCTATCTTAAAATGAATAATAGATAGCAATCAATTATTAATGAAATTATTTTACGAATTTTTTGGGTTACTCGAATTGTTCTTTTCATATATCACTGAATTTACCCTTTATTTGCACTAATTCAGGCCTTTTAATCTTTACATGGTTTTTAAACAGCAAATATTCAGAAAGGAAATTTATTGTGTTAAATTTGGCTTAAATATTAGAGATTTCTTGAATGATAAGCTGAAGTGGATCAGCATGATTAAACTGAAAATTCCTATATTCTTTGAAAAATGGCAAAAGAGGAATGATCATTTTTAGTCAACCCTACTCCAATAAAACAGTTAGAAAACCTAGATGATTGTAAACCATCTATGTTTCTAAATTAATATCAGATTTGTCTTGTTTTTACCTTAACGTGAATCTTATCTAGAATGGGGAATTCTATAATTCAAAACATATATAAGAATTATTTAAATATTTTATAAATTGAATTTATAATAATAATTACGAAAGAATTCATTATTTAAATAATCGACTTATTATTATTATAACTATAATTATATTAATGAATCGAGAACTCGAGGAAACTTCTTAAAACCAAGAAAATAAAATTTCAAAAGATGAAGATGAAAAGAAGTTCAAATTACTTAAAGAGCATTTTAGAGTTTAATTCAAAGAATCATATAAATATATAGGTAAAATTATTCTCTAGCGTATTAGGTTTTAATTTACTTTTCAGTTTTGGAAAGTACTTAGTTTGTTTTTATAGTTTATAGCAACGCGATCAACAATGCGATGTTAATCCATTATTTGTTTGGTTGACCATTGTTGGCATGTATGAATTTTTCAATTCGATCAGGTATTTATTCCTTACATGTTTTAGGTATTTGGCTGTGCTCTATTCATTATAAATGAATTCAAAAGATATCTTTTTACTAGTCATGGCAGAAATGTTGACGAAGGATTCTGAAGAATAAATGAATCTTTAAGGAATGGAAGAAAAGAATAAGTAAAAAAATAATTCTAAAATAAACTTTAGACGAAATCAAATAAAAACTCTCATCAAAATGAAATTATCAACGAGAGACATAAGATAAGAAGAATTAATAGCTGAACCACCATTTACTCAATATGAAATAATACACTAAGCAGAGGCATTGAATAAATACACTCGTCTTATGAAAGTCTACAATTAATTCATCTTCTACCTTATATTTACAGGAGGTAACATCGCATACTTCCAATCAGATTCCAATGATTGTGATGATAGTAACTCTTTTCAATTAATTTAATACTAGGTTTAAACAATGTTACTTTTGTTCTACTTCTGATAGGGTATTTGTTTTCTGCTTTTCTGATTATTGGATTTGGATTGGCCATAATATCAATGGCCTTATATATGCCTATTATCCTCTTTCTATTTATATTTAAAACTCTAGGTAAAATATTCAAGAGACTTCAAACTAAAGTAATAATGCTAATTCAATTTTAGAATAAGTTCAAAAAAATGAAAAAGTTCGAATACAAAAGTGGCCCTGAGTTCTCTGCCATCTAACAATGCAATATTTGTATGTGTGATTATGAAGATAATGATTTAATAGTACAATTGCCATGCAGTATTAAGTAAATCGACCATTTTATATATTATAGGCATCATTTCCATGATCATTGTCTTCAACAATGGGTTATTATTAAATAGTAATGTCCCGTCTGTCGTAAATTAATTTGAAAATATATTTACACATCTATAATTTAAACTATAAAATAAAGAAGTTTCATATTATTCATTTCCAAACCACTATAGTGATTTATCCCTTGATTGCTTACAAGTAATATCCTTCTTCATGTGTTACGAAAATCCCAAAATTCTTCCCAACCACACAATGCCAAGGACCTGTGTGTCTCTTATCCAATCTATTATTTGTTCAAATATTTTACTCTCTCTTAATGTAATATGCAATGTCTCTTTCGTTGCTATGTTTTTTAAGATTTTCAAGAATTATATATTGAGCATCCTTTAATAAATCACTCGACATGTCACATAATTTAATATTTATTTATTACGCTGGGTCGGCCATCTAAATCTAATAATTTATATTAAAATTATTAACAAATTATATTTATTATTAACTGCCACATGAAACCCAATGACCTTCTCCAAGAATTTACTGATTTTAGGCGAAAACTAAAAGCTGATATATAAAAAACTGATTTTTCTAAAAGTCCATCAAAAAATTATACCAAAACATAGAGTTCACCTTAAAAGACGAATTCAGGTTTCAAATAAAAAATTAATTTCTCAAAACACAAAAGCCAATTACAGGAGAGATGTAATACAATTTCATCAACCTAAAATTAAAACTATTATTCTTAGATTTACAATCCTTTATTCTAATGTATAACACATGAAAAATTGGGTTCGCAGCAACCAAATATGCAATCACTCAAATCATCTAAATTTACAAATAAGAAAAAGTAGAATATCACTGATAGAATACTGAGTTACACCTAATTAAATAATTTTTGCTTTACGCTTTAATAGATTTAAGATGAAGATATTAGAGAATTACCGAATGAATATAAACAGCTTTTAATATAATTAGCATAATTAATATAGGAAAAAATTGGAGTAAATGATTTCTGAATGGTACTAACACTATTTGAACATATATTATAAAAATACTTGAATATAAAGATTAAATAAGTTATTAGCACAATCATTGTTCATGCAATTTTTCTTAGTAATTTTGATTGAATTGTTGGAATGTATCAATTTTATTTACTTCATAAAAAGGGGACTCTAAAAGGATTTCATTTACGTTCTCTTTATTTTCTTCTTCCATCTTTATGGACTTATTTGAATGTTATTTTTGTTTCTAAGCATGTTTAATTTATGGATGGACATCCAATGTTTCTTGTTGCAATAATTTAAAATCACTAATTTTTTCATCAACTAGAGGAAATCTAAATTTTATTTTCTAATCTTTAAAAGCAAATATTGCACTCTTATTACAAGGTGTGTTTTTTTATCCTTACGCCGAAACATGGTTACTTTATTTTTATTTTTCTTTAGAACTTTAAAAAGGGGATTATTTTGAACTTCTTTGAAATTCTAATTCCATCTATTTCGAAGTAATTTTTTTATTATAAATTAATTTTTAAATGTCAGAAATAAAGTTCAATTATGAATATTATTATGCTCTTAAATAAATTAAAATGTTACATGATCGATCCATAAAAAATATAAAACTAATTTACATTTTAAATAATTACTCAATTTCCACTAGCATTTTAAAATTAAAAACTATAAGTGGAACTCAAAAATCACATAGAGAATAGATAATCAAGAGGCAAGAGATTAACATAATATGAAAATAATTCTTATTTTATTTGATTTTCAATATTATTCAATATTAATAAAATGTAATCCTAAGAAAATTGGTTAGATAACTCTATAGAACCATTTCAAAAGTTTGAATAAGTAAAATATATATTAAAATATAGGCGCATTCTAATTCCATTGAATGCTTGTAATTTAACCCTACTAATCAATCAGAGTTGGCGACAGGCTCTCATGATAAATTAATAAAAATATGGGATGTTACCAAGTAAAAAGAATCAGCTAAGTTTTCAGGTCACAAGTATTTATAATTTATTTTACTTTAGAGAAGGAATTTGGTCACTCAGTTATTCTCTTGATGGAAAATAAATTTTTAGCGGATCTCCTGATAAATCAATTTTAGTTTGGGATGCTAAGAGCGGAAAGACTGTTTAAGCTTTAAAAGAGCACAAAAATAGAGTAGAATATTGATTAAACAATTAGATATACTGGATTCAAGTGAGTGATAATGGATTATATTTAGCAAGTGGAGGGTAAGATGGGCATCTCATACTATGGGATTTGCGAAAGTTGAAACTTATAAAAGATCTTTAAAGTAATCGAATCTATTAAAATTTAGTATCTATGGATATTGTTTACAATATTAATTTCAGTCAATAAAGCAAATACTTTTTTACTGGAGACTCTATGGGAGTTATCAAAGCTTATGATAGTTAAAAAATAGAAGAAATTTAAAACACAAAACCCACATAAAAGAATAAATGTTATGCAATTTAATCATTAAAAATATCAGAAGATAACTATAAATTATTTGTAGCCTCAAAGGTAATTATAACTTATATTTTCAAAGAATCAAAGCATTAGTGAGTATAATTTTGATGGGAAGAAGAAAGAATTAACAAAAATTAATTAATCCCCAGTTCATTGTGATAGCGTATTAAAGTTTTTATAAAAAATTAGGTTCATTGTATAAATTTTGATAAAGATAAAAGAAGATTTGGAACTGGTGCTAGAGATGGAGCTACAAGGGTTTGGTAAACTGAAAGGAAGGGGCAATTTTATAATCCATTGTATAATCTGATCGGACATAAATAAAGAGTTACTGCAATTGAATTTCATGGCACTGGAAAGATTATTGCTACTTGCAGTTGGGATTAAAATATCCATTTATATAAAATATGAACGTATATAAGGCGTATATTGTTCTATTTAATTAATATAAAATTAAATAATACTATGTTAACTAATTCTTAAGGAAATGGAAAATAAGTCTTGTTTAGTACCATATAAAATTCTGAAATGCCTTTGGAATAGCTAGGGGATTAAATGCAATTAAACATATCAAAAAATTTTAGATTATATTATTCATTTTGATATACAACAAAACTATTATAGTTAAGGAATAATAGCTATTGATAAGTAGTTCATTTACTATCTAGCCATCTACATTTATTTTTTCCTCATATTATTACATAAAAACAATATTTTAAATGTTGTAGAAGTTAATCGTAAAATATAAGTATTATAATATATATATATATATAATTATGATATCATCATTGGTTTTAAATAACATTTAAACTGGATGGGAATACCAAGCAATTGAATATATTAATAACTAATGAAATGATGATTATAAAACGCATAATAATATCAATAAGTTTCTAATTTTCAGTCATTTATAAGCTAATTATAGCTAGGAATTATAAAAAATAATTAATTTTATTCAAAAAAATAGCTGAGAATGAGTTACCAACTTTAACCTAAGCCTCTCTAATTATGTAATTATATGCACTTAATTTTGTAGTTTACTATTTACCTTATATTCATCAACTAGCCATTCCAATGGTCCCTTAATACCCAATCTGCAATTTTCCATAATAAGTGAGTCCAATTTACTAACCAGTAGTCCCAGGGACTTCATAAGATAATTGTATTGTTATAGAGGATGACAATGTAAGCTAATTATCAATAATCTCCAATTAGATTCAGCACCCACTGAACTAAATTCATTCTATGATTATGCAATCGTAAACCAATAGAGAATAAAATTTCCTTTAAGATGATGTTATGCAATAGGAATAACCTGTATAAAAAATAACACATTAAAATAACAATTTGAATGAAAATCAACCCCACATTCGAATTACTGTCTTTAAATAACATTCAAGTTAAACTGACTAAGAATTTATTCTTCAAAATGATAGGTAATAGTTTGTATAATAATCTAGAATCTTGGGATCCAATTATAAAAAAGAAATAATTATTGGTAGAAAAAAGCAGTAAGAAGAAAAATAAGACACTTGTGATATCTGTATTTATTATTATAATTTAAGATTTACCACATGGGGATAAGAACGTTGAAAAAGTTCACTGCAAAATATTGACTGATTAAGGATTCTAATTCTCAAATACTCTTACTAAACCTCTTATACTATTCTTTTCTCTTATAAGGAATAATCAACATGCATCAAAACTACCTTTTTAAGTTATAAAGCATATTTATTCTTTTATCAAGTAATTTTTATAATAATCTTAGAAATAAACCTTAATTTTATATTTGCGATAATGGAACCAGAGCTAGCACTTTTGTGAAGATTAAAAAGGACAAAATAAGAACTATTGAATAAGAAAATACCTATTTGATTGGAGCAGACACATTTTTCCATGTTTTGGAAATGAAATCATAGCCAAAGCAAAATAAATCGAAAAAAGTAAAAAAAGACCAAAGCTTTTTCTATAACGCACTTGCGAAAGAACATATAAGAAGAGGAGCTAAAATTCATGGATTGACATTGGAGGAAACTGAAATGTTGAATGTTACTATGAATGAAATTAAAACAACCAAATAAAAATAAAGAACTTCATAAAAGCTAAGCGAATATGATAGACCCTATTTAAAAATTACATTCGATAACTAAGCAATTAATTAAATATCAACTCATATTTTTGTTGCCAACTACAATTAAGAATCGGTATATAAAATTGGTAGATCCCAAGAATGTGACGTATTAGTTAACATTAATACTGTCTCAAGAAAACAAGCTTAAATTATTTATAAAAATAATGAGTACTATTTTTAAACTATTTTAAGATGGTTCATTCATGACGGAGAAGGATTAAGAGAGTCAGCCAACGGAACTTGGCAATCATTTCAAAACTTTTCATAAAGAAATTATGATAAGAAATTATAACCAAGCAGACCTTAACTCATTGAAGATTAAATGGAAATTAAAATAAGTGAAAACATCGTCAAATTTGATTTTGTAAACTTTGGTGTTACAAAGAAGTAATTTATAAATATAATTCTAGGCGCAAAGTAAATAAAGCTTTAATTCAAGATCTACTTAATATATAGTGAAAAATATAAAAAATATATTTTTATTTCAATTTTTCAATTGCATACATCATCATTTCAGTTGTTCAGCTTTTTTTTATATAGTTTTGATCCAATTTTATATTCAGCATTGGTTTATAAATAACACTAACTATCTAAACCTTTTTATTTATTTCTAAATAGTCATTTTTTTTATAAATGGATCATTAAAATGATATAAAAGAGTATAACCTCCTAATTAAATATAAAAAAACATGATTTGTATTTATAGTGTTATTTAATATTTTCCTTAAATAAAATATACCAGTATTCTTCGTAATTTATCTAGGATGATTGAGAAAGTGATCAAGATTTATGTTTAGTTCTATACATTTGAGTGTTTCCAATTATTTATTCAATATGATAGATAATTCTTTTAGCTTTTGATTATAAAATTAATAAATCTTTAATTGCTAACTTTATGTATTTCCCAAATGTATATTGAATTAACTTTCAAAATTACCTAAAATTCTTTATCAGGATTAGTATTATACTAAAACACACTTAAAATCTTGACAACATCAATTTAACAAGGAATTACAAGTTGAAGGAATAAAGATTATAAGATAATTGATTTATAAATATTTCATTTGATCAATTCTATATATTAATGCAAATTCAATTCATAATCCTGTATAACTTAATCCCATAAACTTTCTTTTTGCAATTCCAGTCCAAAACTTAGCATCAAATGTTCTTTTGCCATCTTTGAAGAACCTTAAAATCTTAGTACAATAATTACTTTGCTATTATTTCTTTTGCAAGAATATCTTTAAGTCCTTTCAAATATCCCTATATTTTATCAGTTTCTCCTGGTGTTTCTTTGAGAAGTCCACCAAGAAAGTTTTTTTTATCTCCACTTCTTGTTGGTACAGCTTCTCTGGCGATTTCATCAAGCTTCTTAGCAGCAGCTTATTGATCCTAGTCATTCTCTATAGTTTTTATCATGTGTGCAGCAACAACCCATAGGTAGATCAATAAAATATCAGAGGGTCCTAGAAATTATATTGATTTAAAACCTTCATAATTGTAATTTTTGAAGAATGTCATCAACCTGAAATATTCTAAAGATTCAGAGACGATTCCTTTTTAAGACTATTAATCATCAAAGTAGGCTAAGCCACACAATGTTTTATCACTCTTTAATTTTGCATGACAGACCTTAATATTAATTTAAGAATTACAGATGGATCTATTGTGACTACTGTTTATTGCATCGATAAATTATAGATTAATATAATAATATATATTAAAATCAAAGTTTTTTATTCTTTAGCATTTTAACAAATTCTTCATAAGATATTTACCCATCTCCATTGTTGTCACAATCAGTAAGTATCTGATTCCAAACATCATCACCCAAATCCCCCATAATTGCCTCTAATTCCTTTTTAGAAATAAAACCATCTCCATTCTATATTATGACAATAATTAACTTAATCAAAGATCTTGAATGCTTATTCAACTCTTTAGACTGATAATAATTTCTCTTGATTCATAGCAGCCATGCAAAATTCTGAAAAATCAATCTAACCTGATCTATTAATGTCAATCATCTATAGGATTCTTTCAACTTCATCCTCTGCCAACTTCGAATCAGTTTAGATTTAAATATATCCTTTCAACAATTCATCTTTGGATAAAAAACCATCATTATTTTCATCTAATCTTTGAAATTCCTCCTGCAAATCTTACAATTCCTTTTGAGTTGACATTTGTGTAATCATGTATGACATTAAAGCTTGCTTTAAGATGGTTTCTGCCTATCAATAAATGATCCTTAATTGTACTTAGAATTATCTGAGATTATTTAAGACCTTTTTGTTGACTTAAGTTGATGGGGCATACTTAACGAGCCAAGGATCTTCTAAAGCTTATTTAGCAGATAGTCGTTTATTTGGATCCATTCTAAGCAATTTGGTGATAAACTCCTTGGCTTCTTTAGACACTGTATCCCAATCCTCAGCTATATTAATCACTTAATTTAACTTACGATCAAAAGTAAATTTGCCTAATTTAACTCTCTCTAATATTTAATTCTCGGTTTTTCCTACAAATGGAGGATAACCACATAACAAAATATACAAGATCACTCCACAGGACCAAATGTCACATTTTTCAGTATAAGAATGTCCAAGAACTTCTGGTGCAATATAATATGGCTATAAATATAATTATTTTTTGAAATACTGTTCCTAGTCTTTTGCTCATAGCCTTTTAATTGTCAAATTTACGAGAGGTCCCAAAATCAATCACTTTCAGTTAAGATTGAGGATCTTCACTTATAAAAATGATATTTTCAGGTTTTAAATCTCTATGTACTATATTTTACTCATGGCAATATAAAGTGGCCAATAATATTTATCGAATGTAATCTGCAGCTATGCTCTCACTAAATGAGGACATCTTTTTTATCCGATCAAATAGTTCTCCTCCTGATAAATATCTATATATTTCAATAAAATTACTCAGTTACTAAATAATAATTATTCTCATCCTAATATAGTTCAAATAATTTAACGATGTGAGGGTGATCTAAGTTTTTTAAAATATTCATTTCAGAGAACAATCTCTGCTCTTCTTCTTTTATTATTGAACTTTTCTTGATCTATTTGATTGCTCTTATCAACCCAGTAGTTTTATGAGTCACCTTCCATACCTTACCAAATGCACCTTAACCCAAAACCTTGCCAAAATTGTAATGTGATCCTATTGAGCCCTCCTTCTATTTCACAAATATATCAAACCCCAATTTAATCATTTTTTTCGATTTTGAATCTGCTTCCAAACTAGCTTTCATTACCTCGCCTTTATCTAAATAATAGTAACTTATTTCTACTTTGTTCAGTAGTCCTTTTTTGTGATTAAACAATCTCTGAATTTTTAGGTATTTCTTCTTTGTTAGTTACAGGTTGTTTTTACTCAGGTTCATTATGGGGTTCACTCTCCAAAACATATTCATTTTATTTATTCTCAACTTAAACTTGAATATCTTCAACTTATGATTTTTTGCTTCCTTGTTGGGAAAGTGAGACTTTTTATTCTGGAGGCTTTGCAGCATCAGGATTAGGCGATGTTTCTAACTCATCTACAATAGTAAGGATAAGATAACCTTTTTATTATCTCGAGTCATCTCGACAACAGACACTACCCATTATAATTGATTATATTCAATCGAATGATAAAATAAAAATATATTTTTAACTCTAAATAAATAATCTTCTTCATTAGGGTACTTAGAATTTAATGGGCAAATTATTAATCATTGAATCAAATTTTGTTGAAAAAAAACCATTCTTTTAAGCAATATGTCAAAAATATTAAATTTCATGATATTTTGATTAGGATATAATATACAAAATCTTATTTGCCTATTTTTAGATTTTTTTATTTGAACCATTTATCTCAGATTTATTTCAAAAAAACCAAAAAGAGCTTCTTTTATCATATTTTGTTATACAAATTACCCTTAGATATATTTAAAATAAATCAAGAATTTTATTTATAATATTTTACTTGAATAATTTTATAAGGTCTGTCTTTTTTCTTTAAATAATTTAATTCTTTGTCATCAAACATGACTTAAAATCCAGGCTATAAGTTTAAATAATTAAAATATCAATCTAATATTGGAACATAAACGATAAAAAGCATATTTTCATGGATTCTTTGTAGGAATACATTTGCTCAATTAATAATTAAATAAATCAATATCTAATCTGAAATGACAAAATATGAATTGAAACTTTTTTAAGTAACAATAAACAAATAAAAATCAATTTAGGTTTATCAAAATATTGAACACATGCAGACTTTTGTATCAGCATTATCATATTTATTCGATGCAATAGACTTTTTTGATTTAGTTTTATTTTTCTTTTTTTCATTCTGTTCAGCCATACTTTATTTTATTTTATTCTCTATCAATAGTTTGAAAGCATCTTAATTAATTTAGAATGATTAATTGCTCATAGACTTTAGATTTTCATCATTAGTCTAAAAGGAACTTTGACTATTCATTTTCTCAATAGCTTAAGTAAAGTCTTCGATCTAATAATTAGCTAATTCCTATGCTGAGTTAATTAAACACTAAAGAACTTGTTTGTAATGATTTTTGGTTTAGATCGTATCAAGAATCCATCTTAACACTTCTTTATCTTGGATAATTTGCAATTAATTTTCTTCCTCACCACTAATTTCATATTGCTTCAAACAATTAATCTCAAAATTAATCACATAATAGATTTTCTCAAGTGAATAAGGCTTAGGAGGAGTTTAGATATTTGATTGATCTATTTGTTCTTCTTTGTTATTATTGAGAAGTTCCATCAATAATGATCCTTTCTTCCATAATTTTCTAGTGCATTGTTTATAGTAAGATCTAAAACTATGTTTAGCTTTATTACATTGCACTACAAATGCTGGATTATGTCTCTGCACTCTTTTATGAATCCATACTTAAGCCTTTGATTTCTGATGATTTTTCATCAATCTTTTTGAATTACACAACTTTATTTATTTTTCGAACTTCTAGTAATTCTGTATAAATATAATTGACAAGAAGTTCTTCATTATTGAATTGAGTTTTAAACCAAAAGTCAAATTCTTTCAAGCTATCCTATCAAATTGTAAAATTAGTCATAATACTTGCAAAGATTAAATTTTTCCTAACAAATATTTCTCATTCTAGCCTTAGCTTATTTTTGAGTCTATGAAGCAATTACTAATTTCTTTACAGTAATTTGAAATCTCAAAAATCATGATAAATAATAATATTTTAATAAAAGAAACAACAATTAGTTATTTCATAATAATATTGTCATTTGTGAGTCAAATTTCACAATCTCATCATTAAATTTACGTAATTTTAGTTATATTAAACATTTTTAGCATCGAATCTTTTGATCATTAACCTAACTTTTTTAAAATGAGTAAGCATTTTAGATATTAAGCAGATTAGCAAGATAAACCAAATAGTATATGAAAACACTAGACAAGATATTAGTATCCTATCTGTAGCTATCTTATCATATACCACAAAGAAGGAAAAGTAGGTTAAAACTCCAAAAATAGCCAAAATTATAACTAAAAATAAGAGTTCCAAAAGTAGGGAGGATTTGTTTTTTTTCCATTAACTAAATTCGAAATTAATAACACCATTGACATGTCTATAATGATTGCAATTTTTGCATTAGATTTATTCTAAATATGGTCCTTATTGCAGAAATTCATTCGCACACTTTTGATGGGCTTATGAACATTTACAAATAGGGAAGATATTTTATGCTTCCCCACAAAAACAGCAATCTTTTGGTGAAACAGATATCATAGCATCTTCAGTATGATTTCTTATTTGTAATGAATTTGATTAGTCATTATTATTTATTAATATTTTGGTTTCATTGGGAGACACCTTTTATTATAAAGTATTATCAAATTCCGATAGGTCTCCTTAATAGGTCTTCTATTTGATTACTGTAGCTTATTCATCCTAATCTTCAATAATTGAATTTCTTGATTTTTCCACTTTAAGAGATTATGAGATTATTTTATTATTATCTTATGTTCGACCTTTCAAATAATTAATTATCTAAGGAGAATGAGGTGCTTTGATTATTGACATTTTAATTATCGTAAATTAATTTAAGGTTTGCCCTTATAAACTATTTTAATCAGAGTGAACTTTTTAGTTAAAAATTGGCTCTATAAAAGTTTGATAATTATTGTTTAATCAAAATATAGAATGAAAAATAATAATAATTTATAAAGTGAAACAAAGTAGGTTATTTATAAGAATGCAAAGGTGTATTAGGATATTACAAAGACATATAAAATTTAATATTATGATTATCCTATAAAATTATGGATTGCAATTATATTTTACAATATAAATATTATTAACAAAATGACAGAATCATATCTGAGATAACAAAAGTTAGTAACTCATACTTGGTCACCAGATGGCTAATTTGTTGCTCTTTCTATTAAGAATACCAGCAATGCAGATATTTATAAAGTAGGTTAATTAGAGAAGGTTGGAACATGGTAAAAAGTATCTACGTTGAAAGATGCATCTTAATAAATTAATGTGTTATCTTGGTCAGTAGATAACAAAATTTTAATTGGAAGTGATGACAGAAGCGTAAATTTTAAGATGATGATAGGTTTATGTATATAGAAATATCAATAATACCTGGAGCAAAGATTTAGTCATTATCACAAATGAGAAAGCTATTTTGTCAGGAGAATGGGCTCCAAATGGATAAAAATGTGTAGTTGGGACTGCATGCCATAAAGCTTTTGTTTTATTTTTTGAAGAAAAAAATAATTGGTGGCATAATCAATAGATCAATTGTTTTTATTCAAGTGTAACTGCCTGCAGATTCCATCCAAGTGGAAGAGTCTTAGGATTAGGATCAACTGATCAGACATTTAAATTAGTTTCATGTGTTATATAAGAAAATATCAATTCTGAGGACTAGTCATACACTGGTGTATTCAAGGACATTAAAACATTTGGAGAAATTCTAGTAACAATAAATTTAAATGGATGGGTTAATTCTATTGATTTTAATCAATCAGGCAATAAATTTGCAGTCGCAGCACATACAGGATTAATTAAATAATATTCGTTTAATAATGATGGAAGTTTGATTGTTGATGATGAAGACAAAAATGTAAATCATCTATATAAGTATTAGGCATCTTATATAAAGGAGACAAAACCATTTAATAAAATAATATATTTAAATGATTCCACATTAGTGGGAGTTGGATATGATAGAAAGCCAGTTCTATTGAATTGTGAGCCAACTTTGAAGTTTACATCAATTATTGAGAAATGCTTAGCTGCAGAAGGAGAAGTGTAGAAATCTGGAAGTATTGCAGCTGCAAAGTAAATTTTTTCTGGAAAAGGTACAAAATATTATATATTATTCTAGGATAGAAGACAGAAGATGATAAATTTGGACATTAGACAGCCATCACTTGTGTAAACAAAGTTAGTGATAACTTAATATCTACAAGTGATGTTAATGGTATTATTAACTTTTGGAGAATATGATATAATAAAACAATCATGTAACACACAAAATATTAAATTTAATCTATCTTTTCTTTAAAAATTGTATTACCTTTGTGTTAGATAAAAAAAAGAATAAAAGATTCATTAAATATGAATAATTATTATTTGATTGAATTAGTATCACTGTTTTAATAATTAAGCTTATTCTCTTAGGTATTAATCCATATTCATTTCTGCATTCGAAATAGCAAATCCACATTTTGCCTCCTAATATAAATAACGATCATTCTCAACCATTTCCAAAGCCTTCAAAAAGCTATTCTTTCCTTCCGTATATGATCCCAATTAAGCAGACACTGCTCCTAGTTTCATATGTCCTTTTATAATACTTTCCTTATCCTTCAACTCACTTGCCAATTAGAGAAACTTCTCTATGAATAACTAACACATGAATATTCTATTACTTTCATTTTCTCAGCATTATCATATAACCCTTTTTACCCTATTCTTCCAATATTAGCAATTGCAATTGTTTATCCTAATTTGCTTGACATATTTATTGCGTGTTTGAGAGCTTACTAAAAGTAGAACATTGATAACTAAGAATCGGCATCATAACATAAACCCAAATTTATTGATGCCAAGAATTTACCATTACTATCTGAAACTTCTTCATGTTTTTTATGAAAATCAATTGCTTTTTCAATAAACTTTGGATTTGTTTCAGCCATAAATTAATAATCTACCCCTATACAATTGTAAGCTAAACCACTTCCGTGCTAATCATCTAATTTATTGCATATTTTTAGAAATCTCTCATATTATTATATAGCTTAACTCCATTTACCCATATTGTCCAGCAGCACTCCCATACTATAGTATGCTCTTCCTTCATCTTTGATCTTACCAGCTCTTTTACAAGCAAAAGCAAGCATTTCATAATCTTTCAATCTTCTTTGAGATTGTAGATAAATACATAATTCAGGAGTCTAAAGACTTTTAGGATCGTTTTATTTTTCTGACAATTGAACTTTATTTTTCTCTTTAACTAAGATTAAAATATACATTCATGCTCTTAAATCTGGCTGGAGTGTTAAAAAAACAGGGTAATTCTATTCTTTGAGGTTAGTTGCTCGTTATTGTACAACCTTAAGATTAAGAGAAAATTCTTATGTTTCTAACTTAATTTTCTTCTGCCAAAGAGGAAATAGGCCTTATGGAATAATTTCGATGTTATTTATAGTATGTATTTCTGCTAATTTAAAATGATGAATTCATTATTTTTATATATCAATATTAATTTGTTAAATGAAATTAATCATTATTTTTTTGGTAATCCCAAAATTTATAATTCAACTGATTGAAATCAAGTTCCTAAAGATGATTATTAAACATAATATTAACAAATATAATTATTTTTTGGTTAAAAATTAAAATTTATCAAGATACTTTATCATATAAAATTTCTAAAATTGATACAAGTTCTTATTTTTATTCGATTAACAGAGCTTGACCTGATATGGTGTTGAATTTGTTGTTATACTTCCCCCTTATTGTAAAGAATAGATCTTTGTTGAAAAATCTAGACCCTTGGTATAATCTATATTCACCAGAATTTGAGTTTGGTTTAAAGTTCATATCAATTACCTACCTTATCCTAAATTTTTCCTTAATGTCTCCAGAGTTCTCTTAAAAGAAAAGCTCATTTGAAGGCAATACCTTTAAATATCCTGTTTTAGTATCAGAATTTGAAGTAAAAACTAATAGTGGAAATCCTCTTGCTAATTTATCTGCAGGGTTATCTAGAATTATTTATTTCATCTAAACCTAAATCTATTCAGGTTAAACTTATTAATTTGAAATTATAGTTTTGATTTTCTAAGAAAAATAATTAATCTGTTGATTATCTTAGAAAAATTCAAGCGCATTATACACAACACTTTTATTTATTGTAGAATGATTATCTTTATCACAAGCTAAATTTTATATTAGAGTTAAGATTAAACTGATGACTTTCTCATTTTATTTATACTATTCTATCAGTTAAGTGAATATTTATAAGTTATCTAAAGTACAGATCTTTTTCGAATATTATTTTACTGATAAGCTTAATACAGTGATACTCTTTTCAATAATCACAGAGTCATCCTTATTATTTTATATTATTTGTTTAATAACAGTTACTTATTCAGAAGGTAATAGTTATTAGGCAGAATATGTTGAATACAATTACAAGAGGTCTCTCAATAATGCCTTGTTTTATTGCAGTTTCTTTAGTATATCAAATATTGATTCTGATATTGATATTAATGAATTTGATCTAAGAAGACATAAAGATTATAAGCATCTTAGAATCCATTTTAAGGTGTTGGGAGTATTTTATGTCTATAATTGTCTTATCAATAAAGAAATTAAAATTCTAGATTCAACTTTCTACTATTCCATCTTATATAGGACATTTGTTAATAATTAAGCTGTGACTTCAATTAACTTTGGCTCAGACTTTTATTCTAAGTCAATTAAAATGATAAACAATAAATCTGAATCTACTAATTGTTACTAAACTTCCTTGTTTTAATAGCATAAGCATGATAGAGCATAATAAGCATTCTATTTAATTTCGATATTTTAATCATTGATTGATTTATTGATAATTAATTATATGGATTGATCATTTAAGTCTTTTTATGCAAAGTTGTATAAACACAAAGAACCAATAAGTAAATAGCATTCCCTCTGCAATCTTTAAATCCACTTTTTAATATGATTTATAACTTCATACTGATAGAGTAATTATGCACACTTTGAATTGTAACAATACCCTTCTAAACATGTTAAAATTACAGATACTAATTCTTCATCCCAGCAATCTTCTAAATAGTTCACAAGAATAATGATATCTTTTTGATTAATCATTCTATTTCTCATAAATTTAGTTTCTTTTGCTTTAATTAAAATTCTAACTAAATTTATGCTGACCCTTGCTATTTATAAATCTGACCATTTTATTAATGTTTCATAATCATTTAAAATTGAGTGATATTACAAAATTGCCAATAAACTTTCTTCTACATCTATTTAATAAGCTTAATAACTTGATTGTGAATAAATAAATAAGAGTTAATTAGTAATATCTAGTTAATGACAATCCTTGGCATCTTTTTCACTCTAAATTAATTATCTAAATTATTTGAGGACTCCTGGAAGTCGACTTTAATTTTACTCATTTTGCATAATTAATTATAAAGCCTACAGAAGATCAGCTATGGCACTTATTTACCATCTCCCAACATTTGGTTATTAATTTTATAAAATTGGTTACTAATTTAACAAAATTTGATCGTTTTCCACCACTTAGCTACTGTAATAATTAACTTCGGATTCATTCCTTTATTGAGCTCTTTGCTCTAGTTATTCTTAAATTTATTGGTTTTCTTAAAATGATTGGATATCAGCTGTTTGCTAGCTATTTAGTTCTATCATTTCATTTTTAACTTCTTAAAACTCTCCTTGTTTTTCCTATACTACATATTCTACTTCTATCTATTGATTTGGTTCTTAAAATTCTATATTAAATGCTGCTGTTCTTTAACTATCCTATATTTACTCAGTTTGTAAAGTAATTATTGGTTGCTATTCTTCAAACTATTATAAATTATTATTCCTTTGGCTTTCAAATTAATAAAAGGTACTAACTTCTTATTGAGATTAAAATTCAGTGTTTGCATTTTCTGGTTAATTATAAACTGTATTAGCATTTGCTAATTCAAATACATAGTTTTCTTGTCTATTTATACTTTAAGATGCTTCTTCTTATTACATTTAAAATTAATTCTTTAACTAATCATTTTCTTATTCTTAAATAATAGGCTATTATTATGGTTAATTGTAATTTGTTTTCTATTTTTCTTAAATTATTGCCTCAGTTATTACTGCTTTGACATTTTTTTCCTTTTTCTTCTGGATATTTTATTTTTCATCATCACTTGAAGATGACGATGAAGAGTTTGATGATTTAGGTTTATAATTTTAAACTTTCTGTTTACTTTTCTATTGTAGATTTGCTTCAACTTAAAAGTCATTTTTACTTGGAACATTATATTCTGATTACATTGAAACCTCAAATTACTTATTCTGATTTTTTTTATTATCTTTTTCTTCTTTCCTCTAATCTTCTATTTTATTAGCAATAATTGCAGACCCTATTAACATTTCAACTTTGTGTTAATCTTAAGTTTAAGGTTTTTGTTCTTATTATACCTAAAATTCACGTTCTTATGATTATTAACTCGGTTACTATTTAATTGATACTTGTATAAATTCTTATTATTGATTTTAATGTTCAATCTCATTCACACCTTATACTAGAGGTTCTCTATAATTATTATTTATTTGTATCTATTGATTTCCTCTTTAGATATCATTTGTATTGTTTGAATCATCTTATTCATGAATTCTTTTTTGAACTTGAGATGCAACAATAACAGTTTCAATTTTTTTAGATTTTTTAGCTTATTTATCAGAGGATGATGAAGATGATGATGAGCTAGACCTAATATTTTAGGTTTTCAATTATTAATTTTACTATTGGATTTCTACTTTATTAGTGTTCTATTAAGTATGTATAATAAATTCCTATTAAAATTGTTAATTATTTTAATTATCTTAATTATCTCTTTGGATCGATTAATTTACCTTAAATTCTATAGTTGATTGATTTTTTTATGAATCATCAATAGAATTTTATGTAATTTCAAATTTCAGAACGTTTGAGCTAATTTAGTTATCTTAATCGTTCTTAACAACTTCAATTTGCACATTATGCTTTTCTTATTTCTTGATATCATGAGACTATTCTTGAGATGAGGAGGATGAAGAAGAGGATTTTTACTTCTTAGCTTAATGCTAATGTTAATGTTAAGCTTCAGCAACAATTAATGAACTTTCTAATTATACAAGTCTTTCTTATTTCAATTCTTCTTATTTAGTTTTTTCTTCTTCAATTTTCTTTTACTCTTTCAGCATTTTAAGCTTTGTTTTAGAATCCATTTCTTCTTCTTTCTTTTCTTAATGAATGTTCTTTGCAGCATCTAATATTATTAAATCCTTAACAACTTCTTTTTGAACTTCCTTTTTAATTTATTTATCCTATTCTTTCTTTAACTTCTCGGCTTCTTTCTTTTATTTTTCTGCTTCTTTTTTTAATCTTTCATCCTCTTTCTTCTTTTATTCAGCCTCTTTTTTCAATCTCTCTGCTTCTAATTTCTTTTATTTCTCTGCTTCCTTTTTTTACTTCTCAATTTCTTATTTTTGAAGTTTTTCAGCCTCCTTTCTTTATTTTTCTTCCTCCAATTTTTATGCTTTAAGAATTTCTTTCTGTTTTTTCTCAGCCTCTATTTTCTGTTTTTGTTCTGCTTTTTTTTACTTCTCATCTTATTCCTTTTACTTTTATTATTCTGCCTTAATACCCGATTCTATTATCTTTGCTTCAACAAGTGTCTTACCTACTTCCATACCAATATGCTTTTTTTCTTTATGTTTATCATCTTTTTTTTTATCTGAAGAAGATGAGGAGCTACTCGAACTGCTTGAACTTCGCTTTTTATCTTTGTTGATTTAGACTTCTTCTTCTGCTTATTTATTTATTTCATGAGTTACAATTGATGTTGCTACCAAGACCTGTTTTTCTACTTCTTAATTATTTATTTGCTGTTATTCTATGTTGGTTGAAATAGTATACTATGGGTTTTCTTGAATTTGAACCTTAAATTAATCTTAATTTATTTCTAAATTACTCAATTCTTAATTAGCTTATGGTTTTTCATTATATTATTGCTAAATATTTTCTTATTATTAAAATTATTATGGTAGAATTTCTTAATGAATAGCTTAGGTTATATGTTGATTTTATTATTCATCATAATTAGGTTCTTTAATATTAATTTGATAATTTATGACAGGCATTTCTTGATTTGCATCGCTACTTTATTCTTATTTTTAAACAAAACTTATTGTATTTATTTAAGGTTGGTAATATTCATTTTTTCTTTCTGATTTTAATGCTGCCTATTTTATCAACTAAGAGGATAATAATAACTCGTCATCCTTTATTTCTAGTATTTTTTATTCATTTTAAGGAAATAATATATTGCCTGGATCATAATTAATTTATAATTCTTGTTTCTCAAAATTTATTTATTAATCTAATTATACTCCTTAATAGGATATTTGAAATTCGGAATTTGATTGTTACCCATAATTTTATTAAGTCATAATTGATGCCTTTAAGCGTAGATCTTCTTAACGTAATTAAGGAGGCTCTTAATCATTTGAAGGTGGTAATCCATAATAATAAGATAGGGTATTTTTAGATTATTCTGGATTGCTTGATACTTAGGCTTAAGTTGAATATTTATTCTCATTAATTTCAAAACCAATTCTACCAGATTATTGATCTCCTTGATTTTCAACTTTAATATCTAATTTCAATTATGCTTATTCTCTTGCTTATTCAGCCTCTCTTTTTATTTCTAATTCTCTTTATTATTTGTTATACAATTCTTATTCCTCTTTCTTCTTTCTTTCAATTTCTTCTTATTATAATCTTATTTATTCCAATTTTTAAATTCTAATAAGCTCCTCTTATCTTTCTCTTTCTTCTTATTCTTATCTTTCAATTTCTCTCTATCTTTCTTCTTCTTCCCTCTTGAGTCTTTCAAAAAGAGCAATTCTTAACAATTCCTCTTTCTCCTACCTTATTTTCTCTTCTTATTCTAATGCTATCTTTTGAATCTATTATTATCTTAATTATTCCTCCTACTCTAATCTTATTTATTCCTCTTACTCTAATCTTATTTATTCCTCTTACTCTAATCTTATTTTTTCAAGTTACTATAATCTTTATTTTTCTAATTCATCTTATTTATTTTTCTCTTCTAATTCTAATTTGATCCTATCTTCTTCTTATTTTTTTAATCGAGCTTGTTCTAATTGTTATTTCTTTTCTTTAAGTTACTTTAATTTTAATTTAGTATCAACTTATTTATCTTAAATTCTTGACACTTCTTCTTATTATGCCATCATCTATTTTAAATAACTAGGTTATTGAGATTCCTCATTCTCTTCTTTCTCCTGTTCAACTTAAACAATTTCCTATATTTTTGGTATTTCTAAAGTAGCTTAAACATGAGTCTCCTCATTTGCGATTTCAACTTTAAATTGATTTTCATTTGCTTATAATTTAAATTCTAGTTATTTTTCCTCCTTTGAGCTTGATTTCGATGATGATGATGAACTACTTTTATTTTTTCTTTTTTCCTTTATTTTATGATGAACTGCAGCAGCAACAACGATTTTCTGTTTTCTATTTAATTCTTCAGAACTTGATGAACTATCTGAGTTCTATTATTCTACTTTAACTTCCTAATGAACTTATGCATGAAACTAATCTTCTTCAAATTTCTTATCAATCACAAAATTTGTCTTAATTTACTCACCTTAAGATTTGCTTGATGAACTACTAGAATTTCTTTTCTATTCTATTTCCACTTTTATTTCAGCTTTTTCTTCGTTGAAAACTATAGCTGCCTCAATTTAATTTACTTTCTTTTCATCCTCCGAAGATTTAGAACTTGAGCTACTTGATGATGATGATTTTTTTTATTATTTTTATTATTATTATTGTTATTATTATTGTTATTATTATTATTATTAATTTTAACTTTCTACTTCTTTTTATTATATTTCTAACTCTTAATTTTATTTAGTAATTGTTTGAGAGAGAATATCATTGATATATTAACTTGCTAGATCTTAAAATAAATTTTACTCTTCTTTTACTTAATTTTCTACTTATTTTGGCTTGGTCTATTATAATTTTTGAGCATATTATTGTTCATATTATTCCTATCCTACTAATAACACTAAAATTTATTTGATAACTTCCTTATGTTAATGATACTTCAATCCAAAATCTAAAAAAATATTTTCTTTTAAAAAAGTAACTTTATAATAGGTTTTTGCTTTATTCCATTAAAATAAATTTTTGAATAAATTAAGGATTGTCTCAAACAATTAAATAGAGATATTTTCATCTTTTAGGTAAACCAGTAGTTTTTGCAGAATTTAGATTAAAGATTTGAAATCAAGATTCTGTAATAGATCATTTTATTCAGCTATGGTTGATAGTATGGCTAAATATTTTAATGTTAATTATTCGTCCTTTAATTATTTTTAATTCAATATTCTTTGGAGTTATTAAACAAAACTTTGCTAAAATTGCTAAATGAATTATTTCTCTTGCAATTAGGGTTTTAAAATCTCTTATTTTATAAGTATTTCAATATCTTCAAAAGACTACTATAAGAAAAATTACAATAATTTTGATTGTAAAGTGACTTCATAATTATTTTCCTATTAATTTTCTTATAAGATCTTTTCTAATAATTATATCAATTTTGTTTCACCTATAACTTCTAGAAGCTACTATTCATTTAATGTATTCAATCCCAATTAGAAATGCAATTAATCACATAGAATTAAGCATTACACATAAGTGATCTCCTAAACATCAATATTAAAGGATTTATTAAACTACTTAATCAATTCAAAATCTTTTGTTATTGTAACTAATTCACCCAGGCTTTTATATCTGAGTAAATTCCCTGATGAAATATTCTCAATGGAAATATCATAACGAACATTCTGTTCATATTGTTGGATAAGTTGAATTAATAATTCATTTTCCATAATTTTTTATTAGTTTGCTAAAACTGAATAAAGAAGGATATCGAGTTGAATATCCTCATATTTATTTAATTATTTCAAAAAATAATTTGTTAGTTGTCTTTAATTAAGATTCAAATTGAGACAAATCACCAATAACGATTTAATATGGCTTTAATCAATTCTTATCAAAATCCAATTTGTGATTTATTTCATAATTGTTTTATGATATTATTCAAATTATTATTAAAATAATGAGAAGGCAGCCAAAAATTTTAATTATTGTTGGGTGTCATACTATTCCATATCTTCAAAAAAATTAAAAATCAAGGATTTATAATCCAATTAAGACAGTATCATTCTTGTGTAATTTTATATAATTTTAATGGTTGGATATTATAAGTAAAGCTCTATTATATCATTTTGATATTTATAAAGGATTTCTGGGTTATCCTTAGTTATTTAATAAATGTCAGATAAACAAGATATTATTTTTTCTAATTTTCCTTACTTTAAGTTAACATAAATGATTTAATCTAAAACAGTTTCAATATCCTTTCCTTCAGATGATTAAGAGTCTTAACTTTTTATTGATTATCTTATAGAGGATGTCATAAATCCTGATTATTAAATTAAACTTGAATCCTTGAATTTTTTGTAAACTTTATTGTTAAACCGAGATATTTCATCTAGTTATCTAAATGATAATTAAATACATTTACCTCATTATTTTAACATCATCTGAATGATATTATTTCAAAATCTGAATTTATTCAATCTAAATGAATGATCTAAATTATTAATTTATTTCAACTAATAAATGTATGTATACTAAATACACTTTTTATGTAATATGTAATTAGGATTCTAATTTTTAGGTTAATAAACTCACAATTACATTTACTAAAAGCTTTACTTAAGTTTGATTTAACTCATGAATCATTTTTTCAAAGATATAATTCAATGAAAGAAGAGTTTGCTCACTTAAAGTGATGTTCTACATTGCAAATAATAATTATTCAAATAATTAACTACTGTATTAAAGTTGACCACATATTGCTCGAAGAGATATTTACTCAATCGTTTAGGTGATATCTTCAGAATTTGAATCTTCATTAACTTGAAATGCTATTTACTCTTATTCAGTTTAGTAATTAAGAGCATTTAAAATCTAAGAAATTAATATTAAAATAGATTTCTAATCCTATTTTTTAGAAGCAAGATCTTTCATTTATTCTATAATTTCTTAATTATTAATTTAGTAGAGAAACAACTAATTATATTCGAGCATATCTCTTAATAAAACAAGACATCTGATAATTGATTACCCTTGTTCCAAAAATGACAATATTGTTGGTAAAATATTCAACTTAAACAATAACTTAATCAATTCTAATTATTGTCTAATTAAATAAGTTATAATATCCAAAATTCTGTCCCTATTCTCCTAATTTGATTAGCCCAATATTGTGATCATTTGTTATAACCAATCAGTTAATTAAATCTCTGTTGCTTCATCATCCAAACTTAATACTTATTGCAATTAATCATTATAGAGAATGTAAATTCTGAAGATCCTCAAATATTATTATAAGTATTCATTTTTAAGATCAATTATTTTTGTTATTATAGACATGTCAAATTTTGAATGCTCTTCTTAATCATTTAATTATATCTTATCTAAAATCTATTTAATTATTTAATCTAATTGAGGTATCCTAACCTTGGCTAATTCTAACTTAGTTTTTAAATTTTAGTTATTGAATAATTCCTAGGCAAGTGGCTTGATGTCTAGGCAATAATTCAACAATGTTAGAGTACTCTAGAGATTCTTGAAATTTTCATCTGATTGCTCTCCAATATACTCACCAATATCAAATAAAATCTAAATATCTAAAGTTTAATTACTTTATTACTGATAATGTTAACATCAGTTTTCTCAAAAAGGGGTTCGAAGAAGTTATTGTACATTATTATCTCAAATGCGGAATACAAATAAATATAAATTATATAAATATAATTATAAGTTAATTTCAAAGACCTTATTTTTCTAATTATTATAATAGGTTTTAGTAATAAGAAACACTCTAAAAATGAATATGATTAATACTTTTTGAGCATTTTGTTTAAAAAATCTACTCATTTACCTGACTACATTTTGATAATTTTCTAAAAATATCTACTTCAAAAATTGAACATCTGAAGCTAATTTATTGGTAATTAGATTGAAGATCTAAACTTTTATTGTCAACTCTTTCTCCAGCTATTTAAGTATTAAAATAATTCACTTATTTCAATTTATTCAATGATTTTTCTATTTCTTCTTCTTTTGTAGTGATAAACTTCATGATTATATTTAACCCATTAGTTTAAGTTTCAGAAACATAATTAACTTATTTTTATAGTTACTCATTCAGAGATTAAATGTCTAGTTGCAATTCCTTTCTTTTTTGAATTAACTCATTTAAAACCTATTAAATTTAAATATTATTTTACATTAAATTCATTCAATTCAATTTTAATCTAAATATACATGATATAGAATTACTTCTGATTTTCACTCAAATCACAATTATTTTCATCATCTTCAAATATCTTCCTTGGTTAGTAGATATTTTAATTTTCAACATTTATTTGCAAAATTACCTCATATTCTGGTATAAAAAAGTTTTTAAATATGTTCATTTATTCAAAGTAATTTTTGCTACTTATTGTTAAATCTTACCTAATATTTATTTTATTTTTCATGTTGACCCTGTAATTTTGGAGAATTGGAGTGGCATTTTAGATAAAAAGAAAAAACTATTCAATTTTTGTTTCATTTTCTTAATCTATTGCATTTTCTGCAAAATCTGGAAACGTTGATATCAATACATCCGCATAGTTCTTTTGCTATTCATTAGAATTACTATCCTGAATTTATTGTTATCGTAAAAATATTTAAACTTCATTAGAATACCACAAAAATTAAAAGTGAGATAATTATTTCATAAAATGATTGAGCATCACTAACCTTTGATAAATCAATTACAAGCTTAAATTTCCCTATTTTTTATTAAGAAATTAAATTTACTTGAACTACTTTTTGAGGTAATGAAGGTATATAACAGTATTACCATTTTTGTACGAGCAATGATCTTAATTAATAAAACTCACTAAAACGATGTTAAATCTAAAAATTTCCTTGATTGTCTTATCCTTCAATATTGTACATTACAAATTCATCTTGATTTTAATTAATTTTAGGATCCACTACGTTCACTACTATTTTATTTTATTCAATAATATTATACTACATTTATAAATATTAATATACACTTCCCCGTTTTAATTAATTAAATAATGGAATACATTTCTAGATCAAATATTGCTAAAATGGTAGGAAGTACTTTAGTAAATGCTTCTGCAACTGATAAGTGCAAGAAAATCATCTCTTGGAGTTGGGAGATGCTGGGCTCGATCTTAATAATGATGGGATCACCTATCTCAGTGAAGGGCTTAGATTCCGATGATGAATGCAAAGATAAAATAACTGCAAAAATGACTGAAAAAGAGTTTACTCTTGTGTTGGACCTCGATGAAACTTTAATTCACTCTGATATGGAAAGAACTTCATTTCTCGATGAAGAAATCCTTGTAAAAATAGGGAACACGATAGAAAAATATTACGTCAAAATTAGGCCTTTTGCTAGAGATTTTTTGAAAGCTTTATCAAATTACTTTGAATTGGTTATTTTTACTGCCGCCATTAAGGAATATGCGGACAAAGTAATTGATTATTTAGATCCAAGTGGGTTCATCAAGAGAAGATTCTACAGAGATGTAACCAAAATTATTATAAATTGTTTAGAGTTGTACTAAGAAAGATGGAGTGTTTTATAAAGATTTAACTAAGGTTAACACAAATCTAGATAAAACCTTTATTATTGACAATTCTTCATCAGGAATGTCTTTGAATCCATGTATATTATTAATTTTATCATAGAAAATGGAATACTTATAAAATCATGGTACAAAGATTTGAAGGACTAAGAATTGAAAATCTATGAAGCTATGTTGAAAAAGAACGTAAAGCCCAAAGACAATATCGTAAAATGTATTAGCTAAATGAAAAGAAAGTATCCTAAAAATGTATTAAATTGATTTAATTAAATATCACTGTCATAAATTAGAATCATCCTCTTCTCCTCCATTATCGTCTGGTACCCAGTCTTCACTTGAATCATGTTAAAGTTATTCCTACTCCATCTAAACTGTATTTGAAAATTGAGACATCCTAATTTGTATAAACTTTTACAAAAAATTCCATAAACCCATTTTCCCTCCACTTTATTTCTCTTTAAGATAGACTTCCACTACTTTTCTGTCTACAACTTTATTTAAATTTGTTAAATTTTCTTAGCAAACATTTCCAACAGAAGTTCTAGACTAAAGACTCCTTAAAATTTTAAGACTGGTGCTTGTTTCTAAATTGTAACATTTTTTGTGCTAGTAATTTTATTGGGCTGTAAAGATAGTCACTTTATCTGTTGTTCTCTCTCTCATTTATTTATGAAATTGATTATTTAATTATTAATGACAAATTCTTATACAAACAAGTGTTTTTCAAAAGGGATTTAACATCTTTAATACCTTCTAAATGGTCTTCTAAATATTAATTAAGATTTTCATTTAGTATTAGCCAATATTATTATATTTTTAATAAATAAAATGAAATTTGAGGAAATCATTAGAAAATATGTGAGTCCAATTAAGAGATTTGATCATGTTCTTCCAAATAATTACACAGCCTAAGATATCTACCATTATTATGAAGATTTGGTAATTGAAATTGTAAAGTAGGCTAAATTTAATGAAATTGAATCATTCACTAAAATCAGATTTTCAAGAAAGTTTGCAGAAGTAGCATAAACCTAAGATTAAATGGATTGGTTGAATGACAGAGCCAAAGAAATTTCTAATGTTGCCATGAGTCTATTCAAACTAAGATTTCCATAATTGTGAAAAATAGAAGATATTAAAATAAAATCAATAATTGTCATTATTCAGTCATTCCTCCTTAGAAAATTGCCCTTTTGAAATTTCCAAGAGTCGGGGATATTAGATCTCAGACTTTAATATTTCTTAAGCCCATAGCAGCAATTTCATTAATGTTCTTAATTTAGACTAATCATTTCCCATAGAGTCCTGATATAAATGTTGGTTGATTTCGCTAGCCACTTTAATTCTTTGAGAATTTTAGACAAGGTGGTTCATTGGACTCTTTTTAATATCTGAAAATGCTATCAAAGCAATGGCTTATTCTATTTCCTCAATTAAGTGAGGCTATATCAGATAAAATATTTACTTAGTTGGGTAGGAGTGGTATAATTTCAGTCTAAGCATATTTAACAGCTTGATCAATTTAATCTTTCTTAATGAGCTCAATTAATTTTTATGTTTTCAATTTAAAAAGTATTAAATTATTATTTTTCTTGTTGACCTTTTCTAATGCCGAGTCAATGTCACCATCTAAAATATTTTTCTTAATTTCAATTCTCTCAATCATTTAATCAAGTTCTTGATTAGACACTATTTAGAAGTTAAGATTATTGAATTACATGGTATGCCAGCTTCTTTAGAAAATTCTATTGCAGCATCTCTGTACCCTTCCACAATAAAGAAATTCAGAACAATCTGATTCATAAATGATTTCGATATATTAATGCTCTTCTATTTATAATGCCAGTCTTCCGCTGAAATTTTTTCTAAAGTCGAATTCATTTTTATTATAATAAAAATAATGTAATTTATCAAAATTATTCATATTCTAAATCGTCGTATTGTTAATTTGGTAAGGGAGGTTTTGATTCAAGAACACCTAAGTTGCATAAACAGAGTGTGGCTATAGATTTTTCATTTAAATGGTTCGCACACTTAAATAATAAAAGCTAAAATTACTAAGATGGCATTTTTTAAAATTTATGTTTGCACTTCCGTTGAGGTTTAAAGATATCCTGATATTTTAATTAGATTTAATAAGCACTCTAATTGTAATTTATGATTTTTCAATCTCCTGGCCAATTCATAACAATTCTATCAAATTGTATATAATTATTACTTAAAAATTTTCAAATGCTTAATCATATTGTTTAACTTCCAAAAACACTATACCCAACTAGCCATAGGAAATACATGAGGATTCTGCTTCATCCCTTTTCTGAGCCCATTCTAAAGCATTAGAAAAATAATCAATGGATTCCTCATAATTCTTAAGTCTTCTATGAGCTAAACCCAAATTGTAAAACCCTGTAAACATGTTCTCCTGATCAGAATATTGTAGATTTTGTTTATGAAATTCAATTGATTTAGTGAAATTACCAGCATTGTAATAATTAAAGGCAACTCTGTTAGTTCCCAATGCCATTCCTATTTTATCTTCCATCAATTTGGCACAAGCCACAAATTTCTTATAGAATCTCACAGCTTCATTATGATTTTTGCTACTCTCATAAACCATTCCTAAATAAAATGATAAATGAGCTTCCTTTTATATATCACCTGCTTACATACCAGCCTTGGCTCTTACAAGTAAATCCTTGATACTAGTTCTGTTGTTTTCTTTCACATTATGAGTGTAGGGTATTGATGGAGCATAACCATTTCCAGGTGTCAATGGAGATGCAATGCTAGCATTTGGTAGATCTGGTGGTTGGACAGAAATCTATTGATCAAAGAACTAAAAGTTAGTTTCCGGTTGAACAGGTAAATCCATTTACGCTACTTTGTCAATTTCTTTTTTTAAATCAATATTGTCAATGGGGGCTGTAGACTTCATTAGTTATTCATTTAATAATGAGCCCAATAAATTCTTGACTGGTTTATCCTCATCCTCCTTAATATTAAGTATTTTGTCATATTGTTTTGCTTGCCCTTTATGGAAGAGTGCTTCAAAATCTTTCTCTTTTTCCTTTAGCTCTTGCAATGCATCCGCTTTGGGTTGCACAAAGATGTCTTTATACATTTGCATATCGTTCTCTTATCTTCTGAGCGGTTTCTTTTTATATTCTTTTGGCTAATTAATAACTCTCTATGAGTAATACTTATAACACTCTCTATTAACTAGGCTACACACTTTTCAATTAATTTGGTTAAGAAAAGAAAGCATCTTCAATTTTAGTTTGAAACTCACTAAGAATTTCTTATGCTTTGTATCTATATCAATAATGAAACTAATTCATGTACGTTATTGGTTATAATCTCTCGGCTACGACAAATCTTGATGGTTGGTAGTTTTTAGTTGAGAATTTCTCATTGGAAAATTGCTTCTTCATTTTATTTTTGGTTAATTTCTTTGTTGGAGGTGATTTTGATTTATCGCTCATTTAATATTATATAATATAAAATATTAAGAATTAAAATACTTTATAAATAAATAAAGCAAAAGGAGAGTTAGTCAATAAAGGTATTTTAGCTTAAATAATTTTATATTGATTAATTTTAATCCTGTGTGACCAAATACTTCTGAATTGAAAATTAAAATCAATATTAAATTAGATTAATTGATAAATGATTTGGCAATTCTTTAAAAATAGGTTTAGCAACCTAAAAATGAGAGATTAGATTTTTTTGGTTAAGATTTTAGCTTTTTCAATCAGTTTCTTATTGATTGGCTCATTTTATATTGTTTAGAAAAATGTAATAATAGGAATATACGAAAACTCCTCTACAACCGTTCTGCAAAGTCAAGACAGAGCAGCGCTTAAGCTCTTTCTTCCGTAACTCAATCAATATCTAATATCTAAACAGCATCAACGTAATCTTTAATTAATACTTTAGGAATTTAACTTCTAACAAGCTTAGGAACACTTTATTAATAATTAGGCAATTACCATATCTCAGAATAATACAAAGATCCAATTTGGTGTTAACCTCTAGAGGAGAAGAGTTTTTTATTTCAGATTCCAGAGCCTTGTTTATCTTGCTATCGTTGTAATGATGTCAATAAATTACAATCAAATCAAAAATATTAAGATCTATCGAAATTCTCAAGATTATTATCTGAGTATATCCTCATATTTGATACTTTATAACACAATAGAATCTTTTATGCTGCTACTGAAGACATTTCAATTGGATTTATTTATCCTTAAGTCATATACGATTAGTCATTCGTACCTTAATAGAAGAATTGGTATTTAAATCATGTAGAGAAGTATTAATAGGATAAAAATTAGAAATATCACTTCTCATAGCTCTACTTTTCGAGCACCGAATTTATCTACAAATAAACCATAACTTATTCTTTAGAAAATTAATACACTTAAAGCTTAGATGCAGTTGCTGGTACTGATATAGATGCAGAGGATCCTGACATGAAATTGGTTTAAGCAAACACGTATTTGATTAATGAACAAGGTCAGATCATCTATAGAAATGTAAATTTGAATCTCTCTGTCACTGAACTTAATTTTATTTATGAAGAAAATAAAACAGGATTCAATCAAACTGATTGGGGTGAGATCTTAAATTTTGCTAAGAATTCTCCAAGCATTTCGAATTGCTAAGAGAATGAAAAATAAATATTATGTAGATATAATTCCATTTATAAGAAACCCATTAAAATTGTAGCCAATCAGATTCCTGGCAATTTCACATTGATGATGTAAATTTCAGTTATTACTTTAGGTTTACTAATGTTAGTTTTGAACACTTATTGCAATAAAATTTCTTATCTTTAGAGCTCAATGTTTAAAAAGTGAATGAATAAACTTTCTATACTTAAATCATTACATCTTGCTCTTTGATTTCGATTTCCATGGTTATTGTTATTTTAATGTTTCGCCCAATCCTAAGAGTTATGGTAGCCGCTAAAACTTATATTAAAAAAATGGGTAATAATTTGGATAAGGAAATATTTAAACTCAAGAATCCGAAAAAAAATGATAAAGGTATTTTCAATAATTTAGAGGTTTAAATTGTCAATTTCAGTGACATCTTGTCAAGAAGTTAATAATAAAAAGGAAACATCTGTAAATAAATTGAAGACTATCAATATCAAAAAAAAATAACCTAACTAACTCAAATTGAATTATTGTCTGAGTTTGATAAAACCAAATTAAATACCCATTTATCTACTTCAACTAACTATTTGCAATTAATGATTTCTCAATTATTAAAATAATTTAATTAATATAACCATTGTGTCTAAAAAAATTGAAATGACTAAATGAATTCAGTATTCATATTAAATAATTTAATTTATTATCTTGGATGTAAAGTATTTTATTTTAAAAGCCTTGATTAGAATTTGCTAAATTAATTAATGAGCTTAATTGGAAAGATATCAATTGTACATATATCATGTTTTCTTTCAAGTTTAATTGTTAAATTTATTGTCTAAAATCTATCAGATAAATTCTCCTTAAGTAAACAACTTAATTTAAATATAGACTTACCTAGTTCTATTCAAAATCACTTTACAATTTCTGAGAATTTGGAAAAAAACATACAAAAAGTTATTACACACAAAGGATTTAAAATTAATTTCTTAATTAGTTCTATAATTCAAAATAATATGAGTTAATATTTTATATTTAATTATATTATTATTATATATATATTATAATGAAAAAAGACAGATAAAATTATTATTTTATAGTTGTGAATAAGACAGGAGGTTTATAATTCTTTTCACAACTCAAAGAATAGTATCGAGAAGATTAAGACAAAATAACTACAAATTAAGTTTTATAGGCATCATCTATATTTTATGCTATTGATCACCTTACGCAAACAATAATTCCTGATGCAATTTACAAGGTTGAGCAGGATAAGGATAAGGATTTTGAAAGAGACAATGCCATAGATTTGTTGATAACAGAAAATTATATGGTTTCGACATTGAAAACTCTGACAGGATTACGCTTTTTGGTTATTTCAAGTAAGTGATAATTGTAAGTCTTAGATAAAAATTTGGAAGTCCCAAAAAAACATGAAGACAACATACAAAAGATGAGACAGATTTATAGATTGTATACAGATTATTTTTCAAAAGACCCTTTTTAATCAGATGATTAACCTTTGGGGGAAAAGAAAAGAGCTCAATTTGATAGGGATGTGAGAGAATTATTGGATTTTTGAATAAATGAAATGATATGTAAATTTAATTGATTTGAGTATTTCGTAGTGAGTATAAATAATGTGTTTCTGTGTAGGGGTTAATTCAAGAATAATAGGTTGGTTATTTAATAAAATGATATAAATTAATCAATCCTAGAGTTTATAAAAATATTAAGATATATCGTGAATAGCGAAATCTTCGTCAAGATCCTTGTTTTTGGATGTTCGCTATTTATTTTTTTTTGTAAATTAATATGGTGGTTTTTCTTTGAATACTTTAATCATTTAGAGTTGCTCCTCTGGTGTGAATGATTAGTTAAATAGTTTTTGCTCTTGGTTGAGGTTGAATTTACGAAGGGTTCCACAAACTAAATGTTCAAATTTTTAATTCCAATCCTTAAAGTAGGGATCCTTTTGTTTGCAATCGGGAGGAGCGAATAAGTTGGAAACGTAATACTTACTTTTTGGGCTTGAAGATATGACTGGCAAGGCGACAATGCGGTCTTGGAATGACTGAACATTTCTGGTTGGAGTCAAATATCGAGGTTTAACTCTTTTCTTAGAAGGTTAAATTTATATTGCAATGTTATTAATATCATGCTATTGAGCTAGAGAGGCATTTCTGGGTTTGTAGCGTTTAGCAAAGGAGACGTAAGCACTATTAATGGTGTCATTATGTATTCTTTATAGATGATCATTCATATTATATTTATAATTTCAAAAACCCCTTATAAAACTTTTAGATGCAATTGGTATAGCAATTGGTTTCCTATTTGGCTAGATCGGGCTATTCAAAATTCAAGCACTTGTTTGCGCAGATATTGCAAAATACCTTCAACCTTTCGATTTGTTGGGTGTCATATTTAATTTTAGGATCGGAAAGCATTTGTTCATTAAATTTTTCTAGTATTTCCATAAAATAAATATAATTATGTTTGATGTAAATTATAATTAAAAAATATCCGTTAATATATAATGTAGAGACACCGATCAATTTCTAAGAGCAAAAGCTTTGACAGGTACCAATTCTTCTAGATTTTAGGCTAGTTCCAGAAAAAGTGAACTTGGATGATTTTCAATTCCATATGGTAGAAGATTAGTAGAGCGATTTAAAGAAAGATTTAGATTTGAATGAAAGACTGCGGATGGAAGGCAGTCAGGCAAAATATAATTATTTTTTGAAATAGAATTTATTTGAGAGTAAATCACAATCAAGTTTATTTGTTTATTAAAGATAACCTTCTAAATATAAACCCTATATAATTAATAATGACTGTCCTTCACCTGTTAGAAAAATAAACAAAACGCCATATAAGGTATTAGATGCTCCTAAGTTAAAAGATGATTTTTATTGTTAATTAGTAGACTGGAGTGTAGGTAATTAGATAGGAGTGGCATTAGAAAATTCAGTTTACTCATGGAATGCTCAGACTGGAGAGACAACGCAATTGTTAGAGATAGAAGCTCCTTCATATATCAGTGCATTGAAATGGTGCAGTAGAAATGAGTTGATGGCAGTGGGTGATGACAATGGAGCTGTTCGAATTTACGATGTCAACAAAGGAACCATTTTGAAAACCTATGAAAACCATCACAAGAGAGTGGGTTGTTTAGATTGGAATGGCTTATGCATTACAAGTGGTAGTGGAGATAAGACCATTTTAATTTAAGATATTCGAACTGAAAATGATTGCGAAATTGCTTTGTATTCTCATAAACAAGAAGTTTGTGGACTCCAATGGAATTAAAATGGATCATACCTAGCTTCAGGAGGCAATGATAACAATGTCATTATACATAACATCAGGATGCCAAACCAACCTCTTTATGTGTTCAGAGATCACAGTGCTGCCATCAAAGCCTTGGCATGGTCACCTAAATAAAATAATATTTTATGTAGTGGTGGAGGCACAACCGACAAATCCTTAAAATTTTGGAATGTTTCCAATGGATTACTACAAAATAGTGTAGACACTGGCAGTCAAATCTGTAATGTGAAATGGTCTTACAATACTAATGAAATAGTAACTTCTCATGGGTAATATTAATATGCCTAAATCACTTAGTTATTCCCTCAACCAGATCGTGGTTTGGAGAATGCCAAAAGCAGAGAGAATTGCTGTTCTCCATGGCCATTCATTAAGAGTGCTCTATCTATCGCTGAGTCCAGATGGAGAAAACATAGTGACAGGCAGTGGGGATGAAACTCTGAGATTTTGGAAATTGTTCCCTTAAAGACGTGAGAGTTCAATTTCTTCTCGAACTTCACTTTTTAATCAAATTAACTTAGACATTAGATGATGACAAATGAAAAAAAATGTAATTTGAATATAGATTACATACTGCACAATTCTTATATATAATATACATTTTTCCATAACATTTACAATTAAAAACTAAAATTAATTTGTTTGTTTATAATTAATTAAGAATTTATGAATTTGATAATTTTATCATATTTAGGCTATGCAATCTTGGCCCTCATAGCTTATCTTGTAATAGCACCAATACCAAAGCTCTTGTACTACAAGATTAAGTATGGATCAGCAGTGGACATCTATTACTTTCCAATAATTGGACTTATAGGACAAATCATTATAGATTTGATATTTAGAAAAGATGCGTTCTATTCCCAAAAAAGATATGTGGTAAAGAATAACAAACTAAAATTACACATATCTAATGATTTAAAAGGTGGTGTTCACTTCTCTTTGGTTGATCCAAAACTGAAGAAGCTCGTATTTTTTGATTAAGAATCCTATAAGAAAATGGAAGGCATGCCTTTTGCTGATACATTCATGGATTAAGGATTGTTATTCCAAAACGGCAAGAGTTGGCATAAATCAAGACAAATGTTAACTAAACATTTCACATATCAGGATCTATTAGTGATGGTAGAGACATTAAAATAGGAATGCAAAAAACTCCAATTGCAAGATGGCCCCATTGATATTCTGACTTTATTGAAGTAATTGACTAGCACAACCATCACCAAAGCATTTTTTGGAAGTGAAAACAATGATGTCTCAGATTTGGGTGTTGAGGTCAATAAAAATATGGAAAAGATGATGCTCTTCTTTTTAAATCCTTTAATTGTTTTGAGATGTTTCGCATTGAAACTCAATAAGACCACAACTCCCTCATTTTTATTGTCCTCAGGTGAAAAGGCATTTCTTAGAGAACTGTAAGCTTAAAAATAACGAATAACATCTGAAATAGATAATGGGATCAAAAAAATCAAAGAGAATCAGACACTACAAGATAACATATTAACCACCATGTGTAAAGAAATCATTAACAACAATATTACCAAGGAAGAAGCCATTCATTAATATTTCACCCTCTTAATTGCAGGCATAGATTCAACAAGTCATGTAGTGAAGAACTTTTGTTATGCCTTAGGTCTCTATCCAGAAGTTCAAGAGAGACTCAGAAAGGAAATACAAGGTTATGTCTAATAATTCGATGATCTAAGACCACAACAACTAAGTCAATTTAAACTATTAGATAACTTTATTAATGAAGCATATAGACACTATACTGCAGTTCCTTCATTGTTCAATAGAATTGCTCTTAAAGATATCTAATTAGGAGAATTCACAATCTAAAAAGGATAGAGCATGGATTTAAATATGATGATGAGTCATTTTGACCCAGCTATTTTTGAAAATCCACTCAAGTTTGACATTGATAGATGGAACTCCCCTTTATTAGATCCATATTCTTTCAGTCCTTTTTCAGCTGGTCCTAGAAATTGTATTGGATAACACTTGGCAACTTTGGAAATGAAGACTTTGCTTGTTTATTTGATTCTGAATTACAAACTAGAATTAAATAGCGGTAAGATCGTATTAGGATTGGCAAATATGTATGGTCCAACACGCAGAGATTTCTTAGTATTGAAAAATATTAATAAATAATTATGAGTTCAAATCCTTATTTCTTGATTCTTCATCATCAATATGAACAGGCTCTCCCATTATTGGTTAGTGATGATTATGAGACTCTAGTAACCAAATCACTAGTTCAATAACATCTTGGTTAATATGACGATGCATTGTCCACATTGGATAAAGCAATCTAACTAAGCTCTGACAGATCTGAAGCATATTATAGAAAGGGTAGTCAGTGAAATAAATAAAGGATTGATAAACTTCGTTAGTGGAAAGATCTAATAAGCAAAGTTAGATTTAAAAAAAAGCCTTGAACTCAATCCAAATCATAAGGAAACCCAATAATAACTTTTGAAATGTGAACTAGAACTAAAGAATGCCAACTAACCAACTTAAGAATTGTAAAGCAAATATGCATTACTAGAATAACCCAGCAATTGAAAGAAATCCCAAAGAATTCTGAGGCTAATAAAACAGATATCTATTCTGCATCTGGAAAATTGATGTATAGATGGTATCAAACAGATCTTAAGGTTGGCATCGAAATACATCATGCATTACCCAATAATGCAGACTTAAAATATTAGTTTGAAAAATAAAAGTATTCAATATTTAACTTTTAGACTACATGTATAATTTCCTATTGGATAGGGAAACAACTTTGAACTTGATCTAGAGTTATTTGATGAAATAATTCCAGAAACAAGTAAGGCTAAGGTAGGGTTGCAAACAATTGAAATCATTATGGACAAGAAGGATAAAACATTGAATTGGGGCGCTTTGCAGAAAAAGGTTGAGCAATAATAATAATAAATTCATATTGCAGAATAAGCAGCATATCCCAGTTCATCAAAAAAAAAGAAGGATTGGAGTAAAATAGACAAAGAAATTGAGGAGGATATCAATAAGCACAAGGAAGAATACGGTGAAGATCCTTTGAATAGTTTGTTTAAGTAAATTTATCAAAATGGGGATGATAACACAAAAAAAGCTATGATAAAATCAATGTAAGGGTCAAGAGGAACAATTTTGTAATAAATTGAATGCAATTATTGTTTAGATCAACTAATTGGGATGAAGTTAAAACAAAAGATTATGAGAGCAAGGATAGACCATCGCCTCCAAAAGGATAAGAATATAAAACTTTAGGATGAGTTATTATTAATAAACAAATAAATTTAATAAAATGAAAAAGAAATAAGTGGAACATCGAATGATATTGACAACCATTCCGCCTGCACTTGATATTGGATTTACTGCTGTAACATCTGTGTCTAATTTGGTATTCCTGCTTGAAAATCCTAATGACTATCCCGTGTAGTTTCATTTTGAATTTTAGAAATTTAAGATCACTCCAGATAGGTAATACATAGTGTTTATATCATAGGGGATAGTTAGCTCCTGGATCAAAAATCAATTTTACTTTGACTTATGCTCCTCTGTTGGCAGAAGTCATTGTTGCATCAATCATCATGCACATTCAATATGAAGAACCCAGAGTCATCAAAGTATCAGGAATTGGCAAATATCCTTTCTTATAATTGAATACAAAAAAACTCAATTTCGAAACTTTATTGATAGGTAAAACAGTAACAAAGGAAATCACAATTAAGAATTCATCAGAAGTTACAGCCCAATTCTAAATCACAAAAATGATAGATGATGAGTTCAAAGACAATGCATTTTCATTAGATTACTCTGCAGGTGTCATTCCTCAAAAAAGCACTTTTTTAATCAAGGTTACATATTAACCTTAAATCCTTAATGTTTCAGTTATTAGATTTAAAGTCATATGTTAAGGAGGAAATGAATTAACATTCGAATGTGTTGGATCTGCAGTCGAACATGCGGTGTATTTAAGTGAAAAGTCCATTAACTTTGGGGAGATAAAGATTGGCAATCAAGCGACAAAGTTATTGACTATCCACAATGATTCTGATCTCGCTACATCTTATTAATTTTATACTGACATGAATAACATTTTCAGCTTTAATAAAATTAGAGGCCTTATCTAAGGTAAAAGCTTTGATCGAATCATTGTCACTTTCACACCTAGACATACGATTAATTACTACGAAAGAGTTTATTGTGTTGCAAGCAATCAAATTAAATTTGTGGATTTAATTGGCACATGTTATGACCTTTTGATCAAACCTATACCATTGCTTCAATAGCATATTGACAATTTCAGAAGAAGAGTCATCCAAGGAAAATTAAGTGAAGTGGATTTCAAATATATGGAGAATTCTTATTTGATGAAAATTAATTAATAAAATCAAAGCAACCTTCAAGGAGAATGGCAAGAAAATCCTAATCAAACTGTTTAGTATAAAGAATTAATGCTTCCTCCATCTTCAGATTATAGATTGATTAAATTTTCTGAAGACTTTATAGATTTTGGCTATGTAGAATGTTATTAATCAAGTGGAGCAAGGGAGTTGGAATTGCATAATAGGCTTAATTGTAAATTGACCGTTTTTTGGACAATCCAAACTCATCCCACTGTTAATGGAGAGAAAGTGCCTGTTTTCACGGTTACTCCAGAGACACAATCAGCACAAGCAAATTCTAAATGCAAATTTTCGATTAGTTTTAGACCTACGAAATCCTCTTACTACTATTTTTAATATATTCAATTCTTTGCAATTAAATATAATCCGAAGCTTACGAAGAAGATACTAGATTCAGTTAAAAATAACAAAGGCTCTATTTTGAATGAATCATTTGGAAATGGTGCAAATTTAAAATTATCTTAAACTGGAATCACTAATCAAAAGAATACTATAGATTTCATATCTAAAGAAATGATTCCTACCTTCAGTGGATAAATTGGCTGTGTAGGACATTCATTTGGGATTAATTCTTAGCCTTATATTCCAATTGTAGAACTTAGACCATCTAACAAATTGTATTTCCCTCCTTGCACAATAGAGGAATCTGTCTATTAAACAGTAGAATTCATTAACAAGTCAGACACTCCAATCTATTTTAATTTTAGCCCAGATCCAACAAGAACCTTTAGAGTATTTCCAAATCAAGGTTTAATTTTTGGTAAGTCATCATAAATGATTATTGTCGAATTTGTGCCAGTTGAAAATAAGGCCTATAATCAAACTCTGGTTTGTCATATGAATCATCAATCTTCGAATTAAATAACTCTGCAAGCTATAGGATACTGTTCTACTCCTTCGCTGAAATTGTAAAATGATGGCAAAGTCTTCTTCCCACCTTCCTTCGTTGGAGTTTACTCTAGGTAAAAGATCACGGTTCACAACGAATCAAGAGTGCCAATGAGTTACTCAATTGATGTCCCTGAGAAATACTAAAATGAATTATACATTGAGCCTCCATCAGGCTAGATTAAACCCAATGAAGTACTACATCTAGACTGTCAATTTATCCCTTACAAAAAGAAGAAAGAATATAGAATCAAAGTTCCTATGACTGCTACTGAAATTCTTGCAGACAACTAAAATCTGATTGGGTATCATATTCCAGGATCAGGAAATCAAGACTTTCCACTTGAACAAAGAAAACCAATCGAATTGTCTTATCAATTTGAGATATTTGGCTAAGGTACAGATGGAGAGTTGGAACTTAATGTTAAACAAATCGACTTCAATATTATCAAAGTTAATTTCAATACTAAAAAATATGCTACTTTAATTAACAATTCAAATTGCACATTTTATATTGAATTAGTTCTTAGGCCAAGAAGTAAGGATAAGGATAAAATTGATCATTCAATGATTAGTCTTATTAACAGATCCTTCACTCTGGATTTATAGAATGGAATTATTGCTGCCAATTCCAAATTAGACATTGGAATTATGTTTAATCCAATAGAAGTCTGTGAATTTGATCTAGTCTTAGATGTTATTGCAACTGAAAAGAATCCAAAAGCACCTAAAGGTCCTAATCACTTAAATAAAAAAATTGTATCATAGAAGTGCAAATTAGAAATCAAGGCCAAAGGAAGTTATCCTTTGCTGAAGATTGCTGATGTGAGAAATGATTCAATTAGTGTTGCCACTCTATGGGAAAACTTTTAAATCAATCAAATTAATACAGAATTAGCCAAGGATTTAAATGAAGATGAATAGAAGTTTTTGAAAATCGAATAATTGACATTTGACCAAGCTTAATAGTTATAAAAGAGATTGAGAAGTTATGATTGGAATTTTGGATACTTACCTTCCAAACCTTAAGTAAAATCAAGGAAAATAGTCATAACAATTTAGAACATTGGAGGTACAGATTTAGAGTGGCAATTTAAATTACCATCTGATCATCAAATAGAATTAGAACCTTGGGCTGATCCTGGAGAACCTACTGAAGAGGATACGTTTGAAAAAGCCATTTTAGAAAAGAACATATTTTAAATCAGACCCAAAGGTGGTGTTATAGCTCCAAAAAGTTTCAAGGACATAGAGCTAATCTACACTCCTTGTAATTTAGATGAACAACTAAAATCAAAGGGAATCTCTAATGAGAGTCATTTCCTAAGAGTAGTATTGCAAATTTTGAATGGAAAACCATTAGTTTTAAATTTGAAAGGAACAACACTTGCTCCATTGGAAGGTAGATTGGCTGTTAAGAAAAACTCATTTGAGTTGCCAGAAACTCCAGTTGGATTATTGTAACCTGTTAAATATCCAATAGAAATCTAAAATGTCGGAAGTTCGAAAGTGTCTTATAAAACACTTGTGTAAGAAATGGACATTGATGGAGAGATCATTGATTCTTAATTTAATGTATTTGATATTCAGAATCCTTAAGGATCCCTCTTACCAAATGAGAAACAATATTTGTATTGCCTATTTAAACCATTAGAATAGAAGACCTACTACTTTGAATTACTGGTTGAGGTTTCAGATATGGTCAAAGTTATTCAACCAGTGAAATTGGCCATCCAAGGAAGAGGATATGCAAATCAACCTAAAAACTAAGTTTAAAAATAAGCAATAGAAATTCCCAGATAAAGATCGCATCAATCTCCTATAGGTTCAAAAGTGTTCTTTTCTTTGGAAGAAATAGATTTTGGAGAATTACTACCTTTAAAATCTGCACATAGAATGATCATTTTGTACAATCAATCAGCAGATAGAAAATTTACATTTGATTTTGGTGTCTCATAATTCACACTCTCAAATAATAGACCAGGACTCTGTTGTGGAGATGAATTTTTGATTGAACCTATATAGGGAGAACTCGAACCTTAGTCATTTATTGAATTGAAATTAACATTGACTGCAGCCTCAACTCCTTCAGTATACGAGGGAGAATGTGAATGCACAATAAGTTGGGAAAATAAAAATTAGCAAGTGAATACTTCATAGATAAGTTAAAATTCGTAAGCAATAACAGTAGATAAAGAAACCTTGTTTTTAAGAATTAAAAAGAAATCAAGTTTGAATGTGGAATTAGTGAACTCGTTTAAATAGCCTCCTCCTCCCATTCATAACGCTATGGCCCATCCTTTCTAATAACTATTAGGTTAGATCATTACAGAGGTTTTGACTGACTCTCATACTGACTAGATTCTAAGAGCACTAGATCAATAACCAATAACGCTCTATTAACCTGAATAACAACCTAAGGAAGGATAGGACATCTAAGTGGAAGATTTGTAAATATTAATATTTATAATTTAGAACAATACCAAGAGACTACAAAGATTATAAGACAATGTTTCTAGAGGATGAATTCATCGAATTGACTGATTTAATAATGGAAAATACATTCTTTAATATAATCTAAGAGACCACAAGAAGAGAGTGTGACTTATTACGTATTTCAAAGACTTTTGTCACACCTGCAAATAAGTGATTATGATAATATAATGAAATATTATTTTAATTTATTTGATAACTATCAATTAAAGTTTATTTTATAGAAAGAAAATAAGTACTTCAGTTTTGAGTTGTTTCATACTCTTATTGGGTTTATAATTTATCGTTCCACCTTACTCTAATTCCATACTGCCAGATTCCCTCTCTTTACTATCCATCTTCTCTAATGTAGACGCCCTTTCCATGCTATTGTCCATTTAACCATTCCCCAATGTATTTTCTGCCATTCCATTTATAAGTTCCAAAGCCATGTCTTTTATCTTCTTTAAATTCTCCTGTGTATTCTCGATCATCTTCCCATTTCATGACTCCCTTGCCCCACAGTTGTCCATGTTTAAAATCGCCTTCATAAGTTTTTCCATCTGCCCATTTATATGTACCTTATCTCAGTTGGATATTAATGAATACCTTATCCGCTAATTACTCCATTTTCAAATGTTCCAACATATTAACATCCATCTTTGGTAACTAGTTTTCCCTTGCCATGTCGAGCACCCTTATAAAACTCTCCTTCATAGTAAGAGCCATCTAGATAATTATGCCTTATACATTTACTCGAACATTATTCCTTCCCTTATCCATGTTGTTTGTCATTCAGCCATTCGCCTTCATAATATGATCCGTCAGTGCTTATAAATTTGCCTATGCCATTTGCCTTATCATCCATCCATTGTCCTTCATAAATATTCCCACTGATATTCACTAGTTTTCCATAACCTTAAGCTTTATCATTTATAAAATCTCCTATGTAATAAGATCCTTAAATCACTGACTTAATTACCATCTGGCCATGTTTGTTTTCCTCTCCCATGTCTGGCTCCATTCAATAAGTCACCTTCATATATCGCACCAGTTTCCAATCTCAAAATCTGTTTATCCTCCACTTGTTATGACATTTACGCTGATAGATGATAATATTCATCACTGAGGACACCCTCAATAACTTCAACCTCTGAAACGTTAAGTATGATAGGTTTATCCACAATGATTTTTGAACATAGACCAGAACAGCTTCCCATTTTAATTGAATTAAATAATATATAACTTACAACTATCATTAAATAAGTTTGTAAGTGCACATAAATAAATGGAAGTGAAAGATTGGAATAATCTTAAGGCAGGGAGAAGTGCTTTATTTAGGCAATATCTATTTAAAGCATGATATTAGGATATAATTATTAATAAAATAAAGATTTAAATATGCTGAGGTTGGTGAGCAAGAAGTCATTCTCCTCTACATTTAATGTGTTGGATACATTCAAGACTCTAAAAAGCGTGGTAATATACTAAAACATTTAGAAAGATCACTGCCCCTATCAGACACATAAAGTCATACGTACGATAAGATGGAGTGCACAGTTCAATGACACCAAACTTGACTTATTAGGCTTTCGACGAAGTGCTTCATGAATATTATGCTGCCTATTCTGGAAATCCCTTCCATCTACAAGTTTACAATAACTTAGATAATATCTAAACAGTCAACTTTGGTACAGTAGACAATCCCTGTGTGATTTTTACTGCTGATACTCCCTTCAGATATGTTGGATGCACTGGTTTACAGAATGAAGATGATTATGAATAACACGAAATCCACCTCTTCATGTTAAGAGAAGGTCCATTGTAGAGATGTCCAATGTGCGGCCAAGTCTTCAAATTGGTTAGACTCAGACAATAAGAGGATGAGGAAATGTCCTACTATAGAGATTCATTCCATCCCATTGATATTTTTGAATTGGATGTAAAATAAATCAATTATCTTAGAATGAAAATGTTTAATCAATTAACATGTTCAAAATGTGGACTCACAGAGAAGCTTCCCTATTTGAGAGTGCATTATATGAATAAAACATTATGGTAACGATGGATAACGATGTGCACGACAGATTACTTGTTGATCCAGCCTATAGAATGTGGAGATTCCAACATGGTGAAGATAAATTAAAATACATTGATTAATAATTGAAATAAGCAGGTTACAACGAAGAAAGAATCTACAGAAATCCAAAATACAAGTTACCCATGTAAAAGGCAACATATGCAGCTGTCATTGAAGCAGAGAAGGTCTTGGCTATCTAAGAGAGATTAGAAAGAAAAGTGAACAGATTCCATGTTAGAGAATATCTTGATTTTGCTAATCATGCCAGAAGAGAAAGAAGAATGAGATTGAGATAAAAGGAAAGATGGGAGAACAACTACACTTACTTCTATGGAGGTCTTACTGAAGAAGAATAATTATACAATGATTACTTTGAAACAGATTAAGAATTGTACAAGGACGACGAATAAGTCGAATAGAGAATCGATGAGGCCGTTGCTTAGGTTGATCCTAAATATAGTCCTCTCAGATTTGACTTCCAAGAAGCCTATACTCACAATCCTGAAGAAGATTAAACATCACTTCTTGAAAAGAAATTGTGGAGATTCAAGTATAGATTAGCATTTGATTGCACCAAAGATTATCAAGTCAGAGAAAGAAGATTAATTGAAAGACATTTAGCAAGAATGACTAAGGATCCAGAATATGTTGCTGTTTTCAAGAATCTACAAACTGCTGTTAATTCAGAAAATGAATTTGCTCTCTTATAGGCTGAAAAGGACTATTATAATCTTGCAGCTAAGGAAGGATGTAATATTAATATATCATTTATTTAGTCCTTTAATACAAGGATTACTTTGAAGGAGATACATCAGCTGAAATCGAATTAGTTGAGGAATTGTACAAGGCCTCTCCTTTGGCATTCAGCAAAGTCTTTGTTAATCATTCTGCAAGATTAGTCTAATAAGAAGGATTCTAGAAATTCCCTAAAAGAGCTTGGAATGATAGTCTTGGATTAATTTAAAATTATGTTTTGGATTTCTAGGACTTTTCATCCAATATTGTACCAAAAGCCTAAAAATTAGCTAATTATGCTGGTTTATAAAATGTATTTAAAATGGCAAATAATATAGGTACTTCCTGCTGATGAATAAGAGTTGGTAAAACTTGGTTTGGATAAGACTGAATAAATTGCAAGATAAAAAATTGCATAAGCTTAAGAAAAACCATAATTAAATGAACCACCTAAACAAGCATAACAATAGGCTCCTCCAAAGGTTGAATAAGAACCATAATAATAGAAGCCATAATAATAATAATAATAATAATAATAATAATAATAACAATAATAATAATAATAAAAGAAAGGACCTTTTAACAAAAAGAAATGATAATCTAAAATATTAAATAAAAACAAAATAATTATATATTATAATAATCTATTAGATTTTATTGATTCAATCTTATTAGTCTTGATTTTATTCTAATTGCATTTCTTCTCTTTTATCATTATATGATGAGAACAATTCCTGATAGTCAACTTTTTATCTACTCTCTTTTCCAATTGCATAATGATCTATTTAAGCACAACCTGGTTAAATCTATTTTAAGTTTTCTAAGATCTAAATTCTATCATATGACAATCATTGTTACATGTTTTTCTCTAAATATTCCTTTGAATTCTATTCCTCCATATTAGAGATGGGTAAATGCAATTTATATTCTGGGCCAAAATAAACCTTATAATCAGATTCGTCAGGAATGTTATCAGGAATTGGCACATTTAAGGCAAGCGAAGTTTCATAAGTCCAACAACGAGGAACATTTCTTAATGTATATCCTCCACCACCTACCATTATGATAGGGACATTGAACTTCTTGAGGTATTCAGTGCAAGAACCATGACCTGAGTAATATTGTTAAATAAAAACCTTTTATGCTCAAATTAAAGCATCCCAACCTATCTCCACTAAGACTATCAGTTCCTCCTTGCAACATTACAACATCTGGTCTAAAATTTTCCATAATACTGTCAATAACAGGTTTGAATATTAATTAAATGGAATCATCATTTAAGCCTTCATTCAATGGAAAATTAACTGCATAATATTTTCCTTTATCATGTCCAATATCATCAATGTGTCCAGTTCCAGGAAAGTATTCCTTAAATTTATGAAAAGAGCAAGTCATAACTCTATCAGTCAGATAAAATGCTTCTTCTACTCCATCTCCATGATGAATATCGATATCAATATAAAGAACTCTTTAATATGTTTTCAGTAACTCTAATATTCCTAAAACACAGTCATTAACATAACAAAATCCACTTGCTTCACTTTATTTAGCGTGATGCAATCCACCACTCCAATTTATAGCTATGTTGCTCTTCTAATCTGCTATTACACAGGCAGCTCCAACAGATCCAGAAGTTTAACACAAACAAAAATCAAATAACCTATCCAAAACAGGGCAATCTTCCATGAAATTAACTAAATATCTTAACTTAACTTCTTACATCTATAAAGTTGATCTTCATGTTGACACTTATTTTCTGGTGTAATTATTTTTATTAAATCAATATACTCTTCAGAATGAAATTAAGTCAATACGTCCTCATCTACCCTTTTGATATAGGTTTGAACAAAAGATTGATCCTAAACCTAAAAATGAATACATCTTACAATACAATTCATATATTATTTTAGCCCATAATGGCCCACTAAGTCATCTGTGATGGCTACTCTCAAAGGTTTCATTGGATGAGTTGTTGAATAATTAAATGTACCAAATTCCTCATCGTAATAGTAAGTCACTTTCTACTTAAAGAGATTCATTATTTCCCCAAAATTGTATTTTTTTAAATTTTATTATTGTTTATATATTTATAAAAAATAAAATAAAATATTTTAATTTTGGTTATATTTCTTTGTTAACTATATTGAGTACTTGATTTATATTGAAGTGATGTAAATTCAATTAGCCCTAATTTGAAATACATGTAGCACTTTTAGATTTGTAATAAAATAAATAAGAATTCTATCAAAAATTAATCATTAATCAAGCTTATCCAAAATCATATTCGCTAATTCATAATTTTCATCTGAGATTTTCATTTTTTAAACAAACAAAATCCTTGATTCACAATCTTCTTCATTAAATATTTTCACATTGACCTAATCTATACTAATCATTCTGTATAAGATGGAAAGAATATCATATAAAAATTAATTACCTCTTTCTTCACTATAATCATTTAATTCTTAGGTTATTTGCTTCATCAATTTATAATCATTATTCAATTTTTTAACATCCTCACATTTAGAAAATTTGATAACGTTATGGAGAAACAAAAAGAAGTCATCTACCTCTAAAAATATAGAAGGGACATTTTAAAAGAATACAAGGGTTTCTTCCCAAAATTCATTAATAATTTATGGATCATCTGTAATAAAGTTACTTAAAGTGGCAAATCCCTTTTTTACCAAAAGTTTTAAATCTCCTCTTTAAATATTTTACTATTCCAAATACTTATTGATAGTCTTTATTATAGTATGTGCCATTTAAGATTGAAAATTTAAAGTAATTTCATTATCTATTGTTTGAATACAAATATTTACCTAATAAGGACACATATTAAAAGTATTTAAACATTTCTCCAAACAATTAAATGTTGTCGTAATCACCTTTCAATAGATAATTTAAAAAACTCAAATCTAATTTTGATTTATCGTAGGAATAGATTCTGTTTAATAACTTGAGAATCCATAATTTCTCTTTGGCATTATAGAGTTAAATGAAGAGATCCTATAATATATCATGCAACTCTATTAATTTAAATTTGTTAATTTCTGGTTTCATTCTATCCAAATTTATAATCAAAGAATAAAAGTCATCAAATAGGCATTTCTATTTACACTAGAGTGTATAATTCCTTCTATTGATTATATAATGTACCATAAACATTTTGGCACTTAGAGTACTAAAATCAAATCTCTACATTGGTAACAATCACAAGCCAGATTTGCAAAGATATCCAATATGTACTATTATAATTCTGTATAGTAAGTTGAATTGTAATAGCCAGCAAGAATTTGTATATGTTCATGAATGGGTTGAACTTGTTAATGATTCCCTGCAGAAATAGCCAACAATATGTGTAAGCACGATTTCTAAAATTAATAGTGATATCTACATCAATTTAAGGATAACCAATGTTAAAAACTTTGAATATTCGTTCTACATCTTTGGCAGTGTCATAATCAGGTTCGCAATCATATTCGTTATAATGATTGCTTAATTGCTAAACTTTGAAAATGCAGTCAGCTATTGTTTCATCCATCTCAATATTCTCATTTATGAAGTTTATTTTCTCAAATTATCAACTTAGTTACCTGCTAATTGCCTCTTTCGAATGCCTCGTAATACTGTTATTGTATGACGATGTTGTTTTAAGCGAATGGAATGATGTCTTTAGATTGGGGGAACCGATTTTTTCTGAAAGTGTCTTCCCTAGCCTTTTTTTTGAGTCCAATAATAAATTGCTCTCTTTTTTGCGCTATATTTTATAGCATTTTAATAATTTTAAATAATAAGAGAAATAAGGGAATTCTAAAATAATATGCAAATCAATTCATTATTCACCAAGGAGATATATCATCTAAACTCTACTTAAATGTCAATGATGAGTATAAACTTTACTATAAATTTCGATTCACAATATGATTAAGACTAAATGTTTTTGCTTAACTTTGATTATTTACTATTTTTTTCAAGCCTGGGGAAGTTCTGAATCTTTTATCAGCTGAGTATTTATTTTAATTAATCTCCTTATAAGTTTAAGATTACGCAGAACTGTTGATGAGACATCTAATTCGCAGATTATTTATTGACACAAATCTAATATCACTTTGATCTTTTCTTTGATTAGTTTCATTATTTTCAAGATTTCTAGGAATTGACCAAGGCTTAAAAGAAGAGGTTAACTATTGCTATTATAAAAGAATTTTATCCAAAAGATCAGCTTTGGACCTTTTAATTCGAAATTATTTTTTCTCCTCTAATCTCATAAAATACTTTTTCGAAAATTATGGAGTTGAAGGTTCTCTTTATTTAAAATAGATTGGGTTGTTGTAGTTATAGTAATCATGGAGAGTTTGAAGAGTATGATTTTGCATAATTATTTTTTATATATTTATAAATAATATGAATCAACAAAATGATTACTATAATTTATTCGCATTCAAATTACTTTAATATATCAAATCTTTTTTGGAAAAATGATGATTGAATCATAAAATATAAGATATTATCAATTTGGAGACTATTTTCAAATAAAAATATTCAAAGATACAGATATATATTGGTAATCTAATCAAAACCTTAGATCTAATTTTAAGCAATTTATGTACTGAATTTCTTTGGGAGAATAATGAAATTAACTATTAAAATTTATGAAATCCCAATGTAATAAATTTATATTTAAAATTAATGCTCAAACATCTGTACGATACAGATTGTGTCACTTGGTCACCATAAGGCAAATTATTCTAAGTAGAATATGCTATGGAAGCTGTCAAATAAGGAAGTATATGTTTGGGACTCAAATCAAATGAAAATGTTGTATTATGTAGTCTCAAAAGACAACCTTCAGAATTAGCAGGCTATTAAGAGAAGTAATTTAAAATAGATGATCATATGGCTATTGCTATTGCTGGATTAACTGCTGATGCACGTATTTACTGATATTTATCAATACAGGTGTTTTATGCAAATACATGAGAACAGAGTGTTTAGAATACAAATATACATATGAGTCTCATCATCCAGTAGGAAGATTAGTTTTCAAAGTAGCCGAAAGTATGATTTTTATAAGATCTTAAAGAGTCTCAACATAAAACCTAAAGCGGGGCAAAGAGACCTTATGGTGTTGGATTACTTGTTGCTGGCATTGATCCTAATGGTGTTCATTTATTTGAAACATGTCCATCTGGCAATTATTACGAATATAAATGTTAAGCAATTGGTTCAAGATCTTAAGCAGCAAGAACTTACTTCGAGAGTTGGTTCCATTTATTCGAAAAAAGCACTTTAGAATAACTAATCTTGCATGGATTAAGTGCAATTAAGAAGGCAATCATGGAAGATGAGGAGTAATTGAAATTCGTAAACATTATTTTAGATTGAATGAGAAAAATGTAGAAGTCGGAATTTTAGGTAAAAATTTGAAATTTACACATTTAAATGCATAAGAATTAAAAGATTATATAACTAAGCTAGACACATTTAGTCCAAATTCTTAAATTCAATAGGAGTGATAATTTAATTATAAATATATTATTAGATCCAATACATTCATATTTTACAGTATTTCCGAATGTAATTTCTCATAATTAATTAATTGAATTTTGAAAAAGTTTATTATAGATAAATAATTATTTGGGTGAAGCTGATGACTTTCATTGCTTCAGTTATTTTATCCCTGATAAGTACTTAAACATAATCAATAAAAATATCATTTCCAAAATGGCTGTTTATTGATATTTAAATTTGGAAATACATAACCATATTACACTTTCTGTAGTACTGAATGGAATATTTCAAAGATATCAGTTTTAATTAAATATATATATTTGATAATTTTATTGTGATTCAAGGATTAAAAACATCAATTTCATGATAATCATCTTCTTCTGATTTTCCTCTCTTATTGAATAAATGAATTTACAATTAGTCATCTTACCATTTCAATTGTAAACCCTTATCTTCCCATTTTATATTATATTCATCAATTTTCCATTAAACAAATTTCTCTGCATTATTGAAACAATAGAATGGTAATAATAAAGAAAATCCACAACTAAAAGGGATTAGTAAATAGGATAACATAATCAACTTTTTTGGTGGCCAATTGTTTGCAATTTATTTGTTTATTTCATCTAAAAATGATTTTATTTCATGCTCATTAATATATTCAAGCAATAATGGGTTGTATCTTAAGTAGTAATATGGATATAATTTAGACAAAATATATTTATTTCCTTTTGTTTTAATTGTAATCACTGCATTAGAATCTTATATCTGATTCTTTTTAATTTTTATTTTAATAGTTTCTGATATACTTGGTGCTTCTAAAGATTTATTTTAACTTAATTCTTACATTAATATAAATAATTGTATTCCTATTAATCTAGAAAAAATATTAGTTTAAAGAAAAGCTATTTAAATAGTAAATTAAATTGAGAAGGGCTTTATGTTCTTTTGATTAATGATATTAATTTTTTATTCAGAACAATTTAAAGTCTCAAAAGATACAAATATTACTCCTTATTCTTTCTAATATTGTATTATTAATTTGGTTATTGAAGTGAAATAATTTTAATTGAACTATTGGGTTAATTTTAAACATCTGTTGGAAATGAATTCTAATATTCCGATTATAATATTTAAAAACTTAGTGTTGTAATGATTCAGTTAAATTCTGAATGATAGTCTATATAATGATTAGAAAGGATTAAGAGAAAAGTACAAAATTAAATAAAATGCTTATTTAGATTAGAAAACTTTACACCATTAATATAAATTATATTTTATATTCGTTTTCTGATTAACTTCATTTGTTTAGTTATCTCTTAATTGTATATATTACAATTAATATATTTATATTATTATGCTGAGTCTCAATAAATTAATTTACTTGAATCCGTAACCTTCATATCATTCCAAGACTTTTGATGGCCATTAAAAACTTAAACTCATATTCATTAGAACAAAGCTCAATAAACATTAAATTCCTTGTTTATTCATTAAAGCCAACTCAGATGAATATCTCTTATATTTTCATAGCAATGCAGAGGATATGTATATCGTATTTAAAATTAAAAAGAGGAACTTGTTATGAGTTTACATCTGCTTTGAGCAATGGGTTGAACGTGAATGTCATTTGCATGGAATACCCAGGCTACGGGATTTACACATAGGCGGAACCTACTTAACAATAAATTGAGAAGGATGCAGAGGATGTGTTTATTTATATTAATCTGGAATTAAGAGTTCCTGATTCTAAACTGACTATTTTTGGACGGTCTATTGGAACTGGTCCAGCTTGTTTTTTAGCATCAATTTATTAACCAAAAGCATTAATTTTATTAAGTCCATTCACTTCGATAAAAGCTGTAGCTAAAAAGCATTTTTACTTTGCTGCAAATCTATTGAAAGTATGTAGAAATTAATCATCTGCTTTAGGATTAATTTGACAATGTAAAAAGGGCCAATAAGATTGTGTGCCCTTGCATAATCATTCATGGTAAATTAGATAAATTCATACCAATATCAATGGCAGAAGACCTCTACAAAAATTTGGCTTCGAAAAGAAAAACTTTTTTCTATCCTGAAGGTAAAGATCACAATAATTTCAATTTTTCATACGATATAAAAGAAATTGTTTTGAAGTTCATAAAGGAAATTGATTAGTTAAATCATATGTTTTTGCCTAATTGAAATATCTAGGATCTCCTTAATTCGATCCAATATGCATTTAAGAAATTATATTTTAAGCATTATTTGATTGTTCACAATTATAAAACTATTAATTTTTGTTATAAATTAAATTGAATTGATATGTTTTCACTTTCTATTCAAAATTCTGACTCAACCAATGTAATTCCAACAACACAGTTTGACTTATTGATATGAATATTTATAACCAGATATTGGTTAGATATCATTTATTTTATTTATAATAATAAAGTATTTCTCTTTGAATTTGATAACTTAAAGAAGTGTAAATTATATTACATAGAATTAACTCAATAAAAAACTCAAACATACAATATCATAATATATTTATACTTTATAGTCTTACTAAAAAGGCATTTGAATTTTCAAACACTATTAAAAGAGTGGAAAATAAAATACAATTCCAAAAATAAATTAAAATATATTCTTGACATGATTAATAGATTTGGACTGATAATTTATAATTATATATTAATTTATTTGCATAAATAAATATTTATACAATGCAGCTGAATACATTTTCATAAAAAACGATTAAACACGTCGAAAATATTAATAATCATCATTATTTTGCCTGCATCCCTTAGAAAGGAAATCCTAATTGTTCTGATTAAGAAAAAATAAATATATCAAATGAGTCTTCTTTATCCTAAAAAACTATTTCAAATAATAGCTACAGTCATTAATCAAATGGAACTTATTACAAAAAGCATTCAATCATTTTTAGAGAACTGAGAAGTATTTCAAATCAGAGTCACAATAATTAGATGGAGGAAATATCAAAAGCGTTTGTATTTCGAATTAAATCAAAGAATCACATTAAGAATGAACCTCTTGGAAATGATTAAGTCGAATAGAATTAAAAGGAGCACAAAACCAAAGACCTAGTTAAAGTATTACGTGATATGTAAAAAAAGCGACAAGAATATACATAGAAAAAGTAATTTGTACCAAAGTCTCCAATTCCAATACTAAAAAACTAGAATGCTAAAATCTAAGAGGATTTTTAGATTGCAAAGAGTCAAAATTAAGTGAAGAAATTGCCTAAAATATATACAAAATAAGCTCCAGTTATAATAGAAGTATTAGAATAGTATGAACCTCTCAACAAATCAAGTAGATTATAAGGGAATGGGATCGGAGAAGATCCCTTCTAAGTTAAGCTTACGCGGTATTATTAATTTCTATTTAAATTTTAATGTAACCATTTATTCTATGTGAAATAATCATAAGTAAGATCTCAAAGTTATTACATTGAAGGAATTAATGAAAATGAAATGATTATCAAAGAATTAATGAGAAAAAGATGGTGGTGGTGTGAATCCATTGAAAAAACAGATGATGTATAGTTTTATTGGTCTCAAAGATCTAATTCTTAATTCTTATAAAGATAAAAGATAAGAGTGTTATTTGATGAAAGTTAGAATAAGGTTGTTGACCCATTTAATTTAGACAATTATGAAGAACAAATAAAATTTGCAATAGAACATAAACTAGTACTAATATCACCTAGTGGAAGACTACATAATCACATAGAGATTAATTAATTGATAGGATTTAAGAAGAACTTTATAAGATTCTTAGAATAATATGCTTCCTTGTTAAATATAGACTTATTTTAATTTTTTCCTTATTCCATAAATATATCTAGTTAACAAGATCCAAAGTTAAATTTATTCTTAACATAACAAAAAAATTAAAATTCTTTGTGGATTGTGAAGCCTGGAGAATGGGCGAATAATGGATAATTCATGAAAATTTGCCAGAATGCTAAGTAGGTGTAAGATTTTATAATATCTGAATTTAAAAATCATGATCACAGTTTTGAAACTTTAGTAATTTAAAAATATATAAAACCTTTATTATATTATAAAAGGAAATTTGATTTATACACATATTTGCTGATTAGCCAGATAAATGGAGTTGTGAGAGTTTACTTTTATGATGAAGTATATGGTAGAACCAGTAGCAAAGAATATAATGAGCAGGACTTGGATCCTTTGATACATTTTACGAATAGTCAAATATAAAGGGAATCAAAAGGATTTTCACTTTAAGAACCAGGAAATAAGTTATCGATTGACAAATTATAAGAGTTTTTCGTTTAATTTAAATTAAATTTCAAAGAAACCGTGATTCCTTAATTAAAGACGATTGCAATTCATGCAATAAAAGCAGTGTTTACTCATTTAGTAGTGAAAGATCATAATTTTGAAGTATAAATATAATATATATAGATTATAGGTTTGAATTATATTGTTGATTAAGAATTCAAGCCCTGGTTAGTAGAAGTAAATTTAAATCCTAGCTTTGTTCCTGATAGTCCATATCATCAAAAAGTAATCACTTAAATGCTAGATAATGCTTTGTATCTTACTATAGATTTAATATATCCACCACCATCATTATGGCCATCAAACAAAAAATAATTAATCGAAAGATTTAGTTTATAAAACAAGTTCCAAGCTTTAATAGATTCAAGATTTGACGCAGAAATGATAATAGAGTTATTTGAGAAAAAGTGAAATCAATTTTTGTAATTAATATTATTCATTCTAAATATTTTGTATCAATCAATATCATGTAGATTCCAGGATGTTTATTAGCAAAACTAATTAAATCCTTTTTGGAAATCTTGAATATTGTAGCTTTTCTGGTTGCTCTAATCGATGTAGAAATTGTAGTATTTTCAATTATGGCTCTTAATTCTCCAACATAAGCTCCTGAGTCTAATTCTTCTAGATCTTATTCTGGACAATCATAAAATGCAAAGGTTCCTCTCTTAATTATGAAAGCAAACTCTGCTTTCTCTCCAACTTTCCAAAGTACAGTCCCTTTTTCAATTTCTTATTCTCTCATTATCATTTCTAATTGTGTTTTTTATGAAGGAGTCAATTCAGATAGAATAGAATTCTTAAATAAGCAATGAACAGCTTTAGACCTTCTGGCAGCAGTCAATTATTTCATTTTTTAGATAATTGGACCTTGTCCCCCAAGACCATCCCCAAATATAAACCAGAAATCATGTTTCTCTAAAATCAGAACTTTCAGATTTGTAACAGCTTCAACACTAAAAAAATTAATAATAATAATAATAAATACGATGCTCCTCTTTTTCCTTCATTCGATAAAACAGCAGATTCACCGAAATAGTCACCAACCTAATAGTATCTTTCGAATTCCTATCCTTTCTACTTTGAGTAGACTCTTGCTAGTCCTGATTCAATAATATAGAATCTATCTCCAGCAGAACCCTCCTTGATAACATTTTATCCTGGAAAGAACTCCTCAGAAGTAACTGAATCTAAAAGCCATCTTACATTTTTCAAAGTCAGATGCTCAAAAATATCTATTGTTGAAAGCAGATCAAGTCTTCTTATTGTTGTCAAATGCTTATTTGTATTACTTGGTATCAATATCATAGTATTTTCTATACCAGTTTTGGCTATCTTTAAACCTAACTCCTTTTTCAAGTCCTTTTAGGCAGTGTGAACGAGATAAAGTCGATTTTTAATGTTGTTCGGTAATTTGCCAAGCACAGACTATGCAGTGTGGATAGGAGGAACTCCTGCCTCATGAAGAATTAGATCTTCTTTGAATTCTACAAAGGCTAAGTGTTCATATCTCTTTTGTGAGAGTATTCCTTGATTTTTATAGACCAACAATTAATCTGGATCAAAAAATGTATCAGATGAAAAATAAATTGATTTATTCTCTAATTTAACACTAAAGCCTAGACTTGGAATAGTGTGCATAGCATAGAAGAAATTAAAGTAGGCTCCATAGATATTCAAAGGAATTCCAATGATAGCTGGTCTAGGGATAATTAATTGAGCAATACCTAAAAATAAATAATCTCCTTAAAGAATCAACATCAATATTCGACATAGCAGAATACTTTCTCAAAAAAGAATTCATAATTGTTCTAGTTGTTATAATCTCTACTCGAGTATCATCCAATATCTTATGGAATGTACCAGCATCATGATCAGCATGACAGTGACTAATAATAACTGCACAAATTAGTATTGATGGAATTCCCATCTATTTCATATGATAGGAAGCAAAAGGAGGTGGATCAACCATAATTCCTCTTCCATTAACCCAGAAAATATAACCAGAAGTTGACCCTTTAGGATCGAATCCATGTGACTAAAGTAATATGATTTATGTTAATTACACATCCTAGAATGGTAACACCAAAATCTGGTGGCGTAAATGATTTGTTTTCATCAATATCTAATTAGAAAATAGCAGATCCAGTCTCAACATGTCCTCCCATCTGATCCCATAAGACTACTGACAACTTCTTCTCGCCACCTCTTTAATATTTATTACCAATAACCCAATTCTCCACCTTTTCTTCAACTGTCATTTCTGGTAATTGTCTAACCAACAATGGAGTTGGACATTATTCTTTTGCAGCATCTCTCTTAGATTTAATATTCTTCAGGCTCTCAGCTCTATAATCATCTGGTTTCGTAACAATATATTCATAATATTATGAAGGGAATGTAAACGTATCTTGAATGGCTTTGAGATATATCCCATTTTCTAAGATCTTAAATGAATTGCTATCCTTAATTATTTTAATTGTGATTTCCCCTTCAGTTAATGTGGCTGTATTATTTTCATCAAATAAGCAGAATTTTAATAAATGGTCTATCGTCAATTTTTCATCCAAATTTGATGGATTCCTTGAAAATACACTTCTTTCTTTATGAAAATCTGGGTATGCACTTTTGGGATATTTGTGGTAGAAATCAAGTGCCAAATCAGGATGATCGACTGGGCCTAATAGAGTCTCTTGAAACACAGTTCGTATTGCCTTCTCAGTGTCAGCAGTACAGATTAATGTTATTTGCTTCTTTTTACAAAAGAAATTAAAATAAGCTGGAAACTCAAATTCTGCAGTGCTTATACCCAGTCTTTTATCAAATCTAGCATTTCTAAATTTTATACCTCTTTGTTGGTATTAGATAAAATGTTGGAACTTCCATTCCCAAATTTAAACAGTCCTTTATTGTTTCTGGAGGCATTCCATACTAAATTGGACCGATTTTGGTCTGGAGAATGCAACCTTCAATGATTGAATATTTTACCTCCTCTCTCCAAATCAACTAAATCAGCACATGATACATTAGATTTATTATCTGATTATTACTTTTACAGCTAGATGGAGCAGGATTAGCATTTCAACAAGGATGGACATTAATCCGATTATTCTAACATGAAGTCCAAATCTTGTAGGAAAGATTTGTCATCAGAAAATACATAAGAACATGCCATGCTATAAAATTATTGAAAATAAAATTATTGATTCATTTCGAATGAAAAGATGAATTCCATCAAAAGTTTTCATTTCCATTAATTCATTGCCATTCTGACCTCTGGCTTTGATAAATTGAACTTAACACCTTTCTTACTACCTATACTGCTGCTTCTAGAGTTATTATCAGAAAACGATGAATCAAGTGTCTACTTCTTCAATATTCCCTTTACACAATTTTATTTCGAACCCAACTTTGAACTATACGATGACGAATTCGATTCAAGTAAATTATTTCGACTAAGACCCTATTCCGAAACTTTAATGTTCTTTCTTTTAGCTTATCTAATTTGAGAATCTATTTGTAAATCACTAGGTATTCTTTCATAGGTTGCACCTCTTTTTTCAGTTTAATCATTATTCTTCTCAACTGATTGAAGTTACGTTGGCCTATGAATATCAGATTTATGATGATTTTATCTTCTTTTGTATTACTTAAATTTCTAATCCACAGAATCCTTTGTTTTTATAGATAATTAATTGATTAGTTTAAATGAATCAAATTATCGAGAAGGTGATGTTTCAACACCATTCAAATCTTCTTCAAGCTATCCTATTGAGAAACTAGCTTCATGTTTTTATTACATTTTTATAAATTTTATATCATAAAGTAGTTTATCTATTCTCTATATTTTATTTTTAATTAGTTATACTATCTCTATTATGTCATCCTTTTTAAATTTTATAATCATTTCAACAGACTCAGTTTATTACATTAATCATATTTCTTATCCTTTAATATATAATCTTTTCAAACCACTGATACTCTAATTTATTACTAATATACGTATGATGTTGTAGAATTATTCATTCACCCCTCATTCCCCTTAATTTCTACTACAACATCACTCTCAAGATATTTTGTTTACTTATAACAAGAATTAGAGCTTGATAATGCATTTTACATTCAATGTTCTAATTTACAGAAATATTTTCAAATCTGAATTATCTTTTTTTTAAGATATTCGATGAATCTAAACTTCAAATCTAAATTAGCAATTACTTTCTTAATCTCTCATATTTAAAATAATATTGAGTTTGTAAGCATAATATAAATGGTGTCATCTGGCTATATAGAGATTTTCAAAAATAATTAGGATAATTTCCATACGTCATTGAATTTTACATAAAGACAAGTAATATAATACTTAAAGAAATTCACACCCCTCTATTAACTAAATCTAAAATTATCTATGGATAAACTATAATGGCAATATTCATTTAGAAATTGCCAGTGATTAAATAAATTTAATTCCTAACTTTCATTAAAAATTTCGAAATAAAGAAGTATAAAAGTAATGAATTAAAGCATTAAAGTTCCAGAGGATAATATTTTCATTCTTATATACTCCTCCTCATTCTTGTATTAATGTTTTGAAGGACTAACTTATTTTGATGAAGTCTTTAATATTATTTTATAAGTCTATTAATTAAATGAATAGAAAATATATGTCGTAACCTCACCTCTTCCAATTATTTGAGATGCTCTCCCCCTATTTAGTAAACAGAGAAGAAGCTCTTAGGAAGTAAATTAATATATTAAGAGCAAATTCATCATATAATAATTTATAAAGTCTGACTTTTTATTTTGATGGTGGAAGAAAAATTTAACATGGTATATGTAAAGATGATTGATAACCCAGAGTAAAGCAACTCTTTGTAATCATTTAATCAAAGGTTTCCATTTTTCTTATAGTATTGAACTTTTATTAAACCGCCAAAAATTCGGAAAATTAAAAAAAAAAGTTCGTTATTTTGACATTTTGCTTTGGTTTGTTAGAATTATTTTATAGATGAGAAGTTCTAGCCACAATTAACAATGACCATAAACATAGTTATTCAATAATAACTTAGAATTTTATATGCAGATGTCGCTTAATGATCCTTTTTAAAAAACTCAAATTGAAAGAATTTGACTCGGGATTTATAAGCAAATATATTTTTTGATTATTTTATATATTCGTTTTTTTAGAATGGTTCAGGCTTGTCTCTATTAGCTAATAAAAGCATCTGAAAATAGTTGTGTATATGCGAAGGAAAATTGTAATGACCAAACATTCTTCAAATTTACACATTATTATTTCTGTCAACTCGATGAAAATTGGGTTATATTGATCTTATTAGCTGTAAAATAACTATGTTGATATCTTATAGCCACTCCTTTTTTTTATATTGTTTAACTTTTTAGCCAGAACTGTTGATGACTACTTGTCTCCCGCTGTTACCTTTATTGCAGAATACTTCAAAATGTCTTAAACTTTTGCAGGGTATTTAAAATATTCATTGAAGGGTTACTCTAATTGCCTTTGCAAATGGTGTCCCGGACTTTTTCTGTGCAGTTTTGGCTTCCTAGGACGATGATGGAATCCTCATAGCCGTTGGAAGTATTTTTGGAAGTTGCTTATGTATGACTACCATAGTTTTTGGAGCAGTGATCCTATTCTCAGGAGTTATCAAAGTATTGTATATCATTAACATTTTAAGGCTTAAAAAGTACCTTTTATAAGAGATATGTTATTTAATGGAGTTGCCATCTTCTTATTGATGGTTTTTGCATATATTGGACAAATCAACCATTACATGGCTATAGGGTTTTGTTCACTATATGGAGTATATATAGTGATTGTCTTGGCAAATGAGAAGACAATAAAAAAAAGTAAGTTTTTTTAAAAAATTTTAGATGAGCAATTAGAGCGAATAAACTCAGAGGAAGAAAGAATGGAGCAAGAATAGAAACAATTGGTATCAAATATGGAGGAAGGAGAAATAGGAAATCAAGATATTTAAAATGTTGATGAAGAACTTAAAAAAGAATTTACAAAATCCAATGTTGAATCCCAAAAGAAGCCATTTGAGGAGATGTCTGTAATCTAGAAGATCAAATATATTTATACAACTTCTCTTGATATTGTTAGGAAATTCACTATTCCTGCAAGCAACCAAGAAAAGTATGATAAAACATATGCAGCCATACATTAACTTGTTTGTCCAATCATTATGATCACTTTATTAGGATGTATGATCTATTTTAAGTATTTTAATAGCATTCTCCATGGAAGTTTTTGGTATTAAATTATGGATAATTTTGGAAATTTTTGGAATACTATTGTTTATCTATTAATTAATATTTGAAATTCCTATCATTATAATATTAATTGAATGTGTTATATGTTCAATTATTTGGAGTAAATCAGTGATTTAAGTCTTGATTGATTTTATCTTGGTATTATTTATTTAATTTTATTTAGTTAATATAAACAATTACGGGAGTGGGTTATTCTTATTTAGGAATGACATTTTTGGCATTTGGAAATTCTACTTGTGATTTCTTTGTCAATACTAAATTGGCTTCGATTGGTTATGGATTGATGGCAATGACAGGATGTTTTTCAGGAACCATTTTTAATATGTTATGTGGATTTGGAGGAGCGTTAGTTAGATTGACTACTATTAAGTCATATCCAGGAATCATTTCTTTTGATTTATTTAGAGATCCAAACAGTGATTCATAAACGGACATTGTAAAATTATATATAATTTCTAGATTATAGCTAGAATGAATAATTCAATTGCTTATTGTGTCCTTGTTTTTTCTTTAATGAATATAATAATGACATGCATCGTAGTAATAAATAAAAAGTATTATTTATTCTCTATATTTAGGTACAAACTGACAAAAAATTTAGCATATTACTATTTCTTTGTGTACTTCCTGTTTTTTATTTTCATAACAACTTTAACAGTTGCATTAAGTTCAATTGTCAGCTATATATAGGATAAATGATGTAAATATAAATGTTATTCAACATTTTGTATACTTAATAACACATAATAATTTAAATTAATGTCTTGCATCTCTGTAAAATTATTTTGATCATATTTTGCATTAATATAGAATTTAAATTCAAGTTTCATTTATCTTTTTTTTTAATGTGCAATAAATAATGATGCTATGAAATGATTAAATTTATCAATTATAAAGGATTTAACATCATCTTTATTATCATTATTAATTATATTATTTCAACCTTCGAAATCTTTAAGACATAAATAATATTATTCTAATTAATTTAAAATGAAAGCATCCTAAGAGGTTAATCCTTCAGATTCCTTAATATAATTAATTAATTCCCATTGCGAACTTGATCAAATAACAAATAAATAGATGTTCGGAGAGGGTGATCATCAGTAAGTTTCTTCTCTTCCCAATGATTAAATAAGAAAAACTAGACTTTAAGGTAAACAAAATGAATAAATCATAATGAATAACTAAGACTTATTCAATGTGAACTATTCCAAAAGTGTTTATATAAATAAAATAAACTCACTTATTGAAATTACCCCTGCTCCCAAAGAATTTTCATGTGCCAATAAAAAAGAGTAATATCAATAAATTGTAATATATAGTTAAAAGGCCTATCATAAAGCGAAGAAATAATTCGAAAAAGAAAATGGATACTATTTTGAAGAGCAAGGCTTGGATGACAGCAATAAAATAAAGCTGGCCAAGAACAGACAATCTGCAAGGGATTCAAGAAAGCGAAAGAAAATATATGTCGAGCTTCTTGAAATCAAAGTAGCTGACCTCAGTAAACGAATCGAAGTTCTCCAAAAAAATCTCGATGATCAGAATTTATTTATTAATCATTGTGTCAAGATANACATTTTTGGCATTTGGAAATTCTACTTGTGATTTCTTTGTCAATACTAAATTGGCTTCGATTGGTTATGGATTGATGGCAATGACAGGATGTTTTTCAGGAACCATTTTTAATATGTTATGTGGATTTGGAGGAGCGTTAGTTAGATTGACTACTATTAAGTCATATCCAGGAATCATTTCTTTTGATTTATTTAGAGATCCAAACAGTGATTCATAAACGGACATTGTAAAATTATATATAATTTCTAGATTATAGCTAGAATGAATAATTCAATTGCTTATTGTGTCCTTGTTTTTTCTTTAATGAATATAATAATGACATGCATCGTAGTAATAAATAAAAAGTATTATTTATTCTCTATATTTAGGTACAAACTGACAAAAAATTTAGCATATTACTATTTCTTTGTGTACTTCCTGTTTTTTATTTTCATAACAACTTTAACAGTTGCATTAAGTTCAATTGTCAGCTATATATAGGATAAATGATGTAAATATAAATGTTATTCAACATTTTGTATACTTAATAACACATAATAATTTAAATTAATGTCTTGCATCTCTGTAAAATTATTTTGATCATATTTTGCATTAATATAGAATTTAAATTCAAGTTTCATTTATCTTTTTTTTTAATGTGCAATAAATAATGATGCTATGAAATGATTAAATTTATCAATTATAAAGGATTTAACATCATCTTTATTATCATTATTAATTATATTATTTCAACCTTCGAAATCTTTAAGACATAAATAATATTATTCTAATTAATTTAAAATGAAAGCATCCTAAGAGGTTAATCCTTCAGATTCCTTAATATAATTAATTAATTCCCATTGCGAACTTGATCAAATAACAAATAAATAGATGTTCGGAGAGGGTGATCATCAGTAAGTTTCTTCTCTTCCCAATGATTAAATAAGAAAAACTAGACTTTAAGGTAAACAAAATGAATAAATCATAATGAATAACTAAGACTTATTCAATGTGAACTATTCCAAAAGTGTTTATATAAATAAAATAAACTCACTTATTGAAATTACCCCTGCTCCCAAAGAATTTTCATGTGCCAATAAAAAAGAGTAATATCAATAAATTGTAATATATAGTTAAAAGGCCTATCATAAAGCGAAGAAATAATTCGAAAAAGAAAATGGATACTATTTTGAAGAGCAAGGCTTGGATGACAGCAATAAAATAAAGCTGGCCAAGAACAGACAATCTGCAAGGGATTCAAGAAAGCGAAAGAAAATATATGTCGAGCTTCTTGAAATCAAAGTAGCTGACCTCAGTAAACGAATCGAAGTTCTCCAAAAAAATCTCGATGATCAGAATTTATTTATTAATCATTGTGTCAAGATACCCTCTCTTGTAAAATAAATTATCCCTAATTTTAGATATCAGATTTTAATTTGAGTTATTAAAATTAATTCTAAATTCTAAGTAAGAACATAACAAAAAAATAATTGTAAATTTTGGGAGAAGAATTCGGAGTGAATTCGGAGAAGAGAGATTGTTTATGCAATTGCATATTCAATACTTTGGTCGATCATATCTTACCATTTGATTTGAAAAAAACGATTGATACAGCTATAGATAGTAATTAATCTTGAATAAATTAGATCTTGGTATTTTCAAGTTTGGATAATAATAAGAAATTAAATAGTTGATTGAATACTAGCAACTATTCACGTAACATTATAAAAAATTTGAATTGTAATCATTTAAAATTATTTACATTTAGAGCTGCATATGAAATGACTAAGTCTTATGAATACATAAAGAGAGAAGCAGAGGGACTTGAAAGACTAAAGAACTAATTGATATAACTATTGGGTCCGTAAAAATACGTCAAAAATATTCTTGATATTTAACAACTACAACAACAGATTATTGTCAAAGAAGAAGAAATCAATTAGAAAGGTAATACAAAATTTGAATTATGAGCTCGATAAAATATTTATATTTATATTTAATGGGTAATTGCAATAATGCTCCAGATCTAAATGTTAAAGAAATAAAAGGTAAATCTTCATTTTACCTTAGTGCCTAATAAAAGCGATTATAATTTTTTGTATGTTATTGAGAGAGGTGGATTTGGGAAGGTCTGGAGAGCTGAACATAAGAAAACTAAACATCAATATGCTATTAAAGAAATGTAGAAATTCAAGTATTACCTTATTCAATGTCTATTTATAGGATTATCAATAAAAAAAGCATTGGTTCCGTGATGAATGAGAGGTACTTATTAAGCAATCTCAGGCATCCGTAATAAAATATGTATAACTAGATTTTTAGTAAATATGCACACAGCATTTCAAGATCGAGAAAGTCTCTATTTAGTTATGGATCTCATGACTGGAGGAGACCTTAGATTTCATATCTGTAAAAATAGGAAGTTTAATGAAGAATAGACAAGTAAAGAGGTAATTTGATATCACTAGAATTTTTCGTCATCTGCATACTTTTAGCTTTAGAGTATCTTCATAACAACACCGTTATACATAGAGATATTAAACCTGAAAATTTGGTCTTTGATAAAAATGGTAAATTATTGTAAATTTACTATTTAGGTTATTTGAGGTTGACAGATCTTGGTATTGCAAGAATATGGAAACCGGGAAATGATGGGGACACGAGTGGAACGCCTGGGTATATGGCTCCTGAAGTTATGTGTAGATAAGTTCATGGGGTGGCAGTAGATTATTTTGCAGTTGGAGTAATAGCTTATGAATGTATGATGGGAAAAGTAATGTATTAACTTAAAATAGAGACCCTATTTGGGTAAAACTAGATAAGAGATTAGAGACTAAATTTTGTCCAAATAAGTTACAATTAAGGCTATTTATAAACCATAAGACTGGTCTGATGAGGCTGCTGATTTTATTAATTAAATGATCTAAAGAAAACCAGTGAATAGATTAGGATTTTATGGCCCTGAAGAAGTATTTGCTCATCCTTGGTTTAAGAATATCAAATGGGATGATTATTTAACTCAATCAAAATAATCTCCTTATAAAATTAATGTAATTTAATAATAAAGTAGATTTTAGTCGAGTTCTGATAATTTTGATTAGAAGTTTGCTAATCTTAAAGACCCTGAAGACGAGGCTTAAGCTAAGCAGAATGCAGAACTTTTGAAAAGAGATTCCATCTAAGAAGCTTTTAATGGATACACTTTCAAATCTTAAAATTCTTAATAAACAATATAAGACTAAACAAATTCAAAGCCAACAACTTCGATGAGTTAGCAAATCACACCTACGAAAAAGAATTTACTTGATTCTGATCGCTTAATTGAATCCAAATCTTAGAAGAAATATCATCTAGTTTAAACCACAGGATTTAATAAAAAATTAAACTTTACTCCAGATTAACCACTCACATAGAGAGGATAAACTAAAAAAAATTTTGATTTTTGATTAAATTTTTATTATTAATATAGTTATTATGAGATAGGTTTATACTAAATTTGTCATAAATATAAATGGTTCATTCTAATACTTTATCGTTTAATTTATGTAAAAAATCATAAGCTACTTAAACTTTGTTGTTGCAGATTTCTTTTGTAAATTAATTGAGCATTTACTTAAGCATTTTTCTTAATCTTCTGTTAATCTTTTCTCTGCTACTTTGATGCATTTCTTGAAACAAATTTGATCCTATTTAAACACTTTCGTCAATAATTAAATCTGAGCTTCTTTTTAAATAATCTATTCTCGTGATTCCATAATTAAAAAATTAATTTAATTATTAGAATAAAATAAAATGACTAATATAAGAAGTATTTGTCTATTCTTTTCAAAAATCTTATTTATGTTGTCATTTTTTGTAATTTAGCATATTTTTATCAATATCTTTGTCGATATTAAACCTTGTCTTGATTCTGCTTTAATATTAAAGGTTTTTATTATATTATTCTCTAGTTTATTTTGTTCAAATTGAAAATTACATATCACCAAATTCCAATTTTCATCCATTATAGTTATCCAGTAGTTTAAAATAATAGTATACCTTTTCCCTTTATTTGACTCTATTATCATAATTCCAATAATCTAATGGTTTAGAATGAAATAATTACAACTTTGGTTACAACAAGTATAAATTTACAACCCTAAAAGAAGCGATATCAGTAATACTTTGATAGATAATAAAATAGATATAATAAATTTATAATAAGTATTTATAGTTAATCAAATGAAAGACTTTTAGTTCATTATAGATCTCTTAGCTTCATGAAATTTAGAATAAAAGTCTCTGTTATCATTGGTTTTTAATGATTTTTTCTAACTAGATCGTTCTATAAAGCTTATAGAGTTGTTATTCTCCTTTTCTTCCCTTAAAACTTAATTATTTCCAATCATCGAATCTCTAGTTTTATCTTCAACCGCCTTCTAATAGATATATTGTTCTCTTTAGGTAGGATTAATAGATTCAATTCCCCTTAAAGAAACCAATTATAGTTTGACTCCTCTCATATCGTTGATCATTTATTATATTGACCCAGAATCCAAACAAAATTTACCCTAAATAGTTGGACTTATTTTGTCTTGCCTAACTTGTTCAATTAAATACTAGATCTTCTTTTTCTCTTTTACAACGTAATTACAGGCCTCAACACATAATGTAACATTAGGGTTGCTAGATCCAAAAAATGAAACAAGTTATTCATTATATTGATTAACGCGATCAGTTTATAGTTTAATTTTAGCCATTAAGCCTTCAATTTCAATGAGTTTATCAGCTACTAATTCATCTGCAGCCTATAACATCTCTTATTCTTTGAGTTTTAATGTTTTGTAAATATCTTCAAAATTAGAAGTGATCTACATCTTTGCTTATCCTACTAAGTCTACTAAGTCTTATTTTTTGTTCACAATTTTGCATTGTTCATGTAACAAATACTCACAACAACTTTACAAGGATACCTAGAGTTAATTTCCATTTTCTCTTATTAGATCAAAAGATTTTGATATATTTCTAACCTCATGATTCTTGTGCAATCCTTATAAGTAGCATTCCATACAGAAACATTATGCTTCACAAGTAAAACAATACAGAACACTACTTTCAGTAAGATGCTACTAGCAAGTGATATTAGTTAGTTATTATTATTATGATTAATTATGATAATCAGCCTGCTAGATTTGTTGGGATTATTTAGTTTCTAATATTTCACTTCTTTATTCATAATCATCAGAACAGCAAGAGGATTATGGATTCATCTCTAATAACACTTACACAGCAGATGGATCCAATTAAGTTTTGGATGAACATATTTAACATATCAATGGAGGGTACATAGTATATTAGTTCCACTTTGCCACAGCCTTTGCTGCACAATTCAAACACAAATTGTGATCACATTAAAGCGATAAAATTTATTCGACTTATGCTCCACATTTACAACATTCCAATAATTCACTTTCAGTATCAGACATTTTGCAGTTAATATAAAATTGCAGTTAATTTTATTAATTAATGAATTTATGTCTAAATAAGCTTTTAGAATCAATTAATCAAGTTTATGAAGTTACCTTCTAAAAAATGATTGAAATACTTTATAGAGGAGGAATCATTCGACCACATATCGGAAGAGCGGTAATTCCAACTTTAGAACTACAACCCATAGATCACTCATTAAAATAGCCCTTAACTTTACATTCTTGTTCATCAACTCCTGTTTTTACCAAAAGTGAATCTATTTATAGAAGAGCAGAATCTGAAAAAGAATTTAAAAAGTGCATTATACCAAAGTATGTTTTTAATATTAGTCAAGTTTAGGTGACACCATTAACAAAGTGGAATGCTACTCCAAAGATATATCTCTCCTTAATTTGTTTGATGATAAATAAGAAGTAAATCCAAATACAAATTAATTCGACAATAATAATGTTAGATATTAATTACAGCCAATTACAGAAGAACATAAAGTATGTAATAATCTAGAACATTTAGAATCTGAAGAATTCAAAAATAATCAAAACCAAGTTAATCATTTAATCTAAAATTAATAAAGAAATTAAAATTCTCAAGAATAAATATCATAAGATTAGTTTTATTCAATAATAGATAATCCAAACAAGATCACTTAATCCGAATAATTTTTTAGCATTATAGATAGAAGTTCTTTTAGACATAGCTTCAATAAGAATTAAGCAAGAAAATGACGTTATTTTATCATTAAATAATTATATTATTTAATTCTAATTTAAGTATGATTTGATATGATTTGACCTCAAATTCTATTTATAGAGTATATAAATCACTTACATTTAAATCTCGATTATTATAAATTATATGTAAAATTTAATTCATGATTTCATATTTAGAAGATTAAGTAAAAGAAATATACTTAAATCCCTTTTAGTTTTCCTTATCTAATTAGATTCAATTTTTAATAATTTAAGTACATTAACTTTCCAGTCCTTTGAATCTACAACTTAAAAATTAGTAAGAAAAGTTAAGAATAGAGAAATTTATGAAAAACTTAACTCTCCCAAAATCCCCCATAAATTTAACTTGATATGAGGGTTGCTATTCACTTAGCTTCAGCATTTCGATAGGGTTTACACCAATCATTGAAATTAAAGAAACATTATTTGAACGTATTACCAAATTATAGAATATATTAATTATAGTGGAAATATATTATTATATTAAAAGTACATATATATGGATAAGTCGGAATAATTATATTCTCAGCTAACTGATTAAGGAGAAGAATCCAACATTCTGATATGTACTCAAGACCCAATAACTTTATATAATAAAGTAAATGTGTAGAGAATAACATAGTTTATTAAAGTGTATAATTTAGATGATAATAAAGTTGATGGCATAACATTATAATACATGAAATAAAGTAAAGTCGTTCAATTCATTCATAATTATTTAAGAAATAATTTGGGAAGAGTCGTCTTTTTTTTAATTCTGATTTTACTTCCTATCATCAATCTATTTTATTATCTCATCCTTTTAACAGCTTCGTTTAGATTAAGCTAAAATTATTCGATTTTTTAATCAAATATAGGTAAGTATTTAATAATACATCGATTAGGTTAGGTTTTGGATCCATTTGCAAATATGGTTGAAAATTCAGACCTATGCGAAATGATGAAAAAAAATTATGTCCTCTTTGATATGGAGATTAAAGAAAATGAAGGCTTACACTTTTCCACCAAAGTTAAAGAAATGATTAAAAATAGATCTAATGGAAACAATAAAATTAAATATACAATCTATAATTAAATATTAAAGGAATAATTTTATGGATATCCTAATTCAAGAATCACATATTTAAAATGGATGATAGTCTCCACTCTAATCATAACAGTTCAATTAACATTAATAATAATATATTTTTCTAAGATTTGAAAACTTATATGCTTAAAGATGAATACATTAGTAAATAAATAAATTATGTTAATTATTATCCGTCCTTCAAAATAAAATTATAAATATAAATTCCATTATCCTGCATAAAAAATTTGTAATTTATAGAACCTAAATATTTAAATAAGAAATATTATTTTTTTATTCTCTTCTTTATTATACAATCCAGAATTATTAAACAAATTTTTTAGCGTGTATAAATATCTTGAATAAAAACAAGCTTTAAATCTCCCTTAATTAAACCAAATTAGAATGTTAATTAGAATATATTTTTTTGATTAATTGATAACTATGTAAATGTACTTAATGCTAATATTATAATGAGAACTTATATTTATCAATATTGAAATTAAAGTTGAAGATTTTCTTTTATTCTTAATAACAATATTAATGAGAATAACTCAAGAAACTCGTTTGAAGATCTTTAAAGCAAGTATTTATTAATTTCTATTAAACAATATTATACTTCTTGAAACTTTATAGATAGAAAATTATTCTTAACCAATCGAAGAAAGTCTATTCTTTGATATTTAAAACAATAGGAATTTATTTGAGGAAAATAAGGTCTAATTAACTGGGTTTATCAGAATTTCATATAGGACTCATATACCTAAATTATTAAGGTTATTTTTATTTGAATATATAAATTTATTAAGTTAAAATTATGGCTTAAGAAATGAGAATATTTACTTTTTTTCGACGTTTTGCTATCTCAAAACAAGTAAATTTGCCAATAGAGTAAAAACCCACACTCTCCTTTAAATTATTGGAGTAATCTATTTAAAGGACAAAATAGCAAATAAAGCAATTACATTAACACTTTCTCATTTGTTGCATGAAGAAGGGATTAATTGCTAATATTTCTGAAAAGGATGGAAATGTGTTAAAGAAAAATAAGTTCGATAAAATATTTAACTCATAGTTAACTGAATGTTATAGCTTTAGTTTAAAAATAAGTGTTGCAATTTAAAATAAATTATAAAAGGGACTGTTAATATCTATTTTCAGAATTGTAAAACACCATTTTAAAATATGTGTTAAATTTAAAATTACTCAATTATTTAATAGATCTTTACAGTAATGACTATTAATAATAAATTGATATAATTATTCTTATGAATTGGAAATAATCAAAATCATTTTTTGATGATTAGAAATCTGATTAAAAATTTTGGAAAAAACAAGTATAATGTATTGACGAGAAAAAAATTGAATTCCAATGTTTGCTTTTTAAAAAAAATTGGAAAACTGGATTTTGGTTAAGCAAAAATTATGTGATATACGAATCACATCTAATAAAAATAAAGGTATCGAAATGGTGCTATATTAGCCATAATCAAAGCAATGTCACATTGTTAATCTCAATTTGTCCAGAATATAAAAGGTAAAATATGAGAATAAGCTAGAAAAAGAAATATTTAATAAAGTATGTGGTTTTATTAATTGCTAGGAAAAATATGGGTTTAGAGTGATAAGAAATAATCAATGTCGAGAATTCTATAGTAGATCAAAGGAATTAAATATGTAATTATGGAATTAATTACGAAAAGAAGCATTTCTTTCTTCATTCACAGAGCATTATGAACTTGATAAGGTTATTGGAAAAGGGAACTTTGCTAAGGTTTATTAAAGTGTGAACAAAGAAAATCAAAAACTATATGCAGTTAAGGTTTTTGAAAAAAACAAAATGAGAAGTTCTGAGATTGATAAATAAGCTCTTTTGAAAGAAATAAGTATTATGCGTAAACTGAATCATAATGGAGTGATAAAATTGCATGAGGTTTTTGAAGATGAAATAAATATCTACTTTGTTTTAGATTATTTGGAAGGGGGAGAGTTATATCACCACATTTAGAATAATCAAACATTTCCTGAGAAATTGGTGGCTAGGATAATAGCAACAGTTTTGAATACATTGGATTACTTATAAAAACTTAATATTTTACATAGAGATCTTAAGCCAGAAAATATGATTTTGAGGAATAAAGGAATATTGGATGATATTGTGATTACAGATTTTGGTTTGGCAGATTATTATTCAATGAAAGGCAATTACCTATTTACCAGATGTGGAACTCCTGGATATGTAGCACCAGAAGTATTGCATGATGAAGCCTATGATTTTAAAATAGATATTTTTAGTGTTGGATGTTTAATGTTTGTACTCTTGGCAGGTAGGTCACCATTCAAAGGGTAGAAGTATGATGATATTGTAATGAAAAATTATCATTGTTAAGTTGATTATAAGTCAATTGAAAATTCGATTTCTACTGATGGATAATCCTTATTGAAATAGCTCCTGCACCAAAATTCCTAATTTAGACCGAGTGCTCGTTTGGCTTTGAGACATAAATGGTTTGAATTGAATCTGAGTTAAAGTCGATACAATGAATTAAATTATAATCCATTAGATCCAAAAAATTCAACAATGAAATCTAGTTTATGCGATACACGATTTTAGAGTTTAAATCAAAATTGTAAATAATCAGAAGGGCCAAGAAAAAATTAAGAAAATAAACAAGTACTTACGTTAATTAAATTAAGCAAATAAAAGATTAGGTCTATATTTATTCTTTAATGGATTTGAATAACAGTGAAAATGATATTGTTGATGATGAAGATGAGCGTCCATAATCTCAGTTTTTGCCACAGTATCAAATAATTAGCAAATTTAAATAAATATTAGATAACTAAAAGTATTCTCAGTTTAATTCGACTAAGTTATATGTAAATTTATAACAATAATTAGGAAACAACTGGAAATACTTCAATATAGTTTGTAGAGGATAATTTGAAGGAAAACTATTAGATTAAAAATTTAAAGTCATCTCTAATTTGAATAATTAGTCATGAATCTCAATAATGAACATAATATATAAATATTAAGCTATAAAAATTTAATTGTATTAAAAGCAAAATAATTTATAAAACTTTATAATTTAATATTAATTGAAATTTGTCCTATAATGACTATCCAATTACAATATAACCCTGCGACGTAAGTACTTTGAAATTGAAACTTAATGCAAACTATTTATATTAAATTATTTGAGGTGATAAAGTTTATGAATTACAGAAGATATAACGATCTAGTGAATTTCTAAATTCTCTTTATCCTACTTTATCCAAGAACTGTAAGAGGTTGAATAAAGAATAAAATAAATAATTTATGTTACTGAAGCTCAGCTTTTTTGAGAACTGGTTCCTTAAATCAATTATAAATATTTTGATGATATAACATATGAAAACCCATGTCTCAAAGGTACTGAGGATGAAATTCTTAAGAATAAAGTAGCCTAATAACTTATTTGTGTAAAGAATGCTATGTATATAACTTTTAAAATTATATATGTAGATTTGTCTTGAAAATGTTTGACCCACCTATTTGTGCAGATAGATAGTAAAATGTAGCCGATGTATATTGGTATTGAACGTTTTCAAAGATAATGCAGGAATCGGCTATTTTTAGAAAGTCTTTAAAAAGCCTTTGTATTATAAAATTATTGTAAAAAATGATGTTATTTATAAAAATCAGATAAAAATATTAATTAGCACATACTGAATTGAATTGTGGATACATTCAATCATAAATGTTAGGGTTGAATTTTTATTAATATGAAAAATAGGATATAGATAGGATATATTATTTAACTTGAACCGAAAAAAGCTGTGGATATTGATTTATGCAATTGAGACACTCAAGTACTATTTGATATTTAAAATCAATTTTTTAGAAAGAAGACTAAATGTAGCATTAAAATAATTTTAATTAAATGACAATTATTTCAATTTGAATATTAAACAGACATTGTTAATAATTTAGAAATAATTTATTAGTATTTTAACTGAATTTGTAAAACTAAAACGAATTATTTTTAATGTTTCATAAACTTCTGTTCTCTAGAAGAAATTTTTCATCCTTATACCCAAAAAGAAACTTCCACATAGATTATCTCAAAGATATTTAAATCATTACTAATGATTATTGCTAGAGTCTCAAACACATATACGAATCGTTTTCAACTCACAAAATTAAACTTTCAGATATTCAGACCATGAAATTAAACCGAACAGATAAGTAATATTAGTTCATTAACCTAGGGATCAAAGGTTAATACTGAATTTAACATTTGAAGAAAGGGATTCATACAAATTTAATAAGTTGTATCAAGAACTATAAAATGGGCATGACCAAGTTTTAACTAATAAAAACTCTAAAATCCCAATAGTCCCATGGTTCCCAAGAGGCGAGAATGATATAAAGTCACGTATTTGAATAAATTAATGTAGTTGGACTTCTTATGGTAGTTAATGAAGAAAATAACCAATTCCATCCTCAGTTTACAGATTAAGAGTACAGAGAGAGGAGAGAATAGATTGCCAAAATCTCACAACAACATGTCTTCGGATAAAAAATTCCATCAATTGATTACACTTAAAAAGAAGAAGCCACTTGGAAAAAGATATACTCAATTTTAAGAAAGAAAGGAAACCCGCTATTGGCTCAAAGATATTTAAAAAACCTAGAGAAGATTGAGAATGCTTTAGGATTTAAATATAAAGTCCCTTAACTTAGTGACATTGATGCCTATTTGAGAGCTGAAACAGGCTTCAGAATCAAAGCGACTCATGGTATCCTAAGCCAAAGAGAATTTCTCAATGCTCTGGCCCATAGAGTCTTCTGTTGTACCCAATATATTAGACATCATGCCTATCCAGAATATTCTCCTGAACCAGACTTAATTCATGAAGTTGTGGTATCTTATTTATTCTAATAAAAGGGTCATGTACCTTTATTTGCTGACAAGGAAATTGCTGATCTATCCTAAGAAATTGGAATTTTATCCTGTGGGGTTGAACAAAAAGATTTATCAAGACTAGGAACTTTGTATTGGTTCACTTTGGAATTTGGGGCTTGCAAGGAAAACGGTTAAATTAAAGGTTATGGAGCAGGAATCGCTAGTTCAACTGGAGAACTCGATGTAATTCTTAATAAATAAATTATAGAATTTTCATATTGCTAATTACGAGAAATTTGATCCATTTATCCATGCAGACAGAACATATCCTACTTAGATAGTCTAACCTACATACTTATATTGTGAGAGCTTTGATGAAGTCATCCAAGAACTACGTATGTTTGGCCAAAGTCTTTAAAAACCATTTGGATTGTATTACGATTTTGTGGAAAAAGAATTAAAAGCTACTAAAGTAATCTAAACTCATTTATAAAACCCATGATTAATATTAGATATTAGACATTATATAGATTGCGTATTTTTTATTTTGAGCATTTCAATAAATTTACTGAATTTTTCTAATAATAATAAATGCATATATTTTATATATTTGACCTGTCTTATAAACTTACTTAATTTCTATTGTAAATTTTCTTTATCACAACCGAATTAAGAGACAAATTAATATTTGTTTCGAAAATTTTGGTTTGCACTGATACTTTTTTCATAAATACTAAAAAACGAATAAAAATATTGAAATCCCTAAACTGATAAATTTCCTATTCTAACTGCTTTACAAATTGTGGATTTACTTAAAGTCATTAAGACTTGTAATGTAAGTCTTATATTAATAAATTCTCAAAAGACAATAATTAATGTAACTAAATTGTTAATCCTTAAAGATTTCTTCTTAATTAATATGAATATTTGGTACTTTTTTGTGATTTGGAGAAAAATTCATTTCAAATATCATAGGCAGCTAGTTAAACTTCACTAATTTTCTTTAAAATTAAATTAAAACGAATATTATTAATTGTACTTTTTTAGTATATATTTTGTTAATAATTTAATAATAAATTATATTATATAAAGTTGATATGATGAACAATTCTCAAAATTTATTGGAGTTGGAGTAAACTGCCTAGTTTTTCAATCCAGGCAGAAAAATACTAAAATAGCGAACAATTAAAAAATTGCAACCAATTGTGGATGAATAAATGGTGAATGAATTTTCCATACCTACATTCAGTAGGAAGCTAAGTTAATAAGAAATATTCGACTTCGATTAAATAGTTTAGCAACAACTTCTCAAATATAATAGTCAACCAAATATTCTGTAGATAAACCAAAATTTTAACAATCTCCATCTCTTAAAGTCTTCACATAAATCAAGTAAAATTCAAACACCCTTAAAATCCCTTCTCGGAGTTCAATAAAGACTATTATTTCCAAAAAATCAATCTACCTAACTTCTATTTAACGAATAAAGTAAATAATCAACTCCTGAAAAATGTAGAAGAAACATAAAAGTACTGCTTAATCCTTTTAATTTTGAAAGAAAATCGTCGGAAATATAATAGAATAAAAGCTCATCTCAAAGTTTAAGACCCTCACTATCATAAGGAAGAACCTTCCTATAAAGAAAAGCATAAATTGGAGTCTTAAATAGAATATTCTCTTCTAGGTCATAGGATAATATTTGAGTAATTATGTGTATTTATAATTTTATCATACTTCATAAATAACATAGAAATTCGATATTATAAATAATCAATTATAGCAATACGAATCTTCATTAAAACTATTAGTTTCTCACTTTGATTATTGAATGTGAATATTAAAATATATTTCAGATGCTTCTAATATTATTAGGGCGTTATTTGACAAAAGTTATATCCATCTATCAATTGAAATTTAAAATATATTCAAATAAAATATTAATTTTAAGTAATAAATGAGCTTAATTGATTAGAATAATGAATTTGATATGATAATACAACTTGAGTTAAATGATATTATTGGATATTTCAAGATAATGATAGCAAATTGTAAAAGAAATGACTTTAGATAAAGATAATATTTCTTACATTGTATATTACACAATATTAGATAAAATATGTGTTGTATTCTTGAATAATAATATTTCTATTATTTATTCTAAATCTTCGAATGAAATAATTAAAATATAGATGGTTTCGATCATACTATATCCATATTTATTATTAAAATAATAATAAGGGATTACAAAATAATGAGAAAATGTTTGTTTATTAATATACTTGAATATATTGCAAGTTTATCAAAGAACTGAACCAGCAGCTGATGCAATCTTTGGCCATAAATCGGCAGCCTCCTTTCCAACTGGACCTGTGATGGCGGATCCTTTCATTTCACCTTTAGGATTGATGATAACTCCGGCGTTGTCTATGATATTTAACAATTCAAACCTTCGAAATAAATGTAATATCCTTCTCGGCGTCTGTATGGCTTTCTTTATCTGACGACGACTGCTTACATGACTATGATAGTGAATTTGAGTTACCCTTCTTTCTGAGTGCTGGCTTACCCTATTTGACTGAGCATAAGACCATATCACCAATGGAGGCAGAGGGTAATCTGCTCAAATGTCCCTTAATTCCAAAAGTTGAAATGACATAGATATTCTTGGCTCCTGAGTTATCAGCACAGTTGAGTACTGCACCAACGTTGCAAGCGAGTGTGATTCTCAATTTAATACCGACTTGTCCTCCTCTTCCTCTCTTTGACATTCGTAAATTTAATTAATTTTAAAAATAGATTTGTGAATATTTTAAGTGTTAATAAAGAAATCACCACGGTCTTTTAATCTTATTGAATACCTAGCTTTATTCTGTTAAGAAATTGATTTATTAAAAATTTAGAGCATCAAAATCATCAAATGTAGTGAATTTCATAGATTGCACTATATTAAAATGGAATTGATATTACATTTCAGCAATTCTTTAAAAGAATCAACATCATTATCGGAATCTTTACAGCTTGATCTGTCTGGATTGCTTTGCTTCCTCTTTTGTTAGTATTACTCTATAATGGCGTCTTTTGGAACAGATATGGATTATTTCAGGATCATACTCTATTTTACAGTTCCCCTTCCTGATCTCTAGGATTAAAGAGTCTTAATGGAGTTCCTTTGATAAAGTGACTTAATATCATTTGTATGTATGGAGAAATCTAATTGGAACTCCTTGCTCTACTTAGAACCATTTGAATCAGAATTTTTGATGCTCTTAATGGATTATTTATTATGGAAATCTAGCCCAGAGACTATCTAATAGGATTTATAATTGGTTTCTGAGGTTATTTTTGTGTAATGAGAAATAAATGAAGATTCTAAAGCCTCCTAAGTAGTGAATCTATCTTCATGTTTAGGCTCTAACATTTTCTTAACAAGACTCTTTAATTCCACACTAACATCAGGCCAAGGGGACTTTTCGTAATTCACTTAGCATTTAGAATTCAATAACTAGATCTAACTTGGCTTTCCTCTAAAAGGAGCATATCCTGCTGTCAACTACTATAATAACTGATAAATACTATGTATAAAACACAGCCAGCACTAAATACATCTCCTTTTTAGGTGTAAGGATGTCCTCTAAATATTTCAGGTGCTAAAAAACCAGGTGTACCTGCTTTGCTTAATAGTTCTTTTTCATTGATTTCCTCTGCAAAACCAAAATCAACTAACTTTATCTGTAGATTCTCAGTAGATTCCATCATGATATTTTCTAACTTCAAATCTCGATGTACAAATCCATTAGAATGCATTTCAAAAAGAGCATCCAAGATTCCTTTAATTAGCTAAGCAATTTGTTTTTCAGTTAGTTTTCCTTTTGATTTATAATATTGATAAAGAGTGCCTCCTTGACAATATTCAATGATGATTACTAGTTTATCTTTCTCTTAATAAACTTCGTAGATCTACTCAATTCCTGGATGATTTAATGTTTTCAGTGATATAACTTCGTTATATACCATTTACTGCACTATTATGTTTAATTATTTTATACTATAAATTTATCTTTATGCTTATTTTCCTCAAACATATTTCTATAAATGACTTTAGCTGCAAATACTTGTTCATCTCTCTTTCTTTGGACCTTGTACACAGTAGCAAACGCTCCACTTCCAAGAGTCTCCGTCTAATTGTATATACAATCATATCCTCTCATCAAACAGAACTCTTATATCGATTCACACAATTTTAGTGTTGATTCAATTTAATGATCAAATATAGTTATTCCTATTCCCTCCACTCTTTCTAAATAGAGAACTGGAACATTCAATCCCTTCTTAGTCTTTTAGTATGAGATTATCACTCTATTGTCCATACTCAATTATACAAAGCCCTTTGGTTCTGTATCTGACTCCTATTTAAATTAATCTTGGGTATACCTTTTTGAAATACATAAGCATGCCGGACTATGCCAATCTAAAATAATATCCCTTCACAGTTTTTTTCTTTCTCCCAATTCTAAGCATATTCCCTTCAAACAGACTATCCTCACTATTCCAGTTTCTATTGTGGTCTTATTAGGAGCGTCTATCCCAAAATTATTTAATTGTTTCATCTTTCTTTACTCTAAAAAATGGCCATTTAGCTTCTCCAACAAATCTTTAAATTTTTCTTACAGCTGTAGGTGGTTTCTTGATATATATTGATGAATTCATTATTAAATCATTTTTCATATTTGGAGTCTTAACTTAATTTTGGTTATCGTCTTGAGGTTATTGGAATGGTTTGGAGAATGAATGAGATCTTTAAATTTTTTCAAGAATGTTTGATGTAAACTCTTAACCCAATCCTTTTATTATGATTGGCTGATTGTTATCGAAGCTGCCTTTAAACATAGTTTGGGATAATTTCTCTCTTAAAGGCTCTTCATTTATTAATGTTTTTTTCATTCCAAGAAATAATTTATACAAAATAGAATGATTCAAATTTTTTCAACTATAATTATTTTAAAATTATGAGATCCGCATTGTAATAGACAAAATAAATTATTAATATCAATTCCTTTTTATTAACACCCTTGGGTCTTGCAATCGCATTTTGACTACATCTAAATTTCGAATCCATATTTCAGCCCATTATTGATCTATATAATTTGAATTTAATCAATTTATTTAATATATGCTTTGATCATTAATATCAATTTTATCATTACTTAAATGAAATTTATTATCTTCAAATTTAATAGGAAAGTTATCTCATTCTAATTCCTTTGATTTATATTATATTATTAATCCCTTCAGTTAATTTAATGTAAATTAACCATAGTTAAGTGAGCATAAATTTAGATTTTATTTTATCAAAATTAAATGCCATTATAAATACCTGTTATTTTCACCCTTCAATGTGTTAAATATATGTATTTTTGCTTAGAAATATGCACCTTTAGAATTTTCCAAATTTAAATTAAAGATAGTCCCATGGATTTCTGCAGAATTAATAGAGATCCTAAAATTGTTTATACTCAATTGGATAATGATGATTTGTAATTATAAAAGTTTTAGTTAATTTACTTTAATATTTTCCACTCACTTAAATTGTTATTAATCGAAAATTTAAAACAACCGATTTTTTTATTCTTACAAAAGGAAGAAAGTTCAATTTTATGATACTATTTCTTATATTGGACATTTCTCATAGATGAAATTTACAAGAAAAATCTGATCCATTCCTAGATTTGAAATTATTAGCATAATTTATAATAATGAATTGTATGAGTGATGAATGTTAGGAGAAATTTCAGCAAATTCTCCAACTAAAAGATTTATTTAGCATTCGTGAAGTTCTACCATAAAGAGTGCAAAAATAAAAGATGTTTGATATAAAATTCCAATTAAGGTAAATTCGTCATCAAAAATTGAAGAGATTAGATTAAATTATAAATAGCTCTATTTAGTCCTAACCAACCTAATATCAATAAGGAACAGAAAAAGAAATATCAAAATATTTTAAGAGTTTATTTCTTGCTGATTAATAAAATATGTGTTTGGGTTGTGATAAATACATTTTTGAAAAAAAAGTGTCATTATTATGTTGGGATAAACTTGAACACAGTTATCATTCAAGCTGTTTGGCAAAAATGCTGAAATAATAGTTAGAATCTAAATGCATTAAATTTTATTGTATATGTAAAAGTCAAATTAAAAATGGATAAATAATAAGACAAAAGTATTTTGATTTAGAAGTTTATGTCGATAAATTGATGGAAAACTAAATCCAATATCTCAAAAGTCGTCTAACTAATATAAAAACTTGTGCTAATAAAAATTGTAATTTTTTTTGGCTATTAAACGATTCAGTTAAAAAAAGAAGTAAGTCATAATGTAAATCTTACCCTATTACTTATTTTCCTTCGAAAACATCCAGGATTACTTATCTCAACTTTTGTCCTCATTGTAGATTTTTATGATAGAAGTAGGATTTTAAAAAAGTGAATAAATAATTTAAATTTCATTAATTTTGGAGTAATTATTAATTCTAATTCCATGGATTTTAGCCATTTCTATTTTTTACGTATGGATTTGCTCCATTTAATAATAGTAGATCAGCGATTTCGTAGTATCCATATGCAACTGCATAATGAAGTGCTGTGTTCCCCTCTAACTATCTTTAAACTGAAAATTTACATCTTTAACATTTAATAGAACATTTTAATTGATCATATACTAAACCAGTTCCTTATTTCCTGACTATGCAGCAATCATAATTAACGGTTTTCCTTATGCATTTCTGGAATTAAGAGAAAAGTTTGGATTTTATCTTAAATAATCCATTAATTCATCTAGTAAATTGTGTTCGATCATCAATTAGACCACAGCAATTCCTGAATGTTCTTGTTTAATTGCATAATCAAAAATCTATAAGTTTTACAATCTTAACTATTATTTATATTTCACAGGCTAATTACATAAAATGAATATAATACTTTATCTTTATAATACTTTTAAATGACATCTCCTTAGTCACTTTCATTGGTTTGATTAACCTCATCTTCTTAATCTAATTCAACTTCTTAAAGATTTTGCAAAGATCTGCTTACCCTTCGATCCTATTTTTCTGGTACAAGCAAACTGTTTTGATGCTTCTAGATAATTTGAATTTTTGGAGCTTTTAAACTCTCATTCTAAAAGCCTAATACTGATTTTCTAGCTTAAAGTTTTGCTTCCCTTGTTTATTTTCTAAGATTCATCATCATAGCCTTTTTATCTAGATTCAAGGGAACTTATTGTTGTTGTTATTGCAAAAAATTATCGTGTTCAAGATCAATGATGTCATTACTATTTTAATAATTACCTATTAAGATATCAGGATATTTTTTATATATCAATGAAGCATTAAACTTTCTTAATTTATTATCTTTATTATTAATGTTCGGAACAAATTCATCTATATTGTTTTAATAAATTATTTAATCCATATCTGTAGATTCAACAGACAATAATGCATTTTTTGTTTGATTGTCCAATTTACTGATAATTGGTTTAATCTAATAGTAATTATTGTTTCTTATTATTTCAAGCTAAATGTATTCTATTTGTTTCCCAATTATCTCTGGTTGTGAGTCTTGCAAAAAATATTACGATTAAAACTCCTCATCTTTTACTTCACTCAATATATCTATCCTAACCTATATTAATTATATTTATTTACATTCCAAACGAAGTAATTTCTTTAATAAATCTAAATTTTTAATCCTCTATTTTTGTATGTGTAACTTTAATGTTATGGTTTTGAATATAAAATCTTCTTAAATCATGAACTGACTCTAGTAATAATCGATTTTCTTCTTGTTTTTTTTCAATGAGATCTAGAAATTCACTTATTTATTAATATAAACGAAACTTATTTAGACATTTTTCAACAAACTGATTAAAATACAACTTAAATTATTACGAAGACTTTGAATATTTTTATTGCTCTTAAAATTATGTTTAAGAAAAGTTTTCTTTCCAAATTTTTGAATATTTTCTAACTAAGGTTTTGGATTCTGATTTTTCGCTTTGAGAATCTTTAATATTCTTCAAAACCTTCTGCAAAAAAATCTGCTATTTTTATGTTCCTTATTGATGTCGCTTAAATACTTATTTTGATTTCCTTTCATATTCTTGATATGTGATATTTATAAATATCGGTTATCTTTTTTTTGATTCTGATTTCATAATAATTGGATTTTCATCAATTAAATCATTGTGATATTTAGTTATCTTTGTTAGATCATCCTTATTGGTTTAGACTTCTTTTGCTGAACGAAATTAAGATTAATAATAATGTTTCTATTTATCAAAAGAAGGATTGATAACTTGAGTTTTAGGTACTTCCTAGGGAGATATTTAATAAAGTGACACCACTCTGTTAGATTTCGGTAGAGTGTGAATTTTAAATTCAGATGATAGGAAGCTAATAGATTACTGTCTTTCTGTAATCTCGGGTTAGGCTTATTCATCCAAATTTTGTGATTGTTATCCTTTTATATTAGTTGGAGTTGTTGAGTAGCTTCTGTAATGAGATGTAGTATAAGCCCTTGAGGAGGCTGGATTTGGCCTTTTATCATTGTTGGTTTTATCAATGCCTTTGGTTTATAAGAAATTTATTGCTCTATCACTATTACTTTAGACTATTCTTCTAGCGATGTAGAACGTAGATTTTGTTGAAGATTTAGTTTAAACTACATCTTATTTTGGGAATTTCAATTTCAAATGATGCTTAATCATATAAATAATTTTAATTATTACAAAATTCAGCAACTCAATATAGTTCTTAAGTATAATTTAGAAATTGTTACGAAATGTACTTTTATTTTTAAGGTACTTTAATTTAACTTAGAGCTTTAACTTTAAATTTACCACCATTTAAATTCAAGGTCGAAGATTTAGTCAAATTATTAACTATTCCTAAAGTCTTCATGGATAAGAAATTCTAGTAAAATTTTAATTCATCTTTCAGATCTTATTATTGATCATCTCCTTTTAATTGTTTCATGTAGGTCTGTTTTGTTCTTGCAACGAAGTTCACGAACTCTTTTAATAATTTCACCGTTTTCCAGTGTCCATATAACCGAATAAATCTATTTGAAATCTAGAGAAGTAATAATCAATATTAATACTTCCTTATATTTTTCAGAATTCTTTTTGTGATGCAAGAATTGTAACCACGATTCAAATAGAGCCTAAGCCTTAAAAAAAAGTATGCTAACCAAACTGGATTAAGGATTGAAGTTCTAATTATACGGTATCTATTAAAGTTCCAATATTCTATTTTTAAATATATTTATACCTTTCCTCCTCGGTTAATTCTTTCTTTTTGTTATCCTTCTTTTTATCCTAAAAGTATGCTGGCTTTTATTTATCAAAAAATCTTCGACTTGTAATCTTGTTGGAATTACTGTCAATCACATAATTGACTGATTCTTAAAATAATTTCAACTACCTTCCAAATTATGTTACTTTTTCTTAGCATATAAATGATGGAGATACCTCTAGCCATACTTGCTAAAAATCTTTCATCTAAGTTATCATATTTTATTCATACTTTTTGAAAGGATTTTAAAAGATCAGCCAGTAAAGCAGATTGAATTTTTAAAATCATTACAGAAAATGTGAAATCATTTATGCTTTTCTGATCCTTTCATTATTTGATATTGCAATACTTAGGTTAGAATTCTTTCTAAATGCTTGTGAAAATCATGCATTTCGGTTTTAGATAGAACTAATTCAGTATTTTCAAAAAGCAGTCTATCCTCAAGAGGTTACTCTGGTTCAAATAATTTAGCCGTAAATATTGGTATTTTGTATGTCTCATCAAAATATTTTATTTCGATATAATTTACTTCATCCTCCTTATTTTAATTTGTGTTAGTAATATCTAAATTAACTATTTCTTAATACCAAAGCTGTCGAAAAAATCAGAAAGGTCATCATCTTCATCAATCGAGTCCTCTTGTTATTAGTCGTCGTAAATTGGGAACTAATGATCTCCAGAAGGAGCTAATAGTCTTTCCTCTGTTTATTTTTTTAAGACCTAATCCGATTCAGCAATGGTGGAAATTTAAAATGATGGACTTGGATTTCTAAAACTTGGAAATGGTCTATAATTAGATTCCTCTTCAGAATCCTCGTCATCACTGAAACATTCTAAAAAGTCCTCAAAATCTTGATCTAATTATGCTCCATCATCCTATGCCAGTCCATTGAAGATATCATCAATGTCATCTAAATTTTTTAATAGATTAATTTAGCTAGAATCCATAGAAAGGGGTTGTTAATTCATTATATTTATAATATATTGATATTATTGATATTTCAATTTTTTCTTCACATTAATATTTCTTTAAATACTGCCTTATTTTCTCTATATAAATTCCTAAATTCTTCTGCAAATTTTAATTAAAGTTTTTCGTTTGATTTTCCACTTACTAATTCTATTTCTTAAAGCGCTTCTCTAAATATTCTTAATTTGATATAATTAATATATCATTTCAAATTAAAGCGATGCAATCTATTAAGCAAATAAATTAATCAATATCTCTAACTTTTGAAAACAAGTTTAGTTAACTGATCATTTTTTATTATTTCATAAGACCAAATAAAAAAATCATATTTTTGTGCTTCTCTTGATATAGAATTTTATCTTTAATATTACTGTTATTTTAATTCTTCTTAAAAATTAATTGGAATAACTCTTGCGGGGAAAATATTAAGTTATCGAACTTGATCTCTTTTTTCTAAATTATAATATAAAAAAGAACATATAAATTATAGTATGTTTCTAAAAGTATTAAATTAACTGAGATTTATGTAATTTAGATCTCAAAATCATATAAATTGTAATTATATTTTAGGATATAAAAATTCAAATTTAAACACAATATACGAAAGCCTTTTAATTAGATTCTTTTTAAAAGTATTGGTTAGAATTATTAGCTATAAATATATGGATTTTTAAAAATTCCATAAATAAAATGAAATTAGATTTAAAAATCTGTTTAGGCAATATAAATGCATATAAAAAATAAATTTGACTTTTAAATCTAGCATTAATCCTTTCGTTAGATTAGTAAATCAAACTTACATCCCAATTTCAGAAGCTATGAGATATAAATAATGATCTTTTTTTTATCTAAAAAAGCAAGTTTTTAGAGTTTACAATAAGGGAACACATAATATAGTTATTTAAAGGAACAATAACATTGGATCAAATATTAAATATCAATAAATTTCATATTGGAGTTGCGTACTTCTAGTTTTATGATTTAGCATGATGAACGATAGTTTCATTGTGATTAAAAGCGGTTTTAGTCATTACTTCATCGTGAGAACTGTTAATCTTGATGAGTTGCCTAAGATGATATTGTATTTTACTATTATCTTTGTCTTTATGATATATTTTAGATAGCCTTTTGAATCTTTTATTTCAAATATAACTCAATTTAATTCAAATTTGAAATTTAAGTATTAGTATTATCATTTTATATAGATACATGATGATCTTGATCTTCATATCTTTTCATATAGTCGCCAGACCAATAACTTTATAATTATATTTCAGTCTTCATTGTTGACAAAATGAAGTATAAATCAATTAAAAATTTAAAAGTTTTCTGTTAAAGTTGCTTATCTGATTCTTCCAAGAATGATTCCAATTTATTGAATTAATTGAACTCTTGGGTCATAAAATTAATAGATGAGTGAATAAGTTCTTTCCCAGGATTGTTCTACTCAGTAATTTTTTTATAATAATCAACTAAAATGTCATTGTAAGATGGAAATTCCTTTTATGAAATCTTCATCTACTACACTAAATTATCAATCAATTTATCATAGTTTGATCTATTTCATATTTAAATATACTTCTTTTGCTCAAGATGGTCTAGAGTAGTGTTGCTTAGAACATAGTCAAGCTTATCCTTTGGATTTTAGTGATGATCTGTCAACTAAGGCTCTGGTAAAAGGTTAGCTGGAGGCTACTAATGCCCTTAAGCTGAGTGTTTTTGGGGCGGCTTGCCTTGAGTGCATCCCATTAATAAGTATTAAATAAATTAATATTTGATTATTGTAAGTTAAATGATATTTGTTTTGCCCAATTAATAAATATCTAGATTCAAATCTTAATATCTCATTTATTTGGGAATGATTAAGCACGAATACCAGAAGAAGAATTTGAGATGATGATGACAAAGAGAAGGAGAATGTGTCACTTGATGAAGACTTTAATTTAGTTTTATTTATTCTTTTTCTTTTGCTTATTTTAATTATCTTTTATGGAGTTTTGAATTTCTATGCTTAAATTCAAATTTTTTTTTCTTTCTCTACTGATTTGTTTCTCTTGTTCCCTGAATTTTTGAATTTCCCATCTGTTATTTCTATTTATAATTACTTTTCTATTTACATTCTTCACATTCTACATTTTGTTAATTTTTCTTATCTATTTGCTTACTTTAGAATCAAAAAGCTTGCTATTATCTCATAATCATATTTGATACATTAGAACTTCTCTCTTTTTCAACACTTTTTTTTACTATTTTAATTACAATGATAATATATTATCCAATTACATTTATATTTACAATTAAAAATTGTTATTCTTATAGCTTTGTTTTATTATGGCTAATCAATGAAAAAGTCACTATTTGGCTTAGAGCCAAAATAATATTTTTGAGTTCAAGTGATTCATAATTCCAAAATCTTAATTTTTCTTCTTTAAACTAGTTCTCTTTAAGATTTCATTTGTTTTCTGTAAACTTATTTTTTTAAAGACCTTTATTAATGAGCCCTCTGACAGAAGTCAATCTAGATTCTTCTATCAACTAAAATGCTATTTTCAAATTTTTAAATATACTCCTTCAAAATTTACAATAGTTTATTTTCTCTAATATTTTCAAATTAACAGCTCTTTACTTCGCTTGATGGTATATAGTCTGTTGTAATAATTATTGTTGGCCCTCTTCACATAGGACTTTCTTATCACATTCAATTCTACAATTAACTTCAAAAAGATCAGCAAAAATATAGGAGTAATCCTAATACAAAACGAAGTCTGCTATCTATTTAAGTTCTATTTATTTATTATAGAAATTTAAAATACTCTTAAAATTAATCTAAATATAGAATGTTTACGATTATAATTAAAGAGCATTTAATTAAATTAAATATAAATATCTGATTTCTTTGTACATGCCTAAAATCCATCTTCGTTATGCTATAATATAATTATTTTTAGATAGTCTTATAATGGATTGAATTAATCTTCATATTATAAGAAATTTAATATTGTTACATATGGGTTTACAGCTTTTATTGATACTAAGTAGTCTTTTAACATAGTAATAAAGAGTTCCATTATAAAAATTAGATTTGCATAGTTTTTGGAAATTAAACTAATTTTAGAGTGTAGATCAATGAGAATGTCTCTTTTTGGGATTTATAATATAATTGACATTAATAAAAATTATTATGCGTCAGATCAATTGAAATGACTCATTAAATTAATAATGAATCAAAATTTTGAAGGATCTTAGGCTGAAGTCCTACATCCGAAAACTCACATGTAGATATAGGCTGTCTAACATGAAAAAATTATCTCAGGGTTTGATCATGATCCTGATAAATTTTTAGGAGAATTTCAATTCAACTCACATTTACTTACAAGACAGTATCTATTGGGAGATGGTATGAATGTGAATTAATTAAATAGGAACACAATTAAGATTATACTTTACTAAAGTTACTCCATAAAATGTTTAAATAAAAGCATCATTAGCAATCATTCATGGATTTGGTGAACATTCAGGAAGATTTCTGCATGTATATTATACCCTTAGAATAATAGTTAGCTGACTTTTATGCCAAGGCTGGATTCGAAGTATATATGATAGATTTAAGAGGATTTGGTTATTCAGGAGGTGCAAGAGGATGTGCGACATAATAATAATTACTTTTAGATGTCAAGGTTTTGATTCAATAAGTAAATCCCTCATTACCGTTGTTTCTATATGGTCATTCAATGGGAGGATTAGTGGTCTTGGCTTTTACATTGTTGAACCCTGCAATTTAAATTGCTGGTGTTATAGCAACAAGTCCATTGTTAGGATTTCCAACGGATCGTAAATTGGATTGGTTGAAACTCAATTTTGTTACCACTGCTGGTAAAAAATTGGAAGACATGGTTGTCAACAGTATGGTCAATCCAACTGCTTTAACAAAAAATAATAATCAATTGAAACATTCATTTGGAGATAGATTAATGATTCCATTTTGTGGTTTAAACATGGCAGCTTCTATATTGTCCTAAGTCAAAATGATGAAGAGTTATTCTCATCTATTTAATAAGCCATTATTAATTTTACATGGAAAATAAGATGCAGTAACAAATTATCACGATTCTGTATATTTCTTTGAAAACTGCAAAAGTTAAGAAAAAGCATTAAAGCTATTTGAAAATGGTTATCATGAGTTATAGCATGATGAAGAATGCGATGAATTAATGTCCATTACATTAGATTGGTTATAAAGGCGTATGGATAATGCAAAAATTCTTGGCAATGTTCCTACAGTAATCAATGTACATCCTTTAAAGAGAAAATCAAATAAAAAATGGAAATTGATTTTATTATTCTTGATAGCAGCCTATTTTATTGTTTCCATTAAGTAAATAATGTAAATTATTGTTAGATATAAGGATTTAGCTTAAGGCTCAAAAATCAAGAAACTAATTATACCATTATTGCTGTTTAAAAAATGAATAAATTAGTTTAATAGTATTATCAGTTAATGTAATGTTATTTATGCTAATTCATTTAATAGTCAAAATAATTACAATTTTCTAATAATTTTAAATTTATAATGAATAGCATTTCCATCCTACCAACTTTATGGTTATAAATATTTATTCACTTAAAATTATTAAGGATTTCTTATAATTGGCAAATATAATAAAATTTCAAATAACACGTATTAATATATCTTTCATGTGGTAACTGTAAAACAAATTCAATTATTAATACAATTAAATTTTAATATTATTTAAATATCACTCATTATTTTGATCTTTCATGTCATTAGTTATTGTTTAATACTATTGAAAATATTATTCATTCTTTTGTTAAGGATCAAATCTTTCAAGTAGGCTTCCAAGTGATCTAACTAAAATCATCACTATAAAAAATATGGATTCATAAACTAATTTTTCTGCAAATAATTCTACTACGCGTAGGTGATACAAGTTTCTCAGACTATGAAGAGCAGAAAATGTAATTTAAGAAAATTACATTACTATTAACGCATCAATTATTTTATTATTAAAATAATAAACAGCAAATTTGTAATCTATATTTTGATCATTTTTTAATACTTACAAAGTAATTTTCTTAATCAAATCTAATGTTGCAAATATGCCAAACTAAAATTATTTTAATTATTCTTACAATGCTTATTATCAATAAGGTCATGTTAAATAACACATTAAAATTTTCAGAACCAATTAGAGCATCTTAAAATTTAACATTGCTAAATGACATCCTATGACCCAAACAAAACCAACTGTAATTCAAAATTAATTGTATTGTTGCACCAGCTATTAGAGGAAGCCAAGCTCTGTCAATTTTCAAATAAAATTTAGTCAAATAATAAATAGAATAAAATAGGCAACAATATACCATCATTCCCTGTTTGCCAGAAACAGTTAATATAATTAAAAAAACTATGATTAATCTGAATAATTACAATAACTGAAATCTCTAAAAATAACAATCATAACTATCGAGCATATGTACAAAAACATAGGAAGATAGATTGTTAATATTTTTAAATGACTATCAAATATATTAGTTAAAGGTTTATTAAATTCTTAGCAATTATTAAATAGATAAACGAACTATGCTAATCCTAAAAAGATGTAGAAGTATATTCTATAATTAAAATAAACGGATACTTAAAATTCAACTTATAAAGTATTATTTGCAAGAAAATCGCAGGCAAAATATATTTAATCCAAAATGATTAAAAAATGTAATTGAACTCATTAAAAATAAGAGCTGACTAGGCTTATGTAGTTAAATTTGGAATATTGTATTGTTCTGCTAAAATTAACAAGGATAAGCCTACAACAACATACAAAATTTGTTTAAGCAATCTAAAATGAGTTATCAAAATGATAATGAAGATATTTAATAAAGTTCCAAATATATTTGATGAATAGACAAATTAACGTCTGAGTGATAATTCTTGGATTCCTTTTTAGACAATAATGTTTGTAAAAATCATAAAGTACTATCTATAACGTGGCAATGGATGAATAACTTTATTAATAATTAGTTTTAAATTTTCAACTTATGTTAGTGGTAAAAGTAGTTATTTCATAATTGCAAAGATGATATAAAAGGCTATAAATTTGATGGATAAATAAAGGGAAAATAGTAAGTAAATGAACAAAGCAAGAGGCACAATTATAATTAAAAACTCTAACCTATAAACAATATAAGGGTTTTAATGTGAGAACTTTTTATCAAAAAGGTATTCCATTAATTTGATAATATGAAAACCAAATAAAATGATCATCATGGAAGCACCAAGATATAGAAAATAGTAATCGTGAGTTTTGGCCTTTTCTTTGATTTCAACTTATAATTCCAACATAATTTCTTAAATATTTTAGCAAGTTAATTTAGGACTTGATAACTGATCTTCATATTTTTATAACTGTATGTCCAGAGAACCCTAAGATTTAACCAATTTATTTAAGTAGGTCATAACTTAAATTAGGTTTTCCTTGCAACTGCTTTCTTACTATTCCTTTGTGTTAATCATTTCAGTTAAAATAGCCCCGATATTACTAAAAGGCATAGATATTCCCATTAAATATGAGATGGTTGGAGCCACATTAATACTATATACTTATCGAGTGTATAGGTTTCTGTCGAGAACTTATTAATCAATATATCGTTTATTTTTAATAACTGAATTAAATTTATCTTTATTAAATTTATACTTTTTATTAATTCCATAGATGGTAGAGCTGACTTCATGGGAGCTATCTCCTCCATGATTGCCATCAGGTGACATTCCATGATCCCCCACTACTAATAGCATTGTATTATTATCCATCTTTTTATATATCTTATATAATAGTTTTGAATATTATCTCTATTTCTTCCATAGAAATTTATTGCTATCATTTTGACTATGTCCAGAGTGATCAATTCCAAGAAGATGTCCAACGATAAAATCATATTAATTTTCAGCTATCAAATCTTCAATATTATTCATTATAATGTTATCGTCAGAATCTATATCTCGAACATCAAATGATTCGGATACAAATTTATAATCAAATGATTTCGGAAACATATGAAACCAAGTGTCATCCCCTAATAATGCTATCTTTTTATTATTCCTTTTCATTGAGTAGATGATGTTATCTTCTTTTAACTCTTGAGCCGCCATATTTGACCCAAAATCTACAAAAGCAGGAAAATTTCCCGTTGTTATGGATTTCAAATTTAATTATGTTGCTGTTGGGGTAGAGGAGATTCCGTAATACAGAATTTAATACTCTTCTTAATTTTCCTTCATATCTTCATAGAAAGTAAAGTTTTTATTAGCAAATAAATCAATTCGCAATGCATCAACCAAAAGTAAAATGACTTTCATAGGCTCACCATTGGATGATTCATTTTCATTGACATCCTGAAATGTTGGTTGGACTTCAAAATACCCCATTAAATAAAGAGAAAGAGCAAAAACTTCTATTATTAGAAGTCCTATTGAAGTATTATTCCACATATAAATAATTAATTATAACAATAAGGAAATGCTATCCCAGCTAAAAGTCTTAGAATTTGCTGGTTTGGCCCCCACTGTATTTATAGGCATGGTCCTAGCCGATTATGGAGCATAGGTCACAATACTATCAAGACATGACTCTCAACCTTAAAATAGTCCCTTGAATAGAGGGAAAAAAAGCATGACATTCGACCTGAAAAATAAATAAGACATTGAAATTGTTAAACATATGATTAAAGACAGCAATGTGTTAATTGATCCTTATCGTCCTGGAGTGTTGGAGAGACTAGGATTATCTTATAAAATTTGCTCAGAGATTAATCCAAAATTAATATATTGCAGAGTCACTGGTTTTGGCCAAAATAGTCCATTAAAAGAAAAAGCAGGCCATGATATAAATTTTATTTCCTATGGAGGAGTTCTCGGATATTGTGCTAGTACTGGATCTTAAAAAAGACCAGCTATTCCAGGGAATGTAATTGGAGATTTTGCAGTGGGAGGAATGTTAGGAGTGGCCAGTATTTTAGCAGCTTTAATTAATGTTTAAAAAGGTGGGAGTGGGTAATAAATTGATTTAGGAATGGCTTAAGGAGCTGCTTATTTAAGTTAATTTATTTTACATTAAAAAAATGAAAAATTATGGTCTAATGGAATTGGTAATAATGTACTTGATGGAGGAACTCATTTTTACAATATTTATTAATGTAAGGATGGAAAATTTATGAGTGTGGGGTGTTTGGAGGAAAAGTTTTATTAAGAATTTGTAAAAGGGTTAATAGCAGGTGGTCTCAGTGAATAAAGGTATTTAATTCAGATTATAATTAAGAGGTTAATATATATTGGAAAACTAATTAAATTCAACTGAATGGGAAAATTTAAAATCAGAAATATCAACACTATTTGAAACTAAAACCAGGGATTAATGGGAAAAAATCTTCGATTAATTTGATGCTTGTGTATCTCCTGTGGTAGAATTGGAGGAATATGAAACAAAAAATTATTTGGGAGAAAATGTGTTTATTAAAAGGAATGGTAAAATTGAAGTTAATGGATAACCCATATTTTCAGATTATCAGTTTTAATTTAAAGATATTCCAAAAATTGGTTAACACAATAATGAGAAACCTAGGTTATGATTTTATTTATCAAGTTATTATAAATTCATAATTGTTGATTTATAATATTTATGAGCAGCAGTATTAATATTATTAAAGATAACAGAATTACCAAGGTCAAGAAAAAAAATTAATAATTACTTTTGTTGAAATATAGATTCAAAAAACCATCTACATAATATACAGGGTTCTCTTACGTTCATAATTTCAATTATAAATATTATTTCTAAATATTTTGTCAACTGAAAAGGCATGCCAATTTATTTGGATAAAGTAATAAAATTAATATCAAAAATAGTTATAATAGAATTGAAAAAGTTTAATTAAAAATTATATAATAAAACATTTTTAGTTAAAATAACTGAAAACAAATGAACAAAATTAAAAATAACTTTTTTATTTATCTAGTTATTCTTTAGAAAAAGTATTTAATAATAATTTTATGATTTGTTCTTATGATTTATGTAACACATTGATAAGTTTAGATTCCTTAATGGAAGGACTGACAATATAATGTTTGTGGTGTCCAAATGCTTTTTATTGTTGTGATATTTGTCGAATGTCAGATAGGTATCAAGCAATTAGAAATTAAATGTTAGCAAACATAAATAATTATGTGGAGGCATAGAACAGACAGTTATTGTAGATAAATAAAATGTTATAAAAGAAATGCAATTATTGGAATAAATAGGATAAGGGAGTTTTGGAACAGTGCATAAAATATAAATACATGGATAATTGTATGCTCTAAAGAAGTTGAATAAGAATTAATGTTCGAAAGAAGTAAGAATTCATAAGCATTTGAATCATAAAAACATAATTTAGTTTCATTATTTCATCGAAGATGACGATTCTATTTATCTAGTTATGGAATATGCACGTAAGGCTGTGTTAATTTTTAGCTCAAGGCACATTAACATAGAATAGAGAGAACTGCAATTTTTACAACATCTTTATACAATTGTGTGAGGCTACTATGTATCTTCATGAAAAAGGTATAATCCATAGAGATTTGAAACCTGACAACATTTTATTAGACAAAAATGGGAATCCAAAAATTTGTGATTTTGGCTTAGCTACTTATGAATGTGTAATAAGTAGTTTTTCTGGAACATTTGAATTTATGGCACCAGAAGTGATTAGAAATCTACCTCAAACTCAAAAAATTGATGTGTGGTCATTAGCTGCTATATTATACTGGTTGCTCGAAAACAAACCATTAGTATAAGGTTTAATAATAAACAAATTTAGGCAATTAGATTGAGAAAATGCAGTAAATTCTTGATTTTAAGTCACCTTAATTTACAAAAATATCAAATCCATTAATTCAAGATCTATTAACTTAGATGCTCGTCCCAGATCCTGATCACAGAATTTCATTGCAAGGTGTGCTAAATCATAAATGGGTAGAAAGCATAGATAGAGTAGAGAAAGAAATTAATGATATTTCCACATAACCAAGTGTTTAAAGACAACAACAAATAGAAATCTAATAATAAATGTAAAAACAAAATGTTAGCATTTTGTAAAAAGTTATATCGCTTTTTGGTTGCGGAGGGAGAGAGAAGCAATTTTGATGATGATTTTGATTTTAGATTATTGAGTTTTGAGTTTTTCCCACTTAATAAATTAATAAATCTAACTGATATTCAATACATTATTTGAAAAATGAATTCTGAAGTCTAAGACATTATAGATTTATATTAGTAGATAGTTTCCAATTTAGAATAGGATCCACAACGCGATGTTACTATGTATTTAATAAGTTGATCCTATAATAGAGAATAACTAAAAAATGAAAGAAATTATTGCACAATATTTAGAACCATGTTTCCATTTCTAGAGAAGGAAATTGATAATATTCAAAAAGAAAGAAATCCAACAGGGGAAAAATTGTAAGGACTAATCGAATTTTTAGTAAATCATCTTGATAATATTTTTAGTCTTATCCAGTTTTGACGATGGATTTGTCACATATCAGTGGTCATTCTATAGCTTAAGGAGATTTGAGGCACCTTTACAACTTTTTATAAATCTTGCTTGAACTATCAAAGCTTTATAAGGATTAAGTTTAAAAAGTCGAATCGAATATATCGAGCTAACGAATTTCCTAAGATAAAAATCCAGAAGGATAATTTGGTATATAATCACACTAATTTAGACTTTGATAATAATCCAGAGTATGAGTAATCATCTGATGGGGATGATGGAAATAAATAAACCTAATAAATATAAAGAAATAAATCGGTAAAAGACTTGAAATAGCCTGGAGATAAAGAAAAGAATACCACTATTAAAAATTAACTATCAAATAATCAAAAAAAAGTTGCGGCTAAAGTTTCTAATTCAAAGGAAAATCAATTAAAAGCTATTAGCAATAATTTATTACCTGTCACCTAATTATAATAGAGAATTATTACACAAGATCCAAATTTGCCTGTAAAATACAAGAAGCAGCAATAATAATAGCAGGGTTAAAGGATTTAATAAACAAATAAATAACAAAAAAATGCAAAGTATCACTAAGATGAAGAATAATTAGAATAGCTTGCTTTTGATTTCTCAGATATTAGTGATATAGATTATGATTTCTTGTAATAACATGATGAAGAAGAAATTAATCAATTAGAAGATGATGATCCAATTAAAGCTAAATATTAAAGAGAATAATAAAAGGATAATATCCGAAAATTATTGGAAGAAAAAGAAGGTGAAGAATAAGGTGAATAACCAGAAATTGATAATTTCATAGATTTTTAAATTTAAGTCATAAAGGAATCATTATCTAAAATGAAGAGTTAACCTCCAAGTGATGAAAAGGAAACTATTGAAAAAATCATTAAAAATAGAAATTAATATAAAGAATTTTTAAAAGATTATCTTAAGACTTATCAATAAAAATAAAAGAAACAAGAATCCTTATAAAATTAATCAAAACGAAGTTAAAAGTAACTCACAAAAATGAATCAAAAAAAGAAGGATGATTTAAAAAAAGAATTTGAAAATGAGCATTTGTCAATGTATTATAAATTAAGAGATGAAAAATTAAATTATTTAAGAAAAATGTAATATTTTATTAAATTCTCATAGTCATCGAATCATCTTTGAATTAGAAAAAAGAAAGATTATTGATGAGAAGAAAGATCATCTATAAATGAGAAGATAATAAAACATAATTACAAGAAATGCACTAGCATCTGTGGAGAATGCCTATAATGATAAGATTTCTATGCTAAAAGAAAAACTGTAAAATGAGCGAAAGGAAAGACATGTTGCAGGAGTTGCTTAGAAATAAGTAAATTAATTTTTGATGATTTTTAAGATTCTGTCTAAATTAGAAAAGGAGTTAAGAGATGAAAAGATTAAATAAATTTAAGAATTAAAAGATATATGGAGATAAGAAAAAGAAAGATTCGATTATTTAATGAAAGATGATGGGGAATTAGAAAAGAGAATTCTTTAAATTTACAAAAAATATTGAGAAAATATATGCTATTATTAATTATATACCATTTTACAAAACGAATTTTTGATATTACAATGTTGAATATAACCTATACAGAAAAATTCTTATATTTAATTGATCTCTACATAAATATAAGGATTAAATAAATAATAAGGAATATTTTGTATTTTAATATTAACATAAAGAAAAAAAAATCATTTTTTTTGTTACTAGTATTCTTTGTACAATCTCTCATAATATGCCTCATTAATCCAAGGTTGATCATCTTTTTCATATTTTAAAGGAGGAAATTTAAATGAAAGTTATTCTATAATTTATTATTTCTATTAAGCTGAATTTTTTTTTGGTGGATATAAAACACCTAATTCTGTATTAGCTATGTATAATTAAGTTGCATTTTTTTCCATTTTCCCCCAAGCACCTTAACTAAAATTATGACTCCCAATATATATAGATGTATAATCATTTATATCTTCATCTAATCCTGTAATAATCATAACTTTTAAATGGGGAATGTTACCAGTATGCCAATAATAGTGGTCGGATCCCTGGTATTTGTAAAATAGATGTTTGGGGAATTTAGGATTTTCATATAATTGCTTCTTTAAATACAAAGGATTGGCAAAGTCAACTCCTCCATGAGTTTAGTTTTCAATGTAATCTGCTGTTGGATATATTAATTTCAATTTTGATTGTTCTTCCTCTTATTGATTGAGAATCATCTAATTTAATTTTTTGTTGTTCTATTCACTTGCCAAAGGTTGCTTATACACTTTGCCTGTGCAACATTATAAGGCGAAATCAATATAATTATCATCTAATTAGCCTATGCTAGTAGTTTAATATGTAACACAAACTTATTTAGGGATTTCCATTTTGTTATTGCAGAGTTCCTAATATAAGACTGACTGAAGTCTCATCATACCATATTTAAATAATTGATTGCCTACAAATCTTCCTGGGATGGATGTGATGAGTCTTATATTTACATCTTTGAAATCATAATCATCATATTTAATTTTAAGGAGATCTTCAAATTTATGAGATGTAGGCAATATTTCATATAAGAATTCTCTGAGCATACTCTTAAACTCTTAAGAGCCTTAGTCTAATTCACTTTTTCCTATTTTAAAGTCCTATATCCACATAGCTTATGACCATATTGTCCAATCTCCAACATGCAAATTTTAACTTCCGATGACAATCCGAATAAATTTAGGAAATTTCAGAATCCATATTTTAGGGTGAAATGCACCGCCGAACATACTTGAACCTAATTTAGACGGCTTAATCACCATCCAATTTGGATAATTTTTATATCTTTCAGTTATTTCAAGCTTTTTGTTTAAATTATCATTGTCATTCACAATGTAGAGTTGAACACCAGATTTTACAATGGGTTCTAATAATTCGTCTTCAAATCCAAAACAAGTCATAAGAGCACTCTCCAATGTTTTTTTTGGCTTTTAAGTTTTGACATCAATAAATGCATTTTCGTAAAGGATGTTAATAAATGGCAAGTGATGTGGTTGTCTTTCATCTTATGGATATTAGGTCAGACAATTCAAACAAAATGTTCCAACAGGAAATGATAGTTTGACTTCCTTTTCCTCAGTTTATTATTTGATTTCATCATCTTCAATGACTACTATTTGGTCCTTGTCTTTTTATTTTTCTTTTATTCTTTTTTGATTTTCTAAATACAATTCCTTCTGAACTGTGTTGATCTCTATGTAAGATGAATTAATTTGGTCTTGTTCTTTCGACAATTCGTGAAGGGTTCTTTTTTTCATAATGATAATGTTATGAGAAGAATTGAATAAATTATATTCAATTAATTGTTTATATTTCTTTTGTAATAAAATGTGGTTTTTTTCCCATTCTTTATCAAGATTTTGAGTTTGAATTCGGTCTTTTGGATGAAGCTGAATCAGAAGGTGATCGCTTTGGACTAGCACTTCTTTTTCTGATCCTTTGATCTCTTCTAGGGCTTCTGCTGTGTCTCTTTCTTTTGTTTTGATATCTTCTTCTTCTAGATCTGGATGATGAATAAGAAGAATATGATCTTGATTCAGATCTTCTGTGACGGCGCCTAAAATTTAAATATCTTTATACTTCGATCTCGAATCGGATCTTCTTCTACTGCGTCTTGGTGATTTGATGATTGGACAATTACGAGCCCTAGAAATTTAATTAAACATTTACCAATGACCACCTTTATTGCATTTGAAACATTTATCTTCTTCATTAGGACCTGTCTTTCTTCCTTTACGATTGTCCACCACATCCACTTTCAATTTTTATCCGTTGTAAGATTATCCGTTGGTGCCCTTCAAAGCCTCTTGTGCTTCCGACTCATTACTGAAGGTCTTAATTTCGAAATTAGTTCATACAACAAATGAATATGATCCCTTATAGGCTACTTCTTTGATCGTTCCGTATTTTTTGAAGATATCTCTCACATCTTTCTCATCTTATACTTTGCTACGGCTGTACCCAGCAACAAATAGTTAATTAGGGATAATATCACCCATTAATTTAATTAATAAAATTAAATCCTAATAAAAAATTATATTAGATATATTTTATTCCCTTTTTAATTAAGCAAATATATATATATATCTCATTCTCGTTCTTCCCTTCCAATCAGATTGTAGATTTACAAATTCCTATTTAAATTCTTCAAATTCCCATTCCCAATTACTTTGTTTCTCCCCTGTAATTCAAATCCGCATTAGTATTAATCCAAATACTTCTTGAGATTATGCAATATTAAAAATTAAATATAATTATTTAGATGAAATAAAGATCAATCACTTTTTTATTGCCATATTTTTATGAAGTTTGAATAATCCCAAGTAATAAGATACTTATTATTCTTTGTAAATTGATAGAAAAAGTTGTGTTCAAATTAGATTGTCTAGATTTGTTAATACAAATTATTTGTATCCTTCATAAATATCTATAGATGCTTGTTCCTTTTCAAAGCAACTATATCCTGACCTTGTGAGATCGAAGAGTTGAATTCAAACTGTTAATTTAAAATTCCTTTACGAAATTAGCACATTGTATCTTAAGCTTCCTCATATAATTCATTTTCTGTATTAAAATTAAAAAATAAATACTCACCTTTTTATGTCTAGATTACCAATTAATCATTATTAATGTTATAAAATTTCTTGTCTTTTATCATCTTAAGATTAATTGATTATCTCTTCTTCCATAGATTGTATTGATTTTTTGCTAAAAATTGCACCTAACCGTTTTAAGTTATGACAATAATTTTCGATTAATTCTTATCATAACTCACCTGATGAATCTGGGAAAGTTCATTTTAACCAATTTGTATGATTTATCTATTGATCCATTGGTTTTTAGGAGATCTTTGCCAAACTATTATAAAATTATAATCCATTATTCCTATCAACTCATTCTCATCTTCGTTTAGAATCAACTAAACCACTTCGAATTCCCTTGTTTACCCTTCCTTGTAGATGAGGAATTGTTTATACCATTTACCATCTGGATCTAGAGTCCAAACGATGACATTGTCATTCCAACATCCCAAGGAAAAGAACATATCTTCTTTGTTACTATAAAGGATATTAGTAACACAGGATGAATGTCCTTATAGAGCTTATTCAATCCTCAGCGTCTCTTGGTCCTTCTGGCAAACCAAGATATCAAGACCACAACCCAACACCCAAATATTATTGGATTTATTAAAACCAAAAGCTTTGCACTGTTGAGAGTGTTCAAAGCTGGTGATGAGGTTATAATCATCTGAAGCCTCCCTTAACTTTAAGTTTGAGGCAATTCCAGAAATTTCTGAGTTTTACTTAATCTCCGAGCCCAGATTGTAAACTGACATAATGATATAAAAATAATGAATTGATTAAATCATTAATTAATCAGTTTTTAACTTAAATAATGATACATATTATTTGATATAAACAACCATAGTTACTATTTATTATCACTGATCTATAATTAGAACCTTCAATATTAACTCCATTCTTAATTATTTTGATTAAATTTTTCGATTATCGTTTAAACCAAATACTGCTGAACATTCAAGTTAAGATCTCTTTCCTTCGAATTTTAGAACTTATTTAATCGCTTAAAAGTATATATTCTTCTAAGTGATAAATTTAAGGATTGCCAATTATCATAAACAGACTAAATTCTCATAAAAAAATGGAGAACCAATCAAAGTTTGTAATTACAACAAAAGCCCTAAAATATATTAAAAATAAAAAACTTAAAATTCGTTAGTAATTATATATATATTATTATTTGAATTTTCCCTCTAATGAAAATAAAAACGACAAAAAGGTAGACAAATAAGTTCATGTCAATCTGCTCTTAACGATCTGCTTGAATTTAGACTGATAATCAATAATAAATAATGAGAACACAGAAACACCAACATTAAATTATTCTCTAATTATACATTAAATATAATACATTTATTTTAGGTAATTTCAATCTTAATCATGTTTAACCAATAAATAACATGAAATTGTGAATTATATATAAAAAATACTTTATTAATTTTAAATCTTAATTTTATTAATATATGTATTAATACTTGAAATTTATTATATAAATTCCTTATTATATTTATATTAAATAGTCAGGCCTACCTTGAAATACACCTCAAAATAATGGATTATATATTTAATTTACAAAATTAAAAACTTTGTTACTTCGGTCCTGATTCAATATATATAAAATTCTAAATATCATATCACGATAATCATCAAAGTACTGACGAAAGCAAAGATTCCTAAAAATGTCCATCCAAATATTTTAGCTTTATCTTCATAACTTCCTTAGTTCATTGGCGGTACAATTGCTAATGAAAGGAAAAATCCTGTGATAAATCCTCCAATTTAACCATATTTATCATTATGATTGGTGTTAATTGCTGATAAAGTTATGACGAGAACAAATGTCAAAAGAATCCACATGAAACAACATAAAAATGCTCTCATTTCATTCAAAACTTCAAGTGAACACCAATTTAATATTATACACTAAATTAAAATAGAATTATACTCCAAAGAACGCTCCTATTAATCCATATATAGCAGTATTTGCATGTAAATAAATCAGATCTGTACAGCAATTAATAGAACTTCCAAATAATGCCCCCATGGCTCCGCTAAATATATATAATGAAATTGCTATGATTGGACCTGATGCATATTCAAAACTGGATAATAATATGAGTAAGAAGAAAACAATGCAAAAATAGTGATAAAAATCTCTACTCAAAAAGATGCTTGTAAATAATTGTTAGAACATGAACTCGTTCTTGATTTGATTTGTAACTAAACCCCCATGACTTTAAAGTGTTGCATCATTGATTTCTAGAAATTATCCTTGTTTTTCAATTCCTCCAAAAATACATAGAGTAAATAGTAGAGTATATACAAAAATAGCTAAAGTTGTAACAGATTGTATCTTGTATCCAGGAAAATAATTATTCTATAACATTTCGAAGTAATGCATTTATCGGGGATTCGTTTTTACAACTTAAGCTCCTAATTAATTCAAAAATAGAAATAACCAATCAATGGAAATCGTTTAATACTGTCTCCAAAATAATCTTGCAATGTTCTTTGTTGCCTTCTTTACTAATAATCTGGCTGATATTCTCCATAACCGTGTAAATTTGCCATTTAATTATTTATTAATTTTAATTTAATGTCTGAAGTAGAAGAAATTAATTTGGAATCAAATATCAAAAAGCCAAGACATTAAAGATAGCAAAATTAATCTAGGAACATTAGAAAGACTAAAAATAACTTCAATAGACAAAAAAATAATTCACAAAACAGAAATAGAGACAGAGATAGATAGAGGAGGAATGATTGGAAACAATAAAATGGAGCCAATACAAGAGATTTATACGAAATTGATATCTACAACTTTCTAGCCAAGAATTAGATCTCTGACCTAATAGTATTAGAATTGCATAACCTTAGAGTGATATTAGATCTAGATGCGGGAATTTGGTTAAAGTTCATATTATTGCCAATAATATACAAGAGAATGAGGCTGAAACTAAAGTAAATATTCAATTCATTAAAGGTAGTCTTGAAGGCATTTTTCAAAGATTCAAAGTCAGCAGATGAATGCTATTTTCAATACAATGATGCCAAATTGGATGATTTATCTTTAAGAACAGAACGCAAATATTGATATAAAAATTATATATAAAATGAGATAAATATTTGATTTTCTTGTATTCACATAGTGTTCTATGCTATTTTATGAGTAGTGACTTAAAGCAATGACAACTTGTAAATGAAGATATTTATTTTAGACTGATTAGAAAATTTATTAGTTGGCTCTATTGTTTTTCCATCTTTATATTAAACTTCTCTGGCTATTCTCAAGCTTTATCTACTTTCAATTAAGCAAATTTAATTCTTATTAGATCTAATTAGCAACTTTATTGATTCTAATAGACTTAATTGAAAAATATAGTATATTGATAAGATCATAATTGATTGAAGGGTTTTTGGTATCTAGAACCAAGCAATAACAATTTTGTAGATATTGTTTGAGATTTTGAAGAAAGCTCTGGTCATTTATATTATGCAAATTGACGAGTTAAAGAAATTTTAATCAAGTAGACTAGATTAAAATAAATAGAAACAACTAAAAGTTCATTAAAAATTACGAAAAACGTTACAATTTCCATTGTTTTATAGTCATTATATAATCCTAAATACGATTGCTAAACAAAAATAGAATAAAGAAATAACTGTTGAACACTCTGTTAATTAGAAAGGATTGCTAAAATAGAATATTTCGATTAAATAGATAAAATAATAGTAATTTTTCTAATGATAATTTAAATGGACAATAAATCCTTGTTAGTTTATGATAAGACTATTATAAAAATGTGATAAAATGAGAATTTTCAAGAAATAAATCCAGAATAAAGCTAAACTGATATCATATTGAATAAGCAATCAACTAAAATCAGAATTGAATTGATGAATTTAGCCACATTAGAATTAATAATCAATTTATTATACTAAGGCTAAATGATTAGAGAAAAATTCACTCAAAGTTTCTAAATTTATTGAATAGGATACTAGTGAATAAATACTTATATAATTATTTGTTTCACCTCTAAGACATATGACTTTAACACTAAATTAGAATGAAGCTTACACCTAAAAAATCTTTTTTAATAAAAATGCTCAGTGAATCCTCTTATTTATTTATATTAAAGAATATTTTGTAAAAGGATTTCATTTTAATAGTAATCTAGTTGAGCAAATATAAATCTGCTAGAAAAGGGAAGAATATAAATCAAGGAATAAATGTATTAATGGATTGAATCATTTATATTAATATAATTAATAAAAATAAAACTGATGGACTCAGATGATGAAAAACAAGTAGCCCTTCCACCTATTCGAATAAGAAGTTCAGAAATGAAACAGAGTCTTATGAAAGATATATTGTTAAGTAAGACAAACATTTATCGTAAACTTTTAGAATTAGATGAATTATTCAAAAAATAGACATTAGACAAGGATGTATGTGTTGAATTAGTCAAACATTTGAGATCTAAACCAGAGTACAAGATAAGTATACTCTTTTCTTTAATAATTTAGTGGGTGAAGGCGAGTGGCAATGCATTATAGGATCGAACTTCGGATGTTCCTTAAGTTATGATTTAGAACTTTTAACCTTTTTTGATTTTTTATCTAATGGGAAATCAGTACTCCTCTTCAAGTCAGGATGATAAATTTATAATGTCAAGATTGATATATAATATAATAAAGAATTATCATAAGCATTATTTTTGCTCATTTATTTATTCTGTCATTCAGAAATAACAAATTAAATTACTATGTATATTCATTTAATTAGAATATTTATTTGTAAAAAGGAAAGACCAGAACGCTTTTATAAAGAATCTTCATTTTATATGGTAAAAGAATTCATAAATAAATCAATTATTTAAATAGTTTATAAAATCTTAGCAGTTTTCAAGGTAATCTCAATGTAATTCAGGTGAAAGGGTTGTAAATCTGTATTTATAGGATCAGAGTATTAAGTGTCTTATTATTTTAATCTTGGGATTTATATAGCTTAATATTAAAAATGGGTATATTCAATTTATATAAAATATTAAATGGCTTTTCCAGACAATTAGTTATTATAATCGATCTTAATCAGTAAGAAGAATATTTATCATATGGTTTCTATTCTAAGCCTTTGTTCCTTAAGTTGCAAAATTTTTTATAAATAAGTTATATGAATCTAAGAAATTGCTGTATTAAGGCCTACACTTAGGCTTATTTTGATGTTTATAACTAAAAGAGTTTCCGAAAAAGATGTAAATATTCTACATTTAACTGGAAAATGACTTCAATTCTTACAATTATCTTAATTTGCTGAATTATCGGTCTAAAATAATTGATGCCAACTTGACAACTATATGAAGTCGTATATTAGTTGATTATTTATATCAATTATCTATAATTATGATTTAATGAGTTTCAATAAGTATGATATAAAAGTACTCTTGTAGGTATGATGGGTAGGTGAGTTAATAGAAATTAACTTGCTAGAAATAAATCTGCAATAAATTAAATTAGGAAGTGTATAAAGGTTTCATGTAAAATTTATGTCAAACATAAATTTTATTTTTGTTTGTAAATGTCATAGCTAAAACTTCAAGTAATAGGGTTTCATATTTTTAGCATTGCTCTAGTTCATGTGCTCAGAGTTCTTAATGTAAGATTTAAACAATGATACATGGGAGATAGCCAGATCCGATAAGTGCTTAGCAATAGGAGAATTTAATTAATTTAGGAAATTCAGATTAGAAGAGAAGGAACAGTTGTGCTGGAGATCGTTTCATCCCAATGATCAAGAAGAAATTCAATATACTATCTGAAACCAAGGCTCCAGCCCAAGACATAGCATCATCTTAGGCAGCCTTGGAAATGCTTTATAAGCAATAAATTCTTGATTAGGAGCCTGTAATAGAGCCAGAAAATGGTTCACTAAAATTTGTGAATCAGAATAATTTTTAATACAAGAACGAACATCTCCATTATATAGATTCTATAGATCCAAAAAATTACAATAGGTAAACAATAAAAAATAATAAAAGTCCTTTGGTGGATCATAAATATTTCGCATTGCCAGAAACTATGTCCAGCTATTATGGGAAGTACATACGAAAAATTCCAAAAGTGCCTTTTAAAGTTTTGGATGCCCCATAATTACAAGATGATTTCTATTTAAATTTAATAGATTGGAGTAATCAAAATACCCTTTCTGTAGCACTAAGTAACTGTGTGTATTTGTGGTACAATTCTAATTTAAAAGTAGGAATGCCTAATCATCAAAAGTAACAAAGTTGCTTGATTTGAGTAATGATATAGTCACTAGTGTTGGATGGTCTTTGAGAGGACCATTCTTGGGAGTGGGAACAAACAATGGCGAAGTTTAAATATGGGATGCTTGTAAATTACAAAAAGTAAGAACATATAAAAGTCACGTTGCCAGAGTAGGAACTCTATGTTTTGCTGAGAGTATGTTAAGTAGTGGTTCAAGGGATAAATCAATACTTTAAAGAGACTTAAGATAAAAAGAAGACTACTTCTTTAAATAGACTGCTCATAAGTAAGAAGTGTGTGGATTGAAATGGTCACCAGACAGTCAATTATTGGCATCAGGAGGAAATGATAATAAATTATACATTTGGAGTGCATCATAACATGATAAGCCTATATTCAAATTCACAGAACATTAAGCAGCTGTCAAAGCAATTGCTTGGAGTCCTCATTAACATGGATTATTAGCAAGTGGTGGTGGGACTGCAGATAAAACCATAAGATTTTGGAATGCTTTAGAAGGAAAACTATTATCAAAAGAAGATACTGGAAGCTAAGTTTGCAATTTAATGTTCAGTAAGATGGAAAATGAACTCATATCTACTCATGGTTACAGTCAGCATTAGATAATATTGTGGAAATGTAATGGGATGAAAAGAATCGCCACTTTGGTTGGACACACTAGTCGGTAAATTATCATTTATTATTAATTTAAGCGTTCTCTATTTAGCTATGTCTCCTGATGGCTATACCATTGTAACTGGAGCAGGTGATGAGACATTGAGATTTTGGAATATATATCCTTAAAGTCTTGGTGAATCATAAAACAATAAATGTCAATTGGTTCCACAGAATATTAGTATACGTTGACGTGATTAACTTTATATACTCATTTTTTTTATTGATGATGATGTTAATCCTTTTTCTCTGGCTCAACGTACAGATGGTCATATATAACAGCATGGTTTGTAAGTTCATCTAAGAGTTGCATCAATCCTTTCTTTCTAAAATTGCAATATTTCCCCAAAGGTTAAGGTTTCTCGATGTCTATTGCCAAAGCGATATCCTTTCTCATTTAGAGAATAGTCGTTGTTTCAACTACAAATTAATCGACAATGAATTCTATTGGTTCTATTTTCTAATAATAATAATTGTATTATTACTGGCTAAATCAGACCACAACTGACCGTTTGTTTCCAATCAAATTCCACTTCTGAATACACTATAACAACGAGTAAACTGTTGGAGTTTGTATCCTTTTGAAATGAAAACACTAATCTATTGTTTATAACATTAGGAGTGACTCTACAATATAAAATTGAATTACTATTATTTTGTATGTCTTTAAATGTCATCATATGCCATTGATTTGATCGAATCAATTATTTTACGAGATTAAAGAATACTATATGAATAGCTTCCGAAAATGCTCAAAAAACTAGGTTGATCTGCACTCTTCTTAAAAACATCTATATTCTCATAAATTTCAGTTGATGTACTCACTTGTTTGATAGCATCCTTAATTTAACCAACCATAGCAACTGGATTGCTTTGAAGTTGTTTTATTAGCTCTTTATTTGCCATTCCAAAGTAGCAATTTGATATTATTCTGTTGTATAAACCTACCTTCTCTGTCTTGAATTTGGTAATCTTTTCTTATAACTCAAAATTGATTGCATCTAAAGCAACCATATTCTTTTCCATATTATACAAGTATTTGTAGACTGATATCAATCTGTCTTAAATCAATAGTCTCAATTCTCTTAACACTTTTTTGCTCTCCTTAGTTCTTGCTAATTTCTAATCTTCAACCACTTCATCTGATTACTCTATATTGAATTAGACCTTCTCATCAAATGCCTTCTCGAATTCTTTTAGTTTTATAATATTTCCAAAAAGCCCCTATTCTTTTTACATGGCTGCCTTCTTCTTTAGTGTTGTAGTCACATCATTTTACCCAGCCAAAAAATCATCAAAATCCTTTTTATTTTTAAAGCACGAAACTATTCTTATTAAAAGAGCAGATAAACTCACAGGATTCCACTAATCAAATCTATGAAAAGGAGGTTAATCTTCCGTCCTCAAAAATGATTCTATGGCATAACATCCACAATCACTGCAATGTCTCAACGATAATGACATTGTAGTGTAATACAACTATCGAGTTTTCAGTTTAACTTGAATTCTCTCTTATCCAGAGGCTTCATCAGGTTCTCCTTCGGTTAGATAACTGACAGCTTGAGTCTTGATACTCTTGGCAAATTATTCCATAAGATCTTAGTTCTCTGCTTAGACATACTTAATTTTCTATATATTCTCTACAATGCTTTTAGTAGCCCAATATATTGACTTAACTCTTGGAATTATTATATCGTCACTGTACTCTATTGCATGAAAGTATATATCCTTTATTTTGTTTACTTCGTTCTTTGATATGTATTTGCTGGCCATTTGAATTTTCTCGGGCAACTTATTATTTTGTATTCCGTTTGTTGTACTTGCACCATAAGCTATTGCATTAAATGCCGTGATTCTTCTGGGAGCATGATTTGCAAATATTTCAGTGATATTCTACCACAAAGGAACATTTTCAGGTTCCTCTTCTCTATCATTGATAAAAAAGTCGAACATTTCCAAAAAACATTTAATATTCAAAAAATTTGATTCTGCCTTTTAGTCTAATGTTTTCTCTTATTCCTGTTTCTAAGCAGTTGATATAAACATATTCTAATAATTCTGATAATATAAACCAAGCATTCTACATTGAATTTATTCTATTTGTTAATTATTCTTTTAAAAAAAGGGTTTTACTACTTCGTAAGTTTTTAAAAATAGCTCTCTCACTGCGACTGGTACATCATATGGTCCTTTCTTATCCTAAGGTAAGAAGTTTGTTAATTTTGGAGCGAATTCATCCCAAAACCCTTTGATGAATTCAACTCTTTCTTAAAAGAATTTATTTTCTTATGGACCATCAAATTTAGGCAATAGTACATCACATCCAGGATTTTAAAGATGATTCTAACTAAAGACCAGTGCAACAGGCTTAAGGTTTTTTGCTATACCACTTGTTAATTTATTTTCAATGGTTTTAACTGAAGTTTCTATTAGTTTTAAATTAGTTGTGATGCATTAACCAAATTAGCCTTAGAATTAGATAAACAAATTAGTAAATGCATACAAGGAAGGTTCATTTGTCTCTTTTTATGTGAAGATCAATTTTTTGCTAGTTAAACTTTGTAATTCTAATCGAAGTATTTGCACCAATAGATTGATTAAGATACGGTACTTTCGTTTATCATTAGAAATGTCTCCGAATGTGTCCATAACCAAATCAACAAAGTTCTTCTTGCTCAATCCTCCATGCTTAAAGATATTTATAAAGTAACACGGGTGCAACTGAAGCATTGTAAACATTATTTTATAACACAATGAACAAGTATAATAAGCTTCATGTTTCTTTGTTTTTTTCTCCTTCTTCTTATCCTTGTCCTTTTCCTCAGTTTTAAATTGAATGTCAAAGGGTTTGCGTTAGACTTTGTTGATAATGGTCAACATGGCTTCATCTTTAAATTTCCTAAATTCCTATAAATGTATTTCCTTAATCTCTTTATAGAGTCGTTGATTTTCTTGGTCCAATTCTAAGATTGCATCATATACATCATCAACAGGCTTTTCTTCAAAAAAATTGACTCGCTTTGTACTCGACACTCTTTCTGGATCATCTCCTCTATCAACATATGAACATCTATAGATATCTGGTTTGGATTCATTAATGAATTGTTCCCAAGAGGATTTACAAATCAATTTGCCATCTTCAATCATGCCCAAAGAAGCGCCAACAAAGACTCTTTTGGTTAAGGGTCGCTTAGACATCTTTTTGTTGTTTAATTAAAAGCCATCTGTATTCATTCCTGCCTTCTTTTGATCTTTTCTTTTAAATTCTTCTTCAAATTCATCCTCATCGTCATCAACCTTATCCGCCTACAATTGCATTAACTGATATTGTTTGAAAGTGTAATCAAGATATTAATTTATGAACTAAAGTGGCTCTGGCTTAATAAAGAGAGTTTTCAAAGTCTTGATATTTTCCTTTTTCACTTATTACTAATTTTTATTCTGTAATTGCATTTCATTCTCCTTATCTGGATTTATAAATTCATAACCTAAACCCAATCTACCAGTCATTCCATCATAGCCCCAAGAGAACAATTCCTTTACATCTTGGTTTTCTGTTAAAGCCACTGCATGATTGAAACTGCAGCTGACTGTCGTGAATTAAATATCGCACAAGGGAGTATTGACAATATTGGTCATAAGAACTTCAACATATTTCTCCCTTTGAGCAGCATTGGCACATTGATTTTTTAACTTCTCTTAGAAATCATAATCGAACAACCCCCACACAAAGGCTTTGTTCTATTTGCTAATTGCCATATTGTAACGATCTCCCAAACAAAGACTTTTGTACTTCCTTGTAGCTAAATCGTTGTGCTTGATGGGTGACACAATATAATAAGGCTCAGCCTCTTAATCTTTGTCTGATTTCAGATGCTATTTATCATCAGTGTCATCTTCAGGCTTAGCTATTCCTAAATATGAGCCTACTCCCCATACTACTATTTAATCATCGATTGTTAATGCTCCAGAATGATTAGTTCCTGCGGATACATCCTTAAATGAATATTTGGTTTACAATAATTTAGGATAGTATTGATTATCTAAATTACCATGCCCCAATTTTCCTCCATATCCATTACCCCAAGTGTAGATGACGTATTTTTAAGAATTGTCTTCTTAATTCCTTTCATTTGCTTTTGTCTTAATGACTCTCTCATTATACTTTTTATCTATAACCAAAGCCATTGAATGATGGGGACCAACAGCTACTTTAGCTACATCAAATATAAAGGGGACCTTCTGGGTTTACAAAACAACTGAGTTCTTGGGTCCCAATCCTAATTTTCCATCGACTGGAGAACCCACTGCATAAAGAGAGCCTCCTTCATCTAATATTAATGTGTGATCTTCCCCACATGATACCTATTTAACCATAAATCCTTCAAGATCTGTTAACATGGATGGAGTTTCAACAAAGTCACTAACAAATCCTAAGCCTAGTTAACCCTTATCATTTTTGCCCCATGAATAAATATTACGTCTGTTTTCTACAACGACCACATATTCTAATCCTGTTGCCAAATAAGTCACTCTTTTATTTTCTCGAATTGAGAATGTTAAGACTTGACTAGGATAAGAAGTTTCTGCAATTGTCTCCTAAATAAAAGGCCCAATGAACTTAGTCCTCGTTTTAACTTATTCAATAATTTATTCATCTTTTAAGCCATGCTACATGCATTTATTACTCCCCCAAACCCAAACTTCACCTGCATCAGTCAAGGCTACTGTATGAAAGGCTCCGCATTTTACATCGACTATATAAGAAGAAGCCTTGATTTCCTTCTGCAATTTATTAATGAATTCAGTGCAATGCATCCCAAAAAACAAAAACTCTTCGTTGATGTTTTTGGGTTCAATCAATGACTGTAGCAAATCTGGCTTAATGGTATTCAAGACTTCGTTTAATTTGTTTTGAGCCATTTCTTCTCCTTCATCATCATCTCCTTATTTGTAATCATCGTTCATAGAATTGTTGGTCAGATAGTTCTTAGGCAATAATTCAGCTTAGAGATCTCTACCTAAAATTCCTTTAAAGGGTAGACCAAATGATATAATGGACCCACTTTATAATAAGGCCAATCCATAATGGTAGGACAAGGCTAATTGATAAATAAATTGTTATTTAGATTTAAAGTAGTTTGTATCAATTCTTTGAGGTTCTGGATAATTGCTTCCAAATTCATCCTTTATACCTAATCTACCCTTTGAATTAGATCCAAATGCAAATGTTAATCTCTCCAATGTAGTAATAAAAGTTGTATTACCACCACATTTAGCATAAACTGCATAGAAATTTTGTATGGAATGAACTTTCACAGGTTCCCACCTATCATTAAAGTCTCCAGTGCCCAATTACCCATTCTTATTAAATCCAAAGGTGTGTGCATATCCATCGGTAGTTGTACAAGCGGTATGCATAGCTCCGCATGAGACATATTCGACAACCTTTCCTACCACAGATCCAGCATCAACACTCATTGGCACATTCGAACTCTTGTTTATGCCGTGTCCTAATTACCCATATGTCCCAACTCCCCAAGTGTATAGTGATCCTTATCCTTCAGATATACTGGCAGCATGTGAAGGACCAGCACTGATAAATTTCATTCTAATCTTATCAAAATCAATTCTTGTTGGTCTTTATTAATCCACTTACATTGGTAAACCCAAACAACCTGTTGCCCCTTCTCCCCAAGAGTACACTGACCCATATATGTCTAATGCTAATGTGTAATTTGCTCCACAGGAAATTTAACACACTTTAGAGATGCTTTCTACCACTCCTTTCATTCTGAAACACTCCTCTTATTCATTATAATCGTCTTCATCATCTTCTTCTTACTCACCCTCTTCAATTTCCTCTTGAGATTATTCTTTATCTGTCATCCTGCCTTATTATCCAAATTCATCGCTACCACTGGAGAATATTACACAATCATCGTAGCGCAGACTCTTAAAACCTAAATCATAACTAAAACTATCATCCATATGTTGAGGATGCCTAAAGATGTTTGTAAATTAATCTTGACTGCACGCAAGAACCATACTGTGTTGATTACCACAGGCCACTTACAAAGGCACGTATGGTTTTTGTTTGTGTTCTAGATAGATTTTAACTGGAGAGGGCTGAATTTCGGCATCAATGCTTTCTGGTTTTCCTAATGCTTAAAATTCATTGCTTCCCCAACCCCATAATTGGAAGGTTTATGGAGCTGTAGTCTTGTCTCCTTCACTTTGTATTGCCAAACAATGATTGACTCCTGCTGCCAAACGAGCAAATAGCAAATCAGGATTTATTCGATTATTCACTTGTAATTTCATTATTTATAATAAATTATTATAATTTGCATTCAAATTAATACTTTCTATTCATCACATTATAATTTTATAGTTAAAAAAATTAAATTTGTAATTGGAATCAATCATGTCGCAATAGGATGAAAGGTCAGAGGAGATTGAAGAATTCAAAAAACCAAGTTAGTTCCAAAGTGAAGAATAAAGAAACCTTCAAGAGATCACAGAATAGTTCAACCATGTCAACATTCAAAGTGCGCCATCAGGAGTTCAGAGTCCCTAATTGGCTTCTGAAGTGCACTCTCATCTGTAAGATTAGTCCAATAATTCGCCTCAATCCAACTTCATTAAAATTGACAAGAGGTTCTTACTTCCCGAAGAAGCCAATTATATCACCTATATCTCCGACAACACCAAGCTCTTAAAGGAGAAGTACGTCGAACACTGCATGGATAGCTTATAATCCATTTAAGACTTCGTGTTGAATCAAGGACTCAGCAGAAAAAAACAATTGAGCAATTGCCTCAAGAATGATCAAAGCTCCTAATTGAACAACCAACCTCCTCATATCCATGAATTAAGTTTACAAAACTCTAACCAATTTGAAAAAATCAATCTGTAAGAAACTAGCCAAAAAAAATAGTCAACCAATAGCAAATCTAATATTAAAAAACTCAAAGAGGACCCTCAATTCTAGCAGAAATTGTTCTTTGTTAATCAAATCTTAGAACATTTAAAAAAATTTGAAATACAATCATCCTCTAAAAAGATCTCCATCTTGGAGGATTCCTTGATAGTCTGTTTAGTGTTTCTATAATTATCAAATGAAAGTAAATCCTTGCAAGAATAATACGACTATATACAGTAGCACTATAATTATTAGAGATCCTTCTAAGCTTTTTCAACAAGGTAATTTTCCTGATTAGATTTATGTTAGAATCAAAGTATAACGTAATTTATATTAACAATGGACTTTAGAGAAGTTTGAGCAACTCTTAAAAGTACTACAAAGATACCCTAAAAAGGCCCTTGAAGATCTTACGTTAATATAACATCACAATATCAAAATTCCAAACATAAACTGATTATGATAATTGTATTCTTGTATTTAATGTGTACAATGATTTGTCTATTCTATAATTTTAAATGAATGCAAATTCTTATTCTTTTTGAAACTAAGAAAATCAAATCATTGTCCATAAGTATAGTTTTAATACAATAATGCAAATACCAACATGATAGACACATATATATGTATATGAAATATAAATAATTATAAATAATGTCATAACAATTTTATAACAAATACAAACATTTATTTGAAGATGAGATGTATGATAAAATGAAGCATGGATATGATATGTAAATGGCACCTCCTCAATAATAAATCCCCTAGTTTAAATTCTAATAGCAGCAACCTAAAATTCAGCAACATTAATCTCCCATAATGCAGGAATCACCATTTAAAATTAGTCAGCCTTAATCTCAATACACACAACCTTAGGTTTAATCCTTTTAAGCTTCCTCGCAAGAGAGATCAACACAGAGCAGAAAGAATTTTAACGATGAAAGAATAAGAAAATAAGTTATGCAAGACAACATTTTTAAATAACCAACATCAGAATAACGATAGGCAGATCGAATTTACCAATTAAACCAACCACATTAAGTTTAACATCAAGAATAGCCACCCCAAGAGAGGAAATAGTAGTAATAAACTTACAATGTGTTCTAAGATTAAGACATACTAGATGATTACGCTCCTAAGAGATAACGGTAATAGGTTTAGACTACGAATGACAACTCGCAACTAAATAATATTCATAAGGTATATCTCTAGAGATTGTAAATTTAACATATATTCTTAGAAATGATCTTGATTTTATAAGAAAAAAATACCTTGATCCAAAACAACTGGTTAGAGACATCGATCAAAACAATCCTTATAAGGCTGCGTTGATGTAGCGTATTTTGGCGTAGATGAATGGAAATTAAAGAAAGAGTAAATTGAAAGAAGCCTTAAGAAATTGATTAACATTTTATTATTGTACTCAAAAATATTATAGATAATAAGCATATGTTGAAGATGTTAAAATAAATACTGATCTATAAGTTTATAGCTCATTCACTAGCATCATCATTCTTTTATTTTGTAACTTTGGCAGAATTAATAGCTATTTTATATTTCAATAAAATACATAAGACTTTTTCTCCTGATTTATCAATATCAGAATGCTTCTTTGAATCATAAGGCCATTTATCTATTAACTCCAAGGGATTCTCAAGATAGCTACCCTCACCAAAGTTGGCCTTCAATCCATAGATTTTTCCCTAAATGATTCGAAGAATAAGTTACCCAAAAAGATGGATGTCCAATATCATTTACTACTCGTAAGTAGAATGCGTTAGGAACAATATGCTAAGCTACGAAAATCTTTTCAGTTGGCCCTTTAGGAGTAAGTACATAAGCTCTAGCATGATGATTCTCATATCCAAAGTACACGAAAGTCCACTAGAGCTCTTTGATATCAAAGGTATGAGACAATGGCTCAAATGATGGATCTTTTATTGTATAGGTACTAGCCATCAACTTATCGGTTTTTGTGAAGAATGCTAAGGTTCTATCTCCAATGAACTTATCATCTGCAGCAAGATCAGGTCCATTTGTAGTTAAACGAACTAAACCAGTGTATTCATTTTCCATTTCTGGGAGCAAAACGGCATTTTGGAACCAGAACCCAATGCTGTAAGATTACATTTCTGCTTTGTCTGTGAATTCAAAATTCAATTAGTCCTTCTTAGAATCAAGGTCATCCTGATTGGTTGTATCCAACAATGAGACTGGCCATTTGAAATCTTCTGCCTATTAAGGTGTAACTGGTAATTTCCTGTGTAATTTATGAATCATCTCTACAACCTTTTGGGATTCACTTATATAACTTCCAGCGCCCAAGAATATTCTTGGATCATAGAACCAGCCGTGGAATGCTTTATATCCAAATTCATTAGCTCCTAAGACAAAATGAGCATAACCAGTTAACACTTGATGAGTAACCTCAATATTTAGATGGGCTGCCTTTTATTGATCCTTAAATAAGACCATACCATAGAAATTCTTATTCTTATAGGCAGCATAGACATAAGTCCATTCACCTTCAATGGTATCATATGGCAATTTAGCATCAACTGCATTTGTAGGCTTGGATACATCATACGTACTGAATTCATAATTGCCTTTTGTTAAGAAGGCTGACAATACTCTATTACCTAATTCACTCTTATCCTAATATTGACGAGTACTTGAGAATCTGAAAATAGTGTGGACATCTGCTCTATCAGTCAGAGTAGTAGGGAATGCTATCAACCATCTAGTCCAAACACCAACTGCATATTCATCAACTGATTCAGTTTCGGATGTGAATGTTTATTCAACCTTTTCAGGTGTTTAAATAATTCTATCTTCTTTTTCAAACCACAGATATTTTTAATTAATTTGAATATGTCTAAAGTTAGGTAGAGTATCTTCATAGCCTTTCTTCATTACATCAACAAATGCTCCTTACCCATATTAAGCTACCCACTTCTACAACTCTCCTTAAAACCTTCTACTATGAGGATCCTTACCTACATAGATTCCTATGAAATGTGGAACAAAGTGTTGAACTCCTTTGAAAATAATTGGTTTATCTTCTTCAAACAAGTGTAATAAAGTTTAAACCTCACCAGCATTTTCATTGTAAGCCATATATAAATATGCCCATGCCTTCTTTGAGTTTCCAAGTTCAACTTTTTCCTCTAAGAATTTAGCTTCATTCCAATCCTTTAATCCTTTCAAAGTATATGTACTCAATTTAACAGTGTCACTTGTACATATTTAAGCATGTAATGCTCTATCTCCTTATGATTTACGATCACTTAAATGTTCTTTATCATTGTTAGTAATTCTGAATAATATTTAACAAGGGGAATTTATCTCTCCTTCTTTCTTCACTTAAGTTTCTGCAATCTTAAACCAACCAGAAATAGCATATTCTCCTACTCCACTCCAAGTGTCACCAGTACTTTCACTACCTTCATTATTATCACTTTCACCAATCAACTATTGTTAACCATGTTTTTGTTTATGAATATAATCAACTGTTAATTCTTAAGGTAAAGCAAAACTAGTATCAATTGATTTCATCAAATCTTCACCTGATGATATGAATGATCCAACTCCAAAATGAGCAGCAACCTCAGTGAATAATCCTTAAAATGGAGCAACATCCTTCTCTCCTCCCAAAATCAAATGAATGTAATCTCCAAGTGGTTTGTGTAATAGATTCTCATTTGTGGCATGTTTAATTTCCTCCCCATCAAATACAAAATAGTTAGCTAATTATAATTGTCTCTTATAACCGAGATATATGTAATGCCATCTTCCTTCCAAATGAGTATAAGGAATGGTGCTGATTTCATTAGGAGCATCATCATTCAAGTCATATGAACCAAATTAGTAATTGTCTAGGACAACCATGGCATTTAATATTCTATCTCCAATAGCAATTTTACCATGATCGACTTCATCATTATAAGTTAATCTTACGATCTACATTTCAGATGGAGTATGCCATTACCTCTCTGGCCATGCTTACAAGAATCTAGTCCATAAACCAACTGAATATTCCTAAACACTCTCTATCTTTCTATCAGGTTCAGAGAATGTAATCTTCAATCCTTATTTCTCTGGATCACCTGAAACCAATGTTATGGTATCATCAGCTTCCCAATCAAATTTACTGTCAGTACTAAATAATTTAGGTGCTGCCAAATAGACTTGAAGAGTGTTGAAGTTATCTTCTCTATAACTGCCATCTCCAATATTCAAAATAACTTGGGCCAATCTACTATCGAATGGTTTTGTCATGGCATCCTTAACTAAGAATAACCAGTAGTTATTAGAAACAACATGTAAAGCCTGTTCTAATCCTTTGTGTTCATCATCATCAGCCAATAAATAGTAACTAACCTTCTAGTGATGTTTGGAATAACCAAAATATACAAATGTCCAAATTTCCAATTATTATTATGGGATTTTAGCTTCGTATGTGTTCTACAAAGACAGAGGATTTAAGTTGTAAGTACTGAATTCTATACCATCTGTATGGAATAGAGCCAGAGTTCTGTCTCCTATTTTTTATGCATCACCCAACGAATCAGGATTTGAAGAAGTGAATCTGTATATCAACTATTGAGTCTTAACTGGCAATTTGAACCATCTGAACCATAATTGAATTCCATATTCTCTGGCCTCTTCACTTATGTGTGTAATATGTTGATCCTCTTCTATCTTAGTAACATCATGTTTTCCAATCAAAACCTCATACTTTTTGGTTGGAGCCAAGATATCAGGCATAACATCCTTATTCTTAATTCTTTAGAGTAAACCCTATTTGTTATCGATATAAGCACCTGGACCAAGATTGAACCTGATTGTGGTTATTTGCCCATTGAAATTTGTATAATATTTTCCTGCATTACCAACAGTCAATTACAAATAGTTATTTAATAATGAGTGCATAACATCCATTTGAATGCCTGATGTTGTATCTTGATAATGAGTGAATGCCATGGCATGTCCTTAGGTTTAAGAGATTCTCTTAAAGCTGAAATAAATATATGTCCATTCACTTTCAGAGTCAACATGATAAGGGATATCTCCAGCCACATTGTTTGATTTAGTGATGACATCATATGTTCCAAAATGATAGGATTGTTTTCCTAATAAAACCAATAGAACTCTGTCTCCTGGATGATCAAAATCTTTGTAATCTTTATTACTGGTGAGTCTGCTCAATCCCATTAATTCTGGTCTGCTATATATAGTATTCTTGCTTGCAAAATATTGGAATTTAACCCAATAACCATAACCATATTCACTGACACCATGCAAGTGCAATTTATCACTTTATTCGAATTCAATATGTAAAGGTACTTCATCACTTTATGATGAACATTCTAAAATAGTCTCTTCATGATGTGCTTCTTGTCCTGCCTATTGTAATTTGATATGATCTGTTCCACTGATGAATCCGAAATGAACTTTAATATTTTCATTTTCATCAAATCCTCCCTCTCTGAATGATCCATCTCCAATATTAATAACCCATGTTTTAATTTGACCAATAAATTAAGTGTATTGTTATTTCTCTTAGATCAATACAGAGAACACTGCCAAATAAAAATGATTCACCTTTTCCTATTTAAATTCGCTCTCTGTAAATGTGTATCTCAAATAACCATAAGTCTACTGTTTCTATTAGGAAAACCCATAATAAATGTAGGTCCATTAATCAGCATACTCTCCATAAGCTTCATCTTAAGTAGCTAATTTGTATTCGCCTTCATTTTGATTATAAGTGATGAAAGAGAAGGCTTGATCTCCTCTGATTATTTGTAAGGTCTCTTCATTCTTACCATCCAAATCCTCCAATCTCTTTTAAGCCATTGTTATTAGATGTGACACCTTGCCAGTAACCAATGGACCATTCCATTTAACCCATCCAGATATAGCATACTCTTCTGCTCCTTAAAACTTGTCGAATTCATATTGGATTGGCTCCTCCTTAAGCTATTGAGGTGCTCCTACTAATTGTAAGGTTTATCTGGCTACTGGATGAATCTGTGCCTTCTCTGGTAGAGTATTCTAAGTAAAGATTCTTAATGTATCCATGGTGGGGATGAAGGATCCAGGTCCAAATGAAAATGATATTCTTGCCATTTCACCATTGAATAATGGAGCTGATGTTTTGCCAACAATGAATTCAACGTACTCAAGTAAATAATCATGGAAAGTGTCAAAGATAACTTCATCCACTTCACCATCAACACCAAATTGAACGTATCCTTTGGCCAATCCCTAATTTTCATGTCTAATATATCCAAAGTAAACATAATTCCAATGACCTTCTAATGATGAAAACTCAATATCATCTTTCAATTCCAATGTCTAGAATTCATAAGAATCTGGAGTCAAAGATATTGACAAGGTATTATCTTTAGGAGTACTTGGTCTGTTGGCATTAGATCTAACTAATTTACCATCAATAGATTCAATAACATAGCCTTGAGTACCCATTCTAGCAATAGTGTGTATTGGTGCTCTCTTATTCAAATATTTCGGCAATGTACTCAACCATCTAGTCCATAATCCAAAACCATATTCACTTTATCCGTTGATTCTCATTCCTTCCTCATTATGAATGATAATTTTATCCACAACATTTTCTGGAGCATCATATGCTACATCTCTAGCTTAATTAGCATCTCCAGCTATGTAAGTGATGGGCTTACCCACTTAATACACTCCCATCACTCCTTCGCCATAATTGAATGTCATCTCAAATTCTAAACCTTCTCTGTATGCTCCTGTTCCAAGATAAACACCAACATATCCAATCATACCGTTGAATGGAGATATGACATCATCACCGCCTAAAGTAACACTCAAACTGTTAACCAATCTGTGCTGGATGCCTTCGAATTTAACTTCTCCTACCAATCCTGGTTTAATCACTGCTCCATAGGCACGTCCTCCATCATTATCATATCCAAAGTAAACATAAGTCCAAATGAACTCAACACTTTCTACTGTCTTTGATAAGTAGGGTTATCCCTTTGCTCTATTACCCTTGGTTGTATAAGTATTGAAGTAGACTGTACTCTTGGCACCACCACCATATGTATGATGTATTTCTAATGCTCTATCACCTAAAACTCCTTTTCCTGCAGTTTTGACTTTGTTTGATCTCAAATTAATTATCTAAAATGTATTTGGTTCATCCACTTTTAAGTCATCGATCCATCTAAACCATAATCCAACGGCATATTCCTCTATAATCAATTAAGATTCTTATGGATCAAAGTGGTACTATTCACCTTTATCATTTCCATTCAAATGTTTAGGTTTCTGAACAATAGTTTCATCTATCATAGCAGGAACACTCTAAGGAGGATTACTCAAAGTCTTGAGAATTTCATCCAATGCTTCCTCTCCATCTACAAATGCTGGAGCATCAATGTCAAAGAAGATATTGGCGAATTGTCCATTCAATCCATTATAATCCATATGCTTACCACCAAATATAATTTTGACATAAGAAGGGGGAATATGAGTAGCCTCTATTTCTACTCTATAGATTCCATTACCTTCTCCATAACTAACAATATAACCCACAGCTCTTCTTAAGGGATTACTGTAGGAGAACATAACGAAATACCACATACTGTCCATATTCTCATTCAAAACTACTGCCTTATCTTTAGTCTTCAATTTTTCACTTGTATCGTATGTACTGAATACAAAGGAATTGTCAAACATGAATACTGCCAAAGCTCTGTCTCCATAAAATGAAAAATCTTCATATTCCTCATTTATAGTCATTCTTGATAAGAAATAGTATTCACCATCCTCTCTAGTGTGCTCCTTAACTGCATGTTCTGCATATCTCACCCAATAACCATAACCATATTCAGAAGAATCCTGAAGCAATGATCTATCACTAAACTCAAATTATTCTGTAGGTTCACCATCAAATTCTGAGTTTTGATATTTAGTATTTACAGCCACAACCTTTCTTTCTTAAACACGACCTGAATTAGCTCTATGTTTTGGTGGTTAAAACTATGTTGGTTCATTTGGATTAGGTTCTTCTCTTAATGATTAGATTTTTAATGAACGTTCATCACTAGATTTTTATTTTTTTGTTTTCTTTTAATCATCCTAATCCTTAGAGCCATCTTTGTGATCTTTATCTGATTTTTATTCTTCATGTTCTTCTTCGTTTTCTTATTTATGCTAGCTTTTTTCTTTTTCTTCCGTTTCTTCACCTTCTTCTCTTTATTCACTTTCTTATTAATGTTCGCTTTTTACTGTATGGTCTCCTTCTTCACCTTATTCTTTTTATTCACTATGATCTATCACACCATCTTCTTATTTTTAATCATCATTTTAATGTTCAACTTTTGATCCAATTTAAACATCTTTTTCATCATCTTAACCTTTAGATTAATTATCAACAACTATATCTTCTTAAGTTTCTGTTGTTTCGTGATCACTGTCTGATGATGACTTTTAATCTTATGTTTCCTCTGTAGTATCTTCTACCTGTGTTTCTGATTATGTTTCTTATGTAACAGTCTCTGAGTTTTCACTTGTTGTTTCTTATGTAATTGTCTCTGAGTTTTCACTTGTTGTTGTCTCTGAAGATTCTTCTGTTTTCTATTCCTATGTTTATTCTTATTTAGATTCTTCGGTGGATTCCTAGGTTTCAATTTCCTAAGGTTCTTTATAATCTGTATCTTTTGTTTCATCGCTTTCATTATCGGCTTGTTCAGTCTTATTTACTGTTGTTATTTTAACTTCAGTTGTGTCACCCTCATCATCAGTAGTTCCATTTTTAGATTCCTCAACAATCACGTTTTCTTTTGTTTCTGGCTCTACTTCTGTTAAGGGTTAATCATGAGTTTCAACAATGATTTATTCTTATTCTTCCTATTATTCTTATTATTCTTATTGTTATTCTGTTTATTGTTATTGTTTTTCCTTTTATTCTTATTCTTATTCCTTTTATTCTTATTGTTATTCTGTTTATTCTTACTCTGTTTATTGTTATTCTGTTTATTGTTATTCTGTTTACTCTTATTCTGTTTACTCTTATTCTGTTTACTCTTACTCTGTTTACTCTTATTCTGTTTATTCTTTTTATTCCTTTTATTCTTATTTTTTTTCTGTTTATTCCTGTTATTACTCTGTTTATTCTGTTTATTCTTATTACTCTGTTTATTCTGTTTATTCTTGGGATTATTATTCCTATTAATCAGATTATTTCTATTAATCAGATTATTCCTATTATTCAGATTATTCCTATTAATCAGTTTATTCTTATTATTATTATTCCTATTTTTATTCTTATTATTCCTATTTTTATTCTTATTATTCAGATTATTATTCCGATTATTATTATTCAGATCCAGTATTTTCTTTAGTTTCGTTTCCATTAGTTTCTTCTTTATGTTCTTCTTCTCCTTAACCTTTTTCCTAATCATCATCTTTTTTTTCACTCTAATCTTCATCATTATTTAATCCTTCCATTTTACTTACTTTAGCTGTAGACACTACCTCTTATTATTTATTTTATAAATCATCGGCATTCTCCTTAGCTTCTCCTTCAATTTCATGACCCAATGCTACATATCTTTTATTTCCTTTAATTTCATCAACTATTTCTTTAGGCACCAACTTCTTAACTTATTTTCTTTATGGTTTTTTGTTCTCATCCTCATATGTTGGATAAGTATAATGTTGGGGTTCATGATAGATGTGATCAGGAGGAGTTTCAACATCTTCCTCTTCAAAATAATAATAAACTATTTCTTCTGGCTCCTCATCGAAATTTATCACTTCATCATCTGGGTCATTATCTATAATTATTGTTGGTTTTTTAATTTCTTGGTCACACACTCTCTTTAAAGTTTGAAGCTAACTTATCTTTTGCCTCAATCCTTAAGTACGTTTTGCATATTAGCATTAATTTAAGTATTAGTGGATTTGTTCTTGAGTCTACCTCAAATGGGCTATGATTTTATTTGCTAAAGCAATCTTCTCCTCATTAGCTAATTTATCATCAATTATGAATACTTTAGGTTCCATTCAATTAAGCAACGTATTCAAGAGCATCTTCCACTTTGCAAGCTGCCCATTTGTTTTATGTAAATATGCTTTTCAGTGATTGGCTCACTTTACTCTAGATTGACACCAGCATTGTTGAGTGAATCACAGAAATTGTACCTTTAGCTTTTTCAACTATGCTTATAACTTAATTGATTATTGCAAGATCCTTGATTAATTGCTCTCTATTATCTATAATATCAACCCATCTTGCCAACTCTGCTATTGTATATTCAAAATCAGTGTGACAATTTAAATGAGAAACATCTAGATTTTATGCTTCAGTGTAGGTCATCCCTGACATTTTATATAAATATACCTTGAGTTCTAAGCTCTGATGCTTCTATTTTCGTAGAGATAACCACAACCATCAACAACAAGAATGTTATTAAGGTTTTCTTCATTTATGTTAAAAAAATATATGCTATAAACCGTTTTTTATTTGTTATTAAATTTTATTCTTTACCAAATGAACTTTTAAAGGTCCACGATATTTTGATCTAAATCCAAATTCAAACACTTCGCATCTTAATCCTCTTTCTCTACTCCCTTATAAAATTTGGTCCAACAAATAATTTTATCTGCCAATATTAGTAACTTAGAAAAATCTCAATCTCTACTAATTAAATATCGATTTTGACAATTAATAAAAGTACAATTTTATTAAATTATTAATTAATCAAAACACCAATCGAATTGGATAATAAGACCCAAGTCTATTATTGTAATTGCCATTAAAGAGAATAAAATATCTATTTATTACCTTTACAAAACAATTTCAATTTGATAATCTAAAATATTGAACTATTTTATCAAAAATTCTATTTAAAATTCTTCATTTATATAAATTCATTACAACTTTTTTTTTTAATTAAGAAGCATTCAAATATTTTTATTTTTACTTACTCTTCACAAAAATATTTAACCTAGAATAAAGTTACAAAAATTAATGATTCATTCAATCAGCTTGACAGTTTAAAAGATACTCTTTGCATAGTATGTTCATTCTACTTTACAACTAAAGAAAACATCTTTATAATTTATTCAAATCTATTTAAAATGACGATAAATAGAGACTCTTTTGAAATCTTTTTAAATTATTGATAAAATTTATTCGTATTAGAGATTTAGATATTTAGATATAGAAAATACTTTAATTGTGGATTTTTGGAGAATAAATAATAATGTGTCGACATAAGTAGAATAAATGGATTTCTCATTTGATTAAAGTGAGAGTCTACAAGTCGATTATCTTATATATAGTTAACAATTTAACTTAATATTTTCCCTACATTAAATGGCCTTGAAATAAATAGAATTTAATGATTATTGATCATTGACATATCGGTATCAACAAAATTGTGTAAAGATTTTAGAGTAATTTTTTACCTTATCTTCCATTATAGAATATTTAAATGTAAGATATTTAATTATATATAGGTTATGTGTGTGTATTTAATATATGAGTAATAAGTTTATTTTATATATTCACATATGGAAATAAAAATTGGATGTTTATAGCAGTTTGATAATCAGAGCAATTTGTTGGCCAAAATCATTAAATATATATGTTTTCTACTCTAATTATGATTTAAGAGTATGAATGAAGATTATGATTTATTTTAGTTAATTCGATAAGTTATGTTAGTTTAGATTGTATATAATTAATTTATAAAATGAGACCAAAAGAATCAGATGTATATAAGAGAATTCGTTTGTTGGGACAAGGGTCCTTTGGGAAGGCTTATCTTTGTGAATATTTAAAAGATCACTCTTTGTGTGTTATTAAACAAATGGACATGAGATATTTAAATGATTAGGAGAAAAAAGTAATTTTTTTAGCTAAGTAAATCAGGAAACCTATAGAGAATTCAGGATAATGTCTGAGTTAAAGCATCCAAATATCATTAATTTTAGAGAGGTTTATAAGACTGTAAAGGGGAAATTATGCATAGTTATGGATTATGCTGAAGGTATTGGGATCTAAATTACAATTAGGTGGTGATTTGGCTTAGGTGTTAAAGAATACAGAGGGACACATACCTGAGTCTAGGATTTTGGACTGGTTTACTTAAATGTGTCTTGCCATTAAGCATTGTCACGATCGGAAGATAATTCATCGAGATATAAAAACTTAAAATATGTTCCTGACTAAAGACATGAGAATACGTTTGGGAGATTTTGGGATAGCCAGATTACTGAACAATACAAGGGACAAAGCAAAAACAATGGTTGGCACTCCGTATTATTTGGCACCTGAATTATTGGAGAATAAACCATATAGTTTTAAAGGTGACATATGGTCACTTGGAGTAATACTCTATGAAGTAATAGAATCAATATTATAAATTAGATGTGTGCCAAGACTCCCCCATTTACTGCTGAATCGTTGGCATCGTTGGCCCTAAAAATAGTGCGTGGCTAATTTCAAGCCATTCCAAATGTTTACTCATCCCAACTAAGAACGTAAAACTAGTCTTATAATTAACAAAGATAGCCTTGTGAATTAGCTTTTAACAGTTAATCCTGAAAAAAGACCGGCTGTTCACCAAATACTCAAGCTGCCCATCATTACAAATAGAATTAAGAATTTCCTATCAGAGACTATGAAGAGGAGCGAATTCGATCACACAATATTGCACAACCAGCAGATTCATTTGTCTGATACAACTATTCCTTTGATTGATGACTAAGATGCAAAGGGTGACTTAATTGAGTAAACTTCAAAAGAGAATCAGGTTAAGCAATTGCCAGGAATTAAGAGTCCTCTCGTTAACTTGTAGAAATAAAGAAAGAACAGTGATTTAAAGAAACTACCTGAAATTAAATTGGCCAAGCTTGACAAGCCGCCCATAACCAGATAATAAAGCAGTCGATAACAATTGAATCAGCTTCCTAGTTAAAGGGTATAGCCATCTACTCCTGAAGTAGGTATTCATAATAAACAAAAAAACGGGCGCTTTATTACAAAAGAAAGTCCTGATTCTTATTAGGGATCAGATCAAGTCATGGAAGAAGGAAACAAAAATAGTGAATTAGAGAGTCCTAAATTCTTTAAGAAAAATATTGACATTAAGCCTCACATCAAAAACATTAAGGGGCTTACAAAATTAGATTAAATCCAGAAAATTAAGCTTGGATTGAAATCTGAAGATGATGCCAAAAAACCCATTTATAGAGTTCATGCATAACCAAAAATGTCAGAATAATTAAAATAAAAGGAACGAAAGGTATCTGAAGAAATTGTTTCAAATTATTTAAAATAAGAGGAACCAATTAATTAATAGCATCAACTAGAAAAGATTTCGGAAACTCCAGAATAAAAACTACTCAATTAATCTACAATCAGTGATTTTCAAAACTCAGAAGAAAACATTGACAGTAACAAAAAATAAAGTATTTTGACACCTGCTTTCGAAATTCAAATTGATAAATAATTTCAAGCACCTGATTTGATTTCAAAGAAACCGTCAAAATTAATCAAACAGTCTATTTCTAAAACTGATGAAGAGAAAAATAAGAAAAAAATATATAAAATAATTTATAGAGATCCCTTCTTAAGAAAGCCTCAAATTTAGAAACGAAACAGTGAAGAGGATATGAAAGAAATGATTAATGAACTGAAAAATGTTCTTGTAAAGAAATTACATATATAAAATAGTCGGATTAATCAAAAAAATCAGAAGAACCAAATCTAAAAAATGAAGTTGAATCTGAAGATTCTAGAATCTATTCGGAAGAATCAAGCGAAGATTTAAGAGATGATGCTGATACACTGCCACCATAAACTTAAGTTAATACTTGGATGTAAAGTAATACCGAGCCAGTTGATATATCACAATCATAACCAGAACCGAGAAGGAAGATTAATAGTAATTAAAAGAGCTTGAAAGACAAATTAGTTCGAGAATTAGGACATCATTTTGAATAATTATTTAGATTAGCTAAATTATGCACACATTTAGAAGACTTGGGAAAACAACACTTAAAAATGGCTATAATGGATAACATTAGAATCGATGAAAATAGAGCAGAAACTTGTGCAACTCTCTTGGTTACATTAGCCACAATTGGTTACTGATATTTTTAAACTATAAATAGTTTTAAAGTTTTGGTTTTATTATATAATTCAATGCAAGTAGATATATATATTTTTGAAATACATTATTATCATTAAATTATATATATGGTATGATATATAACCCTATTAGTTTAATTTCTAATCATCAAGTCTTCAATAGTGAAAGGTTACAATATAATTGTTGACTTATTAAAACTGTTAGTCGAAATAAAAAAGAAATAAATTGATTTTTTAATAATTAAAATAGAAGCAAAATAAAAATCATGATTGACAAAGACTTTATGCAGGATCTAGAAGATGAGGAAGAGTAGTAAATTGTAGAGGCAAAATAATAAGTTGAAGAAGAACCAACTTGTTCTTTACTGAAAGATAACAAATTTCTTTAGCATTACCAAAGAGTCTAAGAAGTATCTGCTTACCAAATCAAAGATGAAACTATAGACGCAAGTCATGAAGAATATCATCTAATTTTAAGATCTAATGAATATAGTACAATAATAGATTAAGAGTATTCATTTTGAATAATCTAAGGATTTTGAATATTCACAAATAATTGAAGGACGTATATCACAAAAAGTTTCCAGAATTGGAAAAAATTATCATAAACCCAATCGAGTATGTTAAGATAGTCCAATTAATTCGAAATTCTGTTGATCTTTAAGCAATAGATTTTTCAAAGCTTTTAAGTGGTCAATAAGTTGTTGCAGTGAACATTGCAGCTAAGCAATCTTTAGTAAGTTAGCTTTCAGAGGAAGATATCTCTTTGGTCGATCAATTGTGTCATAAGATTGAAACATTAGATAGCTACAATTAGAAAAGTAACACTTTATTACATTATTAGTCATTTGCTATATTGAATCTAGAATGAAGTATATAGCACCAAATGTCTCAGCCTTAATAGGTACCTAATTGGCATCTAAACTGATGGCTGCTGCAGGAGGAATTGAAAAACTTGCCAACATGCCAGCAGGCAATATCTAAGTGATGGGAAGTGTTAAGAAGAATATGTTAGGAATGAGTAGAGCTATGCATAATAGAAACACGGGTTATTTTGGAACATTGGAAATTGTACAGAAAGCATCAGGGAAATTGTAGAATCAAATAGTAAGGATGCTAGCAACAAATGTGGCCAAAGCAGCAAGAGTGGATAATATGAAGACCTGTCCCAAAGGGAATGTAGGAGAGGATCTAAGAATAAAAATGATGAAAAGGTATTAGAAGATTTAAGAACCTCCCCCTGCAAAATTAGAAAAACCTTTACCCATCCCAGATGAGAACAAGAAGAGAAGAAGAGGTGGAAAGAGGTTCAGAAAATAAAAAGAAAGATTAGCAATGACAGAAGTGAGGAAGTATGCCAACAGATTGAAATTTGGATTGGAGGCTGAGGATGAAATCAAGGATACTGGAATTGGGTTGGGAATGTTAAGTTAAGGTATTGGTAAAGTTAAGCTACACATCAAGAAGGATAAACCTATTGGCCTCAGTAAGAAATTGCAATAAAGGCTTGCATAAACTAAGACTTAATCTGGTGGGGGAACAGGAGGATTAACTTCAAGCATTGCTTTTACACCCACTTAAGGAATTGAATTAGTCAACCCAGAACCTGGATATTTGTCAAAGGTTCCTGATTAATATTTCAATAGAGAATCAGGGTTTAGAACTGTATTAAAAAAGGAAAGAGAATTTGGAAGATAGCATTGATTAGTTTTATTAGTTTAAATTTAAAAATACATATAAAAAATTTTTAGTATTGTTAGAGAAGAACAACTAGATATATTTATTTCATTAAATACAGTAAAATATGCACAAAGAGAGTATAATCTAATTGGAATGGGTTAATGGATGGCAATGTTTTTGTGATTAGTTTCAAAAAGAGAGTATAGTTTATTTCCAAAATAATAATTATTAATTTAAATATGATATAAAGTTCCACTCGTAACCGTTCTGAACAACTAATTTATTAACGAAGACAACAAGAATAATAAGTGGGCAAGTTGAGCACCAAGTTAAGATAGGAGCAATATGAAAAAACCTTTGCGGCTTGGGAGAATAAGGGAAAGGATGTTGCCAATTAGTAATACATGAAGAATAGGTTTGCAAATTATTATATATAAAGACTGCAATAGATAAGAGCTGAGGCTGAAGAACATAAAGGATAAAGGAAATAAAAATTGGCTGCTTTGTTAAATGCTGAACATGAATAATATCAACAAGAAATCAAAGCTATGGTTGAGACTCCAGAATAGGTTAAGGAGAGAATGATGAAAGAAGTTGCAGAATTGAAACAAAGAAAGGAGATTGAGAGATCTAAGTAGGCAGAAGCAGCATATGAACGAAGATTTAGAGATAATGCTGATGAACTCAGATTAGTGAACTAGCAATTTAATGAATAACAAGCTGTTGCTTACAGAAACATGTAAATGATGGAAAAATAGAAATTATTAGAAGACCAATATGAAGGTATTATAAATGTGCTATTTGAAACTAGAGGAAATGATTTATGCAGAATTATACAGAAGGGAAATTTTAAAGAAGGAGAGACTAGAAAAGGAAAAAGAAATTTAATAGAAAGCCAAAGTAGATGAGAGAAACAAAGTTTTAGGTATTCAGGCTTCAATGAATGTTAATAAGTTTTAAAGAATCAAGGATGAAATTGAACAAGAGAAATAGATGCTTGTAAGATAATGAGATTTTAACATTTTAGAGAGAAGAATGGAAAAGAGAAGAGGAGAGACATAAATAAAGAGAACTTTAATATTTGAATTATAAAAAGGAAATTAATTAAGAAATTGCGTTAAATAATGAATAATAAAAAGAATATAAAAAATAAATAAAGTAAGAAGAAAGGAAATAAGATAAAGAAATGATCTAGCAAGTCTTAGAGAGAGAAGAAGCCATTGCTAGGATGGAATAAGCAGAAAAACTAAGATAAAAAGAAGAAACTAGATAATTTTTACTTAATTTTAAAAACAGAACTAATGAATATAGTGTAAATGATTAATTGAAGGAAAGATTGATCAACGAAGAGAATACTCGTTAATGGGAAAATAAAGAGGCTAAATGGAAGGCTGAAGATGTAATCTTGCAATTAATTTTAGGATGCTAGAGTTAAATTAATGTATGAAGTCTATGCTTAGCGAGCAGAAAATGTAGAATTAAAGAAGAAACTAATCGAAGATGAAAAAAATATTAAGTAGCAAGATAAGGTGGAATTATTACGATAGTTGGATTTATATTAGAAAGAACTAGAGGAAAAGTAAAGACTAGAATAAGAAGTAAAATACATATTTAATCGAAGAAAATTATGTAAACTAAAAACAATTTGTTGAATCAAATGGATGAGAAGAAACAAAGATAATAAATGTTAAGAGATAAAAAACTCCAAGAAGAAGAAGCACTTCGTAGATAGAAAGAAGAGTATGAGAAAAAAATAGAAATGGAAAAAGCTAAAGGGCGTGCTTTGCTCGATGAACTTAGAAAATAAAGACCTTATTGAAATATTATAATCAATTCAAGTATATTATTCTTAGAGGTTTTTCTCAATTGTATGTTAATATTACTTCTTTTGAACTTTTATTTCTAAAAAAATGTCTTCTAGTTACCTCTTTTGCATAATTATGATTGCAAGGCTATTATAGTATTATAAGTTATCCAATTTTGTTGCATTAGCAGTTAATATAAAAAAATGATTAAATTAAATTATTTAATTATTGGATATGTCAACTCCTTAAACAAAATCAAAATTGGTTTAAACTTTTGGTAGAAAGAAGAATGCTGTAGCAAGTGCCAGCGTAAGAGAAGGAAAGGGTACTTGATACAATTTAATCAAAGGTTTGGTTAGAGTGAATGGTGCTCCAATTGAATTAGTGAACCCAGCTCCTTTGAGACAAAAGGCTCTTGAACCACTCTTACTTCTTGGTTAAGTCAGAACAGGTAGATTAGACATCAGAGTCACTGTCAGAGGTGGTGGAAGCACTGCATAAATTTATGCCATCAGATAGGTAGAATGGCAATGATATATTGTATAGGCTATTAGCAAAGGCATCGTGGCATACTACTAAAAATATGTAGATGAAACCTAAAAGAGAGAGATCAAAGATCTTTTATTGCAATATGATAGAACACTCTTAGTTGCTGATCCAAGAAGATGTGAACCAAGAAAGTTTGGTGGTAAGGGTGCCAGAGCCAGAAGACAAAAGAGTTATAGATGAAAATTTTAATCACAGTACATTAAAAATAATATAAATATTAATGGAATTTTAGTGCAGTTAGAGGATTCAACTAAGCAAGTCATTCTCTATTTATCTTGCAAATTGTTGACTTTCATTATGTTATTACAGTGTTCATAACCTATACATGAGAATGCCAATAGTAAAATACAAAAATGATGGGTAATTATTCTAAATTATTTAAGAGTTGAATTTTTGTTTTTGGGCAGTCTTATATGGTTTACGCAATTTTAAAGCATTATGAATATTCTTAAAAATGATTATCACACTAAGGAGTCAAATTATCTCTAATTCTCTTGATCATTATCATTCTCAAAATTATAATAGATAAATTGAAGAATGCTATGTGAGAACCTGCATTTTAGTTTTTAACTTATAGGCAATCTAAATGGTTGCTTAAATCAAATAGAGTAAATAGATTTGTAACTTAAATGTTCCAATAATGCTTACTATGCTTGTTTGAGAAGCAAAGAATTAAAAAATCACGATTTAGATTTAGAAGATATCGTTTAAAAATGACCTACATCGAAATAGTTATGTTTTAATTCAGTACTCTCTTTGTTAAAGAAAAAAATACTTAATTTTCTGACAGTAAATATTAGAGACTTCCTTTAATATGTAATTAAATTCAATAAAATTTAGCCATAATATATAATTCAAAACATCATAATTAAGCACAAAGATTACCTAATGAATTGAAGTCAACAAACAAAATCACATAAAGCTCTACTAATTAATATTTTAATTTTCAAGAGTAATAAATCGTTATCCTAAAAGAATATGTTTTAAATAATTAAAATAAAGGTCATAAAATTGAGCACATGATTATTATTTGATAAATTATTTGACAAGTTTTCAAGAACCGTTTTAGATTGCAAGCAAATCTTCCCTAAAATTATAATTAATTCTTTGGATCTCTAAGAAAATTATTAACGGAAATCTCTTGATTGTCTTTTAGTTTTTATAAAAAGATATCCTAAGACTTAATTTAGATTAATATTTATAATCAAAACATCTTCAATTGAATTCTAAATGAATAAATAGATAAGCTCAAAAAATGTGATGCTTAAATATCATATTGACTTTAATTACTTTTTATTATATTAAATATACTATTTATAATGAATTAGTATTCATTTTGTAGTCCAAAACCAAGGTTTATGCAAGTGAAAATGGATGAGGCAGAATAAAGAAGCTGGTCTAGAGAGTACAAAAAGAGAAGCGATTTTTTTTGTTTGTCATCAAAACCTTCAGCATCTCGACCATAGACAGTTGATTCTAAAATTGAAGGAAATAAGGCGATAAGATGCAACTCTAGAAAATAAAGATAGCATTCATTATAAGAATCTGACATAGGATGCCTTAGTTAAGATGTTTAGTTAGTTGATTATTTAGTATTAATTATAATTAACGTAGTTTTAATTAAAAAATAGGTAATAAGATAGATATAAAAGTAGAATCTTAAAATTACATGAAAAAAAAACAAGAGTATGGAAAAACTATAAATTTCCAGAGTTATTTTAAAGTATTAAAAACAGAAATGATAATTTTGATCCATTGATTATATTTGATAAAAAAAAAGAACCAATTCTGAATTATATTGCTTGATAATAATTTAATAAATTTGATGAACATTTGGAAGTTTATATTCTAAATTTTAAAAGAGCAAAATCAAATTATGTAAATAATTTCTTTTTTTATTTTTAATACTCTTATTTTAAGAAGTATTAGAATCAAAATTAAATATAAATCAGTAAACATCCTTTATTTCACTTTACATCTCTAAAAATAAAGAAGATTTTAAGTTAGGAAAATTAACAATTATTTTATATTTTTTTGAGTGATCCATTCTGATTAATGTAATTTCATTATCTTAAAATATAATAAAGAATTATTATCCTTTTTAAATTTACTTTTATGTTAATACATTATTAAGGTTTATAATAATATTTTGCTCAATTATTGTTTTGAGAATCATATTCGAAGTTTATTTACAGACTTGGTTTGTTATTTTTGTATTAACATTTAAGAATTACACTATATATGTATGAATAATTACTTCGGATCTTAAAATACAACCCTTTCAAGCAAAACAAAAGGGCATATTCGTGAATATCTTGTAAAATGGTTTTCCACTCCAAATTTTGTGATTTATCCTTTGCAATGCCAGGTAAATTAAATTATAGTGTTAACTTTATTATCATAATAATAGAAATTAGACAATGTGCTCAAATATAATGAATTGGATAATGGCAGTGAGTAGCCCATTTCAACTTGTGGCTGTTTATCAAATTTAAAAGCAAATATAAATTTTTCCTTCCACACAGTCCTTAATCTGAAGTCGCTTTATGCATAGTTTGGTAAGCAAATCCTCATTGTGAACTAACCTTAAAGATTTTATGATATTTTTAGAGCATCTAAAAAATATGATAAACAGTAATTATTCAAAATTTTCATATCTAAGTATTATTTTGTTATTATATGTCCTTTGTTTTAAGTGTTGCCAATAAATGCTGAAAAGGAGTTTTATGGAAGGACACGAAATCCTGCAAAATAGTTCCATCCTTATTCATTAGGGTTTTAGAAAAACAATGTAAATCTGTTAAATTATTTGGAATGGGTGAATTAATAATAATGACTAATAGATAAACAACATACTTTCTCTAATTTTGATAAGTAAAAGACATTAACCTCCCGATTTAAAAATTTATTTTTCCATTTTTTATTATCCCATTGCCAAATCCAACAGTGCCAGGTTAAATTCTTGTTATAAGTAGAGATACTGAATTTTAGTTAAACAGTTAATCTATATATGAATCGTTAATGAAATATGGAGATAACATTTCTTATAGTATTATAATAATAATAAAATTAATTCTTCGTGATATATTATGTTTATTAAATATTATTCATTCAATAATTTTGATTAACAATAAATTGTTTTACCATACCTCGTATTGATATGGAGCACTGTAATAAGATTTTAAGATAAAGTAATGAATTAGCTTAGATCTGCCTTTAATGAAGTTATCTAGCTGCATTATCGATTAAAAAGTTCGCCTATTACAATAAAGATTGCGTACCAAATAGAATTCATTATCTAATTTGTTTCTATTTTTAAACAGTATCATAAAAATAATACAATTAAGTTGTAGAAAGTGACAACGAAAGCAAATTAATTTTTATAATTAGGAAGCCAAACAAATAATTAAAATTCTATTTGAATTTAATTCTTTGGTTTAATAGCTTGTTAAAATTGTTAACTAAGTTTATTAATTAGTGGTGTAAAAATGTGAATATTTTTTGGAGAAATTATTGACTTAACTTATCTAAGAATGGTGACTAATGAATAGAGTTAAGTACAAAGGTAATCAAAAATAGCTAACGGCTTATGAAAAATGATAAAAACATTCATAAAATAATTTTTTAGTATTAAAAATTATGAATAAGATAAACTGAAACAATATGATAATTATTTTAAGGGCTCTAAAATTAAGCAATCCTTTTATAATAAAATTATATCGACTTATTAATTAATTTTTTCCTTTTATCCCTTGAAATCTATAACAGATAAGGATTTTTAAGGAAATATCATTGTAGAAATTTTGATTTTCTAAATCTAAATAATATTTAATTTTGATATAAATTGAATATATTAAAAGAAAAAGAGATTAAACATTGTTAAAATAACGAATTTATATTGTATATTTGAATAACGAGGTTTTTTTTATTTTTAATATTTGGTATTTCTAAAATTCTAATCATATTTTATCATGATCCAAATGAAAACATTATGTTATTTAAAATGATACATCAATTTGACAGAATTGTTATATCAAATTACTGTAGTAATTAATATTTATTATAAATCAAGAATGTTAACAAAGTCCCAATAATGTATTTATTAAGTGATTTAATTAGTTTTTAGACAGATTGATCTGTTCGGACAAAGCATTTCCCTAAATTTAAATGGAGAGGATCTATACAAAACAGGTGGAGGAGGGTTTTTATCTTGCATGATCGTGGCCATTGTTGCTATATTCTTTTAATCAAATATAATCGATTTCTTAGGAAAGACTAATATCTCTGCAGACTCTTAAATAGTATTCGAAGAAAACCCTGATAGACTTAAATTTACTTCAGATAATTTTATGTTTGCTGTTTCAATCGAATAAAGTACAGCCTTCAATACAAATCCATTTTTTAACATTTCAATAAAAGCAAGGTAAATTCATTTAACAAATTAAGAACTTATGTAAGATTGAGCAATGGAACAACAATAAAATATGAAAATCTAACCAATTTGATTCCATGTACTTTGGATAGATTTCAAAAAATATTCGATAAATATGATCTTAATTTTACAGATCAATACAATTAATTAGGATTGTCCACATGGCTCTGTCCAGAGTATTAACTATATAAATTACATAGTCTTAATTACTCTTTAACAGTCGGTGGAAGATATTCAAGCGAATATTTAGACTTTGCCAAAATCGAAATAACCGATTGTAAAAATGATACTTCTAAAAATGCCTATTTAACTTGGCATCCATCATGTGCATCCAAGGATGTTATGGATAAATATTTGTCAAGTGAAGGTTCTTATAGAATAAGAATGTACATCATTTATTTTTTTAAGTAGATATATGACAAATACAGTGGTCAATCCATCAAAGCCTACAGATTACATTCAGGGCTACTTGGATGATGAAGTCTACTTTTAATTTGTTCCTACTAAGCTATCTCGGTAATCAGATATATTTTTTAAAAAATACCAAATACGCACTGATTAAAGTTTAGTTCCAGTATTTGATGATGAATAAATTGAAAATGTATTTACGAAAGAACCTGCAGATTTTAGAGATATAACCACTCTAGGATCACCAACAGACAAATAATATATAGCTTTGTATTTTAGAAGAAGTCCTTACACAAAATATATCACAAGATAATTTTAAAAAGTAGATGACCTATTGTCATACTTAGGTGGATTTGTTAATATAGTCGTTGTATTTTTGGGTTTTTTTGTTGGTTTCTATAATAAATAGCAATGTAAAACTTATTATTCAAATATTGTATAGATCTAATAGAACTTGCTAATAAAGTTTATGACTTTAATTTTGACAACAGCAAAAATCCCTAAAAGCTCTAAAATGATGATTTGGTTAAATAAATCACTCAGATTAAGAAAAAGACCTAGAAGTTTAAAGCTTTGGAAAAAGTAGATTCAGGTTTGCCTCATAAAAAGTCACTCACTTAACCTTTATAGGATGATGAAATAAAGATACAAGTATTTAATGAAGAATCTCCTCATAATTCATTAAACTAGAAGCAGATGATCAAGAATACATCCTCTGAAATTAAGTCAGAATTTCAAAAATAATAAGAAGAAATTATCTCTAAACTTGGTTTTAAGAGTCGGAAAGAATATTTAACATCTTAGATTTCTTAGGTTCTCACTAAAGCTAGGCCCATTTAATTTACTTTTAAATTCCTTTGCCATCAAATGACTGGGGGAAGATGCTTTAAAGACAATACTTCTATACTTCTTATGAAGGCTGTGTAAATTTTCAAATTAATTTATTAATAGAGATAAAATAAATTCTGACATTGATATATACGTTATTTTGGAAAAAGTTAAAGAAATCAATCTATTAAAAGAATTAATGCTTGATAAAAATTAATAAATTCTATTTAATTTTGCTCCAAAATAGGTTATTACTCTAAAAGATGAAAAAAAACTCCCTAGTAGAGTTGAAGTCTATACGTAATCTTCTATTATAAGTTAGATAAAAATTGACAGAAAATTCGAATTAATCAATGTCTGTTGGCAATATTGCATAGTTGGCTATGAAGAAACATACGGATGCTGTAAAAGCAGCTATTCCTGTATCTGTTAAAGCATATCAAAAACTATATAAGGTATAAAGATATTATTGAGAAGGCTTATGATAAAATAAATGATCCTTAAAAGGAATTAGGTAGAGTAAATCATATACTAATTGAAAAATTAGGGAAAGAAATTCGAGATATTTTTGAAGTTTCTTAATTCATAGATTTTGATCTTGTGGAATAAAAATTGAGTCATAGAGTTAAATATATACTTAGAAAGAAAGTAAAATAAATGAGGCAGAGCAAATCAAAATCTGCGTTCAAAAAAGACTTTGATGAGGAATCCTCCGATAATGTAGGGCTTTTTAGTTAAGAAAGGAATAAACCTGAAGACAGTGAAATATTGCAGAGAGAAATTTTATTCCCTCATCGAAATTTGTGAAATACTGAAAAAGATTTGCTTATTAATGCATATTTATACAATATTATATTTTTGACTATTTCTCAAATCAATTCGACTGAATCCAAAATGACTTTGCTTTCTTTATTTGCAACACTAAGGAAAAGACTTAAATCACTTACATATGCTTTTGCCATTCTAGACACGTCTTTTTGAATGACAATATAACCTTTGATAATATAATCACTTTACTTTATGTTGGAATATTATTTTCGACATATTCAACAGCTTATCTTCCCTTTAGAGTTCTGCTCAAAGCTTGCTTTGCACAATACCAATTGATGTCATGAATCTCAGCTCCAGCTAAATTCATTGCCCAGGTTTATTTATTTTCTTATTTTAATCTAAAAAATACATCTAACTGGATAGGCTTTGAAAATTCTTTAATAGTATGGGACTGGCCATTAAGATGTTGACATAACTCTATCGACAATAGGTCTTTCATGGATAGGTCCCCACAAGGCTCCAGAAAAGCATGCTACTGATTTACTATGTGTGAGACGAATCATTTTAATTATTTTTAATATAAATATATTAACTATATAAAACTTCAGAATTTTTCATTGGTTTTGTTATCAAAATAGGAATTATAGTCAAGATATCATTTTAGTCCATTAGACTGAAATGATATCCATTTAAAAGTAGTGATAATAAGCATTGACAACATGTATCGATAGGTATGTAGTCCCAATATAATTAAATAATATTGAAGTTATTATTTGCAATCTTTGTTTTCGGATTTTTTAGTGAGTTTAATCCACACCTATTTAATCCAAATTAAGCATGTCGAATAAGAAATAAATACCCAAAGAATAATTAGAATTTCCCTTATAAAGAAGGTGTGATATGCAGAGACAATCATCATTCAAAAAGTTGCTACCTATCATCTTCCATGTTATAAATCAACAATTTATCCATATAATTTAATGCCTACCATACATCGACCTAATTCTAATTAAAATGTTTTTAAAATTTAAATGCTACTTTTTTCATTGATAAGGAGGCAATATGTCAGTCTTACATTAAGCATCACTTTAAGTATCATCAATTATCAAATATAGTTCATCATTTTAATAATTTATTTTAAATTATGTAAGTCTCCTTCAGAACCAATTTCCAATTTTAAATAATTTCTTCTTAAAATTTAAATTCTTGTTTCCGCTGATATGGAAGAAACTTTCTATTCTTCCAATTTCAATCTAATAAATTCATCGTTTTCTTCATCCTGATAAATAGCTAGACTATACTTGTAACTAAATCCTATGGAACTTATAAAATAAAGATAGTTTGCAATGTAAATCCATTTTCAATAGATTGCTTCACATCTCTGAAAACTCCACTCCAATCTTCAGGACCTCTTGCAGGACCCATTCTCAAAACATTAATAGTTTAAATTACATTATTTTTAATCTATAAATTATTTAAAGATTGGAATGTCCCATATTCAAAACCATTATTAAAAATAAAACAATTCCATTTTCTCTGTTTTGATCATAATCCATTTTATGAAGATCAGAAAGGAATTGCTTTATAAAATTACCAGTATTAAGGAGTATAAGTAAGTAAAAGTTTATTAAATGAATAAATAATTCCTGCTTATCAACAATTAATTAACTAATTATTCGCCCACCTGTTTCTGCAATTACTCAATAATTCTGTTAAAGGTTAAGAATCATAAACTTCAATTTCTTTTATTAATGATTAATGCTCATTAATGAACAATTATTGTTGTCTTTTCAAAACTTTCACCGCCTTTCCTATGAATAGTATTTTATCAGCAATTTGTAAACCTAAAAGATTTTATGGTAACATTTGGATATTTAATGTGAATGAGGTATCCCAATTATATTCATGCTAATCAGTTTTATTATTCTCATCTATTCTTTAATTGAAAATCTCATCTGAAGATTCTAAAATTTAACCAAACTATAACCAAGAGGATAAATATTAAAATAGTTCCTCATAGCAGGCTGACAAAATATCTAATAAATTAATTTGAGTCTGTCCTTTCCTGTCAGAGTTCTTTCATAAAGATAATATAGTATTTATCGCCATGCATATTGTATTATTGTATTATATTAATGGATGTATGTAAATTCAATAGAATTTATAATATGCTAATAACCCTAAATTTCATTATGAGTAATAAGTCACTAATGATACCTTAATTATCTTTTTAAGAAATTTTAATTATAATTGAACAAAATAGAATTAGATTTAATCAATTCATATTTATTGAATATCTTATTCTAAAATGAATATGATGGAGTCAACTAATCAAAGTTATGTAAACTGATACGAAATTAGTTCATTATTTTTTTTACATAGAATTGTAATTTTTAATACAAATAATAACAATATCCAAAAGCAAACTTATAAGCTTTTATTTGTAAATATAGTTATATAAGTGTTATTTTTACCAGAATTTAAGCTATTTTTGAGTTTTTTGTAATTGTATTAGTTTAGATAAATATTTAAATAATGAGTGTGTGTAACAAAAATTATTTATAGGAAACATTCCCACAATATGTTGATGATTAACTAAACAGAGTTGCTGAAGGAGACAGGAACTTGGATAAGTAGATTTAATAACTTAATAGAGATCATAGAGAATTTTTAACATAATTGACATTTTGAGTGAGCTTAAAGTTTTATCCTCTGGGTTAGCCACTAAATTAAAAACTTAAGAAGGATTTATGTTATTCCCATAAATTATATCTGAAAAGTACATAATTGAATTTAAAGATATCAAATCTTGTAAATTGAGAAAGAACGAACCCTCTTATTTTTAAGCTTGGGCATTTGTGAATTTAGAATTAGTACATTGTCTATATATATTTAGATCGATATGTACAAGTTACAAACATTTTTGCGCTTTTTGTGTATTTTAGCATATTTTGAGTGCAAAAAATATTTTGAGACATTTCTTATAGATTATAAGTCCAAATATGAAAACGATCTCTTTAAAGTGTTTTTACTCTTGTAAACTCAAAAAAAAGAATTTTAAATAGAAGCAGATAACTTCTTCCTTCAATTAATAGAGAAATGTGAATGCAAAAATAATTAGTTCATTTCATATATGACTAAATTCTGTAAAGAAAAGAATATGTCAAAATGCTTGGGATATTTGGAATCAATAAAATCAACGAACAAGGTTTCCTCTGAAAAAAGAAAGGGTTTTCGAAAATTTAAAGAAGAACTGGTGAAAAAAGAGTCACTGTAAGAATCACAATAAACCTCTCAATAAATTGTAATTTAACCTTAAAACACCTCTTAAATCATAAAGAGACGTTCATCAATTTTTCCAAGGAAATCATTGGATTAATAAAGCCAATTGATCTAATTTTAGGAATCAGCAAAGGATTTGATAAAATCTATTGGAATGAATAGACCATCATTGACAATGAGAACAATGAAGGATGGGATCAATCACAAATATAAGGTAATAAAGTGTTATTTATGTGAGTGAAGCGTGAAAATGACAATAGACAATAAAGATATATATAGAGTGAAATGAATTAGCAGAGATAATTTCATGAAGAGGTTTGTCGAAAATTGGAGATAGTACAAAGGAGGAGGGTTGCTTGTTGGAATTCTGATTGTTTGGCTCCTGAAACTCCTGAAATTTACAGTGATTGATTGTGGGGGGAATTGATAATCGTATAAAGTCGTTTTTATTAATTAATATTAAAATCATGAAATCCTTAATCTTGATTGCCCTCATTGCTGTAGCCTTTACAGCCCGAGTTTAAGAGAGAAACATGGCTAAAGTCTAGGCTGATTTAGCTAAAAGCACATACGGAAAGGCATTACTTCATTTGGTTGAGTTACACTCAATGGCAGGTGGACCAGTCTAAGAGTTAATCGATGCTATCGAAGAACTCATAAATGACTTAGAGGAGGAATTGGAAACATTAGAATTCAATTTCTAAGTGAGAACAAACGAACATAATGCACTTGTTGTCTCTCTTGAGTAAGACATCCAAGATGCAGTTATTGGTATTTCGAAAATCTATGTATAGACGTCAACAACACATAAGACACTCTTGATAATTTACTTTATCCAAGAAGAAATCAAATCTAAAGCAAAATTGATACCGTTATTGGATACTAAGAGGAAAACAGAAAGAACTATGATGAAGCAGTCCTTGTTAGAGAATAAGAGCATGAAGCATTCGAAGCCTAAGTTGCTGAATTAAACGATGCAACAGCTTCAGTTGACGATGCCCTTGCCCTTCTTGCCTCATTGACCAATCCATCATTATTGTAAATCAAGAGATTCTAAAATACTTTGAAAAACATTGAAAATAAATTGAGATCAAGATCCAGAATGGCTCCCATGATCAAGGCTCTCATCAGCTTAGCTTCCAACCAAAACTTTTCAAATCAAGATGTCTTGAAATCTATTGTCGATGCTCTTAATGATTTCAGAAATGCTGTTGTTGATTAAATCAACGATTTAACAGCCTAAGAAGCTCAAGATGTCCTTGACCATGAAGCTTACCTTGAGTAATTGGATGAAGAATTTGCAGAGTTCGGAAGACAAATTGACAGAGCAACCGTAGATTTGACTGCTACCAATGGTACTAAATATCAAATAGCTTTTAGAAAAGATCGACTCAATGGTTGAATTCAGAGACTAAAGAGCTGCTGATTAAAAGCAATACACTGCTGAATTAGAATTGGAGAACAACACCTATGCTGAAGAAACTGATATTTACACCAATACCAAGAATGAATTCACTAGAGAATTGGGAGTCAGCGAATAAGCTTTATCACTCGTTTAAAGTGTTGATTTCTCAAACATCAAGGTTTGATATTAATAAATAAATACATCAATTATTACAATCGTATTCTAATATTAATCCATTTCTTGTATTAAGACATTTTATTCTTCATTTATCATAATAGAGTAATAAGATAATATTCTATAATAATATTCAATCAAGCATTAAGTTATTACCTACTAGAACTTTTTGGCATTGAAGTAGATGAGTTATGATGCTTTCGTTGTTTACTAAAGGTTTTCCCTTCAGATTTTGCCAATTTCCGATCTGATTATGGAGATTGTTTGGTAGATAACAAAGTTTATAGTAGTAATTTTTAATTTTTCAATAAACAAATCTCATCTTTAATTGTTCTTTTTTCACTTTCAAATTTTTATGCAAACTCAAATGTCTAATATTTCAATTTATCTATTTCATTTCTATACAAACTCAATAGCTAATCATCATTCTGAGGTTAAGATGTTGAAGATCTAGTGGGAATATTGAGAGTTCTAACAGTGCAGGTTGCCTCCGAATCTAGTTCATCTGCTGTTATCAAGGAAGATTTTTTGGAATGCAAACCAAACAAATTCTTCTCACTTTTTTGTTTTAACTATTTTTGGACTCTTAATTTAATATTAAGATCATAAATTATATCATCTTTTTATTTTAACTATTTCTTTAGCCCTTCAATAGCGATTTCATATTTTTATTTTGCCATCTTCATCAACTTTTCGTGCTCGGATTAGACTTACATGAGGAGATCTTGAAATTGCATTTCTTTCTTGAAAAACTCTTATTGTTGTTGGAGCAATTTTTCATTTAGGTGTTAAACTTACTTTAATAATTGATTTTCTTGCTGCTGATTAAACGCTTTGGCCTTGCTGTACTAATTTAATGAATCAGTATATTCATCTTGTTCTGTTTAATTTTTGTTTGAATTCTAAAAGCAAGGTTACAACATCGATTTTATCTAATCGCTTGGACGAATCTATGCCAATGATTGGCCAGTGTATTGAGAATAGACCAAATCATCGACTGTCTCTTAAACTTGATATTACTTAGGTCTGTTGTTCATTAAGCAATTATTTATAAATATGAATGCATTAATAACAATAAGTTAATATGGATCCAGCCTATTCGACTAACAAAGACGATGCATCAGTCTAAGCGAGAGCAAGGAGGAGAAGGAATGATCAAAGTAGTAGGGATTATACATGTGGATGTGGGAAGAGCTATTTAAGTTACCCCGCATTATACACCCATTTGAAGTATCGCAACTTATATACGGAGGCAAAAACATCAAGGAAGCCCACCTCAAGGGACCACTCAACCTAATAATATGAATCCAAAGGCAAATAGGGGCAGACCCAAGAGAGTACGAATGATTTTATTAATTCAAGTTAGATGAAAATGACTTGAAGGAAGGCAAATCAGACGATGAAAGATCAATTAGCAATAATGAGCCAGATGAAACCATTGAATAAGTCCTTCTCTTTCTAGATAGCATCGGCAATTTCAGATCTGTAAGACTGCATTATGAAATTTCAAGGGCGTGAAGTATGAAAAAGAAGAAGAAAAATAAGGCTATTTGTTGAATTGCTTTCCCAAGGATTATTTTAACAACTCTCTGGATTATTCGGCCATTTATAACAATATTAAGGACATCACAAATGAAAGAGTAAAAAATTGCGGCATAATTTCAAATAGGTAAAAAATCCAGATCAGGATCCTCTTACGAAGGAGGAAATTGATAAAGACAAAAACATTAAGAAAACTTAAATAAATAAAATCTTAGCCTATTTTCTTGTGGCCATTGGCCCTCTATTGAATGAAGATGCTTACAAGGAAGTAAGATTATGTTTTTGATAAAGATGGCTACCTTTATTGTTCTATTCTCAATCGCACTTAATGAAACGGGTTATTAGGCCCTCTAAAATTATGAATAAGAATAATATCAGCAAGGAGATACTGATAAAAAGCCTTAATCACTAGTCAAACAAGGTATGGATACATTTAGTATCAAGACTAAAATTTGAATGCATATTGCGAAGAATAAAATGGTGAACACATTTTATTAATAACAAATGAATTTATTTTGTCATTTTTACCATTGAACTTCCCTAAATTGGGGAACATAGAAAAAACTTTTAGAATATTTGGTAGTCCAGATGAAAAGTTAAAAAATGCTGTTTATGTTACTTAACATTTATCTTACTGGTTGTATGCTATGAAATTTACTAACTCAAGATTAGCTCTATACACAGATGATGATTAATGATAAATAATCATAATTGTTAATTTGATATATTTTCATTCAAGCTATTTTTTATAAATTTATACCATTAGGTTTTATACTATCATATTTATAAACCCTTAGAAGTTTTAAATGGATTCCTAATAAGTTAATTACAATCATCTTTAAACCAAATATCAATATTTAAATTATATAATATTGTCTATATGGAGAATAAATCAATTTAAAACCACTGAGTCTTTCATTATAATGATAAGTTTTCACTCTGCCCCCATCTGATTGGTTGTCCATTTTACCAAATCCCTTTTCTCACTTTGTTATTATATGTAAACATCCCTTCCCCATGTTGCTTTCCATTTTTCCATTGCCCTTTATAAATTCTTCCATCAGACCAATCTAATTCTCCATACCCATTTCTTTCATCCCTTTCAAACTAGAATTAAGGTAATTTACTTACATTTCCTTTGTAGGTCTTTCCATCAGGCCATGTATAAACTCCCTAGCCATTCATTTGATTCAACATCCACTCTCCATTATACTATGAATGAGTATGAAACTTACTTTCTTCCCGTCTTTCCAGCTATATTCTCCATTTCCATGAGGCATACCATCAAGTAATTCTCCTTCATACTTGGAACCATCAGGCCATTCAAATATACCCTAACCTGTTTTTTAACCATATTAATAGGTGCCTTCATACCTTTGCCCATTATTCCATTATTCAACTCCTCTCTCAATATCATGTAATTTATTACTCCATGTTGTTTGTCATCAACCCAATCGCCATTATAAGTTGTTCCGTCAATCATGACGTACTTTCCAACTCCCCAAGCCTTGTCATTTATCCATTGCCCTTCGTAACTAATACTTAGACTGAAAGAGTACTAATCCCCATTAGGTAAGACCATTCTTCCGTATCCATGCTGTTAATCATTGTTCCATTCCCCCTCGTATATTGACCCAAAGGAATAGAGTTATTTTCCAAAGCCATGTCTCCTGCTATCCAACCATTACCCTTAGTAAATCATTCTTAATACTATGTAATATATACCCTTCATCAATTTAAACTGGACCAACATAAGTAAGTGTTTGATCTTTACTAATTGGAAATGGAAACGGACCTTGAATTGACCAGGATAATTACCTAAAGAGTTAAATATCTTTATAGCAAGTGAAGTTTATTCATCAAAAATCTATCCTATTAAAGAATGCATATATACATTAGCATTATTAATCAGCGCTCCTCTATAACTCTTAATGCTTCCATAGTTCTCTTCCTGTGCTAGATTTGAATGCTAAGCCATACATCGATTTTCTCAGATCTGATGGGTGAACTTGGAGTTTCATTCGATTCTTTTATTTTAGTTTGCATTCCGATCTCCAAATTTTCATTATTTATGTAGATGGGAGCTGTTATTGCAGTAAAGGATTCCTTTTCCTGTGTAGTATTTGTACAACAAGTTCCCATTTTGTATTTTAATTTTATATATGAAAAAAAATTCACTCAAAGCTTTCAATCTTTTATAACAACCTTAAAAAAGAATGAAACTATAGTCTCTAATACAAATTCCTACTCTGCTATTCAAGAAACTAAAGGAAGATATGAATATCCAAAAAACATTATGAATAATGCACTTAATTCAATATATTATAATCACGAGAATATTTTATTAAAACCATTTTCTGCTGAAACTTCTCCAATTTCTAACATTTTATTAGATAGTCAAATTGTTATATTTCAAAAGTCATTAAAAATTGGGATGGACTTAAATTGAAAGATTATTGATTTCTAATTGAAATCTTGTTCAATTAAAACTTAATTTAAAACAATTCCCAATCTTGAAATACTTTCTCAAAATTAAGAAAATTGCTTGCAAATTATTCATTATAATAATGGTATTAATACTGGTTTTCATATTCATTTAATTATCGAAACTTGCAATCCATATAACTTAACATAAAATTTAAAGCTTCCAGAGATACTTCCTTCAATATGAAGGTATTCCTATTTGGAGAAATATAATTTACTGAATGATCTTATTTTCTGAATGACAACAGTCGTTTCTCAGCTCTGTATTACATCATATACTCTTAGTTTAATTCAATTTTCAATTATCCTTGTCTTGCCTTTTCATTCTTATACAACACTAATACATTAAACAAACTCATACTTCCAGATTAATCCAAATAGAGATTGTAAGTTCCTAGCTTTTTACCCTAATCATCAACGTTTTACATTCCAAAAGAAGCTGTCTTTTATATAATAATGATTTTTTACTAGAATTTTCTCAAATGGCTCTGAAAATTTAAATTTGACCTTTGCATTATCATTTAATGTAAAAGCACCTTCTACCAAGGCCACTCCTTATTAAACACAAGAGTATTATGTAAACCTCTATGAATATTTTAGGTGTTTATCAGAATTTGTTATATCGAACTTCTTGCCAACTATTTTTGTTCTTTAAAAAGATTGATCAGTTTATATTTCTTTTCCTTAATTTTGAGATTACTCGACAACAATCGGTATATCTTATTTCTCTTAATTTAAATCTTAAGTATCAATAACTTTTATCTTTGTTGGATTACTTTTTTTAATTTAATTACTTTCAGATGGTAATAAAAATTAAATTCTATCTTAATTATCATTATTGACATCATTTTTAGGATTGTAAATATACTCAGGTTTATATTATTTTTCTTACTATAATTATAATCCTTATTGATAGTCTTTCTTTGATTATTCCTAAGCATACAATTATGGTCTTTATTATTAGTTTGAGGGGCTTTTATACCATCTTAGAGGTTTATTTGATGGATCTTCTTATTAAAATTGATACACATCAGTATTCTCTTGTTATTGTACGTATTTATAATCATATTAATTTTGGTATGTTTAATTAGAGTTCTAGTTAAATTATATATTTTTTTAATAAAAATAGTCCTCTTACTAAGGTTATGGGGCTTCGTTGTAAGAATATTGACTTTCCTATTTATGGTTAAGCTCTAACTTATCAATAAAATTCAACATTTCATTGATAATCGTATTGAATTTATACTTAACTCCTTCTAAAAAAGTATTAACTAAAGATTAGTTAGATTATCCAGATGAATTATAATATATTTCAATATATTTTTTGAGATTGCTGTCATATTAGTGGTTAGGAGATATACTCTCTATTTGCTCATTATTTATAATTTACTCTTGCAAATGTACAAATTCAATAATAGAATGATTTTAAAAAAGTTAAAATAGAGACTTAATTCTTTAGTTAATTTATTACTCTTCTTTTGCAATATACTCAGAAATATGTTACTCAATAGACATTTTGAGTTTCTGGTTGTTTTCTTTTAACTTGATATTAACTTTCTTCTCGAACTTTTCTTAAGTATAAACTTTGTGTTGATATTGGAAATGATTCTATAACTCTTTCCAATTAGTTATAGCTCTATTTAATTTACAATCTTTATCAACGCAAATTAAGTTTGACTCTATATTTTTCATTGATAAAATAATAAATTATTTAAAATCCCAAAACCTGACAATTATTCTGTATCAGTTTAAAATCCAATACAATATATTAGTAATCTCAAGAAATTTAATATAAAAAGTCAAATTTTATGCTAACTCCATCATTTTATCTACTTTTCATCTAAACTTCTAAAGTGATACTATAAATAACTTAAAGTTAGTAGAGATTTCATTCGAATATTTGAGATAATCAAATATTAAACTAATTTTGAATATACATTCCTAATAAGATGACTAAATATTATGTGTTTACGTTTACTCAGCATAACATAATCTGCTTTAAATGAAAAATTTTAGATAAATAATAAAGATTAAATTTAAAATATAATAACATAGATTTATAGAGTACATTTATATTTACTAAACTAATATATTACTTGAAATACTAAAAATGCATCAAAACCTTTTTTCCACCAAGGCTTGTTATCTCCAACTTTCGCTAAATTCATTCATTTAAGCCATAAATTCATCTTAGTACCCTCTAGGTGCTTTTTTTTTGACTGGTTTTAGATTTAATGATATGCCGTTTTTGTATATAGGTTAATTCAAAGTGGAAGGATCGACTAATGATAACTGATAAAAGTACCAAAAGGAAATGAATCCTCTTCTGAACTGAATTTCAATTACTCTTCATCAACAGGTTCATTTATATCATGTTTCAATTTGCATGTTTCTACATTATCTTGATGAGTGAATGGTTTAAGATTGGTATTGATTTTATTTTAATCCTTCTTTTTTTATCTCAATGTATTTACTATTTGCTGGAAATCTTCATTTCTTGATTTCTAAGACTATTACAGAGAAGTCTTCAACAACAATATTTCCTTATTTTTAATTTCCATGTCAGAATTAAGATTCAGAATATGTTAGGAGAGAATATCGATGTCAGATTGTATTTTGTTAGCCAACAGTAAGAAAGTTTTTTTCAGTTCGGCGAAAAGAACTATTTTGAATGGCTACTCTAATTGTTCCATGCGTTCAAGAATACGAAGGAATGATGTAAATGTCAATTCTTTACAATTGGCACATTCAGTAGTTAAGCAAGATTCAAGTACTTTACTTATTCTAGTATAATGCTTACATGTTTTTAATATCCTGGAAGCTAGAAGCATCCTCACAAGTATTATATTATCTGATACGCTTTCCTAATTTCTCTTTTAAAGTAGTGACCACACTATTCTAAGTTGGCGAATATATTTCTTAACACACAGAACTCATTAATCTTTTATGCAATTATTGATAGTGATAGTTGTTAGTTTTCATTATTGAGAGGTTTGGACTTGAGCGGTGTAAATTTTTTTATGATTGTCTCTGTATTTTACTAATAATTTCATCCAAGTGAGAAGTCTTCTTCATTAATTTATTTATGAATTGATATATTCATTTACGTACGAATTCTTTTACTTTCAAGATAAATCCAAGTGGTTAATAGATTCAATTAACCTTGGAAATCATTAAAAAGACAATACAAATCCCTTTTCTAATTTCCAAAGATTCCAAATTTCCATTAATTTCAATGCTCTTTCATTTTGCAATCCATAAGAATAAATCATGATCTATATTATTCTTTGTAAATCGAATACAAAATCAAAAAGATATCTACTTCATCAGAATCAAATATATTTTATTCTAATGGATTACCGTTTGAAAAATGAAAATTGATTAAATGAGAACTGATTGAAAATTAATCCAATGATATCATACAGGATCATAAATTATCTACCTAGGTATAAGTTAAAGAACGCTAATTGTAAATTTTGATTAATGAAGACTGGAAACTAACAATAAATATGTTCTAGCTTATATAGTAGGTATTTTGAAAGGATTTTAAATCATTTATTGAAAAAATGAGCAGGTTTAAACAATCTAAATGCATAGATAATTTGTTAAAATTTATGTAGTTAAGATTGTTAATAATTTATGAAAAAAATTCTATTTTGAAAATTAGATTACTGAAATTTAAAGAGAAAGGTATTTATGTGGAATTTTGAGTTAAAGATAGAAAGAAATCATATAAGAGTCTTTAGAATGAATAATTAAGAACTGTAAAATGTAAAATTGCTGTAAATTTATGAAGAAGGATAATAATTTTTACAATATCATACTTTGAATGAATAGGAAATTATGAAAACTAAAAATGAAATAAAGATCAGTTCAAAGAGATTCAAGGATAAAAACGAATATGATTTAGGTATTAAGAGATTTAATAATTGAATTAATAATAGATTTGAAGTTGAAGTAGAAAGAGAAAGATTTTAAAATTAAAATTAACTTTGAAAATTGTACTTATTTGACAGATATGTTTTGGTAAGCAATAAAGAACACATTCAAATCCCAATTTTATAAATAAAAAATAAATTAAAGAATTGTGTTATTCACTCTTGGCAAGTGTAAATTTAATAATAAAAATATGATGAAAAATAAAATAAATAAAATTAAAATTATTATATGATATTAAATCATTATTCAAATTACATAGGAAAATATGATAATATGAATATTATATATAAAAATATATATATAAAATCCAAATTTAGTTCTCTTTTTTGCTGAATTATATTATTCCTGTGAAAATTTTAGAAGTTTTAATCCTAATATCATCATCCTACTTCTCTTTCCATAAATACTAATTTGCCAACTTTTTCTATTTAAATTAGGTTTTTATTACATAATTAAACAATATTAAATATAGAAAACAAAATGAATCCTAACAACTATCAAAACTTAAATGCTAATGGTATACCCAATTTTGCTTACCCTCCTCATCTATCCTATTTCTAACTATATTTTCATCCATAATATCTCTAATATTGCCTTTAAAGACATTTAAACTCTTGTGTTAATACAGAATTGCAAAGCAATAAGCCACAAATTGAAGCTATCACAATTTACAGCGATGATGAATAACCTATTGTGAAGCCAAAGGAATAAATTTAAAAAGTCATCCCAGTGTTACAAATTAATAAAGGATAGTAGAAGCTTTTGAACCTTGATTAATTATAGTTATAAGGGAAAATATATGATAACGATTCGAGTGATTCGCCTTTATTAAAAAACAAAGTCTAAAAATGTTTAAAATAACAAAAATCAAAAATATAAAATAAAAACGAAAGCTTTTAGTCACTTAAATTAAAAAAGAAAATACTCAAACCTTAAAGATAACCTAAAATTTCAAATCTAAGCACAATAAAATAGGTTTAGATTGGTAAATATCGCTAATAATATAAATTTAATTAGTCAAGTGTTAAAACACAATTAATAAAAGTTTACACTAAAAATGAAGATGAACGTAAGATTTATTTATAATATGAGATAGTGTAAAGATTAAGAGAACTCTTATTGATAAATTTTCCAAATTCCAGTGATGAAGATGCCATCAAATTATTAAATGTAACTGGAAAATCATATGAAAAAGCAATGGAATTGGTTAGAAAAAATGAATTACTAGTTTAATATATCCTTGAAAGTAAATTTTTATAGTTAATTTAGCAAATAAAAATAATGAATATCTAGAAGATGATGATGATAAAACTACAAGATGACTTGATTTTTTTATTAATTTTTACATATATATATATAAATTCAGCTAAATTTGAACTATCAAAAACTTATGCTACATATATATGAGACTATTCGTAAATGATGGCATTTATTCAATAGAACCGATAGATTCATAATAAACTTATTAAAAAAGAATAAGAATTATTTCTGATAAATCAGTAGGAAGGCTATATTATAAAAGGCAAATAAATTTAAGTGTTCATTTTTTAGAAAAAAATATTTGATGTAAACGATTACAAGCTGTGATTGGTAAGGTTTTCAATTATTTTATTCAATTGTTAATAATAGTTTTAGGTTCGAATTTTCATTTAAAAATTAGTTTAAGTATTTATTTATACAGATTTAATATATAATATTTTAGTCTATTCATAAATAATAGTAGAGTATTTATATGAAATGGAATAAAAAATAAACATAATTGAAAGATACATAATTTATTAATGATATTAATGTAATCAATTTATTTCTCTTTGCTTGGCAATTAATGCTTTGATTTATTTGATATCAGTACTCCATTACCCAAATGGAATTATATATTTTAAGTAAGCGTAGAGAGAAGGTTTTAATGATTGCTCAGTAATTCCAATTAAATATGTCTATTAGTATTTTGGATGCAATAACACTATATCTTATTCATTCTTTTGTACAATGCCAGCAAAATCAGCAATTTCTTAAGGTTTTTTGACAAAGAGCATAATGTAATAGAATTATTTACCTTATTGCAAATATTTTTTATAAAGTCTTATGACATCAGCAATGTCCAATAAAATAATTGGTTCTTTTATTTCTATAGTGTCGTAAGTAGAATTTCCAAAATTCTGAATTATCTCTTTAGACAATTTTATTTCAGGAATATAACATAAAATCTCATGAACTGTTTTAGGAGGTTAGATAATATTGCACCTATGACTCCATTTTAAAAAAGCTCTGTTGTTTCTATTGGTTAAGATTGAATTATGAAAATTTACTTTACATGGAACATTCTAAAGATCACAAGTTTTATCATTCCTTCTAGGAAATACAACTCTATTGCTTCTTTTGGCAAGTCGCTTTTTTTTCTTTTGTTATTGCACTTCTTTCAAAAGATTTTTAAATTTATCTTTTGCCAAATCTTACAATTTCCTACCCTATACTTATGGTGTAATGAAGGATGGTGGGGAGTTTGTAATGCTTTCTGCATATTCCTAAAATAATTACATAAATAATTACACTGAAGGCGCATTTAACATTAGTATCTTAGTCATCAAAATTAACTTTATCTAGAAGTCCTTTATCTTTTGCATCTTCTAGAGTAGTTTATAAAATATGGATTATTTCGTCTCTAATTTCAGGGTAAGCAATTGAAACTTTTGATAAGGATGATGCATTCTATTATTCTTTAATAGCTGGTAAACTTTTTCTAGATTGCGAATCCAATATGAATTTAGTGGGAAGAATTTATACTTTTTCCTTCCATTAATAGCGACAATCATCTAACACACTTCTTGTAAATGTGAGATCAGTAAATTGCGATATTTATTCAAGCTTATTACTAGATATCAAACTCAAGAATGTGAATGTTATTATCACATTGTCACCATCAGTTTAAAAATTAAATTCATTCTAATTTTGCTTCATTAATTATTTGCACTTCTTCAAGCAATGTATGAGCCACTCTTCATTAGGATTTAATTTATTCTCGTGGACTCCAAAGACTTATGAATATAATTTAATTACTGATGGTGTACATGTGAAATTGAAAGTGAATTCAAGATCATATCCTGACTTCTCCTGATTTATTTACTAAATGATACATTTAATAGACAATTAACCTTTTTGTTTATCACAAAATAAAGTCGATGTTAGTAGTGTCTATAAAATGAATTATAGTAGTTTTTTATCTCCAGCCACTATTTCTGGAATTCCACTTTCAAAGTTCAAATTGATAATATTAAAATGATCATACAATTTTAGAACCATAAAATCTATAATATTGCAAATAGTAACTTTTAAGTAAAATTGCGAAATGTCTTATTAGAAATTACTCGCTATCGATTTTACTTGATGTTCTAAGTGTAAACATTCTGATAAGCATTATCCCAAAACACTTAAGTCAGACTCTTTAATCATTCGAAAGGCTCTTAAATTGTTCCATTTCGTATAATCTTAATTTAATTGCACATATAACTTATTTATCGATTCATACATTTATTCAAAGAAGCAATTCTCTTCACTACTAAAGTAGGATTAAACTAAGATGAAATTTCCTTACCATGGCTTAATATAGTAATCGATTGTCTCCTTTTAATAATTCTCCACTTATATTATACCATAGTATTTCCTTTTAATATAATCTCTTATTAAGTTTTCCGATTCTTGATTAAACTTTATCGACTTATTTGAAAATAATTCATTGCTATTTTCGTCTAAGTATAGAATGTGATGAGGTAGATTCAGAAAAATGCTGTCCTATTCACATTGATGAGAGTTGATATTGCATATTTTGGAATAAAGAAATCTCTTTAGGATTTCAACAGCTCTCAAAAGGGCAATGAAAAAACAAAACAAATAGATGTGATTCAATTGTCTAATGATTCCAATTTAAAATACTACTTACATTGGCCAGTAAGGCACCAAAATCAAATTTGTGATGCAAGTAAAAATATGAGATGATATACTATTATAGTTTATATCAATTTATTATCCAATATATAATATAGCTTAGATTAGGAATCTCCATTTGTGCTTGTTTTTATAATAAAAGTATGAAGCCAATACAACACTTATGATTGTGATATAATTACAATAAAACACTATCTTAACTATGATTATTCCTGGAAATAAGTAAAGACCACTAAATTTAGAAAATCTAAAATTTTGTTCATGTTTTTCATACATAAATCGCCCTGTAGAGGATATTTAGTATTTATCCATTATTTAATTTTATAATTGAAATTTACTTACATAAACAATCTTATTTATTGTCTATGATAAAATTAGACCTCATACAACACATTTTTATTTTCATAATCTAATTGATGATTTATTATTGTAACTCAATGCAATTTAAATCAAATATTATATTCTTAGCATTAGGATGATAGAATAATATACACTTTACAAAAATTAATTACTCTAAGTAAAGAGTTCACATTTATAATAAAATTTTAAGTTTATTCCAGAAATATTTTATAAATTATTATTAAATAAAATAACTCAAAGATTTATATGCAAAAGCTCTATGATCAACTAAATTTTGGGTCTTAATGAGAGAACAAGAAAATAATTGGAATGATGTAGTCTTTGTAATAGATATTAAGATTAATGATGTAGTATTAGTCACAATCTAAACTACTTATCCATAATACTTTTTTTCATATCTTTTAAATAAATAAGCTTGATTTTTATTTGATTTTAGATTTTCAGAAATCTTGTAATTAATATTCCTGTTATTATTATTTATCATAACTCAAATATTAGTCATCTAATATGATATTAATTGATTTAAATAATAATTATGAATCATTACAATTCTAAGATTGGGTTTACTGCTTAAAATACTTTTGAGTTTAGTAACTAAATAAATTTGTAGATTAATTTGGTATGACAAGAATTAAAAGTGCGATAGTATTTACAAATCATCAGAATTTAAATATTTAAATCTATTTTTCTTCAGTCAATCTTGGATTTGAAATAAAAAACAATATGAATTATAATTAATAATTTACATATAAAAGAAATTAATTAGATTATTCCTAAGCCCATAATTTGGATAAATTAAAAATAAAGAAGTTTGAGAGAATGAATTGTAAATCTTAAAATTCTATTCAATGAACATTATTAGAAACAAATAACTTCTAGTTTTATTCAGAAGGAAAGACTATGTGTACTTTTTAATTATTTGATTTTTAGAATTTAAGCAATTTAAAAGTTTCTAAAATATCATACTTATGATATTACTTTCTTACATTTCTTTATAAATCATATTCTCTTTTTATATAAAAGAATTTCGAAGAAGATTTAACGTTAAAGAATATTGTATTTAGATTTTAAGAAAATTAAGAAAAAAGAAAGAAATTCATCGATAAATAATTTGAGGATTGTTTATATATTTTATTTGATATATCTTAAATTCACAAAATGAGAATTCAGATTGACTAAAATTGCTTCAAATATTCTATTCCTTTTTATTTATACTGTTCATGATTCACTTCAATATATTTAAAGCCCATGCTCTCTAAAAGTTATTTCTTTTTCATAGTCCATCCATCTAATTTATACTATTTTTCTGGCCAAATTTATAAATAGTGTTTTGGTCCATTTATTTCAAAACAGTAATCGCCTACTTTAAAATCTATTTAATAAGGTATTAAATTTTCGATCTTAGGAATTTCTATGGGATCATATTAATCAGTAAATTTATAGTCACTTAATTTGGCTTATTATTCTAATCTTTCGAAATCCAATAGTTTTTTGAATTATTCAATAATATCTAATTCCATTTGGCTCCTTGTTATTTGTTTCATTTATAAATGGTATTTAGCTAAACTTATCTTAGATTCTTAGAGTACTTTTGTAATATCTTATAGGAGATCTTAATTAATTTAATCTACATGCTTCAACTTCATAAATAAAACATGTAATTAATGTGCATAGAATGGGGATTTAATATAAAGTTCGTGTTAATTTTTGATGAAGTTATTATAATGCTCTAATACTTTTTAATCGTATTAATATTACAATAAGGATGTAGCACATCCTACAATAAACTCAGAATTTTTAGATTTATAAAATTAGTTTGTTATTGCTTCCAAAAGAGTTGGTTTAGGTTCAAATTGTAATGTGAGTAGAGCTTGTAGATAACTTAACATATTCTTTTCATTGAAATCTTTGATTTTAAGTTGATCTTACAACTAACAAATGAAGGTTGAGTTATATAATTTATTTATAATTAGTCCTGAATAAATTAGGATTACTTAATCCATAGTTAATTCTTTGTCAACTAATTTATTAATCAAATCAAAATAAAATTCTGTGTCTTAATAATTTAATCTACTAAATGAGTAAAATATTTCACAGATTTACTAGCTATTGAATTTTGTAAAGTCAGTTGATTTTTTTATTATATGCAACAATTTGGAGGCTTCCTTTAGATCGAGTTTGCTAGCTTAACTCAAATAAAATAGAATAATAGGGATTTTATTAGGTTCTATTTAATCTATTTTTTTCATTAAGATTGCTAATACCTTTTCCCATACATCTGACAATTATTTAAATTAATCACTATTGTTTTACTATACTGACATATAAAATTATTAAGTTAACCTTTTACTAAGTATTCCTAAACTTGGTATGAATTTTACAATAAAATCTACCCACTTCAATTAGTTTAATACCTAACCATAAGCAAAATACTCTAAATACGTTGCTAATTTAGGAGAATAATCTTCTATTCTAATTAAGGATTAAAATGCAATTACTAATGAATCACTTGGATTTAAATGATTTTACATTAATTATCTTATTTTAGATTCAATTAATTATAAAACTGGATCTCTTAATTTTGGATGCTCATGATGATGATGATGTTGTTTATTATTTGGATTATGATGTAAATCATTATGATTTTGTACATTAGTTGATATTGTTTCAAGAGTTTTTGCGAGAATGAAAAGGTTGTTTTCTGATTCAACTAAGAAATGTATAACTTTATAATCCTAATCTTGCAAATAGAAGTTCTTGCTTGTTTTAGTCAAAAAGTAGGCTAAACTATTATAATCTATGAGTGCTTTCAATATTTTTTGCTTCTGATTTGTTGTGTACTCATTGACTAAACTGATATAAATGTTGCCAATTAAATTATGAATTTAAGTTGGAATTGAGATGGGTGGAGATTTAGGATATTTTTTAACAAAATTTAAGATTGAATTAATGTGTTATACTGAAAATTGAGTTTCTATCATATTTTTTTCTGTGAATGATTAATTAATAAGATCCATAAATTATTATTATAGCTTCTTTTATTGTTTCTTTTGCTAACTTACGATTAAAGGATTTTAAAATAGAATTTCCAGAGTATCCATAACATGACACATTTGTAAAGATAGGCTGAGGTATTCAATATTTAATTCTTGATTGTAAAACTGTTTTAATTAATGCAATAGACCATAGATTGTAGCCAATATTTCGTGAACCAATTTGTTATGTCTTAGGTGCTATGAGAGATTTATAAGTTTTGGTAATTGAAGCAATATCTTTTGATTATATATTTGGGAGTCACTATTTTATAGGTTTATAGCCATCTGCTCAAATAATATAGAAACATCTTTGATTTTATATTTTTAATTGAGTTTGTTGTAAATGATCGTCTCTGTAATTGTTATTAAATGCTCGTCAGACAGCTTTTGATAATTCTACATCACCACATCAAGAATTGTTTAATTCAACTATCTATTTTCAATTCTGTTTATAGAGAGTGTTAATAACAGCCCTTTCAAATATTCCAAATTGCTCTCCACTTAAACTAATTCAGTTGATCGCTATAATACCAATTTCAATAGATCTAATGGAATTATTTAGTTAGTTTTGTATGATGTATCAATCACACCTATTAAAGTGTTCAAATTTTGAACCTGATTGATATTTTCTTTTAATTCCAAATGTAATTGCGATTTAACAGAAGCTGACAAAAATTGATTGATAAATGTCTTTTCATGAAATCCATATTTTACCACAAATCGCAGCATTAAATTTAATAATATGAATTACAAAAATACAATGGTTAAAGGGCACCAGCACCCATTAATCCAAATTACTATTGATTTAGGATATAATAGATCAGACTAATTGATTATATATAGACACACAGATCCCCAATAAGAGGCATCTGCCTTTGTTACTAGAAATAATCTCTAGCCAAAAATGATACAAATAATCTCAAATAGCATCTTAAAATAAATGAAGGCATATGACGAAATGAAGATAATCACGTAAGTAACCTATTCAATTATTTAAGGACACACAATAACAACCCAATTATTTGCGGAATTTAAAGTAAAATCATCTAGAATTATAATAAAAATTAACAACTCCAAGTCCTAATAGATCGAAAACAAGTTAACAAAACTTAAAGATCTCAAAATCACCCTCAAATGCTTAAGTTCATGATGACCTACCAACAGACAAAGTTGTAATAAAAAAACTTTTTAAACTCCTAGATGGAGATTATGATGGATTGATATCTGCCCAAAGAATCAATTTCTACAATATTCCTGTCCAACTACAAAACAAGGTAATTGTTTACATTGATAATTATAAGGTGTTGAATAAAATCGAGAATTCATCAATACCATTAGAGTTTGAAGATTTCTACCTAAAATTGAAACAAGATCCTTAAGATGAATATTTCTAAACCTTGAAACTAATTAGTTCGATATTTAATATACCTAGAATCAAAGTGTTAATATGATTTATAGAAATTAATAAATAAATAAAATTGATATATAACAAATTGTTCAAATTTATTAATGCTTAATGTTCTTTCTAGGCATATCTCTTAAATTTCATTTTCAACAAATATGAATAGTTTTTCAGTTTATAAAAATGAATAATTTTAGTGTGTAGAGGAAGTGATAAAATCTTATATGTTAGAATTTTGAGAACATTGTTAAAGAGCATTGTCTTAATAAAATATATATCAGATTATTTTCATCTACCAGAATAAAATTTTGCTATAATTTTATGTAATAAGAATAATAAATATTAGTGCAATTATTATCAGCTTCCGATAGGATACCTGAACTGATTTGTAAATATCTATAAGAAGTGCCGTTTCTGAGATAATTTGATTCAACTCAAGGTCAAGGTTTTATGAAAAAATTGGCAGCTTTAGTCTAATTTAAGATTTATCAACAAGATGAGATTATATTAGAATAAGGGAGGCCTGTTAATTCACTATACTTATTTATGTATGGATTAATAGGAAGACATCAAACTAAAAGAGATAAAAATTATGAGATTATACCTGAGAAAAATGCTATCGGAGAAATTTATTTTCTTACTCGTTAAGCATGTAAATATTGGTTTTCAGCATTGAAACCATCACTAATTTGTTATGTAACAAAAGACAATTTCTATAAAATTGTGAAAAAGAAAAATATCACAATGTCTTTATTGAATGAATTACTATAATATCCATTTTTCTCATAATTGTCAATAAGGTACAAGAATTTAATAAAGTAGTTTCATTGAATAAATATGCTAAAAGAGTCAAACCGTAAATTACATCAATCATTAAGTTGTATTTGATATTGATCAAGAAGCGAATAATTGGTACATTGTCTTGTAAGGAGAATTCTAAGTATTATTTTAACATTAGAAAAAATTCTATCCTCTGATCCTGTTGTCCTAAGGAGATTACTTTGGAGAAATAGAAATTGTGTTGAAATCTTTACGTCAATATAGAATATAATGTATTAGCAACGAAGCCATATTATTGGAAATAAATAAACTATCATTTTCACAATTGATGATCTATGATACACAATTTAAGATTATGATCAATCAGAACATTTAGAATAGGATTAACTCTTATGATGAAATCATCAAGCAAAATATCTCCACTTTAAGTATTCCATTATCAAGCAGACGAAGCAGATCCAAAATGCATCTTAAATCCATACACATCAAAATAAAAAGCACAGACACATCAATAGAACCAAATGTTTAGGAATTTTAGAGTGAGAGAGAGAAGGCTTTACTAAATTTGATGGAATCTAAAATTGTTAAGAAAGAGAGTAAAAAAACTTTATATTAAAGACTGAGAGAACAAAATCCAAGATTGCATCAATTTCTAGAAAAAATGGAGGAAATCAAGTAATAAAAATAATAAACCTCAAAAAAATTTGAATTAATCAAACAGTTGCCTTCTATTTAATCAAATCCTCTTGTTGATTCTATTCAATCTTATTCTAATACTCCTCTATTTTCTTTTAAAGGAGATTCTCCAATAAGAATAAGATAATTGACCAAAAGCAGAAATCAAAACAGTAACTCTTCTGTGCATACCTTGTAATAAACCTAAGAGATTTTAACCAACATGGGATAAGGAAAATATTTTAAACTGCTATTCCATAAAAAAGAAACTTGAAAATTATTTGAATAAATATCTATATATCAAATTAATGACTCATATGTCTAAGTTCTAGGTCCTTAACTTGTTTTAAGTTCTAAATAAATTTAGAAGAGATACTTCTAGAGGAAGATTAACTGGTAAAATTTCGTTTGACTTGTTCTTGAACTGCTAATATATTGAAATCATCATTTGTTCCTGAAATGATAGATGATAATACTTGTTCTTCGTTGCAAATTGTCTCGATATTTTTTTACTCTTTCAATATCATTAACCCAGGTTTTCCTGGAGTAGGCTGAACTTGCTGATTGTAAACGCTTTAAAATGGTTTAGTTCTCTGAGCTTATCTTAACTTGTTCCCTTCTTCTTAATGCTTCCAATGAACCATGTGTTGGGGGTTACCTCAATGTGCTATTTCTCTATTGGATTTCCATCATTTTTCTTAGCAATTTGCTGTTTTTGTCCATGATTTCTTGATCGTTGGCTAAGTCATATGCTCTTGAACTTACTATTTGTGTATTTGTTGACTAATCTTGATATTGAATGTCCTGGTTTCCATGGTTATGAGTTGTTGACAAGTGGCTTAGAATTTTGGATATTATTCAAATGCATGAGTTGCTCCTTAACATAATGAATGGAAGTCTAATACTTGAGCTATTTTTTTCTTGAAACATATAGGATTAGAGTAAATGAGGTTCCACATTATAAATAAATTAAATGACTGAAGTAGAAAAACAAAAATTTCGAAATGACTCAGAGTTTTATGAAATTGTGCGAACTTTTCATGAATTGGTGACAGAGATCAATAAAAGTTAGTAATCATTATATTAGGTTTTCACAAAGGAAAAAAGCAATATCATAAAAAGAATAATCATCATCTGAAATAAGCCTAAATTCAGAAAAAATCGAAACACATTTAAAAATAACCAATCAATTTAGAATTCGGGAGAAATCAATATCACTTGAAAATAGCGTATAATATTTATTATTTGAATTCTGCATCAGAAAACTCCCTAATCTCAATGGACAAATGGAATCCTCTTCACCACTCTATGAAAATAGTTAAACAACCAGAAGACATTGATACTAACAAAAAGTATGTTTAAATAGTAGAATAATAAATAGAAAAAAAAGAAGCATCTTGAAATTAATATTTATATCATCTAATAAACAGAAACTAAGCAAATATATAAAACCAGGCATTAATATTGTGATCATATATTCGTAAATCCTTAGAACATTCTATGGATCTACTAATTACCTTCATTTCTACATCTAAATCAATGATAATATTTTATATACTATTTTTGATAGTTCAATTTATTTCAATGCATAATCTCTATTAATATAAATCCTTCAGAATCATTCTTTGTCAACTCATTTTGCATGTAAAAAATTATTATTTTCAATGATCTTGAATTAATGAGGGTCCTCTTATCATTTTTGCCACATATCTTTCACAAGTTGTATATTTATTTCAAACTAAAATAAAATAAGTTAAACTAATGACACTATAAGTATCTAAAAAAGTTACTATTAGGACTTGTTTATAGTCTTTTTTATAAGATTAATTATGGAAAATAATTATTTTTTTCTAAGAGTCCAATCTTATTTATTGATCTATTTAAAAATAATAGTTTGATAATAAATTTAGAAACAGATCAGAAAAGAAACTCAAATATATTAATTTTTTAGAATTTGATCTATTCAATCATTTTTAGCATATTTTAATAATGGGTTGTTTTGACCCTGTTTCGAAAATTTCGATGGTTTTATTTAGGGTGATGGCTATGCTATACTAGATCTTTTAGTTGGGGTACCAATAGTCTAAGCACTGTCGACAGACTCAATTTTCCCCTTAATTAATGGTGATTCAGATCCGAAAGCCTTTTATGAATCAATTTATTTTTGTTATTTAATCTATTTTTACATAACTAATCCTGGGGATTATTTAGGCGATTACAAAGGAGAGTTCATATTTCTGATAGCATCGAATTTTGAATATCTAGAATAAATTAAATATTACTCATCGTTGATTTTATGCATCATTGATTAAATTTCAATGCTTTCATCAATTTCATCGAAATTTTAATCTTGATTTTCGGCTTCCATAATCTCTTTGGCGGTTTCAAATAAAAAGGGATGATTTAGACATCTTTCAGCATTGATTCTCTTATTTGGATCTCGCTCGAGCATTTATTTAAGTAAATCTATAGCATACCCAGGAGCATTCTATAACTATTTGATATCGAAATCTATGTTCGCCTCTCTATTCTATTTTACAACTGTAGAATAGCTTTTTCCATTAAAGGCAGATTTACCAGTAAGCAATAAATAAAATACTAATCCAAGACTATAAATATCGCAGATGGAGGAATATTTGGATTTCATATCCTTGATGTTGATAACTTCTGGTGCCACAAATCCTGGAGTTCCACATCTACAATATAAGTAAACTGGCTCATTAACATAGGTGGCTAATCCAAAATCAGCGATCACAACTGATTCCATCTTTCTAGATAACATGGTTAATTGCATACTTTGGTTTCTTGAATAATATGTTTTCTAATTTCAGATCCCTATGCATAATCTATTTTCTATGCATATCTTGGAGTCCTAAAAGGATTCCCACAATTATCGATTATATTTGCTTAGTATTAATTAAGACTTTATCCTTAATTAAATCATATAATGATCCGCCTTCCAAGAGTTCTAGAGCCACATATAAAGAATTATTAGTCTCATAAACTTCATATAGTTTCATTAAATGTATGTTATTAAGATTTCTCATTATCGTCAATTCATTTATTATAGCATTTTTTCCATTTTCTTCAGCATAGGCAGGCTATTTGGCAAATGCTTTTATAGCCATTAATTGGTTGTCTTCTATCCTCTCAGCTTGATATACCTTAAATAAGATTATTAAATACAGATGCAAAGTTACCTTTCCCAATTTTTTTAAAAACTCTGAACATACTATGAAATTACCATTAGTTAATTCTTTCTCCAAGAAAGGATCTCCATTCAATTATTTGTTGCACTTTTGCATTTAATCTCAATTTGACCATATTTTCAACACAATCTCTCAAAAATTGCAAGCCTATAATTGGACCTAAACTATCGTCATCCTCATCTTTTTTTGGAATCGGTTATCTCAAAATTTCAAATTTTGTATCAAATTCAAGTTTTAAGCACTTGTTAGGTTGGGAAGCTTTCTATAATAGTGAACAATGAGTTACTTTTGATTATAGTATATATTGATCATAGCCATAAAGAACTCTTAACTTTCCATTTTCCTTGGTAAATTCACCTTAAATGTACAATCTTTCATTGTTGACTTTAAAACCATTTGGGATAGGAATCCAAAGTTTTTAATACATCAAAATTTTGAATATTAATGAATGAAGTATCTAAATATATATCACGATTTGAACTTGGTAAATATAAATTCTAATAAAATCAAAAACTTAGGGAATCTGAAATTATTTATAAAGCAATATTCTGGAACAATATCAAAAATCATAATGTATATATTGATACGGCAAATTAAAAATTAAAATTTAAAAATTATCAAAAAATAAAACTAATTCAAAACTTTCTAAAAGTTTATTGCGACACTTTTATTTGGTGAAAAGTTGGAATACTTCTTACATTTAATGATTATTTCATTTAATCCATCTCATGAAAGTATTAAGTTTATCTAAACTCTTTCATTATGAATTCGTCCCTTGTGGACTCAGATACTAGGTTTTATTAGAAGGATCCTAAAATCTAACCGATCTCAGAAGCCGACTTCCCTTGTAGTTATCTGACCAAAAATATGTAAATTAGACTTTTGGTGAAATCATTAGAATTTCGAACATGCTAACTAAAATTAAATATTATATAACTTAACAAGGTCCACAAAAACGACATTCGGATATTCATCAATTAGTTACTCGATACATTGATAATCATCTAGGACTATTCCACCTAATAAGGGTACTGGCACATTCAATAGTTCAATATTTTTTGGAGGGATTGAAGCTACCATCTAATGAATCCATTTCACATGTTTCAGAAACAGCATAAGAATTGCTCCCAATTATTACACATTTTAGGCCACAAATATCACTGATCTCTCTAAAATGATATTTATTGCAACCAATCCCAGACTAAGAGCATTGTTTAGTATTTTTAATTATTTCACATGGTAATCATTGTAGTCATAATAGGATTATGGTATTTATTGACTTGGAATTTATATAGGGAGAGTTTCAAAAAGAGGGCATTTTTGAATGTATTATGTTAATGTCAAATTATTAAACCTCTCTTATTTGGCACAATCTAATTAATTGAATTCATACTCATGACTTCTATCAAAAAATCAATAAAATATTTTATTAGAGGCAAATATGAAACTAGGCAGAGTATTCTTTCACATTTCAAATAACTATTTTTCGATGGGCAAACATCTTGTATTGATAAACAAATACAATAAGCTAATTCATTACTATTATACTCTATAATAAATTAAGTTATAACATTATTTTTCGAATGATTCTGAAGTTTTGATTGGTAAAACGAAGCAATTTGGATTATTTTCAGATACAAATCTTTTATAAAGGATTTCATTGATTTCACTCTAAGAATCAGATAACTTCTTCTACACATCTTTAGCTCCATATGGAAATACTAAATCTGGCAGTAATTATTCAAGATGACATGCTCCATATTAATAAAGTATATCAGTTTTGCCAAGAGTAGAATTTCCAATTAAATAAATGCCTTCATAAAATTTAGAAATTTGATGTCTATTCTATTATGAAAATTTCTCCATCTTATTATTAATGCTTTGAAAACTCGAAATTTTCTTAACTCCTCCACCTTCATCTGTATCAACATGAACACTAAACGAGTTTTTTGTTGACAATGGAGGTCTATTATAATAAGATGTTTTGCGTTGACTATTTTAAGAATTTGAAATTGATGAGCTCACTTTTGTTTCTACCTCTTAAATATTGCTAAATTTATTTTACTAGTATGTGCTCTGGATGCTTTAGACCCAACTAAGTGATCTACATTAGTTTTTTTGGTTAACATATATAAATGAGTAGGATCGTTATTTTACATTAATTTAATTTAGTTAATAAATTATATGATAACATAATCAATAAAATGAACATTAAGCATTTCTAAGAGGAGTGCTTAAATATTTCAAATTTGAAAAAAATAATTAGCTTTTAATTATTGTGTCGTTCCAATACTTTAGGAAAAAAATATAATATAAAAACTTAGATCTTTAATATGAGAAAAAATATTTAATTAAATCAAAATTTTTGGTCAAATCATGGTAATAGAATTTCTTATTCACTTCGTAATTACTAATCTTCAATTTAATTTACTAATTCTTTTATTTGTTTAATTCTTTTGAGTTTTCTTGATTAAGGGTACTACTACTTATCTTCTTCGGAAGAACATAACTTATTTTTTTTTGAAGGTCTTCGATGATGAATCAATTCAACAACACTATAATATAAATTTGTTATTTCTTGAGATTGAATCAAATATTTTTATTTTAAATTTGTAATCTTACATAAATTGAATACCCTATTATCGTAAATGTTATATTTTGTATAGCATATCAATAAATTTAACTATTTCAGCATTATGCTTGACATAAATTATGCAATCAAAATAATAAATAAAGTTAATAGCAAATACATAATAATACTTTGCTATGTAATTTCCTTTTATTCGTGATTTATCAAGCTGTATTATTCTTCTTATAATATTTTGATATTTTTAGAATCCTAGAATAATACTAAAATGTAGGGAGTATGAGCAATTTATGCTGTTTAAATGATGCAAAAATCATCTAATTTAGAATTATATCTACATAAGACATTATCCTATTCTAGAATCAAATTGCAACTATTTGAAAAGTTTTTATGATTATGATAATTCATTATCTATTGAAAATCTGTTTCATTGAAACCCGTATAAGTTTCATCAGATATAGAATATAATGATTGATTTAACTAATCGTAAAGTCTACTATAAATTACTTAACCATAACAATTAATTACTATTAATGTAGTTTCTTAATCCAAAAGTTTGAATGCTGAAGTTTAATTAAAGTCAATATCTTTAGCAATTACTCCTTCAAATCCTTCATCTATATTAAGTAAATTAGAAGTTATAGGGATTCTTATACCTCCTGGAAAAATTTCATATGGTTTTCCGTACACAATTAAATTGCTCTTATTAATGACATTTAATGTGTAATTGAGATGATACAAGTACCATGGCCTTTGGTGTGGTTTGAATCCAGAGTTAAAGTAGAAGCCTTAATTTATAGTGTAAAATTATGCCTGGTTGGCATGACTAAAATATAAGGCTTATGTATTATCCAAAGCAGTCCTAAATTGTGTAAGCAAGGAGGTTACTGCAAATACGTAACTTAGCTGATCAAGATGAGTTTGATTAAACCAATCTCCGAATAGCCCAAAACAATTTGATGAATTATAGCAATATGAATCATTAGTATTAGGTTTATTCAAACATTACAAAGGCATCATTGTTATAATACTAGTTTTTTCAATAAACTTATTAAATGATTAGACAATTTAAATTTGTTAAGAAGCAGACCTAATTAAGTATTAAAGATTATTTTTATGCAACCAAACACTATTCAATTATTGCAAGGTTTATTTGACAAATATTTTTTCAGATGATTCTTCTATTGATTTCTAAACAATTAATTAACTAATGATTATGGAAGAGGCTAATAATATAAATACAAAAATTGAACTCACGATTTGTATGATTAGAATTTGATTTTTTATCCTCCAATTTTTATTGATGTACCAAAAATGTTGTTATTTTAATTTATTCAATATCATATTTATTACTCTTATCTTTCCTAATTAAATTGCACTTAATATATATTATAAATTAATTTTTAATATAGTTAAAGAGTAAATTCTTATTCTAACTCATTTTTGTCATAATATAATTAAAAATAGATAATTATCTATTTATTATATTATTTTTAATGAATTTAATTTGATATTCCTTTTCCATCGCAGAGAATAAATGATTTTCTCTTTATCCGTAAAGCACTCTGATTTGATTAACCAATACAATTTAGATTTTTTAGAAATAAAATATATCAAAAACTTATTTTCAGTTAGCTATTTCTTGGAATTTATTGAATCTTTTGTTGTAAAAACTAATATATATGTGTAAGTACTCGAATGCTTGATTTTAGATTGCTATATTGTATTTCTAACTCAAAGGGGTATCTAAATTGTTTTCATCCATCATGTCTTAATATTAAGATTCCTATTGTCTATCTGTTTTATTCCAATTAGGGAAGAAAGTAGGTTTTTCAATTTCAATTTGGGAGGGCAGATATTTAATTTTCATTGAACTAAAGGTTCCAACATTTGAATTTGATGATGAGTTTGACAAGTGTCTGAGATCAGTTCTTTAGCCAGGTTTTTTGTTAGGATCAGGGGGTAATAAAAGATGACGCTAAGAAGAGGGCCTAGATTTAATTAAAATATACGCAACTTGTGGATGCTATTATTAATCATTGACTGTCCAAATGATTTGTTGTGATAATTTTGATGAACTTTTCATTAGGTTTCCAGGAGAAAGTTCTTTGATTTTGTTGAATTCAAAGGATTTTTTAGATTCCAAAGAGCTAAACTTTTTAGTAGATTTCATTAACCCTTCAGTCCAATCATAAATTCCATCTAATAGAAATTAATTATTTTCTGCAATTTAATTAAGAAGTTAAAGGATATATTGATAGTTAGGTTGATCTAAGAAATTCAAGGATTTCAAATATTAAAGAATTTCGACTAGTTCATGTGGCTAATTAATGCATAATTCATTTAAATCTATGTTTTATTTGATTTCTCCAACAGCTTTGGTTCGCTCATTTTCTGAGACTGGCAAATTTTACCAAGGTAGACTGCCACGAAGAAAATATAAAATTACATAAAAAAGTGATTCTAAATCATCCTTCCTAGATATCTCATGGCCCAAATGAGCTGCAACAGATGCATACCTAGGAGTACCCATAAATGTTTTGTCGCTTTTAAAGGGCCTAAGATACAATTATAATTGAAACTTACATATGTTCTCCTTGTATGCAATAAATTTTACTAATGCCAAAGTCAACTATGTAAATGCCATCATTATCTTTAGACATTAATATATTTTCTGGTTTAAGATCTCTGTGTACCACATTTTTATTGTGAATATTTTTAAGAATATTCACACATTCAAAAGCAATTTAAATTGTGCATTTTAAGCTGAACTTCTTTTGTTATCTGAAAAAATATGATAAATCTCTTCCTAGCAATTATATAACCATGATATTGAATTCACTTTCATTTCCACACCAAATCAACTTAGGAGTACCTTCAGCATCATTTAATTATTTCAGGATTTCCACTTCTCTTTCCAAAGATCTCATCTCTTCATTATCTTCTTTCTCTAATTTCAATGCTGCATCCTGATTAGTTTATTTATCAAACACTAAAAAGACGACTCCAAATGCTCCAGATGAGATCTTCTTTTTGACCACGAATCTATTCATAAATACTCTATTCTAACTACTTTGGCTCATAAAGAAAATATTATTTATAAATTGGATTTTTAATATAAAATTCTTTCCACATCAATAATAATATGGGTATCCACCATAATATGCAGGTCTCACTGTAGAATATGTTAATGGAGTGGCATATGATGCTACAGGTTAGGCGACCACTTAAGGTACTGGCTGAACAACTGAATAAGTTAAAGGAGCAGGGGCATATTGAACAGGAGCAGGAGCATATTGAACAGGGGCAGCAGGCTAAATCTCACTAATACATCATACAACTCTTTAGACTTCTCTCTCTACTGCTTCATATTCAACTCTTGGAATTGTTTTTTATACAGGTACATATTCTGTTTATGTTTCGTAGACTGTTCTTGGGATGTAATCTGTTTAATATTCAACAGGGTAATAATCTGTAACATATTTTGTCACAGGCTTTTTAACTTCAACAGTCTCAGTCTCGTATTCCACAACTGGTCTTTAATACTCTCTATACTCAACTCTGGATTCTCCCTTGATTGCTGGTTGAGCTGCAACAACTGGTTGCACAACTGATTGAACTACTGGCTAGACAACTGATTAAGTGACAACTGGTGCTGGGGCTGTATAAATAGGGGCAGGAGCTGTGTAAATGGGAGTTGTGGCAATAGGTCTAACAATTGAGGCTTAAGGATAAGCAAGAGGGGCTGCAAAGGATGCTGCAAGGGGTTGTGTGTATGATGGGTAGAATCCTGGATAAAAAGACATTTGAAATAAATTTATTTATATGCATTTTATTTTAGATTTATTTGGTTTAATAAATGTTCTAGAATACTCAATTTAATAATTCTACACTGTCTAAAGTAATATTTCCTAATTTGCCAATTCTGAATCCATTTAATATGAAATCGATTGTGGTCTCATAGTTGTAGTGGTTGTATCTTTCCCTTACAGCCAACATATACTGACCCCCTGTTTTGGGTCTTTCATTGAGACCATAAATCTTATAATACTTTTCCATCTATTATTAATTCATCTCTCTTACTAAATAGTCTAGCATTCTTTCTTTGGTAACAATTTTATCTTTAATGCATCCAACCAACTATTCAAAGATTATTTGTTATGTTTTACTCCTAATTTCAGTCCTTGTTCTTCCTCAGTAATATTAGGGATCATCACACCAGGAGTGTCAACCAAATATGCTAGAGGTTCATCGCATATTTTAATTCCAGCCACATTCTTAGTAGTGCAAGGACTGGCTGTCGATTTAGCAATAGCCTTTCTTTTATTTAATTTAGGAGTTGTTTGTCTCAATTAATTTATTATTGTAGACTTTCCAACATTTGGCATTCCGCAAATCATTAACCACATCCCTACTGTTGCAAATTTAGCTGATTTGTATGTGTTGGTCATCATAATCAACTCCCTCAAATTCAATCTCTCCCTTGCAGATGTAGCTATACATTGAATTCCAACCTTTTTGTATTTCTCTATTATTTTATTAGTTATATCCTAATTGCATAGATCAAATTTATTAAATATGATAATCTTCTCTTTATTGTGAGCCTACATCAAATTATCGAAATGATAATTTTTTGATGAAAAAGGCACTCGAGCATCTCGCAATTCTAAAAATAATTATACATCTGATATTCTCTTCTCCAAATGTTCCATAGCTCTTTTCATATGTCCTGGATACCATGAGATCTTATCTGAATTATTCATTTTAATTATGGTGTATATATTTAAAATAAACTATTGTTTTTATAAATAATTAAATTATATTAGAAATTTTGGATATACACCATATAAATTAAAAGGACTTTGTTGAATCATTATATCAATATATTTAATCCTTTATGATAATAATAGGTATCTTTTTGACTTCAAAAATTTATAAGCTTCCTAAAGATATCTTTGTTTTTATTTGCATTATAATAGATAAAATTAAAAATTTATATTAATGAGTCAATCGATGTCACAAAGCTTCCTTGTAAAATAGTTCTGTTAGAATCATCCTTCGGAGTAATTGACAAGCTTTTGTTAAACAGTCGATTGCTTTAAACCTTTGTGTGCAGAATGTGTTGAATCACATACTTAATATCATAATTAAGTATCTACCACAGCCGATATTGAAAGTTTAGCAAATGTGAAATTGCTTTGCTAAAAAAAAATAAAATCAGGAATAATCGAGGTTTAAAAAATTTAATCAATCGTAAACTAATATGGACAAACAGAATATGAGGATCAGACAATAAAAGATATCAAAAAGGCTAAAGAAAATGTCATATATTTAGTTAATCAATACTTTACCTTATTGGAAGATCAATATAAGTAATACCTAGAATCTTAGACAAACTCTTAATAAATTTTTATTTAGTAATAAGAAAATGTTTAAAGTTTTCTCAATGAATTGGAGAATTTGTATGTTGGATTGGAAAGTTCAAATCAAATAAATGTATTAAAGAGTGTTTGTAATTTGGATATCAAGAAAAATTAACTTAAATTTAGGAAGGTGATGAAAAACTTATAAAATCTGTAATAAAACAATCCATCCATGATTAAACTCAATTAAGCTAATTTACAACATATTCAATAAGCATTGACCAATTATGTATAGATTGATTTTGTTCCTTTGCAAACTAATCTGCTACTCAATACAAGTCAAATATCTTAAGTGTATTAAGATACCTACCTATAATCGAATGAGTTTTTTAGAAACAAATATAAATTATTGCACTTTTTTGAGACAGGAAAATCAGTGCTTTGGTTATATGACTTAAGTTTACCTGATTAATTGTGGAGACCTGTCCAAATCTCAAATTATGTAGAAGTGTTACCATTTTCGAAATCATTAATAACTCCAGATGGACAGATATACTTAACTGGAGGATCATTGCCAAATAAGAAGAAGAGCAATAAAATTTATCAATTCAACTTTTCAAATTATCAATTATAGGAAATTGGACAAATGAATAATGGAAGAAGTTCGCATGGTTTAATTTGGAAACAAAATGAGCTTTTTACTATTGGTGGATATTTAGATAATTTGTAGATAACTAATTCATGTGAATCATTTGATTGTTTAAATAAAAGAGTAATAAAATTACCCAATTTAAGCAATGCTCTGGGATCACCTAGTGTTAGCATATTTAATGACGTTATTACAGTTGCTGGTGGAATAAGTATGGCATCCTATTTATTTTAGTGCAAAATATGGCAATCAATTAATAAATAGAATTTCTACAGAAGGACTCTTGGGTACCTTGCACCATTACATCACAATTGACTTCCATGGCTTCAATGATGTGTTCGATCTAAATAGAATAAAATTAATTAATGATATTCGGTGGATATTTAGAAAATAACAAAGGGTCAAAAGAGTGCACTATTCTAGAGATAAATGACAAGACAGCAAAAGTAATTCAAACCAAATAGTTGCCCTAAGCCGAAGGATTCTGGAACAATGTGCCACTTATTCATTAGGGAAGGATCTTGGCATTATAAAATGTAGTTTTGGATAATTAAGGGAATTGTGCTCATGATCAAAGAAGAATTTTGATTTTTGATGGAACGTTTTGGAAATATAATGATTTAAAATGACATCATATGTTATATTCAATTTTAGTTTAAGCCCTTATTGGTTATCTTCCTCTATGACCTAATCCAGAGCCTTGAGTTCTCTTAAGTAACGTTTAGGTTTGTGCAAGCATTTGATTTTTGGCCATAGGGAAATGATTGGAGAAAGTCTTACAGAATGAAGAAGCAGATTTAAATCCATTGATGGCAGTTTCGACTAACTTTTTAGTATTGTTTCCATAATAATTAGATTGCTTCAAGACACAGTTATCTAAATTTTAGGCACTCTAAGTAACTGATTTAATTTCAAGTGGGTTATTCGGTTTAACGGTGGGAGTAAAATTAAAATAATTTTGAGTTTCACTTTTTTTGGGAGTCAGAAATAATGACTTAGTTGACATAGCTTTCTGATTGACCCTTTTTAATGGGCTTTAATTTGGAATTTGCCTTGTTGTTGATCTTACTTCCATAGATTCTCTTCTATCTCTGTCATTATATGATCTAACATACTAAGTACTAGCAGGTCTTTGCTATCTCCTTCTGTTTAATTCGAAATCGAATTATTATAATTGTTGCATAAACCCTGGATTTGGGTTGATTTAAGGTCTCCTACTAATGAGGAATGTAAGTGCAACTTGAAGTGAGTAATTATACATTTGCATTAAATAAGCTATCACTAATGTAGCACTTCTGCTGACTCCAACAAAGCAGTGGACTAAAACATTCTTTGTTTTTCGTTATTCATCAATAAAATGTATGGCCTCCTCGAAATGTCTTCTTATTGGATCATAAGCAGTATCATGTAACATAATCAACTAAAGATGCTCAGCATAACTACTTTTTATTCACAATCAAATTTAAGATTAGACAATTCTGTCCCCACTGTTAAAACTGCCCCAATCTAGTTTTATTGCATTAATTATGGATTCATAGCTGCCTCAATTCCACTTAAAAATAATGCTCCGTAGGTTTCATTCCTCCCTAAAATTAAATCCATTTGTCCTGATGGAAATGGGGGTCTAGGTTACAACATATTTCTCAAATAAAATTAAATATTAATATTAAAGGTTAAAAACAAACAGAACTTTTTAACAATAATTATTTAGGTATTTAAATGCTTTGATTATTCATTATGGCAGATGGTTATGCATTCATTTACTTATCTTATCATATTCTCAGTATTTTACATGCATTCCCAACATCAATAAAACTTTGGTTTAAATAATTGATATTTTTTATTAATGTATATATAATTAATGTTCAATCAAATCATTCTCTTGACAAGATCATTGATGAGATCTTCTCTGTTTCCCCAATCACCTTAGTTGATGAATGATCTTCTCTTAGCAATAAAGCCACCTCTTGGTCCTCTCAATTTGAATGCCCTTTAAAATTTAATAAATGAATTTATTACCACAAGAATCTGTTTGCTTCCTTGAAATGAGCTCCTACTGTAACAATCTCGTGGACGAGATCTTCAATGCTGTGAATTCCAACCTTTCCTAATTATTATTCAATAATGTTGTTGTTTGTGAGTGGGATTCTTTGACCATTAATTTTGGCATATCCTCTCTTGTAAATCAGATTCTTGATGACAGCTCTTGATGGATATCCATAGGTCACATATGGCTCGACCTTTCTGATCATTTCAATTGTAGCCTTGTTGACTCTGACAAAGGCTGCATTGTGAAGTTATCTCAATTTCAAAAGTCTCAAAGTTTATCTGACTTGTGGATTCAAGGTGTTGATACTGTAATATATATCATAATTCAATACCCTCTGATTCTTACCACCAAGATCAATTTAGATTCTGCTGGTACATAGAATCCACCTTCGCTCTTTGCCTTACGTAAGCTATCAACTAGGCTCTTATCTGCTGCTTTGTATTCGTTATCATAAGCTTAAGCATTCTTTTCCCATTAAGCTCTTCTTGTTTTGTTTGCAGCTAATCTCTCTGTTCTTCTCTTAGCAACAGCTTCTCTCAATTTGGTATCTCTTGCATTCTTCTTCACTATGTTTTCTGGAACCTTTTATCTACACCATCTAATCCAAAAACTTACTCAACTTGCATTTGTGGCTTCTTTTAAGACATTTTAAAGCAAAATAAAATCTTAAATTTTAAAATCAAATCAACTAAAACTTCTTATTCATATTCTATCCCCTATTTCTCTTATAAAATGCAATTTTGCTATCTCCCAGAAATATCGGTCCAGTAGGCTGGCTCAACAAATCCATGTCCGTTCCCCTTAGAACAATTGGATCATCTATCTCATTTAACTCTATCGTAGTTGTTTCATTTTGAATTTCCTGTTGCAAATTTAATTTGATTCCCAGAGTGTGAGCATTCATTATCGTGTCTCTATCCTATAAG